CCAGTGACTAAGAGAAAGACTCGCCTTTTCAGAGGTTCATGGAACCCTATCCGCATGGAGCGCTGAACATAACGGAGGTTGCTTACGGGAATTTGCTCTTCTCTATTCCACGACAGTATAACGGCATATCCGATTGCGCCTGCGGATTCAAAAATGTTGTATTCACCGATGCTGTATGGCGGAGGCTCAGAGTACACCGCTGGAGCGAACATAGGGCTGTGATGTCCGTTGGTACTATATCGGGCTGGCATGTGTAGACAGACTCGGGTACCAGACAGGTTACATTCCAGGCACAGTCAGAGGACAGCATTCTGCTTAGTATTTTCCGTTGCGTCTCCCGTGAGTCCTTTTTGATGTTTGTTGAGGACGAAGATCCAGCCACATTCTTAAAGGACATCAGTATTGAAAAGCTTTGTCACCCCTTTGACTCAGTGGGACACCTTCCCGAGATTTTACAACATACACTATCAGTATAATCATAGGGCTGTTATTTGAATTCTTATATATATAGTGCACGGGAAGTATGTAGTTCTGAAGTATGTTATCCTGTTTGAAGACCTGCGGTAGTGAGATGAGATAGGCCTTAAGTTTCTATGATTATCTGATGACGTCCACTACAGGTTGAATACTATGACTTCTGGAGGTACATTGCACCGTACCAATGATTTAAGGAGTCCAATGCTCCGGACAATATGTTAAGACAGCGAACTGGAGTCCAGCAGTGAGAGGAAAGCACTGAGGGACTCCAGAATGATGCTGCGACTATATAACACAATTGCGGAGTATGAAATGTTGGGAGACGGAGGTCTGCATAGGCGAGAACACAAGCAAGGTCGAAGCCAAGAAATCCGGGGGTTGGCTCCGGAGTTATTAGCAAAACAAAGTAAAACGTAGATATCTCGGTAACCAGTGGACGGATTACCGTCCCTCAGGTACCGTTCGAAAGAGCCTAAAAGGTCGGTTCGAATGATACTAAACATGAAGGGAATCGACCAAGGGAAAGTGCCTAAGTCACAAATTCTAACACAATACTGGTATACCCAGGCAGAATCTTTTGGTACATCGCGCCGGAGCAACCATCCACTACCAGATCTGTCACTGGATCTGGATGCTAGACGCGGAACGATATATCTCTTCCATCGCGACTGTTGAACGTCGCATGCGGGACAGCCTTTGCCTTGTCTGCGCTGCCTCAGGACACCGCGCAGCGGACTGCCCGCGCACCCGCCGTGCCCGCAGGGCCAACGCGTCCGCTCCGCAGGTTTCCTCCTCTCAGTCGGGAAATCACTGAGCAGCCCTGTGACCTCGCCTTTCGCAACTTCTAGCATCCCTCCGCCTCTCTCCGCACCAGAGCCTAGTGCTCCGCTCACTTCCCCTTCTTGCGCGTTCACCAGCAATCCAGTTCCGATTTCTTTTGTCAATGCAGCCGCCTTCCGCCGCGCATCCGCGATGCGTGGCTCACGCTCCTTTTCCATTTTCCTTTCCAAGAGCGACAATGTGGTGCGGGCATGCGCCGCAGCAGTTGATGCGGAACCCGTCGACCTCTCCTCTGTTCCAGAGGAATACCACGAGTTTGCCAATGTGTTCAGCAATGCTAAGGCCTACACCTTGCCTCCGCATCGATCTTACGATCTCAAGATCGAGCTTGACGCTGCCGCTCTGCTTCCACCCAGTCGTCTCTACTTCCTGTCTCCTGCGGAGACCTCCGCACTCCTTGAAGAGAACTTGCGGGCTGGTTTCATTCGCTCCTCCAGCTCTCTCCTAGGCGCTCCCATCCTCTTTGTCAAGAAGAAGGATGGATCGCTCTGCCTTTGCGTCGACTATCGCGGACTCAACCGCATCTCCAAGAAAGATTGCTATCCGCTTCCGCTGATCTCCGATCTCCTTGACACACCCGGCTGCGCGAAGGTCTACACCAAGATTGACCTGAAGCATGCCTATCACTGAGTCCGCATTGCGGACGGGGACGAGTGGAAGACCGCATTCCGCACACGTTATGGGTCTTATGAATGGCTGGTGATGCCTTTTGGGCTGACCAATGCACCCTCCGCATTCCAGCGATTCATGAACAATATCTTTGCGGACATGGTTGATGTCAGTGTCATCGTCTACCTGGATGATATCCTCATCTATTCCGACAACATGGAGGATCATCGCAAGCACGTCAAGGAAGTCCTCCCGCTTGCGGAAGCATGGTCTCTTCGCCTCCGCAAAGAAATGTGAATTTCATGCGGAGCACGTGGAATACTTGGGTTACATCTTGTCGCCTGCAGGCCTCACTATGTCTGCGGACAAGACCAAGACCATCCAGGACTGGCCTGAACCGCGCTCTGTGAAGGATATACAGTCTTTCCTCGGTTTTGCCAACTTCTATCGACGTTTCATCCATAACTACTCCGACATCACTGTTCCGCTTACCCGCCTCACCCGCAAAGACACCCCTTTCGTGTTCGGCGACTTCGCATGTTCCGCATTTGAAACTCTCAAGTCCGCATTCACTTCCGCACCCATCCTGGTGCACTGGCAACCCGACCGACCCCTGATTGTGGAAACTGACGCCTCTGACTACGCCCTTGCTGCCATTCTGTCCCAACAACTCGACTCTGGCGAAATCCACCCCGTCGCATTCCATTCCCGCACTTTCCAAGCTGCGGAGCTCAACTACGACGTCCACGACAAGGAGCTCCTGGCTATCTTCGAGGCCTTCAAGATCTGGAGGCATTACCTCGAGGGATCTGCGGAGCCTGTGAATGTGATGACGGACCACAAGAACTTGGAATATTTCGCCACTTCCAAGGTCCTCACCCGCAGGCAAGCATGCTGGTCGGAGTATCTCTCCCAGTTCAACCTTGTCATCCGCTTTCTCTCTGGAAAGCTGGGGACGAAGCCCGATGCCCTCACTAGACGTTGGGACGTCTACCTTAAACAGGGAGGTAGTGACTACGCGTCAGTCAATCCCCACAACTTCAGACCCATCTTCACCAATGAGCAGCTGTCCGCATCGCTCCGCGCAACTTCGATCATGCTCCCCGCACTCCGCGCATCGATTGTAGTTGATGAGGGAGCGCTCCTCAAGGACATCAAGGCTGCTTACTCCACGGACGAAATTGCTTCCAAACACCTCCCCACACCTTCCAACCCTTGCTGGACTCTCTCCGCAGATGGCACACTCCGCCAGGACGGACACATCTACGTTCCAGACGAGTCCGCACTCCGCCTCCGCGTACTTCAGCTCAAACATGATCATCCGCTTGCAGGACACTACAGCAAGAACAAGACGATTGAGCTGGTGCGCCACGACTACGTCTGGCCCAAACTCCGCACTTTCGTCGCAGACTACGTCCGCTCCTGCACAGTCTGCAAGCGCAACAAGTCTCCGCATTACAAGCCTTATGGTTTGCTGAAGCCCCTGCCTATTCCGCTCCGCCCCTGGGACTCCATTTCGATGGATCTCATCGAACAGCTCCCCGCATCCGGCGGATACACAGATATTTTGGTGGTGGTGGATAGACTGTCCAAACAAACCATTTTTGTTCCGACAGACTCCCGCCTCACCTCCGCAGAACTTGCGCGACTGTTTGTGCTCCACATCTTCTGCCAACATGGTGTTCCTGGCCATGTAACCTCCAACCGCGGCTCCGAATTCGTCTCCCACTTCTTCCGCAGTTTGGGAGAAGCCCTGGACATGAAGCTCCACTTCACATCCGGCTACCACCCAGAAGGAGACGGACAGACAGAGCGGGTCAACCAGACGCTTGAGCAGTATTTGCGGACCTACTGTAACTACCAGCAGGACAACTGGCATGAACTCCTCCCACTTGCGGAGTTTGCGTACAACAATGCGCCTAGTGCCACAACTGGTGTTTCGCCATTCTTCGCCAATAAGGGTTATCATCCGAACATCTCTGTCCACCCTGAACGCGATCTTGCGAGTTCCGCAGCCTGCGACTTTGCGGTCGACTTGCAGGAGCTCCACGAACACCTCCGCACTAGTATCGCCAGCATGCAGGAGTCCGCATGCCGCTATGCGGACCAGAAGCGCTTACCTCCGCCAGACTTCAAGGTGGGTGACCGAGTTTTTGTCAAGGCCCAGTTCTTCCGCACAACCAGACCTACCAAGAAGCTCTCGGAACGATACTTTGGCCCTTAGGAGATCATTGCCCAAGTTGGAACGGTTTCCTACACTCTCCGCCTCCCCGACTCTCTCCGCGCTGTTCACCCTGTCTTTCACGTCTCTATGCTCGAACCGCATTACACCTCTCAGATTCCGCAACGCCACGAACCACCTCCGCCTCCAATTGAGGTGGATGGGGAACATGAACGCGAGATTGCGGAGATCCTCGACTCCAAACTGGATTGTCGCTGCAAACACTGCAAGCTCCTCTATGAAGTGCGGTGGCGCGGATACGAGGATACGGACGAGGAACGCAGCTGGCTCCTTGCCGCAGAGCTTGAACACGCCCAAGAGATCGTTGGAGAGTTCCACAAGAGGTACCCAGACAAGCCTGGTCCTCATTAGTGATTCCCCGCATTCCGCAGTTGACTCCGCATTTCTCCTTCATCTTTGTATCCTTTTATTTTCCAAGTTCCGATTTTACGTTTCTCCGCTCTCCGCAAAATTCCGCATTCTTGTTTCTTCCGCTTCTTTCTCTTCAAATTCGTGGTTCCGCATTGCTCCTTCCCTCCCTATGCTTTTCTCCACAGTCCACTCCTCTATGCCTTACCTGTTTGACCTTTTCCTGTTCTGCATTCCTCTCTTCTTGATGTTCCCGCTTGCTCCACTTATTCCACTTGCCTTCATTTTCCTCCGCTTCACTATGCCTTCCCTTACTCCGCACGTTATGCTTCAATTTCTCCCTTGCCCTCCGCTTCTCTTTCCTCATTTTCATTTCCTGTCCGCACTTTCCATTTCCACTTCATGAAGGACAAGAAATTATTTTTCTTTTCTCCCGCAAACGCACCGCAGAGTCACAAGCATGCTGATGATGCCGAGTTGCAAAATGCGGACATCAGATTCTGTGCATGGACTGAGTCCTAACACAAGCCTCAAGGGCTCGGCCTTAACAGGGAGGTACTCGTTAGGGTCTCGAACATCCACCCACATCTACCCACAACCCACCAGCCTTTGACCCACACTCCCCGCACAGTCTCGCATGATCCCGCATGACCCCGCACATCCCCGCACTCGCCATCACCTCTCCACATCCCACATCCCCGCATCTCCGCTACATCCATCGCACTCCTGCACATGCGGACTCCCCGCATGTGTCCGCTCTATGGATGTCCGCATCTGCGAGTCCGCAGCCCGCAAAGTACCAGCGGACCGACACGGCCCACAACTGAGGGCTGGTGCGGACCGCGCGGAGAAACCTCGTAACCGCCCTCTAGGCGCCCAGACTCTGCATGTGACCCCTTATACTTCCTTATGACTCCCTTCCTTGCTTTACTAGTTGTTCTTTAGAATCGCCTTACTCATCCCTCTTCGCATTCCGCGTGCTACGGTCAAGAGACGCGAACTCAAGTGAGCATGCACGTCGACCGTAGAGTCGTGGTTCCGAGGAGAGTTCGAGGAGATAGGCGTCTAAGAATGCCTCACAAGAGGTATTGGTCTTAAGACGACTAGAGCGAGTTCGAGAGAAGAGTAGAAGTGGGTATGATTCACGAGAACTAGCTAAGGAACAGAGAGAGGTATCTACTGAGCTTATATACCTATCTAGCTACGTGAATACGAGTCAAGAGAAGTCAGAGAAGAAGGCTGCATGAGCACAGGTTACTGCGGAGCGCAGCAGAGATAAATTAGAGAACAATAAAGAGTGGCTGCGCCACAGCAAGAAGGAGTCATAAAGAGTCAAAGAAGGCTGCGCCGCAGCAGTAAAAAGAATTAACTGATAAAACAGTCACGAGATAAAGAAAGAGATCATGTGAACAAGAAAGCGAGTCATATGATAGAGAAAGGACGCGAAGAGAAAAGATAGGGGCGGAATTCGTAACACCGCGGTATTCCGCATTTCTTATGACTCAGTTTTATCTCTTGTCCCAGACTTGTCCCAGAGTATATCCAGAGTATCTACAGATATATAAGCTAGCTAGATTTCTGTAGTAGATACTCATCCGGAATCTCGAATCAGACTTATACAGAACTTCCCCTCTGTCCAGTCTTGAGCTTTTAGGCTTGCTAGAGCTTTCCGCATACTCCGCATATCCGCACAGTACTCCTTATCCCGTTCCGCAAGGCTTTCTCCTCTCTCTCCTCGTCTTCCGCCGCAAGGCGCATCTCTCTCTCTCCTCCCCTCTCCTTTCAGGTTGGACCATATACCACCAGCGTGGGCACAACGCAATACGTTGAGGCCACAGTGAATATGTTATGAGATCCAGTGAAATCCAATGGACTTCCATCGGGTTCCAATGGATTTAGAAGCCTGCTCCAGTGAGGTCCAATGGACTCCAACACTGGCGTTCACGTCCATTGGAGCCCAGTGGACATTGTATAGGCCAGTGGAATCCAATGGACGCTGTACCGGCCAGCGGAATCCAATGGATGCGAGCACGAGGCCCAGTGGACCCCAGTGGCAGACACTGGCTCCGGGTGGCTCGGACATGACTTTGCCACGCTGCGTGTATTACTGCCACAGGTCAACTTCCCACCACTTCAATTCCCTACCGAATTCACTCTTCCAGAATACGTCGCCGCCGTTTTTGAACACTGTTGGCCTTTTGTTTTCGTACACATGCAGCGTTAGGAACGCTCGACCATCTTCTCTGAATGCACGGACGGTGAAGTGTTCTTCTTCTGCCCCTGGGTCCGTTCGATGGTATCCAGTCCTAATTGAGAGGGCATCAGTATTAACCCATAACCAGCGATGAAGAACTCACATTATTAGCCATACATCCACCTTTGTGTTCGTATTTATGTCCACCAAAACTTCCTTCATACGTCGATATAACCAGTACCGGGTTTGGAGGTCATCGTCGACTGCTGCGTGGAAAAAGCCAATCCGCCTTGGTGCTACAGACATCTTCGCGTGGGGTCTACGATGTGGAAGGCTCTGGTAACTTTGCCGCTCGATGAACAGTGGCGGTCGTTCTTCAAGCGCGGTTGGCTGGATGCTTGCGAGGCTACCACAATGGATACCAACCAAGAGTTCTAGGAGAATGTCAGTGCCAACATACGAAGAGACTGCTTCACTAACAAACCGTTGAGACCGATGTCGACGCGGCGCCCTTGATTCTGTCGCGAAGAGCGAACACTAAACCAAACTAGAGACCAGATAAGTCGAGCGATAAGCGAGATGAGAGTGATGAGAGCAAAGAGAGACGTTGAGCGATGAGTGAGAGCAACGGATAGAGTGATGTATTGACAGAGAGGTCAAGCTGAGGAATCTACAAGGCCAACTACACAACTTATATACTGTAACTACAAGCTACATAGCCGCTGTGAGTCAGAATGTCGAATAACGATGCAGTACATGAAAGACTATAAGGAAAGGTCACAAGGCTGTGCAAGAACAAGGATGAAACAATATAGGAAGCCACAATGAGTCATATCGAGTCATAAGGCTGTGCGAGAAGAAAGGATCAATAGAAAACAGGGCAAAGGGCAAGACAAGGCAGTGTTCCATGAGGGAAAGTGTCCATGACGAGAATAAAGGCAAGGCAGAGGCGAAGATAAGATGAAGGAAACGATAAGATAAGATAAGGAAAAATAGGGGCCATACCGGCAGTTCACGACATTACCCCCCTTCTAAGATTCATCGTCCTCGATGATCCTAGGCAATCGACGCCCCTCCTCCCAATCCAAGTCCATGGGCCAGAACGGTTGAGTTGTCGGCTGCTTCTGCCACGGGATAGATGCGAAGGCTGTGGCAGAGATACGACGTGGTGCGTTCGGATGTCGACGGTGGTATTCGGCAATGAGTTCCTGCGCATTCTTCAAGTTCTCCTCTGGTTCCCAAGAGTCGTGCCCAGCGCCATACCCCTTCCAACTGACCAAGTACATCAGCTTCCGACCCCTCCCCCTCTTAACGAACTTGCTATCCAGGATGCTGTCGACCTCGTATTCAAGCTCCCCCTCCAGTTCAACAGGTTCAGGCGGAGGTGGCAGAGTGCCGTTGACATCATTACCTTTCCAGGGGGAGAGCTTGTCGATGTGGAAGACGGGGTGGATGCGAGAGAGGTCCTTGGGGAGTTCGAGCTTATAGTCGAGGTCGCCGATGCGCTTGAGAATCTTGTAGGGACCTAGTTGGAAGTCACCGAGTTTGCGAGTGGGTACCTTGAGCTGAATATCCTTCGCGTCGAGCCAGACGTAGTCGCCTTCCTTGAACTGGTGGGCAGATCGCTTGCCGGCCTCGTAGGTGTCCTTCTGGTGGGCCTTTTCGAGTCGAAGTGCAGCTTCGGCGTCCTTCCGAACGTCTTGCGGATGACCAGTCCCAGGTACTCGATCTCTTCACGCTCGAACTCGCATTTCTCGGGCCAAAGGTACAGGTCATGCTTCTTGAGACGTCGCAGGACCTCGTGGACAATCTGACGGTGCTCTTCTAGGGTGGCCGTGAAGATGAGGATGTCATCGAGGTACACTGCGACCTTGCCGGCAGCGATGAGATCAGAGAAGATGGAATTCATGAGTGCTTGGAACGTGGCCGGCGAGTTGGTGAGGCCAAAGAACATGACGAGAGGTTTGTAGAGGCCTGGATTGGTCGCGAACGCTGCCTTCCACTCGTCTCCCTCCTTGATGCGGATGTTATTGTAACCCCAACGCACGTCGAACTTGGTGAAGAACTTGGCACCACGGAGGCGGTTGATGATGTTGGAGACAAGAGGGAGTGGGTAACGGTTCTTGACGGTGATCTCGTTGAGCCGACGATAATCCTGAACGAAACGGAGTTTGCCATCCTTCTTCTTGATGAAGAAGACCGGGGACTAGAGAGGGGACTTGGATGGGCGAATGTAGCCTTTCTTCAGGTTTTCGTCAAGGAAGCGGTTGAGCTCTTCTTGCTCGTTCGGGGACATGGGATAGACCTTGGTGCGCATGGTGGTTGGAGCCCCTGGGATGAGATCGATGGCGTGATCCCAAGGCTTATGCTCGGGGAGACTATGTGATTCGGACTTGGAGAAAACAGAGGTGTGTTGGCGGTACTGGGGAGGAACCATTTCTTTGAACGTCTTCTGGGGTTTGGCCTTCTGCGCTTCTTCGGCGATTTGTTGGGAGTAGGTGAATCCAGCTGCACACCAGAGCTCGTCGCCGGTGGCCTCAATCAGCCCGGCTCGGACCCATTTCCTACGGGTAACGCGATTGGCGCGGATACGGAGTAAGGGTGGTTCCTTTTTTGGGTTCAGGCACTGGGTCTGGGGCCGGATCGGGGACAGGATTGGAGGGAATTGGGGTAGGTGTGATGTCAGGGGGTGGGTGTTACGTCAGTGATCTGCTCCAGGATGGCATCACCAGAGGGGGCTCCACGATAGGGCATCTGCGCATCTTCATCCGGGATCTCTTCGACGGTGACACTGGCGACCTTGGGTGGGGGAATATGGAGTGTGCCTTTACGCCAGTCGATGTGGGGGTTGATCTTGCGAAGGCAGGGGAGTCCCAGAATGATGTCTTCGCCTCCAAGGTTGGTCACAAGAAAGTCTGTCCACTCGGTGTGTCCATCTACTGTAAGCTCTAGTCAAGCAAAGTGGGTGATGTGACCAGCCTGATTTGGGGTATCGTCGATGTTAAGGAGTTGAATGGGATGTCAAAGGAGATAGGTAGTGATGCGATGCTCGGCCACGAAGGGTTTGTCCAGGAATTTGCCGGTGGCGCCACAATCAATCATTGCCGCGGGGTTTGCCGTGCGGTTTCTGCCTCTGAGTCTGATCCGGATGCGAAAATGGGATGAACCGGGGTGTATTTCGCAAACTGCGCTAATAGTACATGAACGAATGGAGTCATACTCAGAGATGGCATACGACGGAGAAAAGGGTGCAAGCATTGCGGCTTTAGCCAGCACCCGCTTCAAAAACCCTGCTGGAGTTGCTCGAGTTTGGCCAAGATTTCGAGTTGACGCTGCTGAGCGGCGGCGATGGTGTTGATATCGGCGGGAGGAGATGGAGTGGCAGCAACGGTGGCAGTAGCAACAGGGAGTGGGCGAGCCTTCGTTGAACGAGGGAGAAAGGTGCTTCCTGGGTGGCGGCAATGCGGCGACGAGGGGCTAGACCTTGACCTGGCGTGACACCCATGTACTTGTCTTGGCAGACATTCGACAAGTGGCCCATACGTTGGCAGTAATTGCACCCGAAGGCTGCCGTGGTTGCCGTCCTTCTTGACGTGAGAGGTAGAGCCACAACCAAAGCAGTGTCCTCGCATGGCTCAGAGGAAGTCGTCGCGGGACTTGCCGTTGGGCCCAACACGGGTTGCGTCGATGTCCATGGCAAAGGGGTCACGGGCAGGGGTAGAGCGAGTTGCAGAGGGTGCCGAGAAGGGAGTACTACCGTTGGAGAAGGTGAAGTCGTTTTCGTTGACGATGTCACAGTAATCCTGGAGGGTCTTTGGCTTGGAATCGGCAGGCTTGGTAACGACGATAAGGTCTAGCATGATGTGGTCACGGTTGTTGAGTTTGCGACAGAAGCGGGCCATGCCATCCTTCTGAGACAAGCCAGTGCGGGGAAAGACCTCCATGAATTCGGCGGCGAACTGGGATGCAGACTTCTTGCCTTGGGTGAGAGCTTCGAGCTGGGCTTCTGCAGCCTTCTCCTGGTCGGCGGGTTGGAAGCGTTTGTTAAAGGCGATGACAAATTCAGACCATTTTCCTCCAAATGGCCATGGCTTCTTGGCTTTGTCTTCGTCCGTAGCAGCAGCCTCATGTTCGGCGATCTTGTCAAGGTATTGGAGAGCCCATGATCTGGTGTTGCCCTGAAGGTACGAGAGGGCGGACGAGATCCACTTCTTGTCGTTGTCCTTGAGTTCGGAGTTGGACGCAGCCCAGTTGGAGAAGAAGCGAATAAATCGTTGTGCATCGCCTGGTTCACCCTTGAAGGGCTCGGGCTCCTTGACTGGGCTTCGAGTTGAAGCGGACTTGGCGGCAGTAAGCTTGTCCAGGGAAGCTTGGATGAGCTGAGTGGTGCGCTGCTGCTCTTGCAATAACTTGGTTAGCGTGGGATCGGACATGACAGAGGTGGTACGGGGGTTTGTGACAGGGGAGAGGGTGGAAGAGAGTTGAGAAGTAGTCGAAGTAGAAGGTGCGATGTCTGAGCGTTGAGTGTCAGATGAGACCTCCTCCTTCTGGGGGTTAGAGGCAGGGAGAGGGGAACGGATTGGTTGCTTAAGCGACGGACGTGGGGTAGCGGAGCCGGATCCAGAGATGCGGTGATGAGTGGTAACGGGTGTGGAAGCCAGTGAGTTTAGCGAGGGCGGCGTCGAGGGCTAGTGCGGGTGACTGTTCAATGGGGTTGCAGGGCAGAGGGGTTTACTGCGGTTTCCTGGGTGTCGGATTCTTCGGACGAGTCGGTGGGTAAAGTGTAACCCTTGGCGGTCTTGGCGGTAGGCGCAGGGGAGGATTCGGCGGAGTGGAATGCTTGCGGGGATTCCTCAGGTAGAGGTTGATCAGTGGCAGGGGGTGGGGTTGCTGGTGGTGCGGAAGGCGACGGTGACGGGTGTGCGGAGTAGAGGACTGTGCGATAGTTGTTGATTGAAGCCTCAAGAATGAGGGTGTCTGCTGGGAGATTCTTTCGGAGGTAATTCGGGTCTTGTTGTCAGAGTGGGTTATAACGGTGCGGGCAGGGTTGCTGTTCACAGAGTGCGGGCTTCTTGCCTATATACCCGTCGCGGTAGTGGCTAGTGTTGGGTCGATGGATGACAAAGTGCGGCCTAAACTCGCAGGGCGGAATCTTGGCGGTGTGAGAGAACCAGAGTTGCCAGAGTGAGACCTGATCGGCAGGTCAACCAGGGTACCAGGGGAGCCGGAATGCAGGGACAACGATCGGCGTTGCCAGTGCACAGAGGTAGCTTGACCTAATGTCGCGAAGAGCGAACACTAAACCAAACTAGAGACCAGATAAGTTGAGCGATAAGCGAGATGAGAGTGATGAGAGCAAAGAGAGACGTTGAGCGATGAGTGAGAGCAACGGATAGAGTGATGTATTGACAGAGAGGTCAAGCTGAGGAATCTACAAGGCCAACTACACAACTTATATACTGTAACTACAAGCTACATAGCCGCTGTGAGTCAGAATGACAAATAACGATGCAATACATGAAAGACAATAAGGAAAGGTCACAAGGCTGCGCAAGAACAAGGATGAAACAATAAGGAAGCCACAATGAGTCATAACGAGTCGTAAGGCTGTGCGAGAAGAAAGGAACAATAGAAAACAGGGCAAAGGGCAAGACAAGGCAGTGTTCCATGAGGAAAGTGTCCATGATGAGAATAAAGGCAAGGCAGAGGCGAAGATAAGATGAAAGAAACGATAAGATAAGATAAGGAAAAATAGGGGCCATACCGGCAGTTCACGACAGATTCCTTCTCTGGTGTGGCGAAAGTGCTGGGTTCCTCGTCGCTTGGTGATGGTGGTCGTGGTAAAGATGCGAGACTATTAAGTCGAGCAAGACCACCGAAGACATCCAGGTACCGTTCTTCCAGCTATGGAAAGTAAAGTTGTACGGTCGCCATTCTATGATATCACTAGACTGTCCAGGGGTTGGTCCTGGCCCTCGTGGCCCCGGGTCAGCCCTGGCCCGGCCCTCTGGGGCCAGGTCCGAAATGTTGACGGACTGGCCCCGGCCCTCATTTGAGAGGGCCAGGGCGTCACATAACGATTCGATTTGGGCGTGTTAGACATGAGGGATGCAAGTTGTTGCTTAGGATGTGAGGGCAAGGTATAACCTGGGGGACAAGTCCCATGGGAAGTTGTCATCATTGTTTTGGTATATTTACGCCATCCGTGACGTAACGGTTACCCGTTTGAACAACCGAGGAAGTGGCAAGGTGTGATAAGGCAATAATCTTTCCAACCACTCGCTGATTTTATTGTCCAGGATCAGCATGCTAGCTCGATTCAAATCGGCTCTCCCCAAGGGTACCCTTCAACCGTTGGATTCGGATGGGAGTGTCTGTCCTCTCGGAAAACTACTTAATACACTACGTTCAGACGAACTCCCACCTCCTCTCTCCATTGTATTCGCGTACTCGACAAAAGTAGGTCTGGTACTGCTTAGGTGCTCGAAGTGAAAACACCCGAACGTGGCCGCTCCTTGACTCTGACCGTCATGTTGCTGGGTTTTTCCCACGCTTCACTGGGGCATTAGAGGATGAAACCTCACCGCACAGGCCCTCCTGGGCTGCATTTGAGACCATTTCGCCATGGAAGACGGCACGGCCACCCGCCAGCACCCAGTTCTCCCTTGGTAAAGGAGATTAAAGCTGCAATAGCGACGCTGGGGACTGGGTCCTAGCCCAACACGTTCAACATGTTTCACACGCGCCGGGACCCTAAAAACACGATACAGGTGAGTTCTCCCTTGGTAAAGGAGACTAAAGTGTCAATAGACACGCTCCCTGGGTCCGAGAAGACGTAAAACTAGGAGGGAGCCCTCCCTTGGTAAAGGAGGCTCAACGTGGCAATAGCCGCACTCTCTCCAGGGTGTGGCTGTGTCAAGAATTCCGACTCTCAGCATTTTCGGCCCAGCGTCCGCCTGGGGCGTCAGTCCACCTCTTCTCGGTCTGACGCCTTTAGCCCACTAGCATCTTGAGGCCTCGCGCACTCGAGCTCGGGTTGACGGTCGGTGCTCCACCTTAAACTTGCCACGTAGTCCTCCCTTGGTAAAGGAGGTTCGCAGTGGAGATATCCACGCTACCCGGCACGTGAGGGAATGCGCGTCTGTGAGGCTTGTTCCTTAACCAGAATGAGTCTCTTGAAGGCCCTGCACGTTAACCCCTCGCACTTCAAACCTGGAAGACCCCGGGTGCCCGAAAGGGTCTCGATGATGGCAGCAATGGTATGCCTAGAGATAGGAGTCTCATAAGTTGCGGAGTTTGTGGGCAAAAACCAGCCGACGGCATCGCCGACAGCCTACAGGCCACCGCATGCTGTTAGGGCAAGGTTTATCCTCCCCTTATGGTGGTTAGTCTGCTCTGCAGGCGAGATGGAGACCGAAGCAAGTTGCGGATCCCCACCTATGGCATCAGCGAAGCACTTGTCTCGGAATGGGAAAGTGAATGGGAGGGGAAACCCGTTAGGACTCGTCATCCTAGACCATCACTGGGCCGTGGTGAGTGTAGGCAGTACCTATGTTTGGCCGGAGAGGACTAAATCCTCCGTCGGTGCAACTCTGGGTAAATCAGTGTCATGCTTGAGTTGATTCCCGTTCACGTCTGATAGGAACCCAACCCAAGTGCCGTGTAAAGGGTCTAAATAAAAACACGAAGCACCATAACTAAACCGGGTAAACCTACGGACGGTGGGCCTCGCAAGAGAACCCTTTAGGGCGGCGAAAACTTCATAAAAATCATCAAGAACCTATACGAATCAGCACAAACCACAATAATACTGAACGGCCTGAAAGGAATAGCCTACCAAATCATCCGAGGGGTACGGCAAGGCGACCCCTTATCATGCCTCCTCTTCAACCTAGCCATAGAATCCCTAGCTACGTCAATCAGGAAATCAACACTGAAAGGCATAGAATTTGAAGAAGAAACATACGAGTACTGGCGAACCTCTTCGCCGACAACACAACAATCTTCCTATCAGAGGATGACGACATAGACACCTCTTCGATATCTCAAAAAATGTGTATGTCTCGGGTGCAAAATCCACCTCGAAAAGACAGTACTGATCCCACTGGGAGCGAAGGACTTCAGAAGCAGACTAGCCGAGACCAGGAAGATGAAAGAAGCACACACACAAATAAAAACAACAATTAGGATAGCCATCGACAAAGAGCCAGTAAGAATCCTGGGTGCATGGTTCGGGTACGAAATAGACCAAACGAAATATGGAACTCGGTAGTAGAAAAAATAAAAACCACACTTGGACGATGGGATAAAACAAATCCCACCATCACAGGACGATGTAAGGCGGCCAGCGCAGTAATAGGAGGGCATACCCAATACCTCACCAGAGTGCAAGGCATGCCCGAGCAAATCCTGAAGAAATTAGAAAGAGTAATGGACGACTTCGTCCAAATTAAAAAGGGCGATCAGAAAGTAAACGCGATAGGCAAAGAAACACTAAGACTCACAACCGAGAAAGGAGGAAAAAAATTACTCGACATAAAATCGAGAAACGAGGCCATAGAACTAATGAAACTGCATGTCAGGAACCGAATTTCGGAGGCTTCGGTAGGCGACATCCTGGTATAGTCAGCTCTATATATAGTGCCAGCAACCTATCACCTTAACCGGTGATAGCGGCCTTTTTGGCTCAGTTGGTTTATCGCGAGTTGCTGGCGCGGTTTCTAACACTGCAAACCTTCCTGGCCGCCCACACCAAACGGCCAACCTGGGCAAGAATCTCAGACAAACTACTGGAAAACGAAGCAGTCACGAAATTTGGGAACCTAGGTGACGGCTTCCTCCACACCCTATTCATACAATCGTGGCATGTAAACCCGGGAACACAGAACCTACCCAATACACTAAAACGAATGATCAGAGTAGCAACACAGCACAAAGTGAAATTCGCACCAATCATAACAACCAAAAACATAAAAGAAGACATGCCCTTCTGGTACCACCCGGGAACAGAACTGAAAAAGAGACTGGTATACAGAGACAAATGAGGCATATGTCAAAGAGAAAATCACAGAATAAAATCGGTCAAAGAAATGATAGACCACGCACAAAAGAACGGAAGCCCAGAGCGTAGCAACTGAAGGAACTGCAGCTGCATCCAGTGTGAAAATGACCGCAGCAGGAGCTGCGAAAACCCGAACACGTGCAGGAACAACGCGCACCAGAAACTCAGCTACCTGATGCCAAAATGGGACCCTAGAAATGACGAACAGCCCCAGCCAGGTAACAATCCTGCAGAAACAGAAACCAACGAGATCCCAGCAATAACAATTGAAGATCTACAAGACCTCCGGGGAGGAAACCTCACCCAACATGTCTGTGTCTTCACCGAGATAGTGTCAGGGTCGGATACAGAGAGAGGAAGGAGGACGTAGGAGGGCGGAGGGTAGCCTTGGTCTCACGTTATAAGAATGTGTACCCTTCGTCGCGGCTCCAAAGGCTGGCTAGGCCAAAGGACCAGACAGAGACGCCTTCCGGCGGAGAGACGAGAGTGAGAAGCGACTGGAGCTAAGGCTTGACGGTCGAAGACGATGAGAGAGGGTTACTGAGGAACTTAGACTGAGGGATTCGAGGCGTATGAACCTAGTCGAGATTCCGGATGAGGTACCTACTACAAATTGAGATAGTACTTATAGTAAATACCGGCGGGGGAATCTACGGAAGAATCAAGACGAAATGACGAAGTCCAAGAAAGAAAGAATAAGTCGAGAACCAGAACAAGAGAGGCAAAATAATACACAAGAAAATCTAGAGTACTCGAGAACAACTACAACAACCAATCGTAACCCGGCGGATAAAATCCGAGCAAGAACGTTCGTACGAAAAGGCCATCTGAGCAAACTGGAAATCAAGTGTAGAGAAATAGAAGCAAGGAGAATAACGACACGGCGGAATAAGGAATAGAAGAATGACAGAATAAAGACATACTTCGAATACACAATACGAAACCCATTTGACAGCTTGCCAAGCGCGCGTCTAAAGTCCACAGGATTATCCAGCGGATCCAAGGGTTCCGGCACAGCCGTGAGGCCGCGCGCGCGCGCCAAATCACGTGATTACAAAGTCGCGCATCAAAGTCAAGAACTGAACCGGCGGGCTGAAATGAAGTGGGTGTAACGAATAAAATGTATAAGAGAAAATGTGAATAATAATATCGAATGGTGTTGAGGGTATAGGAAAGGTGTGGATGTGCGTATCAAGACCCGGCGGTTGCACGAGCCCTGACAGATAGACCACAAAGACCCAACCCAAGTCATAACACCCAACCATAGGAACGAGACAGACTCGGACAAAGAAACCACCGTCTTCACCGACAGATCGTGCTGGATCGTGCTCGGAAAACGGAACAGCAAACGCGAAAGCAGGAGCCGGCCTCTGGTACAGGGAAAACAACGAGAAGAACAAGGCAATAAGACTCCCAACCCACCTAAGCTCCAACAACGGAGGCGAACTAGTTGCGGCGATGGTAGCCATCCAAGAAAACAAAACTGCGAAAAACATAAAAATAGTCAGCAACTCCCAATACACGATAAACGCCATAACAAAACACCTACCAGACTGGCTCGACAAGGGGTTCACCGGAATAAAAAACACAAACATCCTACGAGCCATAACAGGCGAACTGATCCAAACAGCGCAAAAATAATGCTCCGGAAAGTGAAGGGCCACAGCGGGGACACCGGAAACGATGGAGCCGACGCCAAAGCAGCGGAGGGAGCAAATAAACCAACTCCCGATGGGATAGACCTAAAAGCAGGCCAAAATATACGGAAACTAGGCATCAACATCAACCGGTGTACCCAATCCCTCCTATACAAGGCCATGGCCCATTAGGATGAGAAAAGAATCCCCAAACAGAGTCAGAACCACAAGAATGATCGAAACAATACGACATACCATCGAAGAGATATCAGGAAGCCTACACACGGAAAAGGCAATCTGGAATAGCCTAAAGAAAGGAGACACATTAGGACTAAAAGCATGATCATTCATCTGGAAATCAATACACCAAGGCCACAAGATAGGTGAATTCTGGAAACACATCAACCTAAAAGAAACCCACATGCCCTGCAACATATGCGACGCCGAAACAGAGTCAATGGAACACATCCTAACCGAATGCAAAGCATCAGGACAAGAGACAATCTGGAAAACCGCCGAAGAGACCTGGAGACACACCGAGAAACCATGGCCATTCATCTCAATTGGACTACTGCTAGGCATAAGCCTAGTAGAAATCAAAAACCCAAACGGAAAGACGAACAAGGGACTTACCGGACTGTTCCGAATCATAGTATCCGAATCGACATACCTGATATGGCTAACCAGATGTGAATGGAGAATCGGGAGAGAAGGCGACGCAGCCAAACTCCACCCAAAGAAAGAGATAGAAAACAAATGGAGATACGCCATAAACAACAGGATTAGACAAGACTGGGCCCAGGCGAACAAGTACCTGTTCCACAAAAAGGCGATAAGCCATGACCTGGTAAAACGTACCTGGGAAAAGGTTGCAGAACATCCAGAAAACCCAGAAGATGACAGGGACCCGGCAAAATGGACCAAAAACATGGGCCCTGGGGGTTTTAGTGGGTATCAACAATAGAAGACCACCGGGAAGAAACAGATAATGCCATATGACACAACTATGCACAACGAAACATGGATATGAGAAACATAAACCAACCGGCGGTAACTAACATCGATGAAGCCCCATACTACTCGCGCCACGGCGTGAGTGTGCGGAAGACGCATTTCCTCCAGCGTGGACACCGCGAGAAATCGCACCCTCGGCTGGCGAAGAACGACGGCAGCTCTCGAAGCATAACCAATGTTCCCCGCTATAGCCCCACCAAAAAAAAAAAAAAAAAAAAAACAAAAAAGAAAACGCCCGGACGCTGTTGTGCTAGGGCAAGGCTTTGCATGGCTGTGGGAAGGCTGTGCGAATGCTGTGCAGATTTGCTTCCCACGCGACATACAATCGTCCGTATTTGGAAGGTTACACTTTCCTTATCGGGATTTTTCTGAGGGGGGCTACACTTTTACGAAACCTAGACACTGTGTGTCCAGGTAAACAACATGTGCAGACCCTTCGAGACTTGCAATTGCATGGTTTTTCAATGGGCCTATTTATGCAACGCTATATGCGCCATAATTAGCGATGCCTGCAAATCCAGTATCAGACGACAAAGAAACATGATTACATTCAGGAATCAAACAATATAGTACAGAACAAGAAGAGTAAAAAGAATAGTGGCTATCAGTGCATCTAGCTCCTACCAATTCTTGGTCTCCTCCGATTACGCCCATCTTCGTCATCATCATTCCTCTCGTCCTGGTACAAAGCCGACGTCGACCTTTGCGCAGTGCGCTCAACGATTGATGTCCCGTCACGGAATTTGGCCTTGAACAATACATTCGCGTTTGTAAACAGCCCCTCTTTGAGAGACACGACGATGAACTGAGAGCCCTTGAATCGCGTTCGAAAGAGTTGACCGATGTGTTGGGTATGCGAAAGATCGAGTGCAGCGTCGATCTCATCGAGGATATACATCGGTGCAGGCTTGAATTGAAGGAGAGCCATGATGAGAGATAAGGCAATGAGCGAACGTTGGCCACCACTAAGTTCCGTCAGAGATTGTTTCCAGACAGAGCCTAGCTGGACTTTGACTTCCAGACCGTCCATAAGATCTTGACCTTCCGGTGGTTGGAGTTTTGCAAAGTTGCCTGGCAAAAGTTCGGCGAATATACCTCCGAAATCGCTGCAATGGACGATGAGCGGGGTGCCAGACGTGAAGGAGGAAGATGTCGACATACCCGTTAACTTTATCCCAGGTCTTTTGAAGAGCATCTCGCTTGTAACGGTCAAGTTCTGCGATCGTTTCCTCAATCTTTCCCTTGTCCTTCATGACAGTGTCCAACTTCGCAAGAATGTCTTTCTCGCGACTCTCGACACTATCACACAAAGTCAGCAACCGAACCCCCTTTAAGCACACGGATGCCATCGTACCCAGCCAGAGTGTTTACGACCTTGTGGTTGATCTTCTTCTTCATCCCGTTCTGCTGATCCTGAAGTTCTTTCCTCCGTTGTTGAAGCGTTTCGATATTCTCCTTGTCGAAATCATATCGACTGTCTGGTTTGCCAAACAAGCTAGAACCAATTTACGTCATTCACAGGCTCAAGCCATCCGAACTGAAATAATACCCACTGCTTATCCTCGGCAATCCACTCATTCTGCTTCTCCAAATTCGCAATGTGGTTCTCACTCGTCTGCTTCTCCGCCGCCAGCTTCTCCAACTCGTGCTTCATCTTCGTAAGTTCCAAATCGAGCTGATCAGCCGAAGCTTTCTTGTCTTTAATCGTCGCTTCAAGGGCTTTGATCTCGTTGTTGAACCGGTCGAGGGTCGCCATCTCGTCTTTGAGTTTGGCATCTGCGACTTGATATTCGTCGGTCGTTTCCTTGATCTCAGTCTGAAGTGCAGCAAATTCCTCTTTGATGGCGGTGACACCTTCCTTGGCCTCCTCCAGCTCCTTTTGCTTGGCTTCAAAATCGCTTTCGAGTTGATCTAGGCAGGGTTTAGGTGTGCAATCCATGATATCGACCAAAGCCAGCATACCGAGATCAAGCTTGATAGTAGAATATTCACGCTGCTTAGTACTAACCGTGCTGGCGTACTTTTGCAGTTCAGCCTTCTGCTTCTTGATGCGAGCCTGATAGAATCTCAATGCAACGCTCGCTACGCGCGGACTCGGATGAACTCACCTTCAGTTCATCGATTTTGCCGTCCTTGTTGTTATTAAATTCAGCCATATCCTTCTCAAGCTTCTTGATCTCCTCCTTTGCAGCTTTCTGCTTGTCCTGCGCAGTCTTGACGGCTTCTTCATACTCCTCAATCGACTTCTTCGCATTTTCGACTTGACCAGCGATCTACGAGTGATCGTCAGCGTCAACCAACCGTACACCAGGGACTGAAGGAAACAGTACCATAGAGGCGTTACTGCCCTGAATCTGCTCCTCCAACAACTTGAGTGAATGCTCCTTGAGATCAATATCCCGCTTCAAGTCCTTCCACGCCTGCCTGTACCCCTTGACCCGAATTTCCTCCTGCTCAACAGCCGCCAGCTTGGACCTCGCCTCGTTATACTCTTGCTCGACCTTGATCAACTGCTGGACCTGGATGAGCATGCCATTGCCCTGCGGTGCAGACCCTCCACTCATGGTGCCAGAAGGATCGTAAACATCGCCTTGTAGAGTGACGGACTTGACTTGAATGTCCTTGTGGAAGGTGACCTTGTTGGCAGTGTCCGAGTCGTCGCAAATGAGCGTCTCGCCAAACACGAATTCGATGGCTTTGGCAACCTCGTGCTCGTAAACAACAAGTGAAAGGGCGGTGCGGACCTTTCCTGGGGCTAGCCTCTGAGCGGTTGCAAGTTTCTAGAAAAGAGAGTTAATATCGAGCTCGTAAAGAGCTCTAACACGACTTACCGCTGGGTCAATAGTACGACCCTTGATTTTGTTGAGTGGGAGGAAAGTGACGCGTTTCCGGAGCCTGCCTCTGTCAAGCAAGTCTTTGCCAACCTTCTCGTCCTGGATGACGATGTTGTACAGTCTACCTCCAGCGGTGACTTCAAGTGCTGTCGTCTTGTTGAAGTGTTCTTCCGGGAGTGTCATGAGCTGAGCTGCGAAGCCTTTGACAGCATTGCGGTTGAAACCGGGGTAGGGATCGTTATACTCGAAATTGAGTCGACCCATGCTCTGCTTCTTCCTGTCCCGAGCCTACCAAGAAAAGTGTTAGCGAAAATCAGCGGGAACTGGACATTACACACATCTCCAAGATTCCTAACCAACGAGCGGAGCTCGGACAACTTGTGCTCCAACTGCGCTTCCTTCTCATCGCTCCAGTTAAGCTTCGTCAACCGCGTCTTGAACTCGTCGAGTTCAGCCTTGACCGAGGCGAGCTTGCGTTGGTTGTCCTGGGCCTCCTTCTGGCAAGTCTTCATCTTGGCCTCCAGGTCCTTCAGCTCCTTCCGCGAGAACTCGAGCTTCATCTTGTTCTGGTCTTCTTCCGTCTTGCTTTGAGCCATGCGCGATTTGGCGTCAGCGATCTGACCCATGTAGCCGCCTCCGGAGTTGTTGGCCTTGCCACCACCAGACAGGCCGGTGAGGAGTGTTTGCAGAAGCTCTTCATCGGACTTGCTCTTGGTCTCCATGTCAGTGTTCGTCTGCCGAACCTTTTGGTATTCCTTCTCGACTTTCTCAGCTTTAGCGCGTTTCTCCTTGAGACTCTCTTCGAGCTGGTCACGATATCAGAGACATTCAAACTGGGAAAGTGAGGGTACCAACCTGCTGAATCTCAGCAACCAACTCCGTGGTCTTTTTCTCCTCCTCTTCAATATCCTTCTCCTTGAGTTCCGCCTGCGTCTGCAATTTTGTAATCATCTTCTCCAACTTGTCCGCCGCAGCCTGCAATCCCTTCAGCTTCCCGCCCTTCTGGATCTCGGCGTTCCTCTTCGCCACAAGGTCCGCACACGCCTTCTCCGCAACCCCGGCCTCCTTCTCTGCTGCCTTCTTCTCCCGCTGCGCCTTGGTTATACTCTGCTCTTTCGCCCGAATATCAATCTCCTTCGTCTTCACCCTCTCCTGCAGCTCGACATAATCCCACGCCTTCAACTTCCTCGCAATATGCTCCAACTCGCTCACCGCCTTATTGTACTCCATAAACTTCCTCTTCTCCGCACGCAGCTTCTCCAATTTGGGCAAGATCTCGTTGTCAAGGTCATTCTGCAACTCTTCCACCTTTTTCTCTTTCTTCTTCATCGTCTTGAGCGCTTTCTCTTTGCGCTCCTCGAACATGCGCGTTCCAGCCGCTTCTTCGACCATGCCGAGGATTTCTTGCGGACGCATGTTGAGAACTTTGGTGATTCGACCCTGCATAATGACGAAATTAGGGTTGTTGATGTTGAGTTGGACGGATTGGAAGAGGTTGAGGATTTGCTGCTGCTGGGATTTGTGGCCGTTGAGAAGCCACTTTGTGATATTGGGCATGGCAATCTATTCGTCGGTTAGCAGCTGCGAAATGACAAGGCCATTCGACGCGACGCACCTGTCGGGTAACTGTAATTTGCTTATAAGCCTGGAAGCCATCCGGGCTCTGAGCGGGGTCGGAATTGTCGAATACAATGGTAACGCTGGCTTTTGTAACACCAGCCTGGCCTCGTTTGTAAATCAGGTCTTGTTGGTTCGACGCTCGCATCTAAAACCGTTCTGAGCCCTTTCTCTTGGTTTATATACCGCATTGTACATACCACAGACATGTTTGTGATACCCAACACGAAACAAATCGCGTCCAAAATGTTCGATTTGCCTGAACCATTCAGGCCTGTAATTGCATTGAAAGATGGGTCCCAACCCGAGATTTGGGTCCTAACAGGGTAGGACTTGAAGCCTGTTTTCATTAGTATCGGTCGTGGATGAGATCTAACCGAGACTTACCCTCTATAATGAGCTCCTCTATCCTCATTGTTGGCCGTGGGTTGACCTCGTTGTCGTCGTGGGCGAAAGCGCGTCGTCGCGTTCAACGAATATTGATTGGTCACCTGATCAGCGCCGAGATTGGTTCTTTCCCACGCATCCACGTCCTCCGCCAGCGTGTTCGCAGCGCTCAGCGTCCAGGTTGTCTCCAAGAAACATGGTGCGTCTGAGAGTGCCAAATCTTTGTGTTGATGTGGGCTAATTTATTGTCTCCAGTCCGCGCTATTCAATTTCCAGTCACTTCTGCTTGTCATCCTCTTGTTCATTTGTACATGCACGTATGTGCGGTCGCAAGCACCAAAGTTGGTGGATAACAACCGGGAAGGGTGAGCTTTCGCGTCGAGAGACTGCCTATTACCTGAAAGTCTGACTGTGCCATCAGGTTCACCGGTCTCGTCTTTAAATCTGCAAGGATAGGTATGAATTCCCTGTCTTTGTTCCGCTACAATTGCTGAAATGCTCGCTTCAGGAGAGCGGCTGTCACCCTACGTTGCTTTAGCATGCGTCGCAATGGCTGTCAGGCTACTAGTACAATGAAGAATATGACACCGTCTACGACCTACGACCGTCTCACCGTGTACCGCCTGAAGTCCACCCAACTCTGTTGAATTCAGTGTATCCGGAAACTGCAAGCAAGCTCTTTGAAACAACACACACCCGCGTATCCCTTGCCAAACCAGGTGTTCAACTCGCAACTTGAATGCAGCGACTGCCTCAGAGCACGACCTCAGCTTCCCTCGGTTTGATATACCACATTGGCCTGAAGATCGACCGTTCCGCTCGAGGAACAGAACTTCCACCCTCCAGGGTCACAGATAGTACACGCTATAGGTTATGCTGTTGCACTTGTCTCACCACGTTGAATAGCATTGGCCGGGTATGACCACGCTCCGCGTTCCTGTTCGAATTCAAGTCGGCCCCGATCGTTTGCATGCGCGCTTATCTTCGCAGTGCCATTCGATCAGCAAGCAGGTTCGAGAAATCACTACACTCTGAATTCATCAAGCACTGTACACTTTACATTCAAGGCCAAATCTACCGAACACCGAACACAACCCCAAGAATGACGAAAGTCTGTATGAACTACCGGCTCTGCTGCCTTAAAGCACACCAACAAGACCGCGATGACGCGAAGTCGAGCCCTAAGATGAACAAAACGTCACTTTCAGCACTACTTTGGCACAAACCAATCGTGGGGCAACCCTTGGAATAGGGCTGCAGCGACGGTCTGCAATTTGACTTGAGTGCGATGGAAAAGGGTCAGATTCGCCACGTTTACGGTTCTTATAGCTTGGTCGGTCGTTGCCGTTGCGGAGTTGCCTTCATATTCCCATCTCACACTTTCGTCTTGGACGACCTTGTAAGCGCTCGTCATGCTCGTCTTTCAGAATTCCTGCAAAGCTCTGACTCTAGTAGGTCACCCTATCCGTGACCTCACTCCTGAGACCATTCTGAAGCACTCTTCAGAAATACGGAATTCTTGTCCATTCGGCCGAATTCACAGCACATGTGAAGTCAGAATGGCACAACGAGAAGATCGCATCTCGAATTGAGCCGTATCTGGACGCTCACCGGTGAAATCAACACGCGCTCCGAACCGAACACCCAAAGTCTTCTTCACCTCTTCCATAGCCAGTCGGCTATTAACAGCTGCAGTATTGGTAGCGCTACTCTCCCATTCTCAGCAAACAGATACCGATTGCATTCCCGTGGCTTCACCTCCATCCTTCAATTCTTCCCGTATCCACCTTCCACCTGCAAATCACGCACCTTTTACTGAATTAGCAGTTCCGCGAAGCCTCTGGCGAGGCGATAGATTGGGTTTCCACCGTATTGGGTGGGTACTCACTTCGAAACATCCGACTGACTGACCTTCGAACCAGTGGGCTCCATGTGCTCTAGATACCGAGCATGGTCTTTCCCCGTTATAAAGTCAACAAAACGGTCCTCCGCGTGATGTGGTTCTCGATGACAGGTATACGTCCAATGGGGTCATTTATCCTCTTGGAGTCTCTTGCATGTGGAAGAAAGCTAATAATAGGGCTTGTGTACTGTCCTCGCACAAGACACCAAGGGACTCCATCCACCACGCTTTGGTTGAAATAGTAGGTTGAACAACTCTAGCTTCTATCCAACTTCTATCCATACTTGGCAAAACCTTGGGAATATCAACTCAACATCTCGACGACAGGATCGACCGAACGGAATGGGCGGAGCAGCTCAAATCATGAAGCTCGTCCTTTACACTTTCCCGGTCGCAGTGGGGCCATGACAGTCGGACAGCAAACAGGCATCATCAATCCCAGCTCTCCAAAACCATACCTACGAACTACAGCCTTCCAACGGAGCTCTCGGAGTAATTCCAAATAGGAAGAACCTCGTGCAAAAGGCTTCTCGACACTACCATTATCGGTTCAAGATTTGGCGCCGCGTTGCGATTCGAAGTATCAACCCTTCTCGCAAATTTGTTGCTTCTCCAATAAGTGACATGGTTCTTATCTCTCCATGGACCACATGTCGTGCTCTGTCCGCTATACAAAAAGCCCACTCAACCCGTGGGGACGTTAGGCTTCCTGCCCCCCTTCCCGCTGGTCACCCCCCACCAGAATGGCTTCCAAGGATGACAAAGACAGCTCCAGCATCGAGAAAGTCGAGGTTATCGACAAGGAGAGGAACCAGCCAGACATTGGTACGTACACGTATTCACCTCTTTCAACCTCAGCTCGTCTGACTTCAACAAACCCAGCCGAGCTGGAGGCCCTCGCCCTTCCCGACTTCGACGACCCCAACATCGACCGAGATGCTGCCATTCAAGGTGTTCTAGGTGGGTCACGATGAAACTCTTAAACAGTTCTTCCTATCTAACACCCTTCTTCCAGAGGACGATTCGCCCTACCCCGAAGTGCGTTCCGCCGTCGCCAATACCGACGACCCCGACATCCCAGTGTCCACAATCAGGTCATGGACGCTCGGTCTCATCTGGGCCATTCTAATCTCAGTCCGTGGATTGTTCGCCTCCCCCGCGGTCCCCGCAGCTAACGTAGATCCCCCATAGGGCCTCAATCAATTCTTCTTCTTCCGTTACCCCTCCGTTACCATCACCGGTGTACGTTCTTTAAACGATTACCCACACCCAAAGCCTCTTACTGACCAGCATTTTATTAGATTGTCGCACAGCTCCTTATCTTCCCTATGGGCAGGCTCTGGTACAAGGTCGTCCCTAACGTGAAGATCTTTGGGAAAGAGCTGAACCCCGGTCCGTTTTCGATTAAAGAGCATGTGAGCAGCCCAGGTGTCGTGATCCCCCGACTTCCGAAGCTAATGCTTCGGGATTAAAACAGGTGCTCTCGACTATTATGGCTATCGTGGGGGCTTACAGCGCCTATGCAACCGATATCATTGCGGTCCAGCGAGTTCTCTACAATCAGAACTACAACTTCTCGTGTAAGAAATTAGCCCCATCTCATTCATCTCCCGAGGACGTCGAAACTCATTAATCTCGTCAACTAACCCTTCATCCCACGTCTTCCACAGATCAATGGATGCTGGTCATGTCTACCCAGCTTATCGGTTTTTCCATTGGTGGAGTCGCTCGGCGTTTCCTCGTACAGCCGCCCTCTATGAGTAAGCTCCTTCTGGCCATGATATTTCCTTTTTCTGGATCTAACTCCGTGGTCGGCTTTCCTAGTTTGGCCAGCCAATCTGGTAACATGTGCACTCTTCAACACCTTGCACGCACAGACCTACGCGGGCATGGGTAACCGTGGAGGTTTGAGTCGAGAACGATTCTTCCTCTACGCTTTGATCGGCGCTACCTGCTGGTACTTCATGCCCGGCTACTTATTCGGTGCACTCAGCTACTTCAACTGGGTGTGCTGGATTGCTCCAGACAACATCAAGGTCAACACTATGTTTGGATACTTCCATGGCCTGGGTATGAGTCTGGTCACTTTCGATTGGGCACAGGTATGCATGCGAACACAATTCGACATTCTCCGTTGTGTGGCCATTGTGGGCTGACGGCTTTGGGTAGATTGCCTACATCGGTTCCCCACTAGCCACACCCTGGTGGGCTGAAGCTAATATTGCTGTTGGCTTCGTCTTCTTCTTCTGTAAGTAGCACAATTACACCAGTCCTCCACACGTCCAAACTCAACGAACTCCATAGGGATTCTCGCTCCTATCCTCTACGTACGGTCTTTACGTCACACTATAGCCCACTCTATCCTCACTACATTGCCTCCCAGTTCACGAACGCATGGGACAGTCAATACATGCCGTATGTCCCTCAAACATTCAAAGATTCATTGACCACTGACAGTTCTATCTTAAGAATATCTGGACGTGGCTCCTACGATAACATGCAGAAGCCATACAATGTCACCCTCATCCTTAACCCAGACGCTACATTCAACCAAGAAGCCTACGAAGCTTACAGTCCCCTCTTTATCCCGACCACATTCGCCATTTCCTATGGTCTCTCATTCGCCTCCATCACTGCCACCCTCACCCATGCTTTCCTCTACTTCCGAAAACAAATTTGGACCCAGGCCCGTCGTGCCATCCACGAACAGCCAGACGTGCACGCCCGCCTTATGGCCCGCTACCCCCAGGTCCCTCAATGGTGGTACCTCATCATCTTCTGTAGGATCATTTCATACCTCCCCGAACTCTACAGCTCACATTTTGTCAAGTGACCATGTTCGCCTTCGGTATCATCTCGATCGAAGTCTGGGAAACCAAATTCCCGGTCCAGTGGTTCATTCTCGCCCTCGTCATCGGTAAGGCCCTTCCTGTCTTGATATTGAATATCTCCCTAATCGTCTTGCTTTTAGCCTTCTTTTATGTCATTCCCATCGGAATGATTCAGGCCATCACCAACCAACAAGTTGGTTTGAACGTCATCACCGAACTCATTATTGGCTATGGTCTTCCCGGGCGACCAGTCGCAATGATGATGTTCAAGACATGGGGTTATATCACCATGGCTCAAGGTAAGCACCTATTGTTGGTCCTCTTCAAAGGAGTCTAACACCGGCCACCCGCAGCCCTTACCTTCACGTCTGACTTTAAACTCGGTCACTACATGAAGGTTCCTCCTCGGTAAGTCGTATCCCCTTCATCAATGCACCGCTACTTACGCCTACTAATGTACATCTACCAGTGCAATGTTTTTCGCACAAGTCATCGCGACCATGATCGCAGGTACCACCCAACTCGGCGTCCAAGCCTGGATGTTCAGCAACATCCCCAACATGTGTACACCCGACCAGCGAGATGGCTTTATCTGTCCCGCAACAGAAGTCTTTGGTACCGCTAGTGTCATCTGGGGAGTCATTGGACCTGCTCGTCAGTTCTCAAAGGGAGAAGTCTACTATGGTAAAGTTACATAAATATCCTCTGAATTCCAAGTTTTGTTAATCGCTTTTCAGCCCTGGTATTCTTCTTCCTCGCTGGTTTCGTCACACCCATCATCGGGTACTTCTTGACCAGGAGGTTCCCCAACAGCTGGCTACGATACGTCAAGTGAGTAACCTCATTTCTTTCCGCCCCAATCCTGAAACCCACATCTCGCCGCCTTTGCAGCTTCCCGGTCATCTATTCCGGGACAGGCTACATGCCACCCGCCACCGCATCCAACTACGTCCCCTGGGCCATCGTCGGGTTCATCTTCCAATACGTCATCCGGCGCCGCCACTTCTCCTGGTGGACAAAGTACAACTACGTACTCTCCGCTGCACTCGATGCTGGCGTTGCACTGGCGGCTGTTATCATCTTCTTCACTCTCCAATACCCGAAGAACGGCGATATTGGGGTGAACACTATCCAAGCATGGTGGGGCAATACGTGAGTACACTAGCGTTTCGATGAAAATTTTATTCTGAATGATATCAGGGTCCCATTCAACACCGCCGATGGCCGTGGCCTGTCATTGAGGAACGTCGCGCCAGGGGAAACATTCGGGTATGCCATCTCACAACTGTTCATCAAGAATTTATTCTCAATGCTGTTTCTCTAGCCCACGTACATGGAAGTAATTCCAACGTTATTCACGACCTCCATCCACGACCCTCGCTTCTCTGCCCGCTTTCGATGTATCGTATATCTAACCGTGTATCATAGCTCTTGATTATGAATGCCCACTTTGCGCTGTTTAGAATATCTAACGCGCCCCCGTCTCCATGACCTGCGCCACTGCATTGCTCTCGATGTATAGCCCCTCGGCATACTCACTTAGGAAGCATCTAGGGCGCGATTCAAGACGATCTATTCCGTTGGAAATCACTCTGCTTTCTGGAATTCCGAATCCATTTCCTGTTCGCCCACGGCCACACAACGCGAACGCCGTGACTGGGACCCACAGAACGCCGATACCGCTGACGCAGATGGCGTCAAAACAGATGTGCCAGGCTCAATTCAGGAAACGAAGCTTCTAACGTGATAAGTTCTTGGCGTATAACCGGTAAGCTTGGGAGCTATTTTCACCGCTGACCTGATGGGATCAAATCTTTAGCGCTCCAGAAATTAGCGCCCAGGAAATCATAGGCCTGGCAGTTCGAACATGCCACAGATGGATGGGTATACTTAGTGCTTCCTGTATCACCTTCGAAGAGATATCACGGTAGAGCAGGTCTGGAAGGTGTCGTCCTCCATTTCAGCACACCGTTTTCCCTTGTTCGCCTTTGCAGGGGTTCTCCACCGTTCGCGCACATCGATCTCCTATAAGAGTGGCAAGCATCTCGAGCGTCTGACTCTAAGGTCCTTCAGCCAAAAGTGGGCTGACAGCAATACAGACAGTACCCATCGCTCGCTGAAAGCTCCATCTTGTTCGTGAAGGTCATATTTAACCACGGTTCTTTATATGAGTTTTAGCGCCCGTTGTTTCGAGTCACTCTAGCCCGGGCACCTTATCAGATACTGTTCCCCACTCCCTCACGCTTGACACCGCTGGGCTCTCAGGAGCTTATGGATCCCTGCGTCATCTGATAAGAATCCAATACCCAAACGCATACCGTTGCCATATCCATTGACATGCGTCCGGTTCCGCTGCCTTCCATCTCGTTCTTTGACGATCACTATCAGCCAGCCGCCACGGCCTAGAGAGGACTATTAAAGGCCTGATGTCTATCCTGGGGTATCAAAGAGCTCTATCACCATCTATTATCAGCTTGGGAGAAAGGGCTATTCAGCTCGCTAACTCATCATCCCTTTTTAAGGCGCCACACCCTTTGTATTCGTACTCGCGCAGACTTCGGGACATTCGGAAGCCGCTGGAGATGGGTGGATGGGAGACAGGGAGACGAGGAGCAACTAGTGGTGATTGTTATCTCTGGAACGAATGATTGATTGGGAATGGTGCAATCGATGAAACTGAAGTCCTGGCTCCGACGAACCGCACCAAGTGGAATTAATAGTACATACTGACAATGGAGAAACTTGTGTATTGTAATGCATGCATATTAGGCATTCAATTGAGTTTGCATAGTCAGTCGTGGATACGAACACCCGAAGGCGCTGTACAGTCACGGTGCGCCCTCAGTTCCATATACGTTATCCCAGGTAGGCGGACGAGCCTTCGGCAGTGTTTGTGAGCCTACATTTTGTTGGGAACATTCCAGGGCCCCGAGGTAAGACTTCATTTCGCCAAGGACCACTGCAGGCCTTTCATGACGGGGTTTTACACGAAATACTCCCCTTTTGACGGAGCATTAACGAGACTTTTGACGGTGGCTGTGTGGTCTCTAGGGTGCTATCAATAGGCGATCAATTGCCCATGTCGGTATTCCATCCAGAAATGATTGACTGACGACCAGATTCTGACTTGAGTCTACTCTTGCTTCTTGTCTTCTTCCTGCTCTTCCCATTATTTTCCCAACAGATACGGTAACAGTTACTGGGAAATAGGTGGCCATGGCGGCTGTAACCTGTTTCCCTCTCAAACATGGATATCTCTCTGGACCCTGGCCCGAAAACATCGTATTGATGGACATGAAACGACTTGAGGCGTCGCCTCACATCATCCCACAACTCGAGTCTGCCCATAAGTACATGAGATCACATGGAAACCGCCGCCCACTTTTTAAAGGCTTACACCAACACCCACCCACCTTTGTTGACCAAAGGATCTCCGTCGCCGACCCTAAGCGCACGGTTTACTCTTTTTCGCTGGGGTGTCTTCTTCTACAGGCTGGCTCTGTGTCTATCGATCTCCGTCTCTCGTTTCGAACGCGCTCTCTCGAGTTCAAAGCTTTCGTATTCAAGACTTTACGACGACATAAACAATGATTTACAGACCAAAGAACGTACCTGCCGAACTCGACGTCCTCGACTCGCCACTTCTCTCCCCGACACCGATTGGTTCTGCGCTGTTGGGGAACGTGCCTGGAAGTGCGCTAGCGGAAAGAATATTTAACGATCCTACAGCTTGGAAGACGGATGATATCATCCAAGGAGGTGGGATTGGTGGAAGGGGAGCTCCGGGGGAGCTCATCCTAGATCCGATGTCGTGGTTCGTGGACGAGGTCGAGAGGTTCAGGCTCAACAGCGCAGCGAGCTCATCGTCGTCGTTGAATTCGGCTTCGACGGATGATGGCGGCCTTCTTACGCCCCCGGAGAAATCAAGATTGGGCGTTATCCCAGGGATGATGAAGAGGGACTCCCAGCAGAGCTTGATGGGCCTTACTGCGCGCCATAACGTGCGCCCCATCTCCCTCGCATCTTTATTTGATGCGCGCTCGGAGGAAGACTTCGTCAAGGATATCCAAGCACAGATGCAGATGAAGACCAGTGGCGAGCAAGCAGGATTTGGAACAGGAAAAACACCGCACACGGCAGATGTGTTTTCGCCGATGAGTGACGCGACTAACAGCACGGTTGTTTCGCCCGCCCCGATATACTCGGCCTCAACAACGCTCAGCTTCCTGGATCTTTATCTCGAATCGCCAGGTTCGAAGAGTGGTGCGCTGAGGAAGTCACTGTACGCCAAGTCGCAGCCTAGGCAGGGACTGGGATTGAAGGTGACCGGAGAAGGAATGGAGAAGCCTCGTCCAGTTTCGCTTCTCAGCCCACTGGTGCATCCAGACATGAGCGTCGAACCAGTCAAGAGAGGCTCATCAGTTCCTCCATTGGACCAGCTACCCGTTCCATCCCCGCAACCCAACGTTTCTGCCTCAGTGCTTTCACCGGAACCGAAACCCATTCTTCCGCCGGGGCTGCACCAGAACCTGGAGGTGGGAGAGACGAAACCTGAGGAGCAGGAAGGAGAGGCCAGCAAGAAGGACAGGGCCCAGGAAAAGGTTGAGGCGATTCCCCAGAAGACTCAACGTCCGCGAACGATGACTCCTCCGGGCACTAGATCCTTGCCTCAACCCATGACGCAGCCTCCTCCTTATACCAGAACAGCAACACCCCCTCGACCCTTGCCCTCAAGTTCGTCCACCCCGGCGACATCTGCCTCTTCCTCGTCCAATCACTCGACCCCCACGAAAGTGACCCCCTCCAAAGCCGCAACCGCCGCACCTCCCAAATCAACTGCTACGCCCCCTCGATCCACGTCGGTAACCCCATCTGGAACGCCCGTTCGCCGTCTACCCACAATCCCTCTAAAATCCGCCGCCGTCAATTCGTCTACACCATTAAGCAGTGCCCTACCATCCTCCCTTCCCACGGCCGCCGCTTCCTGCTCAACTTCGAACCACGCCCTTCCATCATCACTCCCCACTGGCGTAGCTCCTACACCCTCAACGAGCACCTCCTTAGCGAACAGCCTACTTTCCCCCGAACCCACACCCGCCACCTCGCTATTCCAACAGCACCACAGGCCAATGTCGGCTATGCGGTCACCTCTCGGTGGTCCAATAGGACCACGATCGCGAGTTAGCGCCTCAGGCGCTAGGCAGGAAGTGCGGAAGGTTAGTCCCGCGGGAGGAAGGCTGAACGGGAGTCCAGGCAGGACTGTGGGGAGTGGGCTTAGAAGGCCACCTGTGCTCCAATTATAAACCGTAGATTCCCTCCCGTTCTCAATGACATGGTCTTGCTACGTTTTTATCGTCTCTGAATACGGACAGCTTTCTTGTGACTTTTGGCTACTTTTGACACTTTCGGCATTCGCATTTTCGATATTCGTATCCTCGTATTATTAAACTGGGCCATTGTTTTGATTTTACTATCTTACCACTTACTATCCTTGCAACGCTCATTATACTGTGATCACTTAGTCTTTTCGTGTCTGCATTGTGTTATCTAGCTCTGTCATATATCATGTGTGTTCGCCTTGAAAGCCTCCTAACTTGAGCGCTTGAGCTCCTCCGTCGGGAGCCCCTCGTTTGATAGCCGCCCGCGGCCACGCCACTCGCGATAACGCGCTTCGGATTCCGATGATGGTATGCTGACTATTCATTGACTTCTTGACCAACACTGGTCTCTGTTCTGCTGCGATAATTCTGGGTTTAATCACTATCTAGCCACCATCTACTCACCATCCATCGATGCCACACGTTCTTACTGGCACCCCCCACACATCTTGGTCTCTACCAACACCCATCACCCTCCTCTCCCTGATCCTCCTGTTACAAATGATTCAACCAACAATTTCTGTTCCCTTGCTCCAATTCGACGCTTCTCAGGCAGTCTTGGAGGCCTACATTGACGCCCATACCCTTGATGGTACCAGCACCGTCTCCCAGAGTGTCAAATCAAACCAGAAACCCAATACGGTAGATCCAACCTCCCACAGACCCCTTCCACACCCCAAACCAGTAGGCCTACCCGTCTCCAACCCCACCAAATCCTTCTGGACACACGGAAGTCCCGACGCGAACCCTCTTGCCCGTGAAGGTAGCCAAGGCGAACTCACACCAGAAGCAGACGTGTGTATCATAGGCAGCGGTATCACTGGCGTCTCCGCTCTATGGCATCTCGTCGATGGCTTAGGAGCAAACTCCTCTGGGAGGGCAGTTGATATCGATACTGCCGGGAATAGGAATCAGAAGAAAGTGGTCGTACTTGAAGCTAGAGATTTCTGTGCGTTACTCAACTGCCGTCTCCATGATTCTGTGGATTCTGAGTTTTTCTGATTTTTCTTAGGTTCTGGTGCAACTGGTACGTCGCATACCGACCACTCAAGGTCAACTACTATCCCACTGACAACTACACACAACACCCATCCACACAGGTCGCAACGGAGGTCACCTCACACCCTTCATCTTCTTCGACTTCAGCAGGCGAGAACAGCTCTACGGTACATCCGAAGCCCTAAAGTCATACGAATTGGAGAACTACACCTCCAAGAAACTAGTAGGCCTCCTCAACAACACCGGCGATCATGACGATGCCGACCTGGTCAACGGCGGCCATATCACCCTCTTCCTCACAGACCAAGAAGAAAGAATCGCGAGGAAGGACTTCGAAGCAGCAAAAGCTGCAGGACTGAGTGGACTAGACAAAGTCGTCTGGATTGATAAAGATGAGATGAATCAGGTAAGCTCATTTCTCTATCCGCTAGAGATCAAGTCAGGAATCCGATGGGTGCCTGCTCTTTCAGACGAAAGGAACACCCTTCCCTGGTGTCCAGATACCAGGACACAATCTCTGGCCCTTGAAACTCGTTACAAAGATGTTCAAACTGGCAGAGAAGAAGGCAAAAGATGCAGGAGTGGACATAAAGCTACACACGCACACACCAGTCACAGGCATCACCCCTACAGGTTCCCAGCCAGAATCAAGTTCCAGTCGAAGATTCGAACTCTCCACACCCAGAGGACCCATCAAATGTTCATACATCATCCACGCTACCAATGGGTACGCCAACCACCTCCTCTCACCCGGCAAAACAGGCATAGTAGTCGTCCCAACCCGAGGACAAATCATCGGGACGCGCGCCGCAGCTGGAGAGAAGGCAGTAGGAAAGACATCCTGGGACGCGAACGAAGGGTTTGAATATTGGTTCCCCAGGCCCGTCAAAGAAGAAGATGAGAAGAAGCCGCTGATCATTCTGGGAGGTGGACGCGAAGTCTCCGCTCCCAACTACGAGCTATACGAAACGAACGACGCAGAGGTTAACCACACCGTTGGATCGAGATTGAAGAAATTCTTACCTGGGTTGTTCCCTGGTATGTTCCCGGAGGAGAGTGAACCCGAATGGGAATGGACGGGGATCACGGGTTTCACGAAGACGGGAGACCCATTCGTGAGTGGCTTAACATCACTGAATGACGCGAACTGACAAAACGCGCGCCGTAGGTGGGGCCTGTATACGAGAACGGCGTCAAGCTAGAAGGGCAGTATGTGTCTGCTGGGTACACAGGACACGGTATGCCTCGTGGTTACGCCTGGTGAGTGCACAAAAGGGCCATCTTCATTGGCTCAACCGTTGATAGAATGACATACTCACTGGTTATCTCAATTCAGCGCCGAGGCCGTCGCAGGCATGATCATTGCCGATCTAAAGGGAGAACAGTGGGTACAACCCGAATGGTTGCCTGATCGCTATTTGACTAAACCGAGAAATTCATAATTTCGAATGTCGGTTGAACGCTGAGTGGTGTGCGGTTTATGATGTTTATTGCGGCGGATTACCCTCTATACGAGTAGGCTATCTTGTGGGGGTAGACGGGACCAGTGCGTGAACGTGAACAATAGTACCTGCTATCGAAAGCGAAAACAGAGCTGTGTTGTGTTACATGAACGAAGAGATGAAGCAAGAAGATGGGATACAAGTACGCAGCGCGGAAGAGTCCATAAGACGATCAAGATCCATCCCATCCCAGTAGCCCCAGCCCAAGAAAGACGAAAATAAAGCTCTAGGACGGGTTTGGCGCCGTCGATTCTCTTCGCGGGACTCCTAGATGATAACGCATCGTTTCTGATTGACAATCTTCCCCCAGCGACCCTTCATGCTCTCCCTCAACGCGAGTTCAAAGACTTCATGTACGCCGGTACCAGCCTTTGCTGAGCATTCGATGTATTTAGCTCCGATCTCCTTTGCAACGGCGGCGCCTTGCTCGGGGGTGATAGGGGCTTGTCCCTGTGCGCTCAGCATACGCCTGGTTTGCTCGTCACGTCGCAAATCGGTCTTTGTGCCCACGAGGATTAGCGGGGTATTTTCGCAAAAGTGGGCTACCTCGGGATACCACTAAAGGGATTAGGGGAGTCTGTAAGCGTGCGGAATGAGGCAAACTAGAGAAGACGAACCTTGTCCTGGACATTGGCAAGTGATGTTGGAAAGTCGATGGAGAAGACGATGAGGATAACGTTGCTTTCAGGGTACGATAACGGTCGTAGTCGGTCGTATTCCTCTTGTCCCGCGGTATCCCATAGCGCCAACTCAACCAATTTGCCTTCAAACTGCACCTGGGTCACGTAGTTCTCAAACACTGTTGGTATATAGGCCTGGAAGTCTCAATTATTTACAGTTGGTATTCAAGAGGAACGACCAATGCGCGAGGAATGACCGGGACTCACCTCTGGAAATCGGTTCTCGGCGTAGACGATTAACAGACACGTCTTTCCACAGCCTCCGTCCCCAACAACGACGAGCTTCCGTTTCAAATCTGGTCGTCGCGAGTCCATAGTGTCGGTGGGCGCTGCAGACTGGCTATTGATCGTGGGTTGGCCGTCGACGGCGGTGGTGGTGGTTGCGGAAAGAAGGGCGGCGTCACGTGTCCGCTCGATGACTCTCGCCGACACCACCACCACCGTCTTCTGGCCTCTTGACGAACGACGACAAGGAATTCCATATGGTTGGGCAACTCCTGCCAGAATCTGTGTAGCTGGCGTCTTGGATGACAATGTTAGCCTTGAAGACGCTCAAGAACGGTTGAACCGCGTCTGCGGGGCACCAGACGGATGCAAACCGACACTCCTGCCCGACTTGGATGTCTCCGCGACACACCGCATTTTCTACCACCGTTATCCTTGCCAAACCTTGCGTTACTATGAGCTCGCAAACGCAGTTCACAAACCAACAGCAGGATTCGACTATTCTCTCGTCGAACAGTTTAACCAAGCGCACCAAGTGCAGTCCATTGTCAATGGCAAATCCGTCAGATTAAACAAACCCACCGCGGCTTTCCTATTAAACTTTGCAGCTACTGTGATACGACCAGTGGTTGGCCTATCGCGTTATGCAAGGCTACCCCTTCCACTCCACCTACTCCCGCACTCTGCAATCGCCCAGCAGGTCAAAGTAAGGGGCAAACAAGCAGAAGTGTTCCTCGAGAACATCGACGCCCTCTCAGTCGTCCATCAAGACGCGAGGATCTCGAAATACGCAAAGCGATACACGAGGTACGTGTTATCACCCTACCTCCAACTCAATCTTACCCTCCCTAGTTTCTTTAATGATATCTGGCTGCTATTGAATGACTACACGATCGGCTTCGCATTCGGAGCTCTTCTCTGCGACAATCACCAGAAACTGGCAGCTTCTTTGGCATCCTACATCCAGGTGTGCACCTCGCTAGCGCATCTAAGGAACCGTCTAACCAAGCACTCAGCTACTATGCCTATCCTGCGTGGAAGAAAGCCTCATATGGCTCGACTCCTGGCCCGGAGGTCTAAAGCTCAACACCGACCTCAGCAAATTCTACTCCAAAATGTTCATTTCCATCGTGCAACTATGGGGAGGTGCGTCACTTCTCTACCTGCTATTCCTGGATCCTAACAATCACCAGACCTGCTCGTGCACCACATCCTCCCACACACATCCTCTCTCGTCCTCCTCTGCGGCTACGCCAGCATCTTCGGCGGCTTTACATTCTCCCTCGCACTCATCATCGACGCCTTGGGATTCTTTATCACACCACACCTCACAGTCTGCTACATCCTCTCAAGACTCGTATATTCCATCGTCAAAGACGCGCTCGGTGGTTTATGGGCTGTCTTCCGGGGTGCGTCCTACTCCTCTTCGCCTACCTGAGCCGTTACTCAGCTCTGTCCATAGGAAAACGATACAACGTCCTCCGAAACCGGATGGACACCTGGGACTTTGACATCGACCAACTCGTATTCGGAACGATGCTATTCACACTTCTCGTATTCCTCTTCCCAACAATACTAGCCTACTACTCCCTATTCGCCGTCGTAAGCACCAAAGCACCATCCAGGGCCACAACCCACTGATCATCTCCTCCAGATCCAACTCGCACTACTCATGCTTCAAGCAGTAGTCGAAACACTGCTAGCATTCATGAACCACTTTCCTCTATTCAAACTGATGCTAAAAGTGAAAGATCCAGCTCGGCTACCTGGTGAGTCCCTCTTCCATGGAGTCGCTCTCTCAAGCTCACTAAAGTGGGCTTACAGCAAGCGTATACTTCCTGATAACAAAAGATTCCATCATCGTCCAGGTGCGTAGTCCTTCACCTTCCTCATCTCCGATTCTAAGACGAGGTGATATCTACCAGAACCAACCACGGGGGTTCGGAAGCCTATTTGACCAATACAGTGAGTCGCCAACTTCGAGATCGAAGGAACGCCACCGACCGACTTCAACAGGGAACCTGTGGAACAGACTAGCACGGCACTACAACCCGCTGAATCTAGTCTACTGGATTGTCACTGGGAGATACTTACGTTCCATCATGCATCTTATGTAGTTAGGGAATGGATGTTTCAGGCAACGTTTGAACAGCGGGAAGTGGTCAGCCCACGTATTCCAGAGCATACGAACGTGCCGGAATCAAAAGTCCAAGAAACTAAACAAGCAACCAGTGCAAAAGCGGCCCAGTTGCGATCAGATTCCGAAATCCAGCAGCTCAGAGAAAACCACTCCCGACGACGAATTTTGGATTGCAACATCTACATCCAAACCTATGTACAACTCCTCTACCAAGTCCTTCCCACTTCCACCCCGCCTCTAAATATCATCCTCCGGCCCCTCCTCAATCAACTTGGCATAATCCTCATAGCTCGCAAACGTAGGCAACGACCTCAACTTCTTCCTCTTATCCTTCCTCTCCTCTTTACCACCCCTCTTCCGCTTATTCTTCCCGCCATCTTCAATGCCGCCCCACTCCTCCTCTTCCTCCTCCTCCTCCCCTTCCGCGTCTGAACCAGGATGAGCAATGAGCATACCAGGAGGGAACTTGACGTCGTCGAGAGAAACGAGGTCCTCGTTATCAGAGGCTTCGGCTAGGGAGAGGACGTCATCCCCGTCTTCGTCATTTTCGTCTTCGTCTTCATCCTCGGCTTCACTGCCCTTCTCCACCTCGCTACCCTCCTCCTCATCGCCACTCTCACCCGACTCCATGTCGACATCATCCGAGTCCATATCCGACATCCCCTCCAGATCCAACTCGCTATCCTCGTCAATATCACTATCCAAAGGCAGATCATCATCCTCGCCTGCTTTAGGCATCGTCGCTTGCATCGCCTAGTTCGCGGGGGTTGTGTCAGACACTCGTCGGACGAAGAAAGTGAGCAAAAAAACGTACCTTCCAAACTTCATCTTCATCCAACTCGGCGTCACTCGCTTCCTCATCTTCATCCTCCTCCACATCCTTCTCCTCCTCATCCTCACTTTCATCCTGCTTCTTCCCCTCAGTCTTCTCGTTCTTCTTGCCAGCTTCCGTCTCCTCCCCGTCAGACCCCTCCTCATCCTCCTCACTCTCCTCTCCAGCCTTCCTCTTCGCAACCTTCGCACTCTTCGCTTTATCCCTCGCCTGCTTATTCGAGAAATACTCATAGAAAAAGCGCTACAATAACAATAACCGCCATTAGCTTTCCTCACCATAGCCAAAACCAAAGATGTAGTAACAGACACCCACCTGGTCAACAGGAACATCCTCCACCCTCCTCTCCAAAAACTTGGGGTCGTTGGGGTTAACCACATCACCCCGTTCACCCTTTACAAGTTTAACACCCTCAAGCGCACTAGCAGCAGGCTGCATCGCACTCGTTCCGCGTCCCTTGACATCCGCCTCGCCATCCTCCCCTGTAAACGAAGAAAGGCGTCAGTAAAATTTCCTTCCTCCATAAACCACACCACACAGAACTAAATCCCCACAAAAAAAAAAACGAAATCCCGACACCCACCTTTCTTCCCCTTCTTCGCATTCCGATAAACAAACCGATCCAAAAAATGGCTCAACGTATTCAAACTCAAATCCGCACTCCCACCACTGAGCGGTTGGCACATCAACAGCTGCCTCGCATGTAACGACACTGTCGGGTGGTAATGCGTCAAGAGCGGGGTGAGTTCCCAAAGCGGCAAGGACGACGCATTGGCGTGTTGCGGCGTGCGTTTATGCGGGTCGTACGAAGCCGTCGGGTCTTGCGATGATGACGAGGGCGGTTTGGTGAGTATAGAGCGCAGACCGGGTATCGTGCTGAAGAGCTATAAATGACGGGAGGCATAAGACATGGCCCAAGGAAGAAAGCGTCAACCCCAAAAACTCACCTCTCCCAACAAATACAACCCCCCAGCCACAAACTCCACGCTCCCACTCCCCCCACTAACAAGAACCTGCACAAACCGCCTCACAAGCGCCACAATCCTCTCATGACCAACCACATTCCCATCCTTATCCCTCCTCCCCACATCCTGCTTCAAAGACTTAAAGAACAAGTTGAGGTACATCGCCTGTTTCGACGAACTCGCAAGCCTGGGATCATGCAGCGAAGCATATAAAGCGCGGTAGTACCGGTCTTGGATCTGTTTCGCTGTTAATGCTAGACCGGGGTTGGCTTTTCCTTCCGAGTCTTTTGACTCTTTTGATGTGGATTTTGAGTCTTTTGATGATTTTGAGTCTTTTGAAGGCTTTGAGGATTTTAAGGATGTCGTAGAAGAGGAAGAGGAGCCCGAAGCGTCGTCGAGCATGACGGAAATTTGCTGGATCAAGACGAGCGCCTGGAGGGAGGTATTGAACGTCGAAGTATGCGTGATCAAGAATAGCGTATCGATATGTTTCTCGATCCTGTCCATGTGCATTAGCATTAGCACGAATTACCAAACGAAAAAAGAATGAAAAAACTCACCTCTCCTCGCCAACCTTGACAAACGGCAACGCACGATTAACACCCGTAAGCACAGCCGAAACAAGCCTCGAATTCGAATCCTCCAGCTCCGCAAACCCAGCAGCCCCAACAACTTCCTTCGGCCCTCCCTTCTTCCCCTTCTTCGATTTCCGGTCAAGAACTCTCCCTTTTTTATCAATCTTCACTTCCTCCTCCTCCCCATCCCCGCCCTTCTTTCCTTTCTTCTTCTTCCCCTTCCCAGCATCATCTTTAGAAGAGTCCTCTTCTGAGGGCTCCCGGTCCTCGCCTAGGACATCCCTGAAGATATCGAAATACAGATCCAATAGCATCCCCGCAACAGCCCTATCCGCCTGCGCCGACGAGAGAACAATCTGGTTTAGTGTAATCGTGCCGTAGTATAAAGCATGCGGATTGCCCGTCGTCTTCTTCTCGTTCGTCGGGGGTTTACTCGTCGCCGTCGTAGGTTTCCCCGCATCGTCGAATTTGATTTTTTTCGGGCCCGTTCCCGTTGTCGAGTTTGTCCCCGTCGAACCAGTAGCTGTAGGAGTTGTGGACTTGACAATAACCCCTCTAACCTCCCTCACCACGACACCCTTCATCTGGGGATGCCGCTGCAGCACCTGCAGGAGATAATACGACGCCCTCGAGCACACGCTCTTCTCCTTGTCGCCTAGCTTGTTCACGAGTAACCGGAGGAGGTTGTGCTCTTGCTCTGGTTTGTCGATGAGGAGGGTGGAGATGAGGTTGAGGGATTGGGTGCGGATATATGGAAGAGGATCAAGTGAGAGAGTCTGCATTTCGTCAGAACGGATGTTTGAATTAAAAGGGATGGTAGACGCACCTCGAGAATCTGCAACACCGCAAAAAAGAACTTTTTCAACCAATCCTCAAAATAACAAACCACCAACAAAGTCTCCTCCCTCTCCTTCTCCCCCTTCTCCTTCCCACCCTCCAAAACCGCGCCCCACTCTCTAAAATACCTTAATTTCCTATTCGGACACCCGCCTCCAACCCACCAATCGACAATACACCTCAACGCCTTCAAACTCTCCTCCCTCCCTCCCTTGCCCTTCCCCCTTTCAGCCATACTCTTCAACTGCTCCAACGCCCTCGCGTTACGTATCGGATCGGATTGAACAAGGAGTGTCAAAGCGCTCAGACGATCGGAGAGTGTACCCGTCGAAGCGATTTTAGTTAAAAAGCTCGCTTCCGAGTTATTCGAATTCGAGTTCGTCGTCGTGTTCTTCGAGGCAGAGCCATCGCCATTCGAGTTGATGTATTTGGCGTGCAAATCCGCTGCTCTTGCATAGAGTTCATTAATCCTCGCATTCGAAGGGGCCGGTACGGATTCAGAAGGCGGAGGCAGAGCAGGTAACGAGCTGTACCACGCCATAGTGGCTTTTTTTTTGTAGGTCTTCGACAGACGCGGTTGGTGAAGACAGAAATATTTGTTTTTGATCGCGACTCTTTCCCTTGGACGGATTGATTTGGCCGGCGGCTATTGTAAAGCCTTTGGTAAATAGGTGCATACAGAAGCTTGGATAGGGGCCTTCCTGCCAGTACCGACTAAGTTGTATCGAAGTCCAGCATTACCGTAACCACCTGACACACCTAAGCAATATTAGAGAAACCACCTATTTTACTGTACGCACTCTGGTCCTGAAGACGCACCACATGCACCCTCTCTTCCTCCTTTCCGAGGTCCGAACCCGTCCACCTGCTACTTGCCATGCAAGCAGCCCAAGCGCGGCATGGGACAAAGGACAGACTATCCTTAGCCTATCCCCTTGGTTGGCGATAGAGACGGATCATGAGAGACTAAACGGTTGTGGGGTAGATTCTGATATGGAATCCGGGGTGTTAAGCTTGCCGAGGTGTTGAAGACGGGGGTTGGGCAGAGGTGCAGCGACAACGATAGGCGGGGACGCTATACAAGGGCCTTCTGGTATTCTATGCATTGGTCCCAATGACAGTCGAATGAGGTGCAACGGAATGAGAGAATCAGGGAATCAAACTTCCGCTAGTACGGGTGATGACGTCGGGGCAACGGGCGCGTATCACTTTTTGACCAGCACCTCCGGCGTCGGCTCGGATCTCGCTACACATAAATAAGGCCATGGCCAGTCTGTAACCCGCCCAACGATGCTCGCCCGCAACCTGTCCAAACCCGGGCGCAACCTGGTGGTATGCATCCGCCGCGAAGACCCCAAGCGCATCTGGGAACGACGCGCCCCGCTCACCCCAGACGACGTCGCCGCTCTGCTCGCCAAACACCCCAACCTCTCCATCGAAATCCAGCCATGTAACAAACGCGTATTCCCAATCGAAGACTACCTCCACGCAGGCGCAACACTCGCATCCCGCGCACCAGACATCTTCCTCGGAATCAAGGAAACACCTGTGCCCGAACTCACTTGGGGTCCCCAAACCCACCTAATGTTCTCGCACACGCACAAAGGACAGCCATACAACGCTCCTCTCCTCGCCCGCTTCCTCGAGCAGTACTCCAAACCCAAGCATGCCTCTACGCCAGCTCCCCGCCTAATCGACTATGAGCTCCTTACCGACCCTTCAACCGGCAAACGCACAGTCGGCTTTGGGTGGTTCGCAGGCGTCGCAGGGGTCCTCGAGTCGCTCTCCGCAATGGCCCACCACCACCTCGAGCATGGCGTTGCCTCGCCTTTCCTCTACACTCCCCGTCCACACACAGTCCCTTCCCTCGACGAAGCACGGAAGCAACTCCGCAACATTGGCGGCCTAATCAGAGAATACGGCGTACCCGAGGCTTTGGGCCCATTCATCATTGGTTTGACTGGGTGCGTCACGCAACGTCTCTCAAACATTTCGTGCTGACAGTCACGTAGACGTGGAAACGTATCCCAAGGATGTCTCTCAATGCTCGAAGAACTACCTCTCGAACACATCCGCGTAAAGGACCTCGACGCGCTCGTCAAGGATCCCAGTACGTCCAGTTCCCCCATTCTTTAACCTAGCTGACCACCCAACGCAGACGCATCCCGGCACAAGGTCTACCTAGTCCACGTACAACCAGAAGAATACCTCATCGACGTCAACGGAGGGTCATACAACCGCGACTCGTACTATGCCAACCCTGAATCCTACAAGTCTGTCTTCCATGAACGAGTGCGTCCCTCCCTCTGCTCAATAGCCAAATACTGACAATGATCCCAGGTCGCACCCTACCTAACACTCCTCTTAAACGGAACAGGCTGGTCCCCGTCCTACCCACGCATCCTCCCAACAGACACCCTCCCCTCCGTCCTCAGTCACGCTTATTCCATTGGTAAGATACCTCTACTCTCGTCAGGACTATCACTAACCCATGGTCCAGGCGGCCTCCGCGCGACCAACATCGGCGACATAAGCTGCGACATCGAAGGCGGCATCGAATTCATGGAACGCGCAACCACAATCAGCGATCCCTGCTTCAAAGTGCGCGTCCCAACCGCAAAGTTTGCAGGTGACAGGTCCTCCACAGGGTCCCCTTCAACAACCACCGCCGTCTCCCACAAAGGCGAAATCCAAATAATGAGCGTAGACATCCTCCCAGCCTCCATCCCACTCGACGCATCAAAGCACTTCTCAAGCGTCCTCAGGCCATACATAGAAGCAATCGTCGAAGACCACTCGTCCACCAACCCCATCTTCTCCCTCGACTCCCCCGTCTTGGGATCCGCCTACAGCCGCGCCTTGGACTCCCCACCCTCCAAACGACAACACCCCGAAGACACGCACACCACCCTCCTCAACGCCCTCCACCGCGCCACAATCGCACATTCAGGCAGACTGGCACGACCACATAAGCATCTCAAGGACGTCGTACGCGCGCACTGTGGTCCCCTGCCTTTCAGGGAAGGCCGTTTGTCGTTGGAGAGCCTTCTCGCACCCAACGGGGTCGCGACGAAACAGTCCAAGCCTGAACGTGATGCGGATGGGAATGTGTTACCGCCGTACCTCCAGCCTTCAGCGGAGGAGTACAACCCCGGGGTGTACAACATCGTCGAGAAGGAGGCGAAAGACGTGGAAATCCAGGTCCCCCCATCCCCTCCTTCCTCGTCTTCGCACACTACCGCCTCCTCTTCGCGTACCACTCGCTCCTCCTCATCATCATCTAGTCTCCGCCACTCCTATTCACCATCTCACACTTCGAGCGCAAGCGCCCAGGCAAGGTACAAACACACCCCGCGCCACTCCGCTGCGCCCACCAAACGCATCCTCATGCTCGGCAGTGGGATGGTCGCTGGTCCTGCGGTGGACACGATCATGGATACTCCGGGGATGGAATTGGTTGTTGGTGAGTAACAATTCCGAGTTTTCTACTACTTGCCCCTTGCTTTCATTCGCCGTTGCTACTACTGTTATTTCTGTTCTCCCATCTCACCTCAACCCCCAAACATTCGTTAACCACTCCTTCTCATACAGCAAGCAACTCCCTCCACGAACTCCAAACCCTCACCGCACCCCACTCCGTCTCCGGACGCGTCAAGTACCGCGTCGTCGACATCTCAAAGAGGGAGACGTATAAGCATTTAGTAGCGGAGAGTGATGTCGTCGTTTCGTGAGTACCCGTTCCCTTCTTCCTCTTACTTTGAGGGTGTCTTTGCGGTTGGGACCAGCCCACCAATTCTGAAGAACTCGATGTCCCTGTCAATATATATCCCATCCACACGCCTTCCCAAGTCATTGCTAACTTCTCCTTTTTCCAGCCTCCTCCCAGCACCCATGCACCCGCAAATCGCCAAGACATGCATCGAGTACGGGAAACACCTCGTCACCGCGTCGTATATCTCCCCCGAGATGGCTGCACTGGACGAAGCGTGAGTTGCTTCACCCCCTCATCCCTGCTTATGGTCAACTGACGAATTCACCTCCTCTTCTACTCGTTATCTCCGTCTCCTACCCTTTTCCCACCCACCACACACCTACACGCCTTCACCCTCAATTGCACTCCCTCCCCATAAAACAGCGCCAAATCCTCCTCCACCCTCCTCCTCAACGAAATCGGGCTGGACCCCGGGATCGACCACTGCTCCGCCCTCGACCTCCTCTGCCGACTCAAAGCGACCAACCAGCACGTCGTGTCCTTTACTTCGTTCTGTGGGGGGTTGCCTGCGTATGAGGATAGTCGGGTGCCCTTAAGGTGAGCTCTTGTCCACCCCTTGATTGCTAGAAAAGGGACGCTCATGTGAACACGCACTTTCAGGTATAAATTCAGTTGGAGGCCGCAGGGTGTTTTGACTGCGGCTGGGAATGATGCAAAATATTTGGTGAACGGACAGGTATGGTTTTATTTTATTTTTCTCTCGAAGATGCTCGTTTCTGACCTCTCGTTTTGCCATTGACCGCATGTCATTCAATAACGACACGTCATTTAATCATCCCCAGACCCGCGAAATCCCAGGCTCTTCCCTCCTCTCCTCCAAGTTCCCTAAGGTCCCGGTCCCAGGCTTCCCTCACATCCTCGAAGGCCTGCCCAACCGCGACAGCCTCAAGTACGCCTCGATCTACGGCCTCCCCACCGACGGTTCCTTGAAGACCCTGATCCGCGGGACACTAAGGTAACCCCCCCTCACACTTCTACCAGCCCTAACAAACACCCTCTAACACACCCTCTCCCCACAGATACCCAGGCTTCTCAGACCTAATGGCCTCCTTCCGCTCCCTCGGGCTGCTCAACACATCCACCAAGGTCCTCCCGGACACATGGCGTTCCTTCCTCCGCCTCGCCATGGCCGCGCAGCACTCTCCCGGCTCTTCCAACGGTGATCATCCTCTTACCACCGCCGCGATCGAGGGTAAAGGCAAACGCCCCCTTCCATCGCTCCAGTCGCGAATCCCTGCGAACCAAATCGCCGAGGTGTGGGATGCGTTGAGTTGGTTTGGGTTGATTGAAGGCGCCGGTGCCGGTGCTGGCGGTTCCTCCGTCGTGAGTAGTGGAAGCAGCAATAGCACGAATTCGCCCTATGTCCACGCGCCACCGGCTATGCCGCCCCTCCCGGCGGAACCAACGACGCCTCTCGACCTCTTCGCCTACCTCTTGAGCTCCAAGTTGGCGTACAGACTGGGCGAGAGGGACATGGTCGTCCTCTCGCACGAGATCATCACCGTCGACGGCCACCCCTCTCCCCCTTCCTCTCCCTCCACCACCTCTCCCTACCCCTCCACCTCAGACCACCACGCCCAAGACCAAATCCAAACCCGACACACCTCGACCCTAGTCACCTACGGCACATCTACCCACTCCGCAATGGCGCGCACAGTCGGCATCCCAATCGGGATCGCCGCCATCCACGTCGCGCAGGACCACATCCCCCTGCGCGGCGTGCACGGACCCACGCATCCAACCGTCTACCGACCCGTCTTGGACGGCCTCGTGCGCGTCGGGCTCGGTATGCAGGAGAGCAGTATTCGTGGCATCGGGATGCATGAGAGCACTTTGCGCGGGTTGGGTGTTGCTGGTCACAGGCCGCTGGTTGATAGAGAGTTTGAGCGTGGCTTGGGCGAATTTTTTTGAGGGGCGTAGATAGTAGCGTAGAATAATCCAGCATTTTTTAATTCTCGCTTTGAGTTTGCAGGACGTACATAATTCCACTGTGACCCATTACCCACCATGTATCATAGTAGTCTCCCCTTTGCGTCGCCCTACGCACCTCCCTCATAGTCTCTTCATCGATTCTTGTACTATAGGTCAACTCATTATCCGCTACTTGCGTGCCGAACGCAAGTGTTTTCTCCATCAAGCCATTTGCATACCCGACTCGTTTTTCCTGTACTATAGATTCCAACTACCCAATCGACAGTGTTACTTCACCGATTCTCTTCTGCTCCCAGGGAATGCAAAGTCAAGGTTTTACCAGATCTTCGTTCCAATCCCCCTGGCTCGTGGATCTACTACATACACACAAACCCGTCCCAGGATCACATAGGTAGGAAAGGATGGGTAAATTATACAATCAATGTAGGTCTATCTAATAAGTAATGATCGTAAAAAAGAGGTAGTTAACAAGCGGGAGACAAAGGAAACACAGTGTCCATGATATTTATATTTAAATGAATGCCTGACGTGTTTGATTTTCAGTGAGTGTCCATGATGGCGTCGTCGATAGGTGGTTCCCGATGGGATAGGGATGTGGAAGGGTAGGTCAACGGTTGGAACCATGAGTGAAGTCTTGGCAAATCTTTGGAGTAAACGCTGAGCGAGCAGTGAATGTCGCATAGCGCGTGGTAGAAGTGAAGGAACAGGACACTATCACTTCCTCTGTTGGATCTTCCCCTCCCTCCTCAAAGCTTCCAATTCGTCATGTATCGAGAACCCAAGTCGTCTCTGACTCTTGGTGGCCTTCCTTCCTCCCGTTTGCCTACAAACAAGGTCAGGCAATGAAATGTCACCCACAAAATAGTACCACATACCTCTGCTCCTGGCAAACAAAGCTCTCCGGTGCACCTTCCCAATCTTCCAAAATATACTTCGTGTTCTCACTCCTTCCACCCTCCTCTCCCTCTCCGAACAAATCCCTCGCAAGCTTCGTATGACTGACACCCGCATACGTCGTCGGACACCTCGGGTTGACAAGTATCCTGGCAGGCCTATACACCGAATTGGGTATCGACAGCCTTCCCACTTCAGGCGGAGGAACATCCTCTCCTCCATCCTCCGCAGGTATAGCATCATAGTCCGAACCAGCATTGGCGTCCTGATCCTGCTTCTGGACATTCTTCTTGCGATTATCCACTGCCGCATCATTCACTTCCTCTTCCTCCCCACCGCCGAGCTGGATCTTGACATTATCCCTCCGGGCAGGGTCCGCATTCGCCGGTCCCTCCACAACAGGCTGTTCCTCGGTTTCCTCGTCCTCCGCCCGTCGTACAGCCCGAGCAGCAGCCACAGCCGCATCCCTCTTCTCCATAAGGGGGTCAAACGCTGCAACCTCCAGAACCTCCCTCTTCCTCATACCCGCCAAATTATTCTTCTCATCAACCTCGTTCATCCCATGGAGGGCGCTGTACACCCACAGATCCCTACAGAACCACGCCTGGCTGCTGTCCAAGCACGGCGCATCCGGATCCCTGATAACCGCTCCTGCATTGGCATTGGCACCATCCGCCATACTGACATTGTGGAAATCAGTTCCGGAGCGGTAGGCGATACCGCGGTAATAGGATTGCGCTGGGTCGACGACGTGAGTTCCAGATTCACAGCAGAAGACCTGGAAGGGAAGATGTTGGGCATATCGCGCCGCTCCTTGTTTGTCGCGAGGGGGGACACCATCGGGTTTAGAAGATGATTTGGATTGACGGAACTGGTCACCCTCAATGTCTCTCGTCCTCCATCTAAAACACGTCAGTATCAGTGTCTGTCGTGTCACCCACGACATGGAAAACGTACCTATCAGAGAAGATGAAGAAGCCGTTGTGTTCCGCCCAATCCATCCCACAGACCATCGCTGCCTCGTTATCGAAACTGATCTTGATGGTCTCCAAAATGTCGTTAGGACAGGTGAAGCCCTTCAACCACACCACCCTCGCAAACTCGATCTTCCTCTTGGCCCTAAGCTCGTGGAGGGGTTCCAAAGCCAAGTTCCGCATGTAGGCCTCCTCCAAAGGGTAATAGGCAGCCGCAGGATCCTCCGTCATACTAGGCACCCTCCTAATCCTAAACGGAACGCCCAGAAGCGTCAAAACCGCTTCAGAAAGATCCACAAGCGTCTCCGTCGAATCGGACGAATCATAGTCCAACATGGACACAAACAGGTTGTGGGTCCCAAGGCGTCTGGCCATTTGGACGATGACAGCGAGTTGGTCCACGAGGAAGTGGTCGGCAGAATGGATGACAATGGCGACATAGTAGAGGTGATCCTCGCGGATGAGTGCGTCGTACAGATTCTCGCGCTTGTTCTGTCCAAAAGGACGCACGAGCGTGGGGCATAAATGGCCTACCCAGCCGTTCAAGGACAGTAACTGGTCGATGGCAGTAAGAACGTGTTGTGTGTCCGTGCTAGACGTATCCTTGTTCAGAATGCTGCATAATTGTTAGAGTCTACATTCCAGACGAAAGAAATAGGAAAACGCACTAAGGAAGCTGAAAGTTGAGCCAATAGTCTTCCATGCCATTGTTGATCAACTCTGTGAACAAATCCTCCGTCTCGTCTCGACCTATCCTCGCCTGCAAAAACGGATGCTTCTGGACATTGAGGGACTTGTCCGGTCTTGTTGCTCGTTCGATAAAGTTATGCTCTTTGATCTGATAGTCGTTCTCCGACTTTGTTTTGGTCGTCGTGGGTGAAGGAGGGAAGAACACCAGTCGAATGATGAACACAAATGCAAAGAGGAAGGCGAGGCGCGAGAGAGACCGCCGTCGTAGCATCACCGCCATTCTTGTCTTCGTCGTCGTCCCGCCGTGGTCAGCGGCCGTTTGAGGACACCACCGTCGTGGTTATTGTCGTGGTCGCGATCGTGGTCGCCGTCAGCGACGATGAAGGGAGGTGGAAAGAAAGAGCTGGCAAACAGTCCAGAAGACGCCGATGTCAATAATGCACGTTATCTCCGATTGGTCAAACACGTTCCCACGCTCTTTATTTTTGAGCGCTTATTCCCTTCTGGCAAAATACTGGCCCTGGGCGCTTTCCCGATCGCCGGCGGGAGCGTGCTTCGACTAGGAGAGCCACGCCGAAACGCAAATTATAACGTACATAGAGTAAATAGCAAATAAGGTAACTCTACCTGCAGCCCATCTAAACTTCGGACCCCTAGCCAGCAAAAGTGCTCGCAGGAACGTCTAGACCCAAGTTATCCTTCGCAAAATCTCTCATATTCCTCTCCATCTCCTCCTCAAAGCCCTCTTTCCTCTTTTTCGGCGCCTCCCCATCACGCGTCAGTAACCTGTCCCTGACCTGGTTGAGCCACAAGAAAAACTTGTTCTTGTAGAAGGCGAAGTCGATCGTGAACATGATGAAACGGTAAACGAGGTGGTGCCACCACTCAGTGATACGCTCCCTGACCGAAAGGTTGGCATTCTTAAACTGCGAACGCGATGCCCAGTCGGCCGTGATCTTGATACGATTAACAGGTGAGCCGAAGGATTGGTTATTACCTACGAGTACCCATCAGTCCCCGCACCCTGCTGAAGGAAAGTATAAATACTCACCCTGCACCATCCTCATATTCCTGATCAAAAAGATCAAAACCTTGGGCATCCTATCGGTGTCAATCAAGAACTCTTTCAGCTTTTGCTTCATCAACACGCTCAATTCATATTGAGACATCTTCCTCCTCTCCTCCCGCTTCCTCTCCTCTTCCATCTCTTCCTCGGGTGTCTTCCTCCGCCTACCTCGTTTCAGCGAAACAGGCTTCATCAACGTAAAGCTCGCCAAAAACTCAGGGAACCCCATCCCCCACGACTCGGCCGCCTTCTTCACACCTTGATAATCACCCGAAAGCATCGACCGCCATAGATGTACCCATTGGCGCTTGAAATCCTCCGGGACACGGACGTACAAGCCATGGTCGATCAACACCAACTGCGCCTTGGTTGGATCGGCCGGTGACGGTCGAACGATAACATTGCCAGGGTGAGGATCGCAGTGGACCCAACCCCACGAAAACATCTGCGCCGAAAAGAGCTCCACCATGGTCTTCATCACACTTGAGAGCCCTCCTTTCAGTGGCTTCGCTGGATATTGGAAGGCGGTAGTCGTCGTCGTAGTCGGAGATGTCGTCGCAGGTCCAGTGGAGACCAACGCTGTAGCCGATAGCGGGTCGATTTCGGGTGGTGCGATTGGATTGTACTCGGGTTCGTGTTCGCCCATGAGCCTATAGATCCCAGCCTTGTCGCTCAATCGTACACCGTCAATCCACTCGGCCGTCAACACCCTCTTGCTCGAATACTCTGGAAACACCTTCGGGATATGCACCCTGTCCCTCAAACTGGGTTCCTTTTCCACAAACTGCGCGGTCTGGAGAGCATTATTCGCCTCCCTGACGAAGTCCAGCTCTTGTCTAAGGTGGTCCGAAATGAAGTCTACGGAAATTCGTCAACACCCGTCCAAAGAGTACGAACCCACATCACGTACCGACGACGAAATAAACCGGTAAGTCAAACGCCCAATTCTCAAACATCCACATCACAAATCGATATGCCGCAAGATCCCACTCCATCTGCTTCGCGACACTTGGTTTCTGAATCTTAACCGCAACCCACTCGCCTTCCTCCTCAACCTCCATCATCTTTCCATTCACCTCCTTGACCACCCGCCTCGGCCACGTCTTCGCCTTGTGAACCTGCGCAACACTCGCACTCGCGACGGCCTTCTCATCGAACACCTCAAACGCGCCCTCCTCTCTTGTCCTCCCACTCGGCTTCTTCCCCAGCTCGTTGATAATTACTTCCTCCACGACTTTATACGGAACCTGCGGCGCATCGTCGAATAGACTTGCAAACTTGATTTGCATGGGTTTGGGAAGTACAGCAGCGTTCGCTCCAATGGCTTGGCCAATCTTGATGTACAGACCGCCGTTGGAGGTCAAGAGGTTGTACACCCGCTCAGCAACGCGTTCATGCAACTGAGGGATCTGGTCAGATTTCTCGGGGGTAAAATTGATTTTGTAGTCCAGGGTAATCGCTAGGCACTGCAGTAGGAATCAGCGACGTGAAGACGTGACGAAGTGAACAACTCACCGTCCATAACGTCCTCACATTCCGGAAGATGGCAGAAGCGTTCGAGTAATGGTCCCAAGCATACAGAGACGCCAGTCCCAAACCGGTATAAACCAGCCTCTTCGAATACTTGTGTAGCCTTGACCTGCCATTTCCTCCAGGTGGTGTTGAATACGAATTCGATGTCGAGCCATGTCCACCTCGGGGAGCGGGTCCAGTGTAACCTGACCCTTTGGATCCAGATGCACCGTCGAACCCTGCGGACCTCTTTCCTCCTGCCTCAGACCCAGGCTGAGCACTCAGCAGTCGAACATTCGGAAATCCTGCCGCCAGAACCCGTCCATGTTGCTGTTGATGTTGCGGTAATCGCCACGACCGACACCCCAGTGTCGTCCTCCGGAGCATAACAGAACCTTGAGGCCTCAGCAAGGCCTTCGTGGTCTTAGGCGGACTGCCAAATAAGAGAGTTGCAGAACGCGAAAAATGGTGGTGGAGTTATATGGGAGAGCTCTTGCCGAAGTTCTGACGCAACCCCGGGCCCATCACTCTCATCAATCCCATCAAACTGCTGCCGATCAATGCCGTCATGATCCCTGCCGCGCGTCCACGCGTTCAAGCCCAGGGAACGCAAGACTAAGTGCACACCCAGCCTAAGACTTCCCAGCTTCCACCCACAAGATCTCGAGTTCAGTTTTATATTTTCGAGACATGATACACATACAAAAGCTTTCAAATTGACACTACATAACGCTCTATCAGCGCAACGAATTACTAAGAGCAAATTGATCACTACTCACATCCTCCCTTGACGATGGCGAAGAGTTCCTTAAAAGCCAGATAGGAACCAGGTGAAGTAACCTTCTCATCCCACTCACCAACCCAGTCATCGATGGTCCCGCAACCAGCCTCTAATTCGTTCTCCTCATCAAACAACTCCTCCCTGTCCTCATACGTCGCATCCGTGAACCTCAGAAACCCACTCCAATAGAGCCCTGCGGCACTGATAACGCACATTGAGGAGTGTGCACTCCACAGGGATGCCCTTCGGAACAACATATTCCCGTATTTATACATCTTCTCCGGCGAGTGCAAGTACGGGCCACTGGCATTGGACCTCGGAGACCTTTCATAAGGCTTCGACGATGCAGGCGGATGAAGCTGGACGAGTATGATGGGGCTTCCAGCGTAAAGCACCGCCAACGAAGCATAGAGAGCTTTGCGGCGTGCATCAAATCCTCCATCCTCAAGAGCAGGGATTTGCCAGTCCTGACGGATATCGAAACCTTGGTCCGGAGGGAACCAATACTCCAGGATTTCGCGCCATATGGGATAGAATCTGTGGATGGTACCCAATGCGAGCCTGCCCCCTTGGGTATCCCATTTCTGACCTTTGTCTCTGGGATACTCTGAGGGGCTTAATGCAGGTGGCTCTGCCGGAGAAGGGGTTCTCTCTGGTGGACCTGGAATTGCTTGGACTTCCGGAGGTCCAGGGATGGTTCCAAGAAATTGCTGTTGAGGTGACATCGATATCGCCTCGAGGCCGCTGCAGGCTTCACGATCTTCGTTCTCGCCTGAAATTTCTTTGTAACCACCTACAAGATGGGCTGAGTGAGTGAGAGTGTCCCAGTCAGTCAGTCAGTATAGTCTCTCACAAAGACTCGCAATTCCTTCATGACCACTGGCGCGAAACTTATGTCAGTCTGGATCCTCAAGAGACACCCGGTGGGGCAGCGCGCGCACCTAGTATCCACCATCTTGACTGTACTTGTTTGTCTCCGACAAAGGACTTTTGTACCGGAAAACTGGAAGCTTCGTATGGTGGAAGGCGAAAGAATCCCTATCAGACTTGTCCGATCATCGAAATATATACAGTGCACGAGTTTTGTACCCGCTGGCCCGTGCACATTGATGGGCGCTTATTTCAGGCGCCACGGACTTCGCCGCACACTTCAGGGGAATTCGTCAGGGCCCTCAGTTGTTCGACCAGTTGTTCGACACCAGGGTCAGATTTAGAGCTCATATATACAAACACGCCCTCGATAAATTGGAACTACATGCATGGCAATCTGTACATCAAGACCCTTCAAGATTTTCAAGCTGCCAGGCCAGTTGCGTTCTGACAGGCCCATTCAATTCACAGGCACTGCAAAGACGATGGTCAGCATGAAAGCTCAAAGAGACACGATAAACACAAGCGTCACTCACATCCACGTTTCAACGATCTAAAGCACTGTTCCATAACCTCAAACGACTCAACTCCCGTAACCTCCTGATCCCACTCCCCAAACCAATCATCAACAGGACCCATACACCCCTCCGCTTCCATCCATCCATCCCTCCACATCCCAGAATCACCTCCCAAGTCTCCAGAAAGATCCCTTAGAACATCCACACTCCTCATCTCCGTCGACCTAATCACACCACTCCAATAACACCCCGCAGCACTAATCACACACAACGAATGATGTCCACTCCACAGGGACGCCCTATCAAACAACGCATTCCCCAATTTCCGCATCTCGGTCCTCGAGTGATACGCCAGGTTATAGTGAGCATCATACCCACCGTTCTCCGAGTCATTTAAACCTCCCCTTCGACTGAAGAACCCGGAAGTCCGACTCACGCCACCCTCCGACGAAGGGCTCATGGGCGGGTGAAGCTGGACAAGGACGAGCGGAGATCCTTCGTAAAGAACCGCCAAGGAGGCGTAAAGTGAGTTACAGAAAGATGGTGTAGCACCGTCATCGAGAGAGGGGAGCTCCCAATCTTGAGAAATCGTGAATCCTTGGGTAGAGGGAAACCAGTGTTCCAAGATCGCGTGCCAGAGGGGGTAGAACTTATGCAGAGTGGTATAGTGGTGTTGAGAGCGATCAAGCCTGTTCTCAATCGTTCTGATATGTGCGGGGTATTCTGCAGCAGTGGAGTGGAGGGAATCAAGGGATGGAACGTTCCGTCTGGACGGGGTCGTTCGTTGGCCTTCAAGGTTATCAGTTGTAGTCGTTCTGCCCTCTCCGCTGTTTGACGAGAGTCCCACAAAACGTTGAACTAGAGCAAAATATGAGCTAGAGTCTGTGGTCAGAATGGCAAGAGGGCATACCAACGTGGGTGATTTCAGAACTGACCATGCAATCCCGCAGCGCAGAATGTCAGTGCTGCGGACGGTGCCACCGATGAGATATACAGTACGCACCTGTTCTCTGCGCCTTTAATATACATTTTGAAAGGGACAGGAAGCAAATTATGGAAGAGGAGAAGGTATCTGTCCAAAGTGATATGCAGCCTCATGTACAACAGTTGTGTGTTGTTTACGTTAGCGCCCATGTAGTCACGAAGTCATTCCCGCAGTCATATGTTCCGTGCTCACCGCTCATTAAGCGGGGTAGCCCCTTGAGACGGCAAACCCAGAGGAAATCAATGAAAAATGCATTAAAGCTGCACATCCGCGAGTATAATTATAGTCAAGAGGCGAACACCAATGTAAACGAAGCAATCAGAATCCCTTGAAAACGGCATCATCATCCGAATCATCCAACAAAACCACAGGGGCCTTTCTCGCCCTAGTCCTCGTAGTAGTCGTAGTCTTCGATGGAGGCTTTGAGCTGGACGGCTTCCCTCTCGTCCCTTTTCGATCAAACGCAGAATCCAACGTCTCGAAATCGTCTTCCTCCTCTTCGTCCAACGTCTCCGACCTATTACTCCCCCGACCTCCCCTTCCGCTTCTCCTACCCATCGTCTGGGACTGCGACTGGAACTGTGACTGTGACTGCGATTGAGAGTCGTCATCCAGGAACAAAGGCTCCTCGTCTTCTGGAATCGAAGCAACAGCCTTGCCACGACGACTTGAGCGAGTAGGAGCCGGTGTTGCAGATCCAGCTCGGGAAGGTGGTTTGGACCTAGAAGTGGAGGGCGGCTTACTCCCTGACCTCGTCCTGCCCTTGCGAACGGGAGGAGGAGAATCCTCTACTTCCATGACCTCTTCTTCGGGCGCCGAAACTTCTTCATCCAAAGCGGCCAGAGCTTTCGAACGGGCCCTGGGTTTCGGTTTAGATTGAGTCATGGGTTGGGAAGAATCACCATCTTTCCAATAAGCTAGAGAAAGACAAGTGTCAATGGACATGGTATCGTGAATAGAGGGTGAAGACTGACAAGGACCAAGACCGTCCTTTTGATTGTCGACAAAGAGTTCGACTTTCGCGCCACTTCTCGGGACATTTTTCTGCACCAAAAAGCGTCAGCCTTGCATTACCCAAGGGAAAAACAGAGCCTTACCCTCTTGAACTTCTTGAAATTAGGCTTGCCCTCCCACTCGGGTCTCATCTCTCCAGCGCTCTTCGCATTCCTTCCGTTTTTCTCCTTGAACACCTCCAACTCGCAAATCGTCATGAAATTACCCCTAATCCCCGAATCATCTCCAAAGTCAGCCAGAACCTTCCAATCCTCTTCCGGTTCTCGTCCATTCTGCGCATCGAGATCGGGTTTGGAAATCTTGAGCCTGTTGAACTCGCGGTCGAATTCGTCTTCGCGTTTCTTGCCACGTTTTGTTGATGCAAGAGCTTTGAGGAAGGCTTCATCCTTGTCTGGTTTGCCCACGGCAGCACCTTTGTTCTTTGAAGGAGATTTGATCGAGACAGTTGCAGTGGACGGAGGCTTGGTCTTGGAGACAGGCGGTCTGCTACTCGCTCGAGCAGGGAGATTGGTCCCTACCCCAACTCCACCACTCACAACCCTGTTCGTCTCAGTCGCCTGCCTTTTCGAAGTGGGTCCCGTCGCATCCTCCATTTCAACATCCTCATTCACATCCTCCAACGTCCTTTTCTTCCTCTGTTGAGTGCCCAAGACCATACTTTCTTCCTCTTCCTCTTCCCGTAACGCCGAGAGGGAAGTGATTGTTTGAGCCCTCCCGCCTCTCCTCTGCGTTCTCCCAGACTGGGTCTGAGTTTCAGTCTGCGTAGTCGACATCTTCGAATGGAACCCATCGTCAAAGTTAGTTTCTTGGAACATTTGAGATTCACTCTCTTCCTGTATGGCTCCAGACTCCATTTCACCAGGGGCAGTGGAGTCAAAGAGGGCTCTGAATTTCTTTAGAGGTGGTTCTTTCAAAGAGTCGTCGATGTGGGAAGGGCCCACAGACCTGGCCCTCTTTGCGGGAGTAGCCTCTACCGAGGCAGTACCGGCGCGCCGTTTTGGTAGACGTCGGAAATCCATCGGTGTCTGGAGATGTCAAGATCAGTAGGACAGTGCATATAGAACCCAAGTGGCGTCCTCACATCATCGTCGATAACCGCAGGGGGAGGAGTGAGCTCCCGCGGGGGCGTCGCACTCGACCTGTCTTCCGTGGCCGTAGCGCGGCGCGCTGTTGCTCTACGCATTGGGACCTGGTGAGGAAATATAAGAAAAGCATCTCAATAAATCCAAAGACGAAATCCACACCTTGATAGGAGGGGTGCCCTCGCGGTCCGACGAGTCTGCTGGTGGTTCGGGGGCGGTCTTGGTCGGTTCCACCCTCGTCGTCACTCGCCGCCGAGGGACAATCGGTGGTGAATGCTCCGGGGAGCTATCTCTTGGAGATTTGGGAGCCGGAGGCGATCCTGCACGTTTGAAGCATTAGTAAAGTCGATTGAGATAGCTTCTATACTTACCTGTATTCCTTTCAGGTGTCTTCTCCACCACGTGGAAAGCCTCGGATTGAGTGATAGCAGAGGGATCGCTCTTGAGCAAGGACGTATCAATTTCGATGGCTGCCTGAACGAGTGTATCCGGTGGGTGGAATTGAAGTCCCATCCTAAGGCGTTGTGAGCACGTATCCCTCTAAGTGGATAGGTGACTTACTGTCCCGCCCTCCCATACAGCTCATTCAAGACATTCTTTCCTTACCGCAGCTGTCAATATTGCCTCGTCACCCAGAACAACCCAACGTCTTCCCCTCCTTCACACTGCCCCGCTTCAGTGCCTTTTGGAATTTGGTCACACCCGAATGGACTTCAAACACCTCGATTGACCCCTCTCCCTTGCTGATAAGGTTCCTCACATCGAGTGGGACCTCTCTAGGCTTCTCCCCAACGCACAGGAATCGAAACTTATGGAACATCTTCAAACGCGCTTCGTTAGGTTCCCAAACACTGTAGTCTTTTTGCGCTGCGGGAAGGGTTGGCGAGAAGCTCGGGCGGTACTTGCTGACAGGAGGCAGAGCGAATGAAACCTCGAGCGGGACGCCGGACGAGGGGTCACAGTCCAGCGGGAGAGTGCCTAGCCGCACCACCTCTTGCAGCCAAGCAGGCGTGACGAACTGGGCCGATCCAACCAAAGAGGTGGCTATCGTCGGAGTTGCAGCGTATGAAGATATTAGGTGGTGTGTTACATCCTTAGCTGGGTCAAACGTGTAATTTACACCTGTGTCATCAGTGTCAGTACAGCATACACATCACGCAGAGAAAACGTACCGAGTGAAGCGCACGACTCGGGCGGTACAGGCAACTGAGCCTTTGCGGCCCCGGAATAGCAGCAGATTGGGTTCCAGAGGACTCTACCAAACCTATTAGACAGCTCGATTCACAGTCATAACTGGAATACACACTGGACCGTAATTCCATTCACAATCTGCAAAGTGTCACCACTGTGAACCTCGATTGGTTGGCCCTGGGGGTTCCGCTGAGGTTCCCTCCCGCTTGACCGAATTGTAAGCCATTCTTTTTTAAAGTTGTTGTATGTGAGAGTCGGCCTACAGCCTGGCGTCCCCTGTTCGATTGTTAGCCTTTAATTGAGATGGAGATACACAACACTCACTGCCTGTTCAACCGAAAATGAATCCACCACGAACTCCCCGTGTTCTGAGGATATCTTCTTGTTTCGCACAAGGATTTGGGCATCTTTGCGACCAACGAGATACTTGGAGTCGGGTTTCAGCAGCTTTGTCTCTGGTAGTATGGCTGAGCGCGCTTTCACCCTGGAAATAGCACCATTACTTACTCGTAAAGCTGAGGTCATTTTGCTCTCCGTCGAACGGGCCCAACAGCAGCCACATCTTCGTGAGCTGGCGCCAAACCGTTCACTGGGTTTCGTTCCGTGTCGTTGGGTCCAGTTCAGGACCTTCTGTAGTACGCTGTTGAGGATTCAGCCAAGGGCAGCGTTGAAGGGTGGACGAGGGAGACAAAGTCGGCCAGTGCTGAGCGCTTCCTTGAGTCAAGTTGTCAACGGGCCAAACACCGACGCGCGACCGCGTTTGATGCATGACCGCTGATCATGACTAAGCCATGTCGTTAATTACCTTTCCTTTTCGAGCAAACCAACTCACTCGGCAACGGACTCGAGGAGGAATTTTACCCTTTGTTATATCCCAACAGCCTCAGATTTGTGACCACCGAGGTCAATGGATTAGAAGTATGATACCCAATGACATAGATCTATGCACCAGGGTTGACTGCACTTCAAAAGTTCAGTGGAATCCCCTGGAGTTGGGTAACTCGGGATTTCAAGAACCCACGACAAGATGCGCATATTAAGCCACCCTTCATACCAGGCTCTGTCACAGGTCCTACCCTCGAGCGCTTGTCCTTGTTGAAGTAGTCCATTTGACACCGCCAGGCAAACCGCTGTATTATTCCGTGTCCCGAAAGTTCAATCGACTCCTGCCTCGGTTTGAAATAATTCACTAGCCACAGGCTCCAACGACACTCGCGGGCCTTTGTTCCCTGGTCGACCATATAGACGTGACGGGTGGGGAGGATACGCCCGCTTCAAGGCTTCCAGGCAGGGAGGGGGCAGCGTTGAACGATGGATCGTCCAAATATACGGATTGCCTATTGGTGATGGCAGACATTTGACTAATTCCCCTTCGTCTGGCTTGAGTGGTCCTTCACTCTTTGGTGGGGCAGTAAACTTCAACAGGCGCAGAACGACAAAAGGCATCAAGGGGTCCTGTCGGTAAACGAGCTCAAATTGAGCCAGAAATGGGACTGTAATACCTGCGGGACGTGAGCACCTTCGTTATTCGATGAAAACGTTCAGCGGACTGACCATGTATCGCCTGTGGCCGATAAACCCTGAATCGGTGAAATTTATCTTCTTCCTGAACACGTACGGCGAACGACGTCGGTGCAAAGTCACATTCGAACGGTTGTGTCATACTTGAGAGAAGGATCATCCCTGGTTTCATCCCCATATCTGAGCTCTCTAACACCGCGAGTTCAGATTGGCTGATGAGATTGTCGCGGAGGATAAGCTCGCGAAAGGGACTGTATGTGCGGCCCTTGATTACCGTCACTAGTGGTATGGACCATACCGCACCATCCAGCCTCAGGAGGTCCTTGCCCTGGTCAAATAAAGTCGGGTCAGGTTTGTCGACAACACGGAAGCGTATTCCACTCGTGATGCAGCTTCGATCCGGACGATGGAGGTAGAGGAATCCCCTGGTGTTTGGAGGGAAGTTGTTTCTAAGCCCTGTCTCCTTTGCACGGTATCGACTTCCGGTATATGTTATACGCGAACGATGGGTACCCTCGGGCGCCACATTCGCGACTCTAATGTCAGCGATGTCCATGTAGTCTGCGGGAAGAAGCTTGCTTGGGTCAAGCGTTGAAATTTGGCGGGTTGGCCGTCGCCGTCTGGCTATGGAGGGTTTACCCGTGTTTCGTTCAGAAGGTGCTTCCGAATGTTTGATTGAGGTCTTGAGAGAGGGGTGTCAACGAAGACGCGTCTCTAACACGCTGCGGGTTGACTCACGACGGAGTATTCCCTGAGTTGAACTGTCTGTGTTGAAAATAGCTGCTTTGGTGGCCTTCGGGGACCGCTTCCCCCCAAAGGCAGGCCCAGCAAGCTACGACGTGCACATGTGGCCTGCCTCAATTGAACGTGTTGAGCATAGGAAATATCGTGGAACAGTGACAGAACTTACCTGGGTGTAGCCTGCTTCAACCCGAGCACTGTACGTCAGACGCGCTCCGTTCACGCGCGTGAACGCGACCACACGCTGTAACATCGAGTGGGTAGGTCGTGGTTGCAGTCGAGCAGGCGTCCTGGCGTTTGTCGCCGATGGTCGCCGCCGTTGTTCAAACTGTTGGCGCTCTCGCGCTTGTTGGCAAGTTGTTGCTGCTTGTTGTCTGGACGCGGACCGAGATCAAGCCGCGTGCCGCGAGGACTTGAAGAAACCCATTGCCCGGTGTGCGATCAACGTTCAACGCCCGACTTTAACTGCAAGTACAGAGGGCAAGGCTCGGTAGCTGCTAGTGTCGTTGAGGTCCACTGGGGAGCCTAACGAATGAATATCGTTACCTCGTCCTGAATTCAAGGGAATTAAACCACGAAATCATACCGATAGCATATCATGACGGGGGAGGGAGGAGTACAATAAAAGCCAATCAGACCTAAACCAATAAGCTAGTTAATAATACACTATAAAGAGAACCAATCATCGACAGCATAGAGAAAAAAAGAAACCGTGAGTCCGCAATTATACATGGTCGTACTAGCCATATGTAGTACAGAAATAACATGGATCTGGAGCGAAAGAACCAACTACGCAGCCACCTGCCCGTCAACAGGAGCACTCATCTTCAGAGTACTCATGATGTAATTCCGCAGATCAGGATTATTCTGAAGCATCTCTGTCAACTCCTCTGGCGGGAGCTTAGCGAGCGTCGACAAGTCAGGGTACCCCTGCTGAGTCGTTTGCGAATGGGCGCCAGATGGTTGGTCTGACGGTGATTTGCCAGACTGCGAAGATTGCCCATCCTGCACAGAAGATTGACAACCAGACGACGTAGAAGGCCCGCTCGTGCTCGATTGCGCGACAGTGGTGGCGCCAACCTGTGTCTGTTCACTCGTCTGTACTTGTGTCGCCGTCGTTACGCCCTGCTGCGGAGAACCATTTGAGTGTCCTGAACTGCTTGAGGACGGTAAGTCGGAGGATGAAGTCTGCGACGCCGAAGAGGACGGGGCTGGGGTGACATTGCTGCCCGTTTGCGAATTGGGATTGGGCGCAACTGGAATATGGAATACAGCTACCGGCTGCCGGTAATGTGATTGCTGATGTTGGGCGCGTTGCTGCTGCTGGCTGCCAGGCCCCTCATATGGTCTTTGCCACTGCAATCGACTATCCTGCACACCCGTTCCATGATAGCCTCCAACATTATACGCAGCCGGACGGTGATAGGTCTGGGTAGGCGGATAATTGGGCTGGGGCACCCCGTATGCATCCCTGTAGTATCCTGTATATGGATACGCCGACGAACCAGCAGTCAACTGGGGATGACCGTATGGGATCTGCTGGGGTGCATAAACACTCCAGTACGGGGTAGCGCTGGTAGGCACAACCTGCGAACCAAATGGATATTGCGAAGAAGTCGTAGGTTGTGTCACGACCGCAGCCGGAGGATTCGAAGTCGAAGGCTCCGAAGCAGCACCACCATTTCCAACGCTAGGTGTTCCAACGCGCGAGGCCGCCGCGCTCGATGTGGTCGTGGCCGCGGTCGTCGATGGATAAGTTTGGACGGGTGCTGAGGTGCTCGGGGCTGCGACGCTGACGGAACCTGTCGAGAATTTGAATGATTAGCACACGAGGTCATTCACCCGCCCTTCCTTTACTCATCCAAAGGTGAAGTACCTACGTTCATCTTTCACCGGTGGCGATGGATTGTCATCCACGGGCCTCTGCAACACCGGTCCATCTGTACTCCCGAAGATTACACTCCCCCACTTGAATTCACGCGTAATGCCTCGATCCCAAAGCACCTCCACAGATCCCGTCTCCTCGATGACGCGGATTAAGGACACCTCGAAAACACCGGAACTAACGCGAATCTTGATTCGTGACATGCTGGGCAACAACAGAAGTTCCGCCTTAATCTTTTCTTGTTTCGAGGCTTTCTTTTGAGCCGCTAGAGCCTAGATTACAGAAACCACACGGTCAACGAACAACGAATCACTAAGGCAAAGAGTGAAAGGCGACGCACTGGATTATGCTGTGGACATAAAATTTCACAAACCAGTTTCTTAACCACCTTGAGAACACGGCCTTCGTCTTCCCCAAAGGAACTCGTGGCGCCGTCTACCTGCATCGGGACGGGGAAAGCGTTCGAAGGATTCGTCTCAAAAAGGACCACCTCCTTCTCCACCTCCTTGAGTACCGAAAAAATGATCCCATGTGCACTCCCCTCCCTAGCGCAGGAGACGTGGAATGCCTTGGGACATTTCCCTTTCGTACATTGGACCGGAGCACCGTGGACCTTTGGGCGCGTTCTAGTGCAGGCCGAGCATTTCTATAGGAAGAAGTAGAAGCAATCAGTGACAGATGCATGGAGATTGGGGATCGAGAACAACGAACCAGATTCCACCTGTCTTTCACGATTGCATCGATGCCCAATACCACCTTCTCCGTGGAACCGTCGGGCAATGCCGTTTCATCTACCCATGTCTCCGGGATGATCGATGCGCAATGCTCATGGGCCATCCAGACTTTGGGGTTGCCAGCTGCTTCAATTGCATCCTTCCGATTGAGAGGAGGACCTTGCACTCGAAGCAATCCTGTTCTGTCTGTGGATATGCATAAGCAGCAAGGGAACTCTTCCGGCTCCGCTGGCTTCGGTCCCAGCTTCAACTTGACCGAAATCTTAGGCTGAGAAGATGGACCGGTGGACGTCGCTGATTTCGAGGTGGAGGCTACACCATTGGCTACCTTGGATGGAGAGAGTTGCGAAACGGTGGTTGTCGTAGGTTTGATTTTGATCTTCTTTGTCTTGGGAGATTCCACAACTTCTTCCGGCTTGCGCTTCAACGGGATCTTGAGAGTGGGTATTACACCGTCGCATGTCTCCTCCTTGACCGGTGAAAACCCTGAGCGTTCCTTGCGTTTGCGTTTCGGTTTAGGCATCTGGAAGAGTTCCCCACCATTCTGTTCCATCTCCATCTCCATCTGGGCGACAGCTTTCATAGCTTCCTCAGCGCGATCCTGCAACAGTTGGTCGACATCGATGCGGACACTGGAAACAATCAAGGAGATGAGTATACGTTCACTCAGATAGACCAATGCAGAGCCTACCTGTCCGAGACACATTTACAAGCTTTGGCGACCCGGCCCATTTCGATCCAGCACTCGAGGGCGAAGTTGACACTCTCCGCACAGTTGAACCCCAAGTTGAAACCTGCATGGTACCCTCTGGGGTAGGTGATCACGAATTCTCCGGCATGTTGAACAAGATGGTTTGGCCGGCAGGAAGATTTGGCGAGGAGGGTCGGTGAAGCCAAGAAAGACTTGTGCCGCAGGAATTGTGGACACTGCGAAGTGTCCTTGGGGAAGTAATCTGGACACTATGGCGTTAGACCCAAGGAATCTCGAGAAAATAGATGGGACTGACTCCGCATAGCATGCTCAAGGGTATTAGCTCTGGCTTGAGGGACAGCGTACCAGAATTTGGGGGCACCGAAATGGATGTAGTTGATGCTGTAGAGGTCCATGTCCTCGACGTGCCATGCAAACGTTGCCCGCCACATGCCAAAGTAGAGGTATGGCGTATTTACGCCTGGAAGACCCTGATCGGATGCCGGTAGAAGGCGAGAGAGTGCCGAAGGAAGACGGCCCACATTCCAGACCTTGGTTTCGTCCGTATAAAGCGTTCCTACAGAGAGTCAATGTTTTTCAATAATGACAAGCGTATTGCAACTCACCCTGCGTGTCTGCGCCGTACCAAGCGGATTTCCCAAGCCCACAGTTCCTCCAATAATGCCTCTCCAGTTTCTGGCAGTACTCCGGTGTATAGTCATCCGCAGTTGTGTTTGGGGGAAGCCAGTCCGTGTGTGGGTCGAAGGTGTCGATGAACTCGTTGTCGCGAAGCGCCCGTTCGGCAAGGTTGGCCTGTCGCGCCTCTCTGGTTTGAGCAACGCGCTTGCCTTTGGGTTTTGGCTGTGATTTATCGACTGATTGTTCCCGTTTAGCGGAACCAGAAGCTGGAGTGTCCCCCGCTTCGCTTGGAGGTGGTGATGGCACAGAAGACAGCCGAGAAGCCTCCGTGTAGTTCTTGTCGGATTTGGCTTCGGGAGGGACTGATTCCTTCTTGCGAGCTGTTCGACGAGAGCCACGGGGGATAGCCATTCGTTCTGCACGAGACTGCAAGCCGATGTCTTGCTTTGCAGGGGCCCGGTATTCGTCCTTGCTGCACAGTTCGGCCCATTCTCGCACACTCATGATTCTCCGTTTCTCCATGTTTTGTTGCCGGAATAGACCACCACTCCCAAGCATGACTTGTTCTATTGGCGACCGAATCTTGACTTCCCTTAGCTGAGGCTTGATGTCTGGCAAGGACTCTGACCTGGGTACCGCATGATCCTGGTTAATTGGTTAATTATGACGACTAGGACTGAGAATCATACCATTCTTTGGGCGGAATGACTTTTACTATTCCACTCTTCAGTCCCCAGCAGTTTATTTTGTCCATGTACGCCTCAAAATCCTCGAATTCTTCCATCGTGGGCTTGAAAACAGGGATTCCACGAGAAGCGGTGGGGTCGTCGTCAGGGTCGAGCCACGTCTTGCCATCGGAGTTGGGGGATGGTGGTAGTTGGATGCCCTCGGATCCATAGAAGTGATCAGGTTGGACGACTGGCGGCTCCGGGCTGGGCGACGGACATGGCGTGAGCGACGAAGCTCTCGATGAGTACGCCATTGCTGGTCGGTAGAGAGGTGTCACTCCCTCAGTTGCTCTTGCGGCCCTTGGCTTCGAACAAGTTGGAAAACGGTTCTTTTTCTGGTCTTCGTTGTTGTCGGCGTCGTCAAATATGAGAAAAATGCGCCCGTCGTCGTCGTTGTGGTCGTTTCACGCTGAGCAATTTCGAGGTCTCAATGGGGCGGTTCGTCGGTCGGAGTTTCAAAAGGACCTAGATTGGATCCAGGCGCGGTAAGCCGAGAGTGAGCCGCGTGACACGGTGGTCCGTGCGTTAATGGCCTCGATGGCTAACCCAGACGCGTTCAGTGTTCACGACATGGACGCGTCGTCCCTCTCCACTTCGAGTGGGTCAACTATAAGCCATCATTCAGAGATGAAGTGAAGCGAGATCCCGTGGAAACGTGAAACGGTGGGCTTTCTATAAGGTGGAGCTAACATGAACTTATGGAGATCTGAAGTGAGGATAAATAATCGGGGTATAAAATCCAGGAGAGCACGATCTTGAAAGATCACAGGGGAACTAAGCGCCTACCGAGCCTCCAGGCCGTTGGCGCCCCTCGATAAATTGAAATGGTCTCTGGAACTGGATCCAACGGGTGGCCGTGCCCTTGCTGGTTTCGTCGTTTTTTTGGTGCTTTCAATCTCAAATTCATTATTATCATCTGCGCGCTGATGGTTGCATCGTGTCGGCGCCCTCTGCCATACTGAAACCCCGTAATTCGACTTATTTTGACCTGCTAGTCTCTTGGTGGCTTTCTCGGGCCATCGTTTCGAATTCCACTTACGCACCTTCTGCAGGCGCTCAGATTCTAATCAGAGCTGTCCTATTATCACCAATGATACCCTTAATGCAAGACATTTCAAAAATTTATTGCCTTGTTCGACCCATTAGAATCCTAATAAAACGGTTATCACAATGCTATTCTCGGTCTATGCGGTCTCTTTGGAAACTCTTGCCAATGTCACCTTCAACTGCCAACCCATTCCATGATAATCCATCTAACCACAACTCAATCAAAACCTTACTAAGTATACCCTCGCGAGACTTGCTCCGACCATGAACCTGAAAGTCATTACAGATCTGCAGGAGTTGGAGCTGATGCACCCGGCCTGAGCAATCACCCTCAAAAGTCCATCTATAAGGCTATTCGAGGTCTAACTGTCGTTTTCATGATTCATGTACCTCCGCCGGGCAAGTACCCAGGGGCGATGAAGATAACGACACTTCATACACATACCGCTCTTCACCTTCCCTTGTAACCTCCAGACTTGGATGTCTCTTTCCTATACGTCCGAACTCGGCGTGTGCCTTTCATGCCTCATGTCCACGGTGATTCCGTATGCACCCATCGGCTGTGCGAATTCACCTACGAGAAAGTTAAAAGAGTGATGAAGGGCAAACCCGGCGCTGATTAGATTGCCTGTCATCTGGGCACTGGTTACTCACATCGAAGGCGTCCCATGACCTGGCTTGTTACTGTATTCGCGTTAAACACCGACCGATAAGCGCTAAGCGCCCAGCCACTGTCACGGCTTCATGGAACTTGCCAACAAGGACTGTGATCATATGGAGGTCTATTTAAAGGCTACTTTACCAAATGCATCATCCTGCCTCGAGGCCCCGATTCGTCTACTCGACCGAAGATTTTTATCGCTGTCTGCAGCAACGAACGCAAACGGATCGTTTCCCTGTCTGGGAGCTCTCTTTCGGAGATGCCAGGTTAGACCCTTTTCTCAGAAGAGGATTCCGTCGAATTGCACGTGGAGTGGACACGTCTATCGCCTCGGTGGCAAGCTGCTAACGATGCCACTGTTGCTGATATCGATGAATAGATTAATCTGTGTACTTGCAAGCGTCCGTGGTCGTAGGATGTTTCACAAGGGATGGTTTGCCACCCGTGTGAGGACAAGGAAGCTATTCGATGTCGAGAGCTGGGCATGACACGATTTGGAGACAAGGAAACAGTATTCTTCTGGGAATCATATCCGAGATCGCCAGTTTCGCCGAGCTCCCCCCATGGTCATCGCAGTTGTCAACTCGGAGGAGTTTTCGTTCCTTATACTTTGTTTAACCTTATGAAGGAAACCCACATCAATGGTTCTTACTCTTATCTGCGCGTAACGCCAGAAGTCAAGGGACACAGCGCTACCATCAGCCAGGCGCAAATCGACTAGGATAGCACGCCCAAGTGAAATAAAGACGTATACCCGCGAAATGCACGAACTCAGAAGAAGGAGTAGGGCTTTTGATTGTCGGATAACTTCGAATTCCCGACGATCTAGCTGTCAGCTACAGCTGTGGAGCTTCGTTGTCATTGGTAGACTGTTGGAGAAGCACTTCGAAATAGATGATTGTCTTCGGGGAGGCTGGGCAATTCGGGTTTGGCATGGGGAGCCTGAAATTAGACCTGAACAACCCGACATGCTCTCAGAGACTCTTGGACCTTCTCCGATGCATTTATTCTCAAGACTTCGTAGGTTAGAGCAGGAGGGATGAAAGGACAGAAGTCTCGGCGGGGATTCCGGGGGAACTGGGGATCCCGGGCTCGATATCCGAGCTTCCCAAAGCGCTCCATCACGCTCCCTTTCACTCTCAACAATCATCAAGAAAGTCTCCACATGGTTTTCAGTGCCGCTCGCTGTCTCTAACTTTGCCTTCCTCGTCCCTGAACGTCAGGCTCCCTCCCTAAGCTTCTCTGTCCTCGGGTATGTGATAGCAAATCTCACAGTAGGACGAATCCCATCAGGGCTGTACTGTCGCAACGGGAAGGCTGGGCGCATGCAGATCACAACCCAAGAAACAGTTCACTTTCCCGTCCGAGAACGTGGCGATGCTCACGTACCTGCGGGCAGGCTGGACCCGTCATGTTCCACAAGCCAAAAAGTCATGGGAGCAGACCCGGGCGAGGAAGAAGTCCCTTTGACAGTTGGTGCACAGGCATGGGTGGAATGATCCGGGTAACTGTGGACAGAAAGGGCAGGCACGCCTCCGCCTCTTTGGCGACACATGGAAAAGACGTCGTACAAAGCCGAACACCACCATAGGCGCGGTGGAGATCAGGAGATGAAGAAAATTCGGATTACTCGGAAACAATGTTCTCAACCAAGGGATTGCTTATTGAATCTCGGCCTATGTCATTCTAGAGCCGCTTAACTGTTGTTCGCTATTCGTTTACTGCAGTCACTCCACACACCACGAGCTGAACTGTGTACCGGTGAGTCATTATTCACCGACTCATCCCTGATTGTGGTCTGCCAACTTCATTGGAGTCCTCCATGGCAACGACACAACTTCTATGAATAACTCTTTCTGAGTGTACAAACCGATGTAAGAGTCAGGTATCGTCAGAGCTTTTCCGTCGATTACCCGAAGCTTGGTCGACGAAGCTAACGTGAATGGGAAGAAATCATCGTTTGGTTCGAGGCGTTGTACTCCTGAAAGCGCGGAAGCGTGGAATCGACCCAGCGTGGCTGTTCGTCAAGGCACGACGTCCAAATTTGGTCTCGCATTGATTGACTTGCGAGATCTCAATGGGCCCTTGGGTCTTCATATCCCCCAATCCGGCCGAATAAGCGTGCGAACCACCTCCCTCTTTGGATGACACTGCGCTATATCTGGTAGCCTCTAAACTCCACTCCTCATGTTTTCCCTCTTCCCGAGCCTGGGCACTGGACGAGATAGTTACACGGCGTTGGATAGGTCGAGTCGAGGGTCCCTGATCACCTGGTCTCACCTGGGGCACCTAAAAATTGACCCAAACGCTAAAATAACCGACCAGTCCACGATCACATAACGGTCTATTCTGTCTTTCTCGGAGGCTGTTCATCTGCCTTCCCACATTGCGATTCGAGCGCTGGGATCCAAGATGGATCTGTACTCCATCCGTATTCAGCAGCTAGCCCCGTTTACGGGATATATTTAATTGACCCGTCCCTTGAGCCGTTTTCCTTGATAAAGTCAACATAGCCTGCAGTCCGGGAGTCATTCTTGTCTTCTTTCCCGGAACTCTCCCCTACACAACACTCCTCTACGTGTTTGCCCTTGTTCACTGCCGAGGGCCGTTAAACCAATGCCAGCAATCCGAGCACCCTCTGTGACACACAGTACGCGCCGCGCCGTCATCTCTCCTCGTGGTCACCGTCCCTCACAGCAGTGGCTCTTTGCACAGGTCTTCGATCCGCCTATATGGGTTTCCTTACAAGTTACGACGAGCGCGTTCCACTCCCGAGAACGTTGCCAGTCCCTGTCGAGCGTCGATGCCAGAACTCAAGCATTGATTACCTTCACCACGACGGTACGCCAAGGCGGCTAAGCGCATGCTTTGACAGTGGCTTACTCTTCGGTTGCAGACTCATACCTATCCCAATGGATAGCATCGAGCACAATATTCTCAGAGTTGGAGGCTTATGAGCCGGGTACGTGCTTTTAGACGCGTCGTCCTTTGTATCTCCTTTTCTGACAACACTCATAGTCTCGCACTATCCTCCTCCTTCTTTCAACCACGCCAGCAACGAAGACTCTTATCACAGATATGGTGAATTTTAAGTTATCCATCAACGGGAAACATTTGCTCATACCATTCTTAGAAGATCCCTTTGACAGCACCTCGTTCCCTTTCTATGACACAGCGTCCTCGTCATCCTCCGGGTCACCATTCCCTGTAATGACCGAGTCAGGGATCCCACTTCACGCCATGTCCCCTTCAATCTCAATTACCAGCAGCTCTCCACGGTCTGAACCTGGTGGTACGCCCCCTTCGCCTCGTATGAGGAAAACTTTGTCTGACGGCATTTCCTTCCAGCTTTGTCTCCGCCACTCAGCGATTTTCCGGGGCTCTTTGACCTAGATTACGGTCCATCAGCTTCGCTGGGCGGCGAATTTCACCCGAGCGACTCGTGGTCAACATCACGGCTCTCTCCATTATCCGCATCTCCATCTCCATCTTGCTCCAGCGTTGAAGTCAAGCCGGGCATTTCACGCGATGCTTCTCCCTTAACCGGTGAAACAGAGAAAGTAGACCGGCGCCGTTTCCCATGCCTGATTCTAGGGTGCAACAGAAAGTTCACCAGTCAATACACCCTCAAAGTCCACATGGAGGCACATAAACCCAAACCTCGTGTTTCCTTCCCATGCACTGAAGGTTGCTCTGAGCGCTTTTCTCGACAACACGATCGCTTGCGACATGAAGTAGCAAAGCACGGAAAGATTTGCGAGTTCCTTTGCGACGAATGTGGAAGATTCTTCTCTACGAAGAAAACTTTGGGCAACCACAAATGTCCAGTGGCTCAAGGCGGCACACGATGGGTCACAAGCTAAACATTCGCGACCGCCTCTTTTTTCCTCCTGCTGCTCCGCGCTTCTGACCATTCTCGATCATTTTCTTATTCAACGACGACATTTTATTCACCCCATGGACTTGCTTCGATCGACTTACCTACCTCCTATCATCCGGACTCTTTCCAACCTTGAACGTTGCGCATGGACAGTAGATATTTCACGGACTCAGACTACCGATTGAGAAGTAGCTTATCATGCTCTGTGTAAAAGTAATCCTCACTCTCGTCTCTGCTTGTTACTGAGACACTTATTTTACCAACAAGTACTTGTATTCAATTGTAAATCTCTCTCTGTATCCAACCCCATTGTCAAACTTCTCCCGGCCCATGACTATCTTTCATTCTTCTCGTTCTCGGCCCTGATCGAAGCTTATCTTGCCGTCTGGTGGCCGCCTTCAGGGTGATATTCTGATTCCTGCTCTGCGTCATCAGGCGGCGAATTTCCCTTTTTGGCGCTGAGGACGGCGGCCAAGAAATCTCGTGTCAAGCAGACCCCACACGCCAAGAGAACTTGACCACCATCTGCGGGCGCCTGATACCCGGAACCACGTTCTACGATGTCCGATCGTCCTAGACGCTCTACACGCCAGGCTGCCAGGCCAGTTCCAGTTGCGTCGACAAGCTCACCCTCGAGACCGAAACGCGTCAGTCAACCCATAGAGCCTGCAGAACAACTGAGGATATTGCTTGAGAGCCCAAAGAGCATCTTGACCAAGGTCGATGTTGCTGTGAGTCCTTATGTTTCGTTCTTAATGGCGGCTGATACATCGCTCGTTATAGGATGTCTTCAACCTTGCCGCTTGGGAGATGCTCTCTGCAGAGTCTCGAGCTGCGCTCGCAAAGCTTCTACCTCCCACGGCCTTTGTGGACTACACGCCCTCACTAGATGCCTCACATCCAGCATCTTCAGACATGATGGTCATAGACACGGACCCTAATGCGTCACGTCCCGTGAATCCATCAGCAATCTTTAACAATCCGCACTTTCTCGCCGCAGCACAGACTTTCCAAGACCATCTCTTCTCTGGGTGGCTTTCTCCGCCGCATCTGGAAAAGGTGCAGGTTTTCCAAAAGAGAATTGAGGAAGGAAGCCTCGCTGCACCCTGGAAAGATGAGGTCTGGCTTGAGGAAAACGCTGAAACAACCCAAGCACTCAGTAGCGCAAGCAGTACCACACTCGCTGGGTTCGTTGAATCTTCCAGTCTGTTCCGACCCGCGAAGAAGCTTCTAACCAGGGTATTCGACCTTCACCGAATGTCTTCCCATGGTGTCTCTAGGGGAGCTGCTCAGATCAAGCTCACGACACTCGTCAAGGAGGGGACCATCCAAGAGGGAGACATCTTGGCCTACAGACGAACCTTCACCACTCTCAACATCACTGTAGAGAAGGATGCAATTGTGAGTCATTTCCAGTCATTTTACGCATGGTTAGCTCATGGACCGCCAATTTACTCTCTCACAACGTCTTCGAACACACTACCATGGACCATCTAGATTCACTCTATCGATCCCAAAACCCATTCCCTCACCGTTCTAACCGAAGGTGGAACCGCCAAGGATGTACCAAGCTATCTCCTCGACTCATTGCCCCAAAACCCATCCCTTCCCACTAAATTGACAAACATCACAAGTCCGTCCACTTTGGAAACTGGTTTGCTGGACACCGACGGTCGCGTCGAGAAGTCAGCACGACCGAACGGAAACGCATGGAAAGCGATCACAGTGTGGAGAAGGAGAACTGGCGTCGACGCGATCCCTGGTGACAAGAGAGGCGGCAGAGAGAATCACGGAACTTTGTTCTATCTTCGAAGTGTTTACTACAATGAACACTGACTCGAGCCCCCGTCTATTCATCTCAACCTTTGTGAATTGTGACGGTGATTTTTTGGCATGTCGGAAACCCTGGTTCTGACAAGGATCTGGCGCCTCCGTCGCCCAGGTGGTTACCTTGTGAGCCGTTCCGAGCGTTCCAAGTCCACGAAACCGACCGATGACCTCACCTACGACCACGAATATCAAATCCCGGAAATTCGGCCCTGCGACTTGACGCATAAACCTGTGCGCTCCTACTCCTTCAGGAAATTCAGGGCCTGTGTATGTATGCTCGGATTGGAAGCGTTTTCGTAAAGTCCTTCCCCGAAACGGAAGTGCTGTTAAATCGCGGCTACCAAACCAGCCTCCGCCGTCGACAATCGAGCGAGAGAAAATCAACAAGGCGGGTTAGGAATGTAAAAGGATACTTAATGACAGATGCGAGCCAATGCACCCAATATGTGCGCACAGGAATTTATTCAGATCTGTCGCTGAAGCAGTGGCTTGAGCGGTGTTTGTCGTAGACGCGTGCAAGGCGTATTCAATCCGAGAGTGTGAATCGAGGCGGTGTTGCATATATGGCCATGGGTCCCATGGGACGCTTGTGGCGGGCACCTTCCAGGTCATAGTACACAGCATTCAGGTATAGGGTCCTTTAATTCGACAATACCACCAAGCCACAACACTACTGTTCATCAGATACTTTCCGTCTCCTATCAGAAGGGAATGGATGGGGGCTATCTCTTGCTCTGCCCACCCTTCATACCGGTTGTTGACCTTCGTTTCTTACCATTCTCGTCTAGGTCAAGCAAGGGATTCAAGTGACCTTCATTGTGGAGGGCGGTGATGAATGCCTTGAAGAAAGGCTCATAGTCGAATGTGCGGTTGATGTGCTCAGTCTGGAATGGATTCAAACTTGTTAGTGACCATCGCTTTGGTCCCAATTAGACGTAACTTACATTTGTCCTCCTGCCTTTGGATAATTCATCTTCGAGCACGATCACTGCCTTCCTGATGTTGCGGACGCAAGAGTTCCAAGCAGTGACCAACTCCCCTTGTGACATGGCCATTATCTCGATGTCTCGCTCCATTCGCTTGGACGCAAGGGCCGGTCTATCGAGTTCATTGAAGGAGAATAAGGCCTGTCGGTCATTACCGGTGATCGTGTCCTCCCACAACGCTAGATCTACCTATTGTTGAGGTTAGTTTTGTTACCACCTCGGATAAGGTTTCGTTTCATGCACTCACTTTGGTCTCCCAATTATGTTCCATCCTCTTTTCAATACTTACTTTTTCTCGTTTCAGTAACTCGAGGTCGTCAAACGCAGCCTGATACCCATCGTCGACAATAGCCAAAAGGCTAAACTGGATGTTACTCCCATCGTCCCCCGACCCTCCGTATTTGTCCATCTTCAAACGCAGAGCTGGACGTACGACATCCATCCAAGTGTTCCTTGGATCAGATCCACTCTGGTGAGGCGACTCGGGAGCTGGCAGTTCTCCGACTTCCAGCGGGCCAGACTTGAATCCGTCCAGTTCCCAGACTTTGCCATGAGCTGGGACATAGCCTATGAAATGATAGCTCTGTTCAATCTCCTCCTCCTCCTGCCTTGACTTTCCCTTGCTCTTATCTTGAGCCGCATCGTCACCCTTTCGCTTTTTGGCTGGAGGAGGCTTTCCAGCTGCAACCTTCTTCCGACGCTCTTCTTTCTGCTTCTCTTTCTCGATATCCAGCGTCGTCGTCGCCAGGGTATTAATGGCACCGCGAACATCAGCTGGTCTACAATGTTCGATTAACGTGGTTGAATCGATCAGAGGCCAATGGAAATACCTATTTACCGAGCGAGTGAATTGTGAACTCGACGGAACAAGGGGACGTTTGTTACCGACAGGCCCCTCATCTGGATATCAGATATCACAGACCATTCAGCCATACGACCCCCCGCACAAGTGACGCAAGTGGACATACCACGGGGGACATCTGACTCGTCTCTTGCTTGAACTGAGTGAGATACGGCCCAACATCGATCCCTGGGCAATTCAAGATCACATTTAGGATCGCATGGGTCGCACATGCGTCATCGCTGAGCTGGTTGGCGAACCAGACACTCCCGGCAGCAGGATCCTCGAAGTCTGCCGCACGGTGATTATCTTTGTGCCACAGGAAGCAGAATACAAGCCCGTATGGCCTGAGGTGATCCAAGGCCCAAGGTTCTATTCCATAAACCTCGACAACTTCGACCCCCCGTACGCCGAGTTTCCGCACGAGGGAGGTAAAGACGCCTGGTGGAAGTGTCTGAGTTTGCGAATTCAACTGTTTCGAACTGACATACCAGGATCCGACTCAATAACAGCAAACGGTCCGCCGACTAGGTCGATGGGTGTAGGCTGAGAGTGCATTTGGTAAGAATCCATGGTTGCATGCGGAGATAGTTGTCACTGAAAACATATTCCAACTTGAATTCAACTCCGCTTCTTCTTCTACTCCCCACACGATGCGACCTACACGTACAAGAGTCAAGGCGTCCAAATATCCTGACCTGGGCCTCAGATAGGGCGACAGTGCGATTTCTTGTCAGATCGTGAAGCGCTATGTAATTCATGGATTCGCCATCCTGAAGGCCTTCTGGAGCCGTCGTATGTCAATAGGGGTATCGGTGAAATATCGGCCAATGGGCCTGGTCATTGGGCAAAAGCTTCGCCGGAATGTAGTCCCACCGTCTACGTATTTAAAGTCGCAGGGTACTTACCAGCCGACAAGAACGGTGCCATCATGTCTCTTCTGAAGATCTCTGGAACTAAAATCGTCAATGAGCAGGGGGAAGAGGTCATCCTGCGGGGTGCAGGTTTGGGCGGATGGATGAAGTACGTTCAACTTTACTCTAAGCGCCCGAAGATGTAGCTTACATCTCTTCTGTAGCATGGAGAACTTCATCACGGGTAAATAGGGGTATTCCAATCGAGATGCACGTCTCTAAGTGTCACTCAAGGCTATCCTGGCTGTGAATTCCACATTCGCGAGGCCCTCGCTGAGACTATTGGCAAGGAGAAATCCGAGTTCTTCTTCGACAGGGTAAGCGCTATGCATTGTCGAATAACCCGCGCAAGATCGACTAACTTTGTCAATACAGTTCCTGGAATACTTTTTCACCGATGCCGATGCGCAATTCTTCAAGAGCCTGGGACTCAACTGCATTAGGATTGCTTTCAACTATCGTCACTTCGAGGGTTCGTCCGAGTCCATGGTCCACTCCTTGACCATGCGCTTACCGTCTACGTGTTACAGACGACGACAACCCCCGGGTTCTGAAGACCTCTGGATTCAAGCACCTCGACCGAGTGATTGATATCTGTGCGAAGCATGGCATCTACACCATCCTTGACATGCACACTGCACCGGGAGGTCAAAACACCGACTGGCATTCAGACCACGGGACACACATGGCCAACTGTGCGTGGCTTACAGCTTTCTTATCTTTGACCTCATGTTTTTGACTTGAACTCTCCAACAGTCTGGAACCATAAGGACTTCCAGGATCGCAGTCTCTGGTTGTGGTCTGAACTCTCAAAACACTACAAGGGCAATAAATGGATTGCCGGCTACAACCCCCTAAACGAACCGACCGATCCCAAGCACACTCGTGTTGTTCAGTTCTACAACAACGTGTACAAGGTCATCCGAGCTGAGGACCCGGACCATATCATCTTCTTCGACGGAAACACCTTTGCTTCCGACTTCTCTCACTTTGGTGACGCTCATAAGAACTGGGAGAATACCGCGTATTCCATCCACGACTACTCCAACTTTGGATTCCCTAACTCGCCAGTGCGGTATGTCGGAGACGATGAGCAATTCCGTCGCCTCCGCCGCAGCTATGAGAAGAAGCGACAGTGGATGGATGAGCGGGGACTGTGCGTTTGGAATGGAGAATGGGGTCCAGTTTACGCTCGCCGTCAGTTTGATGGCGACCGCATCGACGAGATTAATGAATCTCGCTACAAGGTCCTTGAAGACCAACTCAAGATCTACAACCAGGTATTCCCTGTCATTCCCTCGCTTTCCGAGCACAACCTGAGCCGTTTCCCGAATAGGACCGATTGAGCTGGTCGATCTGGCTCTACAAGGACATCGGCTTCCAGGGTATGATCTACACCTCACCGGAAACCAAGTACATGACTCTCTTCAACGACTTCCTCGCTAAGAAGCACCGTCTGGCAGTCGACGCCTGGGGATCAAACGACGCGCTCGTTCAAGACGCCTACCAGCCCCTCATCGACCACATCCTCAAGGAGATCCCAGAGAAGTATCAGAATCTCTACCCATACCCGATCTGGAAGGTCCCTCAGCGCGTTGGTCGTCTCGCTCGCAGCATCCTCGTCGCCGAATACCTGGTCAAGGAGTGGGCAGAGCACTTTGTCGGCTTGAGCGAGAAGGAACTCGATGAAGTCGCGCAAAGCTTCAAGTTTGAGAATTGCCTCAAGCGCGACGGGCTGAACAAGGTCTTGCAAGCCAGTGCTCCTGGGGTACTTGGCGCTGCTGGATCTGTCTGAGCTGTGGTAGGCCCCTAATCAGGTCGGATCTTATCTGAGTGGGAATGAAAGGTAGCAGGAAGTGAAATCCGCCATGTATTATTAGCGCGTTGAAGATAACGACGTTCTCGTTACTTTCCTCGAACTGGGTAGAATGGGGCTCAAAGCGGTGGCGACTAGGGACCTCGCCGACGACGTTCTGCAGTCGAACTCCGAACCGGTGGCACTAAGACATACACACATTGCGATAAAAGAAATAGGTACATGCATACAACGGTGGTCCGACCCTTGTGGCGTCGAGCGCGAGGGTGAGTCACGCGACGGGGTATATCTAACAACTTGTTTATCATCGGTCGGCACATCGACCACGAGGACTCGCTTCCATCTGCCACCTACGGAATTGTCGCGCTCTAGAACCTTTAGCAACCGTTGAGGATGCTAGTCAACGCCGCTTTCTCCGCCGAGTCGACGGAGAGGTTGTAGTGGCGTTTAACTTGGACCCAGGCTCGCGCATAAGTGCAGCGATAGCTGGACAGAGGAGGCATCCATTCAGCAGGATCTGCAATTCAGACCACGAAAGTGCAACATGTCAGTTCAACGTCAAAACTTGGAGATGGAACATGAAATCGAGATTTCGGCGTACCTTTATCACCTGGTGTCGGGAACCCATGCACCAAAGAAGGGAATGAGGGTCAAAAAGGTTATTGTCGTTTTGTGATCCCCGTGTGGCAAGGTAAGGAGATTGCGCGTAAGGGTTTGCATGATTAGAAAAGGGGTGCAGAGGTGTTAATCAGCATCAGTCCGTTGGTTTCGCCCACTAAAAGTTTAGAATAGAAATAGCGCCCAAGCACAAGGCGTGAAGCATCGAGGAAGGAAACTGGAATGGGAGTGAGAAGCAAATGAAGAAATCTAAAACATAACAGATGGAAAAGGAGATTAATTGAATCCACGGGGCGTTATATTTCGACCGTGAAAATATGGAAACAAGACAAAAGTTAAAAATAGAACCGAACTCACCCTTAGCTTGGTTCAAGCTGTCAAAGCCAGGAAAGGTGGAATTAAGGGGATAGGGATAAGTCGTCAGTTTGCGTCGAGCGCTCGATGAGAATACGAGAGAAAACTCAGGTCCAGGGAAAAGGGCCAAGGCCTCCTGAGACTATAGGAGATTGAATTGAAAAACAAGACACGCACTCGTCGGTGACCGCCACGAGCTGCGGGCGAATGAGGTCGTTGGCAAACGCCTGCCTCTGAGCGGTGGTCCAGTATCGAGCACCAGAGACCCAGGCCTGAATGAACGAGAACCAAGATCGTTAGTTTGGGAATGAACACAAAGCGATAGTGACGCACCTCCTTGAGAGGGACCAGATGATCCTGTTAGGGTGAGATAAGGGCAGATTAGTGAAGGGTGTCTGTCTCTCGGTGGCTGGCGAACACATATCATTTTCTCCCCCTAACTCCCACTCGATCCATTCGTCCATTTCATCGGAGGTTCACTGGTCCGATGAGTTTGAGAGTGATCGAGTGGAGTCGAGGTGAGGCCATGACAAGGTACGGATAGGATGTGGAAGGGGGAGGAAAGAGGTTGACATGATGTATGAACGGTAAACGTACGATGTCGAGGTCGCTTGCAAGCGTGGTAGGAACGTTATCGTAAGGAGATACCCAATGGCCAGAGGTAGCCGCGCAGTTGGAGCCGGTGACAACATTGGTGCCGTCTCGTTTCAATACAGCTGTTTTACGAAAATCAGGGGGAGTTCGTCGAAGTAAGGGAAAGGAGGGTCCGATCATCCGGCCTGGTACCTACTTTCACGGGTGTTGCACGTGCCTGAGACTGAAAAATGGTTGTGGTTATTCATAGTTCAACGATCGGTGAAGGGACGATAAGGCGAGAAATGGAGGATGAAACCAACGAAGGACTGCAGACCGTCAGAGAGAAAATGAACAAATGAAAGCGGTTGAAGTGGATGGTGCCGCCGAAACAAGGTCAGATCAAAACACAATGCCTGGTGACAAAACAGGAATGTTGTTAAAAGTAGTAGATGGAAATACTCACTCGTAATCCAGTGGGGGAAGAGATCTCGCTTATAGGCAGGAGAATTGGACTCGGGCTCGACGGTCACTGTAAGAAAAAGAGAGTACTATTAGCGCCAAGCTCCAAAATGCGATTGAAAGGCAGCCGCGATGGTAAGTATCTTGGATCCAGTGTCCTTGACGATGGATGCATAATGGATCATCAGGATACCAGTTGCCCAGACACAGCAACGGGGTATACGAGAATGCAATACATTGGTGGAGATGGTAATGTGGAAGCATCGCTTACATTGAGAGAGGTAGGTTCGAGCAGTGGCGGCGCTGACCGGGGTAGGCAAAGCCCGTTGTTCAAGAGGGGCAGCCAAAGATAGCACGGCGAGAGGGACAATTGCAAGGGCAGTAGTGAGCTTCATGATAGCTATCTCGGTGGCTACGCTCGGCTGGGATGCAAGAGAGGGGGTGCTTGTGGTCGAAGGAAGGGTGACAAGGAGAGCAAGCCTGTTTAAATAGGCTTCAGGCGACCATGCGGGAGGCCTGCCCTTCCTTCGCTTCCACTGCCTGATTGGATTAGCATACACATGTGTCGTCTGGCTCGCACTTTCGTTGGTTGCTGGACGACCGGGCAGTTCGATACCTGGTTCTGTCAAAGGATCTATTGACGACCCAAGGACATCTCAACCCCAAACGCATGTGGGACCTCAACTCATGTGGCCTTGATGGTTCCCTCTATCTCGCGTCAAGATAAGCCCAACAGAGTATAGCCAAGGCTTTGCGCGATACGACTCACCTAAATTCAGGAAAAAGAACATTCAGATAAGAAGTTGAACGATGCTTGGGACGCACATGTCAAACGAACCTTCAATGTGGCGGATACGGATAATTAAGAAGGTAGAACGATTCGTGGATTAATCAGGCCTCTCTATTGTTGTAATGTCGCGTTGAAGGGCCAGTGTTCTGAGAAATCGTGATTTCTACGGAGATGCAGAGAAAGCGACGGCAGTGCATAACAGAATAAAGTAGGGACAAAGGGAATGAACGTTGGAGGGAGCCACAATATTGTTTACTGTCAGAGCGACAATTGGCGGGCATGGAGTGCTTTCGGAGATGTTGCCGAAGGTATTTTGGCGAACGTGTGGAGCTAAGCGAACGTCGTACTGGAAGCGCCCTCGCGACACGCGCTCGAGAAGGTCGGAAGGGTCACATGAGGGACTCCGAAATTCCCGACATCAAGCGCCGCCCTTGTTGACTCTAGGAAAGGGAGTGGTTCTCTACCAGAGTGCCTGACAAGCTGTGGCGCATCTCAGGCTTCGAAGAAACGTTGGCGGATTATCAGTAGACCAAGGGTGGCGAAAGCAAAGATTCGGTGCCACACAAGCTTCAAACAGAGTAAATAAGCAATGTGCGCTTGTCACAGCTTCGAGATAGTCGGGCTAGATGTCAGGTCGGCTGTAGTGAAGAGCGAATTTGCAGAACTTACTCCACATTTGTATGTAACCATTCCACCAGTTCCTGAACGTTTGAATTACCGTCGTCCGAATATTGTGGGATCTAGAATTAAACACGGTGGGGAAGAAATGACCGTCTGGACAACACTGAAGAGCTCCTAATCCGAATCTAACCGCTTCCCGAAGGGAGGGACGCCATGAAAGCAGTACTTGGAAGAGGATGAGATAATTGAATTTGTGACTGGTTGAATTTGGAGAGGAGATCAAAATATATGAAGTCCGACGGGCATCACGTGACCGTTCATGAGCGCTTCCGGGCGCCTATCATTCGAGAATCGATTCCTTGCTCCAAGCAAGGCCCTGAACATTCATATTTACGTAAGTTTTCCCTTACATAGCAAGTCAATCTGTATGTGTGCTCGTGTCGATGTGTGTTTGTTTCTGTTGTTTATCCACCTCCTCCAAACTTCAATATCGCATCCAACAATCCCCGTCGACCATCGATCGTTTCATTCCCCTCCCTTAAATCTCCATGCCTAATTTTATCGCTTTGGGCGTTTACCCCGCTTCCCAGCTGCTCACGGATTCTATTTACAAACACACCTGTTCCAGACGATAAGATCCCATTCCACTCAATTCTAATATGTCTTAGATCGCTTCACCTCAACACTCACTCTCAGTTGCGACCTCTCGTGCATTTCAGGTCTAACCATTCCCCTTCAAAAATACCATGTAATTCATCTAATTATAATAACCCAACTCCTTCCTTTCTTTACCACCTTTCACCACTCTTCTCTCCAATACCCGCCTCCATGTTCCCCATCGAGACGTGGACTGCCATTGTGGAGTCTGTGCTTGACTATGGCTTCTCATCGACCGTCAGCGACATCTCTCTCCTTTCACGATTCTTCCGCCCTATCGCGCAGCGTGTTCTCTTTCGTTCTGTCACAATTTCAGATAATATTCCTCGCAGAGAAGAACCCCAAGCTATGACTCGTTGGTTAAACAATATTCTCAATTCTTTCGAATCAAACCAGGACATACCAACATATATTCGGTACCTCACCATTGTTTGCTCCTCCAACAGTGGCCAGTGGATCGCTCACGAAGATTTCGCCAACATCATAACGCAAATAACCCCCGGAAACCTAGTCGCCCTTCACCTTTCCTCTATCAACCCGTCTGGTTTCCCTGCGGAATGGTTGACCCCCCTGTTGTGGTCACACCACGGGAACTATATCGAAACCTTGACGTTCGACAACGTCACCGCCATTAATTTAGACCATGTCCGAAGACATTGTACAAATCTTAACGCCCTTCATTTGTATGGTATCGATCCCGAATTCGATGATACCACAACCCTCAGTCCTCCCATTCCTCTCCGACATTTATCATTCAGCATTCGCACACGATCTCGTCCTCACTTCCCTCGCCTTCACACCTCTCACGCTCGAGAGTTTCTCACTTCCTGCGTAGTCTTCAACGATCTTCGTACCGCCGTCCTTTCCACTTCATACGCCATGGAGATTGAGGTCTTATCCCTTGTCCTGAAAGAATCTCCTGTCCTGGACAAGTTGACGTTACAACTGTTCACTTATATTGGTCTGTCTCATTCCACTTGCCATGCACACATACTCACGCCGCCTTTAGACATTCCTCGCTCTAATTTCCATGACCTCGCTTCCATTCACAAACAAGTCAAGCACCTTCACCTCTTCGGCCTGATATCCCCGGGATCGCTCAGCCCTATTTTCCCAGTAAAGCCGTTCGCAACTGCACTAAACGTCCTTGAGAACGACTTTGTCAAGGAAATTACCATTGAAATACGCTGGGTATTCGATTCTGACTTCTTCACTGTTATCGATGCCACAGAAGACTGGTCCTCAATCGACACTCTCCTGGCCTCTCGCAAGACGGATCTCGCCGTCACCCTTCATTTTCATTCCATGGCGGCCCTCGACCCTCTCTCTTGGCACCAGGGCGTCGTTAATCGCTTGGTCCATCACCACCATTTCCATGATATCGCTTTGACCTTCCATCCGACCAAATTCCACCTCGACCAACTCGTTCGTCTTTTACCCACCGCGTTCCAGAACAAATTTATAACCATCCGCGTCATATGACCATGGAACAATAACCATCCGCAGGTCCGCTTTAAACATACCCTTGGTCCCTTCTTCCCCCTTAAAAACCACTCACACGCGCTTGCTATTAGTTCAAAATGCAATCTGCGTCGATTCCTCAGCTTCCCGTCGAAACCCAGCTTCCGATCGAAACCCAGGCCCGCGGGCAACTCCATGTACACTTCCTTGCATGGTTACCTATGCCGTATCCAGCCCTATCATCCATGGATGATTACACGCAGCTCGATTCAAACGACGCCCGCAGATTTGCTTACGTTTACCGCTATGCATCGCGCATTAACCTTGGTGCCCATTTCTCCTTTCTTCCAACCACCCAGAGCCTTGCCCCGGTGCTGGTCTCTCCCCACCCACGAATCGTCAACGTCTATCGGCTTTTCCAGACACCACCTTTTTACTTGATACTAAATGTCGAGGTTCGTTTGGACGTTCCAGGAATCCCGACTTGTTAACTTATCCGCCGCTGTTCTAGGACGATTCACCCTTCACCATCGTTTACCTTTTATCCGAAATTCCTTAACTTCTGTACTTATAGCATTCCCTCTTGTTGTTTGCTTTACATGACCCGTTGAATTCGTCCTCCTTGATGACCTTCCAGTTTCACATCTCTTTTGTTTTCACTCGCATGTATAAATAACACATTCACTGGCTCAAACTTTACCTTCGACCGCGACCAAATGCCTCCTCAAAACACTTCCAACTCACGGGCTCTACGGAACTTCCGGGTGTTGCATCGGAACCTACTTTTGAACCGTGCAGACCGGCAAACGAATGAAATAACCACGTTGGCCCAACTCTATGGCCTGGAAGTCACGGTATCTTACTTACATGGTGTCATAATCTTGTACCGAGTGAGCCTGTCTTATCTTGCTCTAAAGACGCATTCTAATTGTTTTCCAAGCCTATCAATGGATCTTTCTTACTGTATGCCGCTTACCCTCTATCAGGTCCACAAGACGACGATTAGCTCCACCTCGACTACTAGGTCTTTTGAGTCTCCTGCACTACTGACCTTCACTTTTTCGCCGATTGTATCAATCTCACTTCGACGATTCACAGTTGATCGGTTTCACCGGGTCCATGTCTTCTTTGTTTTCTTATGGTCCACGCATTGGTCCAAGCTACAATACAAGTCCTGAGGTCCCTGCACTCACAGCTACATCGACGTCTGAGACCCGTATTCACAAGTTCCTTCAGAGCCCTAATCACTAGTGGGTTGCAGGCCAGTGAATGGCAATAATCCGGGCCTGTTGGGCGTTTAATCCTGGCGTTGCCAATCCCATCACGTACTTAATCAGGCCGCTTTGATCCGTCGTCGTTGCTATCAATACCTGCATTCCAAGGTCCCGTTGCCTGTGTTCGAACCGGTGCTGGCCACCTTTACTCTCATTCAGCCCAAAACAAAAAAAAAAATTAAAAACATTACAAAACGCCATGCATTCAATTCTCCCAGTCCACCAGGTCTAGAGGAAGGCACGCTTCACATGTTCTACAGAAATGGCATCTAATCTTGCGTCGCTTGTACCCCCACATCTCTGGAAAACAACAATCGCGGATGGCGAATGCACCCAGGATTGTCGCACGAAGTAGACAACCTCCACTTGAAAACATCGCCCCCTAACAATGCATCCTTGTCCAGCTCCGCCAGCGCTCTGAATCCCCGCCATCCATACGCGAGCTGCGACCATGACCATGATTCCTCTATCGACAGCTGATCGCCAGGCTCCTCAACTTTCTCCCACCACCTCCCGAACACTTCCCTCTCTTTCTCGCCATTCCAGTAAAACACTCCGATGCCACTTCCCTCGTCGCCTTTTCGCCAGCTTGCCGGGCATAATTTCCCACAGTCAAAACCCCACGCCTGGTTTGAAGCCTGCACAGTTGGCCCTTTCCGTGCTACGTCGTTCCGCACTCGATTCCATCTTCCCTTCAATGCGAGAAATTGATGCGCTAACTTCGGGTATACCAAATAGATTCGCGATGCCGACACCACCACCATGTCCTCAGTGGTATCGCTGGCCACCACAGCGCGCATTACACCGCCCGTGCTTTCGACGATCCTCAGGTATGTTGCTTCCTGCAACAGTATGTAAGTCCTCTCCATAATATATGGCAGCTATTACCACTCACCTCATCCTTTCCCGCTTTGAATTCAATCACCCGTCGAACCATATTTTTTGTGGCACGATAAACATCGACCTGCTTCCACTCCTTCAAATCCATCTTCGCCAGCTCATTTACCAGTTTATCCATCTCCCCGATTGGTATCGCCAGTGTCATCCGCTTGACCGGAGTATAGCCTTCATCCCACTTCTCTCCCCACGTCATCACCTTCAATGCAGTAGCCCCAATGACCCCACCTCCCCGCTTGCCCACAGCCTTCAACAACCAGTCCACGTCGAATCCCAGTCTAGTCGCTAGGGGTTCCAACGTCGCGCGTATTCTGAACCTGGCAGTGTCTTGAGCGATTATTCGGAATCGAACGCACACACCGCCGATCACACCAAGATCCCTCCAACCGACGTGGCTGAAAACCCTGGAGAGAAGCTCGTTGTTGTCCAGGACCTTTTCTCCCTTTGCGCCCGCCAACCCCCGAAGACGTTCAGCGTTTTTGCCTGCTCCAGATAGCCACGAATGTGGGGCGGGATGGTTTGACCAATGGAACGTCATGGATGGTTGTAGCGATCCTGGTGTAGTGGTAAAAGGAAAAGTTCTATTGACCCTATCCAAACGCCCTCATTCGAATTCCCTTTGATCCAGCCCGTAATCCACGGCATACGCGGCCACAATACAATCTATCAGCTTTAAATCGGCGTACTCCACCGGCAACAAACGACTACCCTCGTGCGGCATGAATTTGCAAACCAAGACGTTTCCCCATACTCTTGTCTTCACTCCCGCGATCGCCTCGATGGCACGGTTTATTTTATTCCTGCTGCCGTAATCCTCGTCCTGCGATTGTGAACACGTTGTCTCAACGAGCAAAAACTCTGCCTCACCTCTCGACTATAGAATATCACATAACTTTCTGGCATGATTGCGGTCCCCGAATCTTTCGGGAATCGGGTTACCGTGACTGTCGATCGGTCAATCGGAATGACCTGATTGTCGTCAATTCCGGATTTGTGCAACCAAGGATTGATGTCCAAATCCACCGGTCGAGGCTTCTCCTCGTAACCCCTATCGATTTCCACGTCCACGAACCGCGCTTCGTGGTCTCCCGTAGCATAAAGCGCGCACTTCATAGTGCGAAGATTGCTCATCTGTGACACGGTTAGTTTCCGAACACCGAGGATTTCGACGACTTACCTCCACCCGTTCAGCAACCTCCTGCGATACCCTCTCGATATCTGTCCACCATTCAGGGGCCTTAGACGTCATGGTGTTTTATCAGGGTCCGGGAACACAGCGCGCCCTCTCGCAACCCTTACACCCGCCCCTTTATGGCTGTCCGCCCAACGGACGGCTCAACTTCTTTGTGCCGGGGGGGTTTTCTATCTGATTTTTCCGATCATTCCCCCTCACTTACCTCTCTGCCGGGTCTCGTCTACTACCCCTGAATCAACGCGCCGACTCGCCACCAAACATGCATTTGTCGACGACAACAGTTCCCTACGGTGTCGCCTGTAATTTTGGCGGCTCTTCATACAATTTACCAGATAACGCTACACGAAAGTCACGCTGTGTCAGAGGCGTCTTCCCCCCACAAGTTACCATCCTCCTTCTCCCCTACGATGACCTCCTGTAATCTCGAAATAGCAACCGAGGCCTCCCTCAAACAATTCTTTCCCTCCTTGGCCAACATGTCCGACTTCGTCACCGTAGACGTTAACTCCTGGACGCGCCGAGTGAGCTTCGCGTTCCCTAAGGCAAAAGTCAGTCGACATCCATAATGCAAGAGATAAATGTCCACTTTGAATTAATCCTAATTTCTCTGTTTAAACTCCATTGTCAGGCCGACGCCCGTCCACTCAGAAAGGCTCCACTCACCCCCCTCCAATTCCGCGATCCTTTTGCGTAGATGCACTATCTCCGTCTTTTGTTTACGGACTGAGGAGGTTGAGTCATGATCAATCCTCGATAAGTATGTGACACTTACTTCGCTCGATGAACCCTTCACCAGACCCTTCAGGGTCCACCTTCACCGCAACGTTGCCGTCGTTCGAGGATGCCCTTCCCTTTCCCTTCCCTGTCCCTCCGCTACCACCAGAAGAGTTTTCCGATTCATCTTCTGCAGCTTGGTACGTCGATGGGTGAATTAATACTTCTAGACCACGGTAAACGCCAACACTTACCTTTCTTTCTCTTGGAAACTCGCCTAGTCGATGCGCTTTCCGACATGGATGTACAGTAAGAAGAAAGGATCTCGATGAACTCCTGTGTTCGTACGACATATAAACCCGGGTACTCGGCAGCTATTGTCTCCGTTACTGACATCAATTGCCGAGTGTGGTGAAAACCAGTCACGATCGCTCAGCCTACACGTCGATAAAGGACCATTGTGGCTTGACCACTTCCGGCTGATGTCCACCAATCACTGTTTAACGCCGTGCCTATATTCCCAACTCTCTCCGCCTCCGCACCCCTCATTCCATCCTGAAAATAAACATCCCCGTTTTCCATTACAGCCCTGGCAGTAAAATGACGAGCAGTTGGATCGAAGTAAATTAAGCCGCACACAACGTACTCAACATCATTCGCCAAAGTTACTCGATCGTTTACCTTTGTATTACGCGCTCCAGTCGTCTGTACGCAGAAGAAGTTTCCTACATCATGGACCCACTTCATGTGGCCTCCGCACATTTCGCACCCACCATATATAGCCTCTCGGTTCCTTATGTCGTTCTGAATGTCGACAGGTACTTGCGGGCCGAACGCTCTCACATCAAACATGCGTGTTATGTTGAAGATACCGGGGGACAACAACTCGCTCTCCGCATTGACCACACTCACCCTCTGTCTCGAAACGACTTGTCCTGCCAAATAAATGCTCTGTTACTCGTACTATGTCCGCTCCCCTGTTACCTATAGGGAAATCATCCACCCCTTCCCGTGCGTTCCTTCGCAATAGCCTCCTCCAGTCATCCCTGACTGCCGTCAACCCTCGGTCCACGTCTCGAGATAGTCTACATTCAGCAAACCGCCTTGTCATCAGCTCGAACGACGGACTTAGGGTCGAAAGTTCATTAACCCACCTTACCCTATCTGTTTTCCACAGCTGAAATAAGATAAAGATCCAGCAATCGTAGGCGCAACTGTGGTCAACGCTATCCCATACTGGACCAACGACTTCACTGCCCGTAGCTTGTGGAACCGTACTCTGTGTCCTGCTCTTGATCACGCCCCTGCTGGTGTCGCCCTTCTTTCGTTTCACAGCCCTGGAGTGCACGACCCCTTTTACGCGCACGTCTTGCTTTGGTCGCCTATATTCGTTCAAATCTGGTTCCTCTCGCAAGACCGGATGCCATTCCACATCGTCGACCATGCCTTGATTCCACTTCTTGTAAGCGTCAATTGTGGNCCACCTCGTTGGCTTTACGATGCTATCTGGCAACTTCTCGTTGAAGCGCAGTTCTGTTATCTGGTCCAGGTAATTAAGTTCACGGAACTCTTGGTCTNAGCCACCATATATACCACCCTGGATTTTTTCGACATCGAAATCGCGAACGATCAGGGTCCCTTGTGCGCTTCGTCCTCTGGATAGGCAGGTGTACACTGCCTGGTGGTTTTTGCACATGGTCAAATCAACCACATTGATGGAACGAGTTTTCCCTTGGGAAGAGTAGTCAGTCATCGAGAAATTGGGAAGGACTGGAATTTGTCGCCTGTTTATTTTGTAAGTCTCGCCGTTTGGAACCCTTGCAGTTACTTGACAGGAATTCTTGGTCAATGGAACCACGTTAACGGGTAGATTTGGTAGTTTTACTTCCTTAGGTGCATTCTCCAGTCTCACGAACAATGTCTCCAGAGTCTTTCTACCCGGGAATCCAGGGATTTCTTGTGCTCTCCAAGCCACAACTGTCGCTTCTTGCCCCTTTGTCATGCACAGATCTGTGGCGTCGTTGTGACGGATAAGGACAGGCATTCCGACGCAAATCGTCACGCTTGCTGGAATGTTTTCGCTCGAGCTTGGACGTTGGTTCCAGAGTAGCTTCTGCAGGTATGGGTTTATGACCCTCGTGGAGTCTTCTGCTAGCACGGTGTTTACGTCGTTTGAGTATGCCTTGGAGAGAGTGTCCAGGCTGTATTCGGTGTGTAAATCCTTCCATGTTCCGCGGCAAAGCGCTTCACGTTTTGCTCGTTGTAGATGTCCTTCTGAACGTTCCGCGACGTGATGATGGACACGTACCGCCAAGGTTCTTCGTCAAGGCTCAAGCCATTTACAGAGCCCGCGATTCTGGATTTCAGGAAATTGATGTCATCTTCCGTGCAGGCCTTGTAGCGAAGATTTTCCAAAGCTCTTCTAAATCTTACATCGTCGTCTGATTGAGAGGTTTGCCTCATATTCGCCTTAAGCATTACAACAGTAGTGAATTGAAGCCAGATTGACTTCCCAATAGTCTCCTCCTGCTGCTCTACTTTCTGTCGTGGTGACTGCCTCAGAGACACCTCACCGCTGTACAGCGCGTGTCCTTTTGTAGGTGGCAACTGGGCGAAATCCCCTGCGAAGATCATGTTCAGTCCTCCGAAGGGCTTTTCGTGTACATTCATTGCGTCGCACAGGCGCTCGCTTATTCGACACACATCGTGGCAAGACAGCATAGAAACTTCATCGATAAAGATGTAGTTCACACCCATTAGCCTTTCCCTGACTTCCTCCACGGCCTTGAGCTCCGACTTCACGCTTGAAGTTCCCCAGTTTGACGATACCAGGGACAAAAACGAATGGTACGTAGTCCCTCCTATCAATGCCGACGATGTCCCAGTCGGCCCTAACAGAATCAGGCGGTATGGCTCTTCCCTAACCTTGAAGTACGCGATCAGCGCTCGCAGCACTTGAGTTTTTCCTGATCCAGCCATACCACCCAAGTACATCAGAAGCTGGTCTGGTGCGATACAAGTGGCGTGATTGGCAATTATCCTGAACGCCCTGCTCTGCTCCTTGTTCAACGTAAAACCCGCTTCAATTTCGTCAAGGGAGTAGACCCAGCGTTGTACTGCAGGTGTGAAAGACTTTCTAAAGAACGCCTCGTATACAATGTATGCATCGTCGCGAACCTTAACTCTTTTGATGTCTAAATCCATGTCTTCACCGTCTCTTCCCCCCATTACGGTACTAAATCTATCTTTCCATACGCGTGTTTTCTCCCTCTTCACTATGTCATTCCAATATGCCGCATTCATATGACTTTGCACTTCAAGCGCCGGTAACAAGCTTGCACTCTCGTCTGTGCACCCGCCTCTACTCCCTTGTTTCCAGCCAGCACCACCAAGGGCTTCATACGCCCTTGTCGCATGCTCTTCCTGCGTGTCGGCCCACCGACCTCTTACCGTCTTTGCCATCCAATAACTTTCATCAAAGGCGTGACCCTCGTTGGTGGTTTGGAATTCCTCAGTCTCATTCCCATGGCCTTCCATTTCGACATCGGGGCCTAGTCCCTCCTCCGCTTCCTTAGCACGTCTTTGTGCATGGAAGTCGTCGCGAGCGTCGTAACATTCAAAGCGCACATTGAAATTGCGCATTATTTGTCTTTGGCGTTCCGAGAAGGAATGTCCTTCGAAGGCTTCCTTCCAAGTCTGGTCTGATCCTCGTAATTCCAACCCGCTTCTCCACGGTTTGAAAAATGTCAACATCGCACAGTAATAGTCCTCACATTCCTTGCCATCATTTGATATCCTGGGAAGGGGTGGTCCAATAAAGTTCGGCACCACGTATCTTCTTCTGTCTGGATCGCAAGCAACAAGGTGGCTATCGGCCATGGAATGCTCCGGTTGGTATTTATAATACAGGAGAGTGGGGTTGGCAAAGCGATTCGAATCACGAACGGAACATTGGATCCACTCGTAAAGACAGATGTTTTCATGTTCGGAAGGTCGCAACGAGTAGTCATCCACGCTAGAGCGACTGACGAAGAAGTTCGACGAGCGTTGTAGAACCACACGCCCATCATCATCATAGTCATTCTCATCCTGATTGTCGTCGCCGTCGTCGTCAACGATCATGTTCTCGTACTCATCTTCCTCGCTTTTAATTCCACTCGACTCGCAAGATGATAGTAATTTGTCCCATGCGCTAACAACCTGGTTAACATAGTTCTTCCAATAAAACGAAACAAATTGGTGACTTGTATAATGGTCTGGGTTGCCGAGTAAGTACAAAGCCGCCATCGGAGCGCCCAACTCCATCTTAGCGCTCAAAGAATTGACCACCTTCATGATCATCTTCCTCGCTGCGTCTGACGTTTTCTCATCTTCTGCCTTCCATAAGTCCGAATTCCTGTTGAAAACGTCATACATTGTTGAGAAGATCTGGTGCGTTTTCAAGAATGTCTTAGTAAGGTAATCACAAACATATCCTACGATAGCCTTGATACCCGTACCCGATTGAAGTGAGGTTGTATCAGTATTACAAATGTTTGTATATGTCACGGCTGGTGTTATGTTGTTCAAAGAAGACTCCAGCTTTTTAATGTCGATATGGCCGTCCTTTTCGTCGACAACAGTTTTGGGAAAGACAGGTCGCGGGAATCTAGCATAGCACTTTCCTTCGCTGCCTCCACAGCTCTTCTCTCCTCCCCCTTTTCCGGGACCGGTCTTTGGATCACATACATGCACATTAACCCTCCACATGAGATCGTCTACTGTCTCCTCGAACTTTCTATACCACACTAATATGTCCTTACAGTTGGAGCATCCGCAAGTATGGGGGTCCTCTTGGCATAGGACAGGAGGCGGGCTCTCGGGGAGATGTAGGGTGGGATCCTTGTAGTCTTTGATTTCGTCTTCTTCATCTCGGTGATATTCTTTCATGATCTGATGAATTCCGCGACGTTTAGGGAGAGACTTCAGAGGGATTCTGGACGCGACTTCTTCCTTTGACCCAGTCAAGAATTGCCCTATCTGCACGCTTTCCAAATAGGCGGTTAACTTCCTCTCAAATTCCTTGTCTCCTTTCGTCAATTTCTCTCTTATTTCTCGAGGTGACAGAGCCCCTACTATCCATATCAAAATGTGGAGATGCAAGGTCATTCGACCTTGTTGCTCCACAGTTCCAAAGTATGCAGACGGGTTCCCGAAGACACCTCTGTGTTCCTTCCCCCATCCTAATATGTGTTCCAAGAACAACTGAACCAAGAAGTGAAAGAACTTCGCGCACGCCACAGGATTATTGGTGATCACTTTGTCCCTATCGGCAGTTAACACAATTTCAGGTCTGTATTCAAGACCTTCGTCAGCCCAAAATATGCAGAGAGGGTGCCGGTTGTCCGCTGGGGCGAAAGTTACGAACCAGCTAGGTGCACCTTGGAAGGACACGAGAGACCACAATTGATTTCTCATATACTTCCTTTTCGCCAGGGAGCCGTCAACGTGTCCACCAACATAATCAATATGATCCATTAATCTGAAACATCTCTTCTCATGTTCGGTGACTGGCGTTACACGCTCTCCGTTGCGCATCCGGGTCGCGATTGAGTTTAGGACTTCCGGATTAATTTCCTTCAATTTCTGGGCCACATTGGCAAAGTTACCACGTTTTACCATCACAAAGCTCGCACCGGAGCTGTCCTTCATTTGTTCGTGGTTAAAAGCGGTTATAATGAACTGACCGTCCCTTTGGAAGCGCTTGTCATGGTAATTTAACAACCAACGTTTATGCTGGTCTTCGGCGAGTATTCTGAAGTGCCTTTCTTGACCCACGCTCCCTATACCGTAAGGGAACAGCCAAGGAAACATAAGGGGATAAAGGAGCGGGTTGTCGAAGAACGAGGCAGGCTTTTCAGCGTGTCCAGCAGCTAAAGCCCCGCCGCCGTTTCGCAGATGGAGAAGAGCCGCAAATCGACGCTCCTCAACGTCCATGGTACTGAACTTGGTGGGCGATAAACCGTGTACAGTCAATGGACAAGGCCCGTGCTCCGTACCCCTCTCATTTTCGTCGTCGTTTACCGCTCTCGCAGTGGATAGCACGTTACCCTGCCCGGGTCGGGTTTCCCTGTACACTATACCCACCGGGATTCCTTCCTCGTCGTACGTATCCAGAGCTTGCTGATCGATCTCGAGATCTGAATAGTTACAGTGATTAAGTTTAAGCCATTCGAGCGCCTTGAGGACCTTCGCTCTTCGAACTAGCGCAGGAGTCCTGCGAAGCTCGTCTTCTTCTGGAGGCTTAATACCGGTGAAAACAACAGCAATAACGTCATCAATCTCACCTTTCGGGGGCGGAAGTTTATTGTATACCTTGACAGTGGGCATAGGAAGCGCAATCACGTTGGCGATCATCTTGAAATGACCTGCAGAAACCCGAATCAATGATCGATTCCTCCGAATGCGCGAAATCAACGCCTGTTCTGCCAAGGTAAGATCTTGAAGAGCCTCCGGCACTTCTCCTACCCATAGACCGTTTGCCAGAGAGTACTTCGGTTTTTTGTTGGCTGTGAGCAAGCTGTGACACTGCTCGCATACGTGAGTAGCGCTTTCCATCAATACCGGTCCGTGTAAAGGTTCCACTGGATCTGTAACCCGATGCCGAGTTTTGCGAGTGCTCGACGGATCCTCGAGGATGTCCAGGTTGTAGTTGCCCTTCTCGAACTCTCGCATGCAGGACCGCGAAGTAAGCTGAGCGCAAACTGCACAGGGCAGCTGTTCTATTATTTCGGGCTTAAGTTGTTGACAGTAGTCATGGACGCAGCGTGCGACATCCTTGAGGTTAATAGGGTCAGGAGGAAACTCCATCGCCGCTTTGTCCGTATATTCCTCCCACAAGAACGGAACGACGTCGGGGACTAATTTCTTCTTTACCCTTTTTGCCGTTTCACGGATTCGAAAACCTGCTTTAACAGAGTCACAAGCAGCGTTACATGTATGTAAAGTCAGGAGAGTGGATACCTGTTTTTTGTTCATCTTTCTAGTGACATGGATTCCATGTACTGAGCAAAGGCTGTCCATTCCGGGCCTCGTAAGTTTTGTGATCAGACCCTTGATAGGATAAGCCACCAGCAACAGCGGTTCATGCTCGAGGGTCTCACCGTCACGAAAGAAACCACACAGATCATAAGATGCAGATTTAGACACAGTGCCTTCGGGAAGGTAGCACTGCAAGTCACTAGCTTGGAATATCCTGCCCAACGCTTTATCAGCACCCTTCTCTCTTGCTTCGACAGGGCTGACAAGAGTTACATGTGGAGCACACCGCGGCGAACATTCGTGGTCCTGTATTTTTTCCACGAGACCCTGCCGAGGATCGAACGAAGAGAAATCAATTCGGTGTTCTCTACACAGCTCCTTCAACTCAGCCACAACCAATTTGTCGGCCAACATTCGCAAGGGCAAATCGCAAGGGATGCAATCGGGGTTGATCTCCAGCTGGGTGTCGAGGTTTGCACAACGAACGTAAGCTCTGAAAAGAAAACGAGGTGCTGCCGGGAGTTCATAGTCAGTGGTATATGGCTCGAGCTCATCATATGTCCACTCTTTGCCACCGCCGTTGGAACGAGGCGGGAGAGATGAAGTCGTAGTCATTTTTTATAGACAAGACAGGGGCAGTTACCACCGCAAGATCAGCGGGAATTTCGAGATTATTAACGCCGCCACAAAGCGGATGTTTGTCGAAGAAAAAGTTCTGGTTTGTGTGGAGTCAATGAGAAGGCCAGAATTCGTTGGAACCGCAAAGCCTCAACGAGTGTGTGAACGTGTATCGAGCGAAACACAGAACAGACTGTACACGCGGTGATGCAAGATTGCCAGATTGATAGCCATCAATAGAATTGATAAGATTACATTAGGTACTAAATAGGGGTTACAAGTTCAGGACAGGGCCCAAATCTGTTCGTCGATGCGTCCATCCATAACGACGGCTTCCTCTCCAGTATCAACCGTAAGTATTCGATCCCCTTCTCCCATGATATTGCCTTTTCCTCCGTAACCAACTGGAGAACCTTCGCAATGTCCACAAGCATCATCTCCAAAGACATACGCTCCCTGGACATGACGGCGTGGCCTAGGAACGAGGGTGAGCTACGCCAACAGGGGAGACAGAGAGAGTACGTACTGATTGTGCACATAACCTGGGCTTCCCTCATTCTTTCTAGCGCCACTCTTCGGGCAGGGATATTGGCGGGGTCTCTGTTTTCATCCTGGACAGCGATGAGCGCCGAGACAGAGTCGATGACTGATAGCCAGTATTAACACGAGTGGAAAGAGATGTGAAGCATAAACAGAGAGTTTACCTTGTTTCAATCCAACCACACCGCCATGTATATTTACTTCTTCATTCCTGGCTCGAGCGTGGAGTTCGTAGTATTCTCCCCGAACGCGAAGAGTTTCAAACAAACCCATGCGTTTTTCTCGAAGCATATCCTCAACTATGGACTGGTCGTGGTGAGAGCATCGGATATTGAGGCGTAGGCAATTTGAGCATCCGACGGCCCCGCGAACGGGAAGGCAAGGGGAGGCGCCGTGAACGCATATTGGATTGTCGCAGGAAGGAAGGCCGTCCGGTCCCCGTAGTCCCCCAACGAACGATTTCCACCTTTTCTTGCTGAGTTCGCTACGCAACGCCACCTGAAGTACTGGAGACAACAAAAACGACTCGCCGTCTTGGGGGGGCATGGGGACGAGGGGAAAGGACAAGTAACACAAACGATCGAGAAGGTGTGGAATATAACGGTCGGGAGAGAGGAAGCCGGTACGGCAGATACGGAATCACATGGACACCAAAGATAATGAATTCAGAAAGCATATTCGAAGGAACAAAAACAGACTACTAATTGTCGGCCTCGCAAGGTACAGCCAAAACTATTACCCAGTGGATATTGCAGCTGGCAGTCCACTTGCCCGATTGAGCACGGTAGACGGCGACCGTGTACCCGACGACAACGAAAGACCCGAAGGGAATCTCGCCTTCCCAGGCAGGCAGTGACAATGCAGGCAGGACACTATTAAGATTGAAGCCGTCGATGTCGCGAGCGTCGAATATGGGAACTGAAGGTGTCGTCAAATTCGCGTCCGACAAAGAAAGGCGAAAGCTCTTACCTTCAGCGTCGGCATCAAGGGCATAGTTATCGACATTAAATCGATTCGATGGAGCAGCCCGTGTAGATGGGCTAGGATTGTGCGTGAACATCCCTCGGGAAGGGGTACTCGCTGCAGCTGAGGGAAGGAATGAAATTCACGTTAAAGGAATGCTGGAAGGGCACGCACCATTATCTTTCTCGTCCCGTCGGTTACCAGAAACCGGACGTGTGACGAAGCTAATGGCGTCTCGAGAAAGATTGGCGTGCAACGCCGGCTTATCCACAAGCATACAAGTAAACGCAACAAATCGTTCCCATTCCTGCGAATGGAATTTGGCCTGGAGCATCTTCTGGCGTAAGCCATAGTCGGTAAGACCGCGCAGTCTACAAAACTGTGAAAAAACTGGCGATACGAAGATGACTGGATCTTCGTCAACGTAAAAGTGAAATCGTGGGCTTCCTGAAGACGACCCCGGGGAAATTCTTTTGACCTTGATGTCGTCATTGCTGGCCCTAGAGGGGTTGATATAATTGTCTTTCCTCACGAAGCGAAGGCTGTTTAACGCGGCACTGTTGTATAGTCAGCACTGGCCATACATTCAAGACTCGGTTGACTCACTCGGCATCCAGGTCAGGAGTCTGCTCCGCCCAGCCGCTGAACCAAACCATTCCTGTTCCAGGATTGTTGTTGTACGGGACAAACATTCCGCGTCTGGCGACGATAAGCAAACCTGCTGTAGAATACAAAAGAAGGACTTACCGGAGAGGACTCAACTTGGCATAGTCGTCGGCCAACAGAGGATCGTGGAGTGAATCCGATGTCACCTCACAGACGTCCGGATGAGGGATTGGAAGCGTAGCAGGCGACCATCTTTCTTGACCACCGGATCCAGGAGTTGAAGGCACGCCGACAAGTTCGCCGAACCGCCTTCTTCCGCCAGGCGTAGACAATCCAGGGGTGGATGGCGTAGGGTTGTAAACAGTGGGTTTGTTAGCTGTCGAAGACGAAGCAGCCGGGGTTCGAGGCACGGTTGGATGGGACGAAGGGGGCGGTGGAGGAGTCGCTGGTCGTTCGTCAATCGATGGTTCATCCTCACGGACACCCGCAGCCACAGCAGCTCTCCGCTGGGCCTCTAGCTGTGCGGCGACCGCAGCACTGAAACTGATGTCAGCCAAAAACATCTAACAGCTTCAAGGCGTTGGGTACTCACTGCCATTCCCGCTGAAGACGTTTAACACCGAATCTGCAGAGTGGAATGAGATAAAATCATAATAGAAAAAGATAGAATCTGACGGGTCGTCTTCCTCAGGTATCGCGGCCTGTTCGAGATCCGTGTTTGCACAAGGATCGGCAGCATCATCCACAGGCATTTCCCGCCGATTAAGCAGAGACTGTTCCACGATGGTGTTGTGGCGCTCGATAGCCATGGCCATTGCCCGGTCGTCTCTGATCTGCTCCTTCGTCTTTTCTTCGTGAGCTCGTACAAAGTCGTCGAATCTGATGATGGTGTTAGCAACAAGCGCAGACGAACGGAGGCATTGGGAGAGGTAGTACCCAAGGGGCAGGTCATTTGCGTCATCGTCACCGTCTTCACGCTCATCCCCGGACTTGAAAATATCTTCCAACGCCGGCAATTCCTCCGACTCTGACTCCTCCTCGTCATCACTGAAACAGGAATTAGTTCAAGACCAAACTAAATGGATTAGGAACTGACATAAAGGAGCTCTCGTACTTATCCAAATCCATGTTCTTGTAGGCGGTCATATCGTCTTCAGGGACAGAAGGTTGATCAGGTCCGTTGTCCTCGATTGCCTCGACGTCCATAAAGTCTTCGGGTTTCATATCAAGGAACAGTTTGCTCCACCTAGTACTTGATCGTTGGAGACCCTCAACTCGACGCGCCATTTCTTCTTTGGAAAAGCGTTTGCGTATGCCGGTTTTCACCAACTCGCCCAATCCTTATTCCCATGATGAACAAAACAACTCGCACGCATTTAGAAAGGATTCAGGACGAACCAGGAGCCAGAGACGAAGTGCCGACGGGAACATCACTGTCGTGGTCGTCGGTGTAGACGACGGCGGCATTCTTCTTCGAGCGTCTGAAAAAACCGTCAAGGGCCAATGCAAACCATATACGAAAAGGCACATTACCTCCTTTCACCGGAGTCCGAGCCGCTTCCTGTATCCCTTAAATCTCTAACTCTCTTTTTCTGGCGATCCCCTAGCGGACCAGCCTCCTGATGGACATTGTCTGGAGTAACTGGTTCGTCGCCTCCCGACCGTGCAGCGCGAGGAGACTTGTCGACAGACCGTGAACCGTGATCTTGAGCCTGGGCGACGTTGTTGGGACCGGGGGCAACGACAGGTGGAGACTCGATCTCATTCACCGTTGGTGTCACCTCGTCTCCAGACGAAACCACAACAGCAGGCCCCCGCGCACGGGGACGATTGCGTCGACGGGGGCGAGGACGAGGCTTTGCTGGTGATGCATCGGGTTTGTCATTGCCGGGAAGGACAGGGTCGCCGCTGGATCCATTATGTTGTGGCTCTCGGGAAGCTAGTCCTGAACCCGGGGTGGTTGACCTGGACGACGTTCAAAACAGGATATAGATGAGGGATCAAAGGAGATGGGCCCACCTTCGACGAGACACGGCGCGTGTCACTGGCGGAGACGTACCCGGCCCGCCCAATTTGATGCGAGATGCGGACGCACGACCTCGATAGGAACTATCACCTGGAAGGTATTTCCTACACCGACACCACTGTCAGCAGATATAGAGAGGAAAAGGATAGACGGTACACGTACGCCCCATCGTCCTCCTCCGACGAGATATCAATAACATCGTCTGAGATAACCACCTTTCTAGACCTACAAAGACAACACAAAGGGTTATGGACACGGATAAGATTCTGGTGTTTATTTTAAGTACGTACTTTTTCATAACTTGACTCGCACCACTGGTCTCAGGATTACTCTTTCCAGGATCCACATCCACTCTTTGAACTGCGGCAGGCTTGGAAACAGGGGCATCTGTTGACGAGCGACGAGCCTTGATACTGCCAGTGGCAGCAGTGGAAGCACTGCTTCCATCGGCGGTGACGCGGGCAGCGCGATCAGGCAACTGGACCGGCGTTAACGCCCCAGGGACGAGGGTACCTGCGGGGGGAGGAAAGGTGGCATAATACGCAGGAGGGACGTTGGGAAATCCCGGGGGCAACGATTCGAATGGATACATCACAGTGGACCCATCTGCTCTGAACCTTGGGACGAACCCACCGTGTGCGGTTATCCTAAAGGAAAGGTCAGAAGAGAATGTGGAAGGGAGAACGAGTATGTTCAAACGTACCAAGCATGATCCATATTGACATCGACTTCGACAGGGTCGTTGATGGAGCTGATCGAGAGTTAAGAGGTAGCCAACATGTCAACCAAAGTTGACCCTCACCCAAACGTCCTGCCAGGGTTCGACAGAGAGGCGGCAGCTGGAACGGACAGATGACTGTAGCGAGGTATGTAACGCCTTCCATAATGTTCAAAACAAGAAGGACTAACCTCGCAAAGGCAACGGGAGGGGCGCGATTGGGGTGCGCAGAAGGACGGCTAGAATTGGCAGGAGGGACTGACATGGCGAAAAGTGACTGTAGTCTATGGGCAACGGTCAGGGTGGCCGGGTAGCATTCTGTTTCTTTATATCCACCAAAAACACAAGACCAGGAACCGGGAACGAACGAGACGAAGAAGCCGGTGGAAGCCCTTTTCGAGGTAAGATCTTGACGTATCTACCGGCTTATCGCGCTGACAATTCCCATGTAGGAGGCGGCCACAGATCGAAATCGCGTGGAGCGAATGCATCATAACGCAATTGGGCCGTTTCCATGCACCGCGGTCACATCGGGAGATACACAAGCAATGAGAAATGGACGTCGTATCTCGTTGGGACAGGAGAGATGGGCCCCGCGAGAGGGTTGCGACGCAGGAAAACCGCAAAGACATATACAGTCCTCTAAACCCTGCGCACGCACGAGCATGGAAAGATGATACCAGTACGTTCCCATCTACAGTGCATAGATTGATGAGATAGCAACTGAGTACCGGAACAGGGGCATCTCATATGCATATGAAGTGGAAACCCCGACCTCACGGTATCGGATCCTGTCTGGAATTTGCAAATGTAAGGAAGGCCACCGCATGGGCAAGAAGGCCAGGCGTCAACTGATGAATTTCGTTCCAGCGACACTCCCAAGTCCCCCTGGTGTCGTCTACCAGGACGAAGGGGAAAAACACTCTACTGTCGGGTGCGTGATTCGCACCATTTATTCCAGTGGTGATTTGTCCGACCATCCGCAGTCCCTGACAGGCCATCAACACCGCGTGTGCAAGGGAAGCGACGGAATCATTACAGAATCCTGGTGCTTCCGGTTGACCGGAAGCCACCAATCTTACCGGGTCCGAGCAGCGCACGCGTTCGTTCAATCAAAAGGTTGTCCCCTGTATCTGGTGACCTCGGTTGCAGTAACTGTTCAGAATACCCTAGATAACGACTTCGACCCTGTAAGTGAATCGCTACCTCGATAAACATCCATGAATCGATTTTACGACAATCAAGAAGCGCGTAAGTATGTTGCTGTATTCCATCATATTTCACTAAACGGCGTATGCAGGACTTGTGTTAGAAGCCGAGACAACGAGGGCATGTCAGGAGATTGACGCTCCGTGTCCCTTGCTTGCAGACATAGACGTGGGTCGCATATGGAGGCGGCAGATGCAGAAGTACCTACTAATAGCGTCGCAGATGCGGGACTATGTCGTGTCCCAGTTCGACCAGCCTTATTGCTATCGACTGACCCACAAATCGGAACCAGACTCGGAAGCCTACTTCAGGCTCCATGGAATCGTGTGCTCGAAAGTATTGCCGCCCTTTACGAACAAGCCGTAAGTGAAAGCATTTCTTATATCCAAAGTCGTGCTCTTACGCCAATTAGACGCATCCAAACTATCCAACATGTTCGGAACCTTCGGCAATTCGTGAGGCTGACAGGGTTGGGTTCCCCGGGGTTCGAGCGAACAGGAAGTGCCTTTGAGAAGGTTGTCGAACTCTTTAAAGGCACGCTTCGTACGGACATGATGACAGGCGCAGAAGACAGGATGTACGAAGGCGATCCGGCGATAGACTGCCACGCTCGGTACTTCACAGACCGAGAGCTGGTTCCCCAGGAGAAACACCAACCTTTTGACGAAGTCGTGGATCCCTATCACATCTTGGAGGATATCCGCGGCACCTCATTTATCCACGGACCGGACAACAAAGTGGAATACCTGAAGAAGACGACTGAGGAAGGCGAGACGACGTAAGTCATACAGTGTGTGTATCGGAATACGTCGGTGGCTGACACCTACTAGATACACCCCTATGGATCCCATCAACGTTTGCGAGGGAGACATAGTTGAAGTAACAGTCGCCTTTGTCTGCGTACCTATCAAGAACAGTCAGTATCGCTTCTTAACCGCGCTCAGGGCAATCGCTCACATCTCGTCGGTCGTTCGAGAGGTACGTGGTGACTCGGGAATGATAAATTGTTCCATCGTTGACATCTTGATCAGGCTGCAGACATGCAACGAGAGAAGGCAAGCGCGATTCTGATGCCGCAAATTCATACACCTCGCGTCCTGAAGCGCAAGAAGTTGTTTTCTCAGGAGGAAAAGCGGGCAAAGCGGGGAAGGGGTTCGGAGAACGGCATTATGCAGTTGGAAATGCGTGTTGACGACGAGTAGGGGACAATACAGGTTGCCCAAGTTGAATATGACCTTCTCATAGACGAGTGGATTAATGATTACCTCGTGCTTGTCAAAGAAGAAACGATCACTGTTTACACCAACAAGATTCAGACACAGTAAAGGGACGGGAAACAATCGATTTATAGCATCCATTGGAATACAGCCAGGACAAACGAGCATAAGATGATTATGCTAGCGAGAAACGTAGCCAGGCAGCTGTTCATGGACCGACGGATGATCGTGGACGGGTCTGGGGAAGCCTTTAAGTCAACGGAATCGTAGAGAAGATAAAAAGGCGCACGCGAAATTAATCCCGTCGTTGCGCGTTTCCGTCGTGCTGCTCACGAAGGCGAAGTTGTACCGCTTCAAGAAGTGCAACGGCCTCTTCGCGCGTAGGAGGACGCTCAGGGTTCGAGTCGACACGTCGATAAGGGTGGAAAGGGACAGGGCGAGAAGCCATTTGCGATCGCGAGCGACTCCCCGAGACGTTTGGACTGGAGAGTTGGCGTTGGCTACGACACAAGGTAAGCAAGGGAGGATAAGAATGCAAAAATAAAACACACAGGTACTCCCTGAGAAGTTCAAGAAATCTGGGATCCCCGCTCTCCAGCAGTTGCCTGTGGCGGCGACAGATAACAAAGGAAGAGCGACGATAATCGCCAGGCATACACATAGCACGCGAGATAACGAAAGTTAAAGCGATTGACAGAGACAGTACTGGAGAGATATCGGAGAGAGTAAACGGGCGACAGAAAAAGAGGGGAAGGGGCACTGGATAAAGAGAGGGGCACAAAATAACAGGGGGCGTACCGGGAAGCGGCGAGGCGATAACCGTATTAGGTTTAATCATGAGCTGATGCCTGGGGACATGGACGCGAGAGGACAGTGCGAAAACGATCTTAGGACTGTCGAGAAGGGAATTCAACGGGGAAGGGGCACTGGATAAAGAGAGGGGCACAAAATAACAGGGGGCGTACCGGGAAGCGGCGAGGCGATAACCGTATTAGGTTTAATCATGAGCGGATGCCTGGGGACATGGACGCGAGAGGACAGTGCGAAAACGATCTTAGGACTGTCGAGAAGGGAATTCAACTCTAGAACGCTAGAACGAGGAAGGTGATGAGGGGGTACAACAAGGGAAGCAGGAAAGCGTACCAACAGGAAGGAAAACCCATTGTCGGGGAGGGGAAGTAGATGGGCCTGGCAGCTATGGATGGTGAAATCAGCGACGACGAAGGCGAAATCGGCAAACAAACCCAGCGACGATGCCATGGACAAAGAAAACGGCCGATGGACTGAGACAGGGAACCATGGAGGATAGGTCACGTCATATCACATGATTAAAGGTCACGGCCAAGTCACATGTTGAAAACAAGGTCGAAACCTTGGCGTCCAAAATCCATCTCCCAACAGGCCCCGAGCCCAACAGGCCCGGAACCTACTTCATCCACAACCCGACTTGCGACGCATTGCTCTATCGCCCCCCATGACGCCCATCCCATACAACCTCATCCTCATGATTGCCAACAAAGTTTTGAACCGCACCCCCTTTATTCCCCCCGAAGTTCTGCTCCAAATCTTCCGGCAAGTATCATCGTGCGCAAACCCTGCCAATAGCCTCCGGTCCATCACCCTTGCAAGCCGCTATCATGCTCTCGTTGCGCGCGAAGTATTATGGCGAACGGTGACCTTTATTGGAGAGCAAAGAACGAGGCATCGAAAATGGTTCTCCGCCGAAATGCGCAAGTACACGTTCATTCGCCTTATCGCATCCTGCAATTCTTCACCCCTTCCCCCGTTTCTCCCCCTCATCCGCAGACTTGAACTGGTGGCATCCTCGGACCACCAGGACTGGATGTATGACGCAAAAATGGTCCAAATTGTGAAAGCGATAAGCGGCCACGACGGTTTGCGCCATTTACGTATCCAGAGCGCAACCTTCCGCCAAATTGTCTTCACCCGATTCATAGACACCATCTTCCCGTCCTTAAACTCCACTTTATTGGAGCTATCCCTCGACAATGTTGTTCTTTTCGATCCCTCGGTCTTCAATACCTTACTTTCCCTGCAATTCATCCGTTTTGAGGGTGTTTTCTTCAAAGGTATCAAGGTTGACGCCCAACTCGTTGACGTCATCGAAGACAACGGCATGGAGAACACCTCCGGGCCCTCATCACCAGCAAAATGGCTGGCATGGCGGGTTTCCGATACAGATCTCATTCCCCCCCAAGACATCATACACCCTCGAATCAGATCGTTCACATATGCGAGATGTTCATTGGCCGTCGACAGTTATCTTGGCCCGGCACAAGAACGAATCCTCTCCTACCTCGACCTCTCTGAGCTGTCCACCGCAAACTTTCGCCTCCGGTATGAAGACGACTACTTAACGTTGGCAACTGTACTTCAGCAAGCATCGACGACATTGCGAGTTCTTATTCTTGATGTGAGTTACACAGCCTGTAAGTCTTTGTCTAAATTATCTTTATTGGTCTTCTGAACATTACATCTTTCTTATAGCTAACGCTGACGATCCGTGGCTTGCGCCTGTGAATCTGCGTTTAGAACAATTGGCTTCGACGCTCAACCTCGATCGCCTTGTCCTTTGCCTCCGAAATGACGATATTGGACCTTCCCATCTTCGCGGCATGGCAGGGATTGCTCGCGTTCTATCAGTCCTGAAATCTGCAAATACCGCTGCGTTGGAGATGGAAGTGATCAGCATCCATACACCTATTCTGCAAGCATTGACACCAACCAAATGGCAGTCTATCGATCCACTACTCGTATCTTTAGCTGAACCAGGATGGCGTGTCATGCATGTCAAGCTCACCCTTGAAGGCCCCGATACCTCACCTGAGGCCACCGGCGATATCTCAAATATCCCTACTGTTTCTATCCTTTTCCCCCTCGCATCGGGCCGTTCTTTTATAACTTTACACCCCTTGAAGTTGATCGTTATATAACCAGTTCTTCTTGTAATACGAATCTTCGTTTCTTTGGACTAGGGACGTATTTAACAGACCGACAGTAAATAGAAAACAAATATGATCGTTGTACCGCTTGTATTGAACTGATCAATGGCGACTCGCGAGGTAACGAACGTGTCAAGAGACCGTTGAAGTTATAAATTCATACTCTAGAGGTCTTAACCCTATCTATCACCGTCCATGTCAAGTGACGTGCCAATACTATTGCGTTGCTCGAACCGCTGCCGGGTAATCCTGTCCAACATCTCTAGACGTTGCATCTCCTCCCGCAATTCTTCAGACGGATGCACGGTAAATAACTCCTCTTGAAACGGCCGAAGAAGGCGAATGCTATCTCGGCCTCGCCCACGCGATAAGGCAACATATGCATTGAAGGGAGACAGCCCTTTTCCGGTAGGAGTGGGTGCGATGTCAACGACCGTTTTCTCGATGGTTTGTCCTTGCGACTTGTAGTCGGTGAATGCATACGCCCCTGTTATGGCGAACTGGGTCCGCTTAATATCCCTCGACTCCCGATCGTTGTTCTCGACCTTAAACGAAGTTGATACAGGGGCAATTGGAATAAGGCCTTCAGGAACGCCGTTGAAGGAGAGAGTGGTTTTCTGATCAGGTCGAAAAAAGATAACAGGTGGTAAGTGATGTAGCTTGACAGTACCGTCTTCGTTTGGCGTGGCCGTCTCTTCGGGGTGTAACCAAAAGTCCTCCACAACGCCCCTGGTACCATTGGCAATGTCAGCTTCGGTGGCAATGTTGGTAAGGACCATCGCTTTCATGCCCTTGGCAATTTGGATTTCGTCCTCAAGTCGTCCGGTCTTTTTCCATGATAGCTGGGCTATGGCCTTTCGAAAATCTTGTCGAGGTATATCATCAAGAACCTTGTCGGTGTCGTGTGCGCGAACGATATAACGAAGTCGACCTTCTTCACTGCAGTGGCGTTCAAGGCGAGCTTGGTTCCAAGCCTTTCGCACAGAATGTCGGGGAGTTACGAGAACAGCATCTCGCCATTCTTCCGAATCGAAGTTGGGTATATCGCATCTCGAGTCGGTGAGAGTGATTTTCTTCAACTCGTCGATATCGTGATCCGTGCATTCACCAACACGTAGGCGATTAAGTATCTCGGTCCATCCTATATCACGGCTTCTGCGTTGCTCTCGAAGGATGACGACGGTATTGAACTGTAAAAATAGCTCTCGACCGAGGGCGGACTTTTCATTATCGGTGTTGGGTCGATCGCAGTATAGAGCATTGCCTTCGGTCGCGACAGGTGGAAATTGATGAAAATCGCCGAATAAGACAACATGGAGTCCCCCGAAAGGCAATGTCGAGTTGGTTGTTGCAGTAGACGAATGCCCTCGTGCCACCTGCCCTACTTCAGACATAAGCGCAAGCATCTTCTTCGTCAACATGGACATCTCGTCAATGATGACAAGATGCTTTTTCCCAACATTGCGATTCCGTCTGGCCTTGATCTCCTCCGATGCCCGGTGCGCCCAATCTCGCCCAGTTGGGTTGACGCCAATGCCGAAGTAGTGATGCACAGTAGTACCACCGATGGGACTGGCCGCGATGCCAGAAGTAGCCGCCTTCCCAAGGAACTGCTCAGCATCCATATCCCTCAACGTTTGAGTGATGGATTGGATTAAGAGCGACTTTCCCGTTCCTCCTTGCCCATGCACGATCATTAGGAGCTGGTCTGGATTTTTCCCTAAACAAGGAGTCAGTACACAGTATATTGAAGTGTCCCACATTCACCTACCGTCAATCTCGTCTTTAATGCACCCTACTATGATGTCGTGGGCCCTGAGTTGGTCTGCGTTTAAAATACTTCTGAGCGAACGTGACTCGGGCTCATTGCGAGTAGTCTGATTGCTCGTTGACACCATCGGTTCCCTTTCCAATGGCAACTCGTTAAGCACCGCGGCCCGAACAGCTTCCTCTAACGGGTCGGTCGCGGTTAGGATTCCGGTTTGTCGAGTAACAGACTTCAAAACATCCTCCCATTCCTCCACCTGTTCCAATTCATCCAACCCTGCGTGATTGACAAGTCCTTCAACAGAGTCGGGAAGTGATAACGGCGCGCCATAAAAGCCAACCGAGGTCGCAATACGAAGGGCATCGTCAACATATTCCCTTTCCCGTCGCGGTAATTGGGCAAAACGGGCATCTTCGATCTCTTCTTCCGTGATCGACTCCCATGGTGAATGAGAGATAGGGGCCACGTATCCTGAATCATCACGGATGTCCTCCTCCAACACTGCTCGGTAAGTCATGCTATTGTCTTCTTCATCCGCAATGGCGTCGGCGTGATCGGCGCAGTCGTAGTAGAACTGAATATTTTCAATCACAGTGAGGTCCCACGTAGTAGCAGACGACAACCGCCAATGATCAAATGCATGCTTGAACGTCGCTTGTTGCCCTTTCAAATCGCGCAGAGAGCGCCAAGGCTTGAGCAACATAAGCATGGCTGCACAGTATGTCTCGTGGTTACGAGGCTCATCGCTCCTGGGAAACCAGCGCCCGGAGAAACGGGGGAGTGTTTCATGCCATGGGGCGCGACGGATGCGACAACGCTTTGCATTGCCATATGCTGAGAGATAGGGGATGCGGTCATGACGGGGGCGCCTTTGGCGAGGTTGTGCCGTGGATGATGAAGCATGCGTATTTGCTTCGAGGTCGGGATCGAATGCGGCGTCGTACGTATCCAACATGACCTTCAGAAAACTTTCATTCTCCAAGTCACATCCTCTATAAGCGTATTCCCGCACTTGGTTGCGGGCTTCAAGGTGATCGCCATGGAATTGGACAGTATATGACTCGCCTTCTTGGACATCCTGTTTACGGGGTAGTGTTCATCACTTGCGACCACTTCTGGTTAAGCACTCACCACCGAATCAATGAGGTCATTTGTACCAGCCCGATTATCATTATGCGACCTGAAATAATGTGTTAAAAGAATGCATCACCTAAAAATGACACTTACTTATTGTCGTTTAGTGCTGGATAGGCATTGAACAGTGCTTTCATCGCCAAATCCCACCGTATAGTGACGTAGTAGTGGGACTCATAACAATCCCCCCATCCCATCAAGTAGCTGACAACCTCGGGGGCACTGAACTCACGGTCACGGCCCAAAACATTGGCGCAACGCTGAAGCATACGCTTGTTGACGTCGAAGGCTTTCGGGTTGTTCATCTCTTGTTTCGTGTGATATGCGTATCGTTGAGCGAGAAGCGCAGAAGAATTGGACGAATTGCCTTGTTTCTTTGACGCGTAGTTCGTCACATACCACACAATGTTCCGAGTTGCAGGTCCAGGGGTGATCACTTTGACGTCGTGGTTGCATCGTAAAGTGTGGAGCATGATCGGGTTCCAAGCGTTGAGAAACGCCGCGAATCGTTTGGAACCCCATTGCCCATCAGCTGAAACCCAGGCGTCCGGAGCGAGAGTAAAGGGAGCTCTCCTCTTGCAAACAACCTTTCCCTTTTTCAGGATGCGACAAACGCGATCCTTGCATTTATGGTACTGGAGAGTGCGCGCCAGCGTTCTGAGGTGCTTCTTGTCATCGGCAGATAGGGGTCCTTTCCGGGGATCGATAGGCCGAGAGTATGATATCTCCTTGTCCAACTTTATCGCCAAAACCTCCGCAGTCGTTTTATCTTCTATGTTCGAGACAATGTTTTGACGAATAAATGAGCGTACGCGTTCCCGGAAAGACTCCTCTTGGAGCAATTCGCGTAGTTTGTGAGGAGGTGGTGTGTTGCTTAACCAAACGAGCATATGAAAGTGGAGGGTACCCCTTCCCTGTGCCTCGACTGTGCCAATATACGCTTGGACAACGCCGAATAATCCTTCCCGTCGTTCAATCTTCTGTGGAGGACATCCAGCCTTGATACCGAAGAGTGTTTCGAAAACGAGTGGTATGATATAGTGAAAGAATTGGGCTGAGGCGAAAGGATCGGAAGCAACATTTCTGGCGCGTTGTTCTTTGTCGGGTCCGGCGGTGTTACAGAAGGCATTGAGGTCGATGCTTTCACCAAATAGGACTTGGGCAATGGGATCATGCGTGTCTGAAGGATTTATGGTGATCCAGAGCGAGGGAGTGTTAAAAATAAGGTTTGTTCCCCAGACCTTGCCCCGAATCGATTTTCGAGATTCATCCGTCCCTGTCACACGGCTACGAATCGCTTTCATCTGCCTGCGGAGGAGGCGAACTGTCGAGTTAGAGAACGGGATTTTCTGGGCCTCTTCTTGGCTGGCTTGAAGAAGGTCTTCGACTTTGAGGGATCGTAACTGTTGTTGAAGGCCAGGCGTTAAGTTCTCCACTTGCAACGCAGCCGCTCGACAAACTTGGCGTTTCGTGATAACTCCAAAAACCTGGAACACGAACAAGAGATCCTTTCGGAAGCGACCGTCGAAGTATTGCATTGCCCACTTTGCATGCGACTCGTAGCTGACAGTGATAGGACGGTGGGTTTCGAAACCACCCTTCCCAAAGGGAAACAAGTACGGGAAGGTTCCTAAAAGGTGGTTCGGATTATCGGGGCCTCCATCATATCGAAGTCCAGTGACGGGGTCTTTTCTGGCGTACTCGTTGATGAAACCACTTCCATGTCGAATGGCGTATTCTCCTTCGACATCAGGACGTGTAGAGTCAGGTTTCGCGGTGTTGTTGAGGGCGTGATGGAAAAGTTCGTCGTCAGGGATATCGTGACCAGCCATGTCAAGGACTCCATGCGATTGGAGAGGTATAACTGCGGGGTCGGCATCTTCTCCTAAAGAATATGCTTTAGTCCATTGGATCCGCCGACAATTGAAAAAAAAAGTCATACCTTCCGTTTCTATTTCCTCTTCTTCATGATGGTTCCCTGTAACAACCATGGGATCTCCGAGTGCCAGCCTTTCAAGATCATCTAAATGGAGGATCAGTTTACATGCGCCAGATTGAAAGAAAATGATGTTCGCATTTCGACGTACCATCCTCATCGTCGTCATCCTCGTGCAAGGGCACATATGTACCATGCTCCGCGTCTAGCCTTTCAACCTCTGTAGACCAGCGAACTGTTTGAAGGACCTCGGACGGGACACTGTTGTGGGGGAGTTGGGACAAGCGGGACTGGGAAATATTGATCTTCGCATAGAGGGGATTGTTCGCTTTTAACCAACGCAAGGCAGCCTCCACTTTGGCACGCCTAACACGAAAGGTTCCCGGCAGGCAAGCTTTGGGCAAATTATTGGGACCAACGTATGTGATCGCAATGGTGGCGGAAAGTATGGTTGGCGGGGGCGGCATATTGAGACCGACCATGTCGGTGATTTGCTGCTGATCTAACTTGTACGTAGAAACATTGCCCTTAATGCCACTTTGCAGCTTGTCTTGGTCCATGTTCGTACTTTTTTTCCCGCTGGGGTATAGCTTGACGACGTAGACAGCGGGAAAGTACAAGGAAATGAGGATGCGTTCAGGGAGTGAGAGTCCTAGGAGCTCGGTAGGAATATCGCCAATCCAAAGGCCGTTAGCGAGGGACATTCTGGGAAGCAGCGACCTGCGCAACCTAGACAAACATTGCTCGCAAATCCACACCACCGAGTTCGACTTCAGACCACTCGGGGCGAGAAGCAATCCGTCCACCAAAGCTTGAGCGGGATGTAGGATTGAGGTCGGAGGCTTAAGAAGCTGCCGGTTTGGTATTTGGTCGACGGGCATTTGTTCCATTGAGGATGTAAACAGCCGACGAGCGCAAGACGCGCAGATGTCTTGTCTAAGGGCCTCATTTGAGGTTCGGTCAATGAATTCAGCGACCGAACGATCGAGAACTTCTTGGGAGGGGATTTTCATATATTCGGGATACGGCTGTTCTACATTCTGTAGCGCAGGAAGAGCGCCTTCATGCGGCGGATGGGAAGACGACAAGGAAGAACCGGCAGGAGTTTGGGGAGCTGCCCAAGGCAGTTCTCCGCAGCGTGAAGAAGTGGAAAGGGTTGGGTTGGAGGGTGTGGTGGTTTGCGCGGAGGTGTAGGCATTCGCAGCGTCTATGACGAGTAGCTGCATGCTTGGAGGTGACGATTGGAAGAGTTCGACGACCTGCTTCCAAGTCCTGGATGCAACTGAAGTTGCGTGAAGGACGGTACGGACGCCAAACTGCGCCGCTGGAAGGCGAAAATGGCGGAGGCGTTGTAGTAAATCGGTGGAGGAGGTTGCCATTGGTGATTGCGATAATGCAAGGTAAAGTTCTATTGCGATAGAAACCAAGTATTGCCATTAGCGAAAGAAATAACACGACTAACATCACTCACCATGCACAAAAGACTGAAGATAAGCGCAGATTTTGACAAAGCGTGGGGAATGTGCCCATACTTCGAATATGAGCGGGGCAGTGGGCACGCAACGAAGGTCAATGCACAACCATTGCCTCTCCACGTGTGAATTTACGACGCAATGGCTGAAGGAACAATTCTACGATCAATTACAAGGGCAGAACGGGGTGAAGCGAGACCTTCACCTGCGAAACAATAACCGATTCATGGTCCATGCTCACCAAAAAGATAGACATTCGTTGGAAGATAAGACGGCGGGATTGCGACCTGTAATGTGGTATTCCATCCCCTTCTTTCCCGAGCCATCTTCTGCATCCCTTCGTAAAGTCGAAAGATCACCATGGTCGTTGGAGAGTGAGTGAGATTTTATAAAGTGATGAACGCAGTTCAGCTAAGCCATTGGTTTCAAGCTCCGCTGGTGGCTTTGACGGCGACGCCGTTCATCAGAATCTTGTCGATACAGACGCTCACTACCTGGGCGTTGCTGATATCGCGAACGGTCTTGTCTGGGATAGCGATGAAACAGTGGACGCCAACTCAAGCTTTGTGACGACGCAAGAGGGAGGCAACGAAGTCGAGCTGACCGTCATTGGAGTCATGTCCACCAACAGACCCTTCTTCCAGCCCCACGGTAACTTCAATACCAAATTTGACGACCGTTTCGAATCGGCGAAGTACGCGGGTACTATAGGGTCTGCGAGCAGAATTCACCCTACTCTTGGCACATCTTTCGATAACGCTCTCGCCAACATTCGTCGACTTCAGGATTCGCAAGCGAAAACCACCGAGAAAAACCACCTGCTCGTGAAGTTGGGAACGAAGACGGGGATACGCGTCAACTTTGCTCTGTTTAAGAGAAGATCTCAACCGTATGACGGTGAGTTTCGGTCTTGATGGCTAGCCTCTAGTGTGATGGAACTGAAGTTTAACAGCATCTGATACGTCGGACCCCACTGCGAAGCATCCCGTTGCACCTGGCATGTACCAGGAGCGCCTTAAGGCTATAACTCCTTTTTATCGCCTGGAAGCGTTGGACGCCCGTGACATCAACGACAACCCCATCGACCCCACCGTCCTTGAAGGGCAATTGATCGGTGCAGTTGTGGAAGTAAAGTTCACTTTGCACCACTGGTCCGTTCATCCAAGGGGGAAACCGGCGCCTACATCAGATACTTTCAACGCGAAGTTGACTCGAATTCGAGTGCTTAAGGTGGCGGGAAATGTTTTGCCGATGAGTGGAATCCAGCCGACTGTTCGCGAACCCGCCACAGCGCAGAAGCGACGTGCGGACGGGGATGGGGGCGATGCGAACAAAGATGCCGGTGAGTTTTGTTCATGGTTGGAAAAGACCGTGTGCCGACAACATACCAGGACCTTCGGGATCCAAGAACAAGGGGAAGCAACCCGAAGGCTCGGCTAACAAGAGACAGAGAACTTGAATACTGCGTGAAGAAGTAGAATGAACCTCCAATATTCGCCCACAAGGGTTGTATTTGTACCGTCTGTATTGTTTTCCTTTTCTCAGATTTTGTATGGTTTCTTATTTCTTTTGATATGTACGATTATGAGTCTGTTGAATGTACGTCTCGTTGAACCACTTTGCACACATTTGAAAAGAGTAGAGTAGATGAGATTAGATCGCGTTATCTATTTCACTTGCATCATGAAAAGCGGGTACGGCATGTGGACGGCAGCGCTTGGAGCAAGGTCTAAGGTGACGGCGGAGCCCGCTGCACCGCCTAGTGTTTAGTTCCTGATGCATATTATGTCAGAGACTCAGAGTAGAAAAGGAGAGATAACAAGTACATGTACTACGAACTGCCATGTCCTTGGTATCCAAGCGAATCCACGCTCATCTCGCCGAACCATCCCGACAAGTCAACCTTCTCCAAAGCCTGCCAAAATTTGTCCCCGTTCCCCTCAGTCCATTCGACTGTGAGCTCGGAAAAGAAGCATCGATATTCCATGTTCCCGACCCATCCTTCGTCGAGGTCGCCTCCCGAGCTTCCACTGGACCCTCAGCTATCCGATTCCGCATGCTGACGCTTGGGGCGCGCTGACCACTGGCAAGACTGCTGGGCGGACGTCCTCCTGCAGTTACACCTCGAACACTCCCACCGGGAGTCGGACTTTTTGGGAGCAGGCCCTGCAACTGCGGCAGCAACTTCACCCTCTGCGAGACACTCGCCGATTCGTCCACTCTCTGGCAGAACCACAGAATCGCGGATGCACTAGAGGAGATGTGTTGCAGTCTCATGCATAGTCGAAGGCATTGACCCTCCTTACACTGTTCGAAACACGGGTCAGTGACCACCAGCACAGAACGTAATTCGAATCACTTACGGCTGAACGATGCAAAGCCTCCTGCACCTCCGTCAACTCTGCGACGCCAGGATAGAATCGATATTCATGGCTGGAGTTTGACTGGGGAGGCGGAGGGTGGACAAACATGTACTGCAGAATCATGGCCGGATTGAACTCTGCGAGGTCGGGTGGAAGATCCACGGACTTTGCAGTTTCGCCTTCATGTCCCGCTCCAAGCTGACTCGGGGCCCTCCTTAACAAACTCGAAATCGTGTTTCTCCGCTCCTTGCTCTTTCCTTGCGCCTGACTCTGAGCGTGCCCCATCGGAGGAGCCATCGGCGGCAACGCCCTCCCCACATAGGTCTTCCAATGCATACACGAATAGTCATACACCTCCTTCTTCACCTTAACATCTCCCTCCGCCCATCTCGTCAAATGCACAGCGCACCTACCCGCCAAGTCCAAATTCGTGGCTTCCCATGATTGAAACAAGTCCCCGGAGCGAGTGGGGGAGGAGAGGTAGTCTTCGAGACTCTTGTGGTGGAATCGGATGAAAATGTTGTCAGTGGATGGGTCGCACCACCAATTTTCACCGGGCTGAGAATCGAAATGGGGGATGTCGAGAACCGAATGGAGTTCGCAAAGGGTGATATCGGTTGTCCCAGGTTCGAGTCCAAGAAATTCATCGAGAAAAGCACCTGGGTTGACGGATGTAAACGTCGGTTGCTCCATGATCATAATGACCCGCAACAGGCGCCTGAGGAGCGCCACATCCGTATTGGGAGGATGAAGAATAACGTCGTACAGCCGATCCAAGTCGGCGAACGGATTCTCCCCCGCTGTGCACTGGCTGGGATGGTTAAGGACACGTTTGAGGAGAGTGACCGGGTTTTCGTGCGGGTTCGAAACGAATTTAATGACCGTGGCGGCGAAGATGAACTGCGACGAGGCCGCGATGACCAACTTCTCGAGGTCTCTCTGTGGTGGCCAGCCGGGAGGTATAGAGGCTCTAGAAGGATGTGTCTCTCGGATAGAAGAAAACCCGTCGCAAAAGTAGTCGCGAATGTCGTTGGTGCCGTCATAGTCGGCCAGGCGAATGCAATGGGTAAGTGGCTCCAGGGGTGTTTTCCCAAATGCCGTCCGAATGTCCAATTCCGGACGGCTTGAGATGATGATCCGGAACGGGACATGGGGGTTAGTGGCCAGAGCTTGAAGGAGCTTCAACAAATGTTGTCGCTGCTGGATATCGCGACATTCGTCGAAGCCGTCGACGACCAGTACTCGTGGGAGGTACATTGGTTCACAGGCCAGTTTAGGCAACAGATCCAGAATCAACTCCTGGAACTGGATGTCGAGCGACTTGGTAAATATCCCTGGGTGATCACGTATGGCTTGGGCGACCAAGGGCTTGTACCCTGGGATCGAGTTGATAAACTGAGCGACGAGCGTCGCAACGAAGGGCTGTTCGTTATCCAAGCCACCAATGCGAGTGGAGAAAAAGTATGATCCACTTAATACCCCTTCCTCTAATGCTTGCTTCGCCACTTCTCGTTGGATACATGTTTTGCCGCCCCCAGCGGGGCCTGAGAACCATAGTATGGCCTTGTTGCTGGTGTCACCAGAAGGTATCCAATTAATGATGTCGTTTATTACTTGTGTACGTGTGCCTGGCATGCATTTAGGGGCGAAGGTTGCCGTGGACGATTCGTGGGTGGCCTCGACCGCGGAGTGACCCAGCAGGGTTGCGATCGGGTCTGTCACTGTGTATAAGTTTTACCTGCCTCACGAGAGAAAACAGCAATAACAGCAACGACACATTACCTTTAGCTGGGCCGTTAGCCACATTGATGACTTTGGCGTTCATGAAGTGAGAACGATCGATAACGAAATGTGAGGCTTGGTGGAAAGCCATGGCTGGCAGACGACGCGAGAGGTGGGGGGAGGGAAGGAGGGCTCAAAACCCCGCAGGACTCTGCACCTCAGATATACATCGTGCGTACAGCCTCGGTAGACACGGGGTTGATGAGGTGCCAGTAGGTCGGACATAGTCTGCTGTGGAATCATGACGTGGATGAATAAGCGCCCAAAGGTATCTGAGCAACTGTACTCACCTTCTGCCACTGCCGTCAGATTCAGTAATCTGTACCAAGACTTTCACCGGATCTAAGGGGCTGTGGCATTATCAAGAAAAGGCTATACCAATCTCATTCTTTACGCCGTGCTTTCACACAGGCGTCGTTCTCTCAATTAAAGAGCAACTTGGATCAGGTTCTTGGGCGGCGATCTGAATTACTGAAGAGTGTAAATGTCAGTAAAGGTGGGTCAATGTCGTGACAGAAGATCCAGCGAACCTATATCGTGATCAATGTCGTAGTTCTCCACACCGCCCAGAGCAATGCGACAGCGGTCGGACAGAATGGAAGCCAGAAGAGGAGAAGAACAGGAAGTACAATTACAACAATACGTCTGCAAGGATATTTACACTGGGCTTGATTAATATGTTGGTTCGACAGTGCAACGTCCATATAGAAAGGATGATAGCGATGACAAGCGAGTGGAATGCTTGGACTCAGGGTCTGGCGCCTCCAACCTCTGAAAAGAGCAAATGGTCAGTCAAATCTATCGTCCCAACCACAAAGGAAGCGCGTGCGTACGTTCAACCATAACATCGATGGTGTCTTAACAGAACTTTCAGTACCGTTTCAATATCGACTGTGGACTAAAACACACCGTTATCTTCCATATCTAGTGATGCCGGCGTGTCATCTTCTTGTATCCGGGAGCCATCATACAAGAATCTACGACGCCCAATTAGCCACTATAAAGCCGGCGCACGAGCACAAAACCTTCAATCATACGCACCGGATGGAGTTCACGTCCTTCCCGACTTTGCTGGCGTATGCACCCTGCAGTTTGCTCAACTTGGTGCTACGCTTGATCTTGAAGAAGACTTCTTCTCCAGAGGCACTGACGACCTAAGCGACACCAGAAAGGGCGACCATAGCGAATCACAATACGCGATTAGCCTGCGAACTGCACCCTAGATCTTTAGAAAATCGCGCACCTTGACATTAATCGGGGCGTTGGCGTCCTCAGTCTTGACCTCTTGGGTTGCGTTGTTCTGCTCCTCGTCAGACATGTTGTACGGTGATTACTAGACTATGGGGGCGCTGAACAAGATAATCGAGGCGTCCTGTCGAGACTTCACAGAGAAAATGGTCGTCGACGCCTTTGTGGGCTTGTGGTGGTATAAATGAGAGATGCAGACCTTTGTTTTGCCGTGTGCACAATCGCTGACTAAGCCGCCACTTTCATGAATCGTCTTCGCTCCCCAAAGCGTGACGAAATTGTCTGGTCAGAGAGCATGCCGGCGTCAACTGGGAGAAGCATTAAGATGAGCACATTGAGCGTATATACTACTACGGTCTAACTATGGTACAGCAGGCGTAAAATCGCAACGAAAAGATACTATAATACAATAAATACGAATCCCATGCAGATTGCGAACTTCGAAGCAGAAAAGAAAATCATGCATAAAGGAGCCAACGGAAATCGAAGAACGAAATCGAAAGGAAAACGGAAATAAACAAAAGTCTAATAACCAAAGCAAACGTCTAATTTGCAGTTGCAGACAAAGTCGCTCTCTCCATAGAAGCACGAGAAAGGAGCGACTTGGCTTTAGCATACTCTTCATCTTCATCACTCGAATTTTGCCAGATATCTTTGATCTTGCGTGCGCTCATCCTCTTCTTGGACGGACCGCCATTGCTGGTGGGAGCTGGAGGGAGAGGCGGAAGGGGTGGAGTGGCTGTTGGATGGAATCGTGTATCAACAGGAGATATCGGCGGCGGCGATGGTGAAAACGTCGGCTGGAGAGAGACGCGAACACTTTTCCGTCGCTGAGGACCATCAGAAGTAGCCGCAGGATTGGAAGATGGAAGGGGAGGAGTGGACTGTACGACATTGTTGTGAGAAACTGGAAGAGGACGAACCGAAGTGCCCTGTGCCACAGCGGGAACAGAGGAAGCCCGCCGTCCAGGAGATGTGGGCTTCGAAACCCTCCTCACGCGGCGGGTAACGACCTCCCCATTTTCTACAACCTCGTCAATCTCGACGTAGTACCCGCCATCAGCATCGGTACCACCCTTAGGCTGAGGCAACGAGTTCTTCGGTAGCCCATAGGTGGATGGCAATGGCGAAGGAGTCTGATCGCGACTCTTCAAGGCACTCTTCAAGGGTGATCGTGCAGGTCGGCTGGTACTGGGTTGTCGAGCAGGCGTAGTCGAACTTCCACCGCGGGTATGCACCGTTTGCTTGGGCGGGGTGACGTGCATGTCCCCTGGACCCTCCAAGTCTTCCCTATACACTCGCGGTGGCGCTTGCGGAACCTCCAGATCCATCACATCTCTTCCTCTCAGAATCCTCATCTGCTCCTCCCCTCTCCTATTTCTCGCAGCGATATCCTCGACGAGACTCAACAAGCTCTGTCCTCTTTGCTGATCCGCCACGACAGGGGGAGGAGCTCTGGGAACAGGGATCGAGGCAATACCAGCTGTCGCACCTCGAACGGAGGGAATGGGCATCGGATGGGCGCGATTATCAACCTGCTGCTTCCGAACATGGGTGATGGAAGGGTCGTGCGTGCGTGTCGTGAGCTGCGAATGAAGACTGGTCCGAAGAGCAGTAGATGGAGGAAGGCCTTGACCCAAAGGAGGATGAGTCGTCCTCTTCACGGGAGCACTGGTCTGGCGTCCATGCGCGGCATCCCAACCTCCGGAAGTAAGCTGTCCGCTAGGTTGTTCGCCGCCCGCAGGGAGGACGGTAGCACCATACGTGACTAAAAGCGATGGTTAGCTCCGACAAGGAATCCCTAATGCGGCAAACGTACCTCCAGATGGCGGGACAGACATGGACGTCGTCCTCCTTGTCTTCTGTTGTCCACCAAGTGACTTCTTCCTGTTTATAGTACCCCCATCATCACTCCCGTATCCAGACCGATGCTCCGCGGGAACAGGCTCAGGAAACGGAACAGCAGTGCTGGTCGACGCTGCTGGTGGAGCCTGTGGAACAGGCGGCATATGCGCACCCCTTGCAATCTGAGAGTGATGCACCTCTCTCGTCGACGGGATAGGTGGCGCTTGAGGCACGGCCATCGGAGGTGTAGAAGTAGCAACAGGAACAGCACCTCCCTTATTCGCCTTCCTCAACTTCCGTGCAGGACCAGAGGCAGGGGAAGCCGCCCGATCCAAATCCGTCACAGGCACAGAAGCCGAAGCGGGGATATTGGTCATCGAAGAAGAAGCGAGAGGGATCGACTGAGTCGCCGACACATGCTTCCTCTTCATACCGTCAACAGGCCGCAACGGCATAGGATCATCACGAATTACAACCGGCTCATAAGCAGGCTCGATCCTCGCAGTTCCTCCACCGACGTTGGAGATAAACCCTCTCATCTCCCCGCCATCCGAATCCCATCCTTCACCACCCTTTGATAACCTCTTCAAATTCTTGTCCGTCCTCGTCGTCCACCCTCCCCCACCCAGAGCGGCCGCCGAAGACTGAGATCGCGAATGACCAGACACCAACTGACTCCTCGCCTGAGCCTGGAGCTGTTCGATATCAAGCGGAGCGGGTGCATGTGCGATAGCAAATGGTGACGAGTCTTCGACTGGTGGAGGATGATATTGAGCTGCGGGCAGAGTCGTCCTCTTGGATGGCGAGATACCTCCAACCTGTCTTCTTTCCATTCCGCCTTTAGAGCGAACTTTTGGAGGCGTGGAAGTAGCAGGGGGAGAACTCGCAAGCCTGGACGAAAAGTCCAACTTGTTCTCCACAACAATATACCTCCTGGCAGCATTCTCGTCACTCGCATCCTCTCCCAACAAAGACGAGCTAAACGGCAACCCCACGTCAGTAGTCGAAGCCGATCGAGCATGGCCTCGTCCAAACAACGCCGCAAGACCACCCCTCTTCGACGGGCTTTCCTGAACTTTAGCACGCTCAGCGGTGTTCGTAGGGGTCGTGTGTACGGAATGTGAAGGAGTAGTGGCTTGAAGAGCCGGGTGGCTAGACGGTACCCAAGTGGTGGTCGCACCCTCCGTGGACGTGTACGCTTCCGGATGAACAGGTGGCATCGCTTGACTGCCTCCACCAGACGCTCCACCAGCCAACCCCCTCATCTCTCTCCTCGAAGGAGTTCCACCACCCTCTGCCAAATCAGCCCCGAAGAAACCCTTCAAACCCCCCAGGAAGCCATGTCCTTGCTGATGCTTCGAAGGTGAACCTTCAGGTCTCGTCCGCTCCCTCTCCATCCTCTCGCGCTCCTTGCGTTCTCTCTCGGCAGCCTTTTCCCTCTCCTTCTGCTCTCTCTCAGCCGCCTTCTCTCGCTCCTTCTGTTCCTTCTCAGCCGCCTTCTGTCTCTCCTTCTCAGCCTTCCTGTCCTTTTTGCTAAGCTTGGCGGGAGTCGTAGTCGCCTCTTCCGAAACTTGGTGTAACCGCGGCTCAGTGGGGACGGCTTCGGCAGGAGGTGGAGCGGCTTGCTGAGCAGGAGGTTGTTGTTGTGAGACCTGAGGCTGAACCGTGGATTGAGGTACCTGCGCTTGCGCTGTCGGTTGCGCAAATTGAACTTGAGTCGTCGGCTGTGCAACCTGAACTTGGGTCGTAGGCTGCAGCACCTGCTCTTGCGTCACAGGCTCCGGCTGCTGCTGCAAAGGCTGGACAATAATAGGCTGCTCACTCCCCCTCGTCGCCGAAAGCGTAACCAAAACAGGCCTCTCCGCATGAACAGTCTGCACTATGTGATCATCCGCCTCCACCGCAGCCACAACAGCACTTGAAGACTGCCCAACAGCCACAGGGACATCCTGGACCCTCTCCTCTTCAGTACGCTCAACCACCTCCCCGCCCTGGACCACCTCGTGGATCTCACGGACATGCACCTGGGTCAAAGGTTGTTCCTGCACAGTCGTAGCAGCGGGTACAACATCATGGTCCGTCACCTGAGGCGAAACGGGGATAGGCGGCGGGAGAGCAGGCTCAGCTTCAGCACTGAGCGGCACGGCACCCCCCACAGGCGTCTGCACTGACTCTCGAGGCGGCTCCTCCACAGTGACCACCGGCTGGGCAGCCTGCGCGGTCTCCTCCACGACAACAGCCGGTTGGGCGACCTGCGTGGTCCCCTCCACAACAACCGCCGTAGTCCCTTGAACAGGCGGGACTTCCACAGGCCTCGTAGCACCTACAGCACCTTCAACAGGTGCAGCAGGAGCCGGAGCAGCAACCTCATGCACACTCTCCACAGGCGCAGACGGACCCTTGGCACTAGCACTCCTACCCCGCCCAAACAACCTCCCAAAGAAACTACCGCGCTTCTCCTCTTTCTTGGAAGGTGAAGGCGTGATACCGGTGGAACCAGCTGGTGGGGCAGTCGATGGTGGGGGAAGACGCTGATCGGCAATGGCAAGAGGAACGGCTGGGGTGGCGAGTGTTGTGGTCGTGGTTGTGGTTGTCGCGGCCGTGGTGGGCGCCGTCGCAGAAATTGCAGTTGTGGTAGCCGGTGCTGCCGTCGTAGTCGCCGTCGTGGTGGTGGGCACCGTAGGTACACCGGTCGTTGTACTGGTGATAGCGTCTCCTGGGGTACTGACATCTTCGGCGGGTTTGGGCTCGGCTTCCACTGGAGGGGCTTTCCGTTGGCCAACTGAAGGGTTAAAGGTCGATTAGAAACAAATGCTAACCAATCATGGATCACAGATACTCACCTTGAACTAAAGGACCACCAACGGGCGCCACAAACGCAGCCTTGACCTTATGTCCAAAGTTTTGAGCAGTCGGTGCAGCTTGGGTTTGAATGACGGGTGCTTCACTAAGCGCTGGAGGTGCCGCTGCCGCCGCAGTCGGCGCTGTAGTCGAAGCAGGAGGCACAGTGGTCGAAGCAGGAAGAGTAGCACTCCTCGCCGGGGTAGCAACTGGCACCTTCACACCAGCTGGAGGAAGTCCAGCAGCAGCATAAGACGGGACCACAACAGTCTTCGCTCTCTCAAGCTCCCTCGCCCCACCCGAAAACCTCCGGTTCTCAACAACAGTATACCCTCCAGACTGCACCAACCTCTCCACCTCACCCTCATCCTCCGTCGTCGAAACATCCCCAGGTCGACGGACACCTTCATCCTGCTTCTCCGCTGCACCCGCAGTCTGGGTGGGAGCGCCAGAAGATTCGACTGTGGAGGAAACAAACGTCCCCGCTTTAGTCGTCTCTGTCTCGGCGCCAGAAATATCACTCCTATCCTGTTCAGCCGCAGCCGTCTGCTGAGCTTTCGCCCTCTCCTTCTCCCTGCGCTTCATCTTCTTCCGTTGCGTCTTGGACAACTTGGACGGCGTTTCTGGCTGTACTGTACCACTACTGGTCGAAGCCACAAGTTGACCAAGGCCCGATACGCCAATCCCACTAGTACCTCCACCAGTAGCAGTAGCGATAGAAGGAACAGCGGGGGTACCTTCACCCTCCCCTTCATCCAAAGGCGACGGAGACTGAGACACAGTCGGAATCTCCACCTCATCTTCGCGGTCGTGTCTGTGAAGCCCGTGCCCACCCACCATACGAGGATCCACAATCGCACCTTCATACAGCTTCGCAGGCGGACTCTGGAATTCAAAGGTCGGTTCCTTGGGCGAGGTCGCGGCCGGCGCCGCGACGCCTTGAGAAGGCGACTGGACAGCCGAGGAGGTCCCTTCATGCACATGAATCTCGCGAATGTTCCCGCTCGAGTCTACAGCAACAGCGATACTCGAGCGACGCGCTGCCCTGGCATGCAAGGTGGCAGGCGATTGAGGGGTGGAGAGTGTCTCCGTCGATCGCTGGCGGTCGGTTTCGCGAGCTAGAGCCTCCAGCATCGGGTTCCCCGCGATACCTTGGGATTGGGGAAGTGCATGAGACGGGGGCTGCTGCTCTGAACTTCCTGCGCTGACGCTCCCCAGGCGCACCCGAGTGCCAGTATACACCTCTCCTTCAGAAACCGAATCTGGCGTAGACGCTCCCGTTCTGTCGTTATGAGCATTGGCAGCTGCACCTCGAATATGCGAACTGCCTGACGAGGCCTCGGACCGAGACTTGGAGACTCCATTCACTTGAGGTGTCCCATAACTTGATTCACGAAAGGACCGGTATTCCTCTGAATGGAAGATGGAACCTGGAGCAGTTGGAATGGCGAGTGGGATGGCTGGTGCACTGGAATGTCGAGAAGACGAAGGGCGTGAGGGAGTATCTGAGACATGGTGCAAAGGCGAATGTGAACGTAGTTGCTCATGAGCCAAGCCACCGAAAGGGGCGCCAGCTCCAATCGAGGATATGGGAGGTGGAGCAGACTCTTCTGTGGGATAATGAGCTTCGTGGCCATGAGCAGAACTGGACCTTTCACGAATATCAGAGAGTTGGCGGGGAAGGGGATTATGAGAGTGGGAATGTGATGTGGTCGAATTCGTTTCGGCTGGTTATGTGATACTCATTAGATGAAACAATAGGACAAGGGTAAAGCCACGCACAATGGATACCACGGTGCTCCCCGTCACTAGCGTCGGCCCAGACTTCATTATCGTCACTAACCGTGCTAGCCATGCTAACTCGTTGCTGTTGTTGCAATGCCGGGGTTGTCAAGTGGCTGCGTGCCTGTCCTTGAGGTCTCTGCATGTTGGTGGCTGCTCCAGAGAAGCTTTGGGGTCTAGATGAACCACGCTATAGATAGTTCAGCTGAGTTTGGAAAGGAACCAGACAACCACGACAATCAACGCACCTGACGCGAGTTCTGGACTTCCACGGTGGACGCGGGAGGGGAAGTGTTATTGCTGGACATTATGGGAATTGGGACGTCGATTTCCGAGTGGATTGCGTGAGCGGCTGGTATGTGTATCGAATTTCGCCTGCGATAAGGGCTTGGAGAGCTTAGGCGACTCTCTGAGGAATCAAAGTGTTCGAATGAACCGGGAAAGGGTCTGTGGCCCAAGTGTTGTTGAGGGTGCGAGTGAATGGAGGGTGAAGGAGAGTGGTGCTGATACGAGGATGCTTCTGGAGATTCCCTGTGTGGTAGAGGTTTATCCAGTTGTAGCCCGGGTCCTGCAATGGCATTAGAACACGACAAATGCACATGAAATCCGTTCAGACGCACTTGCTAGCCCAAGTTCTCTCTCGAGGACGGTAAGCGTTTCAAGCCCGAGGTCTGTCCAGGCGCGACCGGTGTCTGCGAGTGCGCGACCACGCAGAGTAAGGCCGTCTCTGATGACCTGAAACCTGCGATGGGATAATTCCTTCTCCTTTGCTGCTAAATGAGTCTCGCAAGCCTGTAACTCTGTCTGAGCGGCTGCGAGTTTCGTCGATGTTGGTATTGAGCGAATGGGGCTCTGGTTCTGAAGATTTACAGAGGGCGACGAAGCAGAGAAACGTCGTAGGTTCGGTGATGAGGGTTTCGAGCTGGAAGAGGATTTATTCGAGGCCTTGATCAGGCGGGTAACCCTTTTTGTGGAACAGAATTATGTTTTAAGTGGATGTTTCGCAGTTGGAGCGAGTTAGACAACTTACAGAATTTCGCGGTCCCGCATTATGTTTCCAACTTCTTCCTCTAATTGTTGGAGTCCTCTCAGCATGGTGTGCCACTCGTCCAGGGCGCGAGCATAGTTGGCTAGGGCGTCGTCTGCAGCGGAGAGGATGCCCGCGACGTTGAGGATGGCGCGCGATGTGGCGGGCGGTGCGGCGGCAGCATAGGCGGTGAACGACGATAGCGAAGAGTTGGACGAGGTGAGCAGCGAGGAGAGTTGTTTCGAATACTCCTTTTCATGAGACAGAAGATTGGACAGCAGGCGGCTATCCGCTCCTCTGTGCACCATTGGCGTTTGGGCTGAACCTGTCTAACCTTTGCAACAACCGTCTCAACACATTCCGTTTTCGGTCCTAGCTCCGTGACGTCACCACGGCCAAACAGTCCCATCGCGTCCAGCGTTCGATCCTTGGTTGCGCCAGGTTTCCCAACAGTCTGTGAGTGTCGAATCTGGGGAGGGAGAGTCCTTGCATGGGGTTCCAGTTGAGTCTGAATGGCAGAGGGACTTGAAAGGCGGTCCGCAGCTGTAGTGCGCTTCTATGACGTCCCAAATGACTTCTTGAATTTAACCTGCATCATGCCTTGCTTCGACGGCGAAGCCAAAGCTGGGCCCCTTTCCTTCTTCCCCATGCACGTTATCATTTCATTGTATACGGCACAAGCCTCAACCAACGACAGTCTTTGCCCCTCGGAACAGACGCTCAAAGGGCAAAATTATTAGGCGCTGATCAAGCAGTGATCCGGCGTTCTCAGACTCTACCCCCGAACTGACAGACCACCTTGAAGCTTGATCCACCACCACCACTATCGTCGAACTCTGCGGGATGGCACTGCTCCCTCCCTTTTCGATTTGTATACGGGCGCCTGACCTCAGTTAGGCGCTGATAACCATCAGCGCGATCAACTGTAGTCGTGGCCGCATGGAATCCTGTGCATTCGAGTCACCTCCAGAACGACCATAGAAACCTTTAAAACATCCTTCGTTGGCCCATTCTCAACGCCTAATTACGCATCCTCGTCGCTTTTCGATCCTCCCCAACGTGCCCACAATGCCCTCCTCCCAAAGGAAGAAAGCCCTCCAAAACAGCCTCCCTCTCGACGTCCTCGGCGCAGGCGACACAGAACTAATCCACCCGCTCCTCCCCTCCCCGCTCTCCTCAACCGCCTTCTCTACCCTCCTCACCGAGGTAAACTGGCGCACAATGCTCCACCGCGGCGGCGAAGTCCCCCGACGCGTCGCAGTCCAAGGCACCTCCATCCCCGACCCCATCCTCCCCAACACCCACGCCTTCCCCATCTACCGCCACCCCGCCGACACACCTCCTGATCTCCACCAAGAACGCTTCACGCCCACCGTCGAGCAGATCAGGAAGATCGCCGAGGAGAAAGTGGGACATGAGCTTAATCATGTCTTGATCCAGCATTATCGAGGAGGACAGGACTTTATCTCTGAACATTCTGATAAGACGCTGGACGTTGTTCGAGGAACGAAGATCGTGAATGTCAGTTTGGGTGCGGAGAGGGTGATGACTCTGAGGTTGAAACGGGATGCCATTGCCACGCCGGAATCAAGTAGCAGTACTACAACCAGCGAAAACACAAACGCCCCAGGGGATTCCAAACCACCACCACGCCCAGCCCAGCGCATCCCCCTCCCACACAACTCCCTCTTCGTCATGGGCCCCGAAACGAACAAGCGCTTCCTCCATGGAATCAACCACGACAACCGACCCGAATCAACAAAGAAGGAAGAAGAACTTGCCTACGGAGGCGAGAGGATCAGCTTGACGTTCAGATGCATCGGGTCATGGCTTGTGCCCGTTCCCGGTGACACCGCGGCACAGGCTAACGACACTGGCGCTGAACAGAAGTACCTGATCTACGGACAAGGCGCAACCTCGAAGACCAGGGAAGGCGCCAAACCCGTCCCTCCACCACCTTCTACTTTGAAGGAGACTGATCCCAACGCAGCGCAGGTGGTTGCAAAGGAAGCCGAAGCGACGATCAAAGCATTTGGGGAGGAGAACTTCTCGAGTACGTTTGACTGGGACAAGTGGTATGGAGATGGATTCGATGTGATTCATTTCGTATGAGCCTACTGCCATTACCTCATTTCACCTGGGCGCTTAAGTTGGCGAGCATTACCACCACTGTCGATAAATTAGGATACCCCATTTTGCTTGGAATACTATATCGTCATTTGTTATTCCACCAGCACCCGAGAATTCCTCAATAGCCTAGCCTGTAGAATCCAGGGCCAGGGCGCCAGAGGTTGGACCCCACGCGCTACGGCACCCGGCTTGGTCGCGGGCCGCGCCCACGGAACCAACGCGAAGAGCGCGAGCAGCTCGAACTACACCAACGACCTCGACCACCGGCGACCTGCATAAGTCAGGGCCTACACCGCAACCAGGACCCAACCACCTAATGTTAAGACGTGCAGTTCCGTTTACACGCGTGAATGGGCCACATCTGACGTTCAGCAGCAGTCGGGGTGCAGCGGGTTACACCCAGGTCGGTCTGTCGCTGTTCCAACCTTCGATATTCAATGTTCAAATGCGTTCAATTGAAGCAAGCTGCATGTGCACGTCGTAGCTTACTCCTGTCTCCGAGGACAAACAGTCCGAGAAAGTCACTAAAGCGGTTATGTCCGGCACAAACATTTCAATTCAGAGAATACTCGGTGGGTCAACCAGCGGCATGTTCAAGAAACGTATTCGTTGACGGGATGCCTCCCAAGACTCCAGTAGAGCATCCGGAACAGCCTCCAGAAGAAAACACGAGCAAGAAACCCCCGAAAGTCAAAGGCAAATACAAATGGCTAAGCCGCCAAATCTCGACTCTCAACCCAAGCAAACTCCTTCCCGAAGACTACGTGGATGCCTCTGGCGGTAGAGTAGCCTTCACGGTTATGGCTCCCGAGGGCGGCAAGCGGCGCATAAGCTTTACCCGGAAAGGCCAACAATTCATCCCCTTCCCTTCAAACGCCAGAGGATTTTTCTACTTCCATCGGCCAGACCAAAGTTGCATCACCAGCGGACTACGCTTTCGAGTTGTCGACAAACCTGACCCAGCTTTGTTCAGCCAGGGTGAGGACCTCATGAAGCCGGACGGTGGTGTATGGGTCCTACCGCTAACAGCCATAATAAAGGGGAGGATATACCTGCCTTTTCGCGAGCTCATCATCCGCGACGAACTCATCACACCAGCTGAAGTGGCGTGGGTGGAGAGCTTAGAGGTGAAGGACACCAGAGCAGGATTGATCACTATTGCCAGTATGACACAACCATTCGAATGTGACTTCCCAAGAACAGGGTTCTGCATCCGTGTTCAGGAAGGAGAGGAGCTATACGACTTCAATATCCAAGGGCCAGCTTCATTTGGTGAGTCTCCCCACTCCTCCCCGACTGACAAGGTCCTCGCGCACTCACGTCCCACAGGTTTCACAGGGTCAATTCAGGTCCGATTCGAGCTGGCCTATCGACAGGATCCAGTCGTTCCCCCAAAGCCATTCGTCGTTCTGCGCCTTTTGAAGTTTCTTGTTCCACCAACGGGTGACGAACCAGTTAAACAGGAAGAGGGAAAGTTGGTCAGGGCACTGTCGCTGTCCCGAGCAGGCGGTTCTTATATTTGGACGATCTCTCCTTCAACGCTGCCATCTCCCTGTGTGGAAGCTTTGGAACGGGCGTACCCTCCTCATCCTTCACGTCTATACGAGCGAGCAATGCGCAAAGGCCAACGACTGTCTTTGGAACCTGTGGGCAATGAATCATTTTAGACCAACGGGAGAGACACATCATATTGTAAACCTTATAAAATTGCATTGTTCCATGGCCGGACGGGAAGGGATCACCTCTGCCCTGGGCGCTTAAGCTCTCCCAGCAGGCGTGTCCCTGTGTGAAATGATTGTGATACCTCGCGGTTTGTGGAACCCTGCGCTTATTCATAGGTATAACGCGCCAACTCTCTCAGGAGCAGGTTGCACTTCCTCAACAGTCGCGCTTTTCCTAGCATCTGCCTGAATTCAGGGTGCCAGAGTCGTCACGGCACCCGGCTTGATGGCGGTCCGCACTCAGAGATGCGCAAGAGCACAGTTCTGACGTTCAACCACGACCACCACAGGTGAGATTCACCAGGACACGGCCTCTACAGCATCCACGAACTCCCTGCCGATGTTAAGTCGCGCTGTTCCGCTCACACGCGTGAATGGACCGCGTCTGACTCACTGCAGCAGTCGGGTTCCTGTGGGCGGTACCCATGTAAGTCTGTCCAGGATCCACAAGACTTATGCTCCATACTCAACGCGTTCAATCGAGGCAGGCCACATGTGCACGTCGCAGCCTGCTCCTACCTCCAGGATTAAACAGTCTGAGAAAGCTACTAAAGCGGCCAGGTCCAGTGCAACCAGCTCACTACTCCGTAAGTCAACCCATACCTTAGAGAAAAACGCATTCGTTGACGAGCTTCTCTCAAGACTACAGTCACACATTCGGAACAACATGAAGGAAACACGAGTAAACTTTTCATAGCCAGACGGGAACGGCGACCAGCCCGCCAAATCTCGACGCTGAACCCAAGCAAGTTGGTTCCCGGAGACTACATAGAAGTCGCCGACGGCTCCGCCTCATTCGTGGTTGCAGTTCACGGAGTGGATGTCAAAAGCGTCGTAGTAAATCCCCAGTGGTACGACAGCGCCACGCGAAGCATCAACACTAGCCCCTTTCCCCCAAACACCAGAGGATTCCTCTACCTCCATCGCCCAGACCGAAGTTGCATCACGAGCGGCCTGCGTTTCCGCCTCGTCGACAAACCTGACCCGACTTTGTTCGATCAGGGCAAGGACCTCCTGAGGCCGGATGGCAAGCCATGGTTCCTACCACTGGTGGCGATAGTCAAGAGAAACTGCTACACGACCCTCCGCGAATTGGTTATCCGCAGCAAACTCGTCAGCGAAACCGAACTCGCGTTGCTGAAGAGCTTGGACGGAGAGAACATGAAATCAGGAGCGGTCCTGCTTGGCAGTATAACACAACCATTCGAACGCGACCTGTCACGGCTGGGGCTCCCCATCCGTGTCCAGGAAGGAGATAAAATTCACCGCTTCGCTATAAATCGGCCACGGGGTTTACACGGTCAGTCACTCAGCGCCTTCCAATCGATAAACAAGATCCTCACGTCCCACAGGTGCCAGAGGTTCAGTTCTGGTTCAATTGGAGCTGGCTTATCGACAAATCCCATCCGCTCCCCCGAAGCCTTTCGTCGTTATGCGCATTTTGAAGTTCCTTGATCCACCAAAGTATGACGGACCACTCACCCAGGAAGAGGGCAAGTTAATTAGACGCCTGTCTTCGGTCGGCGAGCCTTTCATCTGGGCGGCCTCTCCTTCAACGCTGCCACCTCCGTGTCTGAAAGCCTTGGAGCAGGCGTACCCTCCCCATCCTTCACGCATATACAAACCATCACGGCGCCAAGGCCAGCGACTGTCTGTGGTGCTTGCGGCCAGTGATTTCAATTAAATAATTAACAATGGAATAATACAGTGGTTATGTACCCTCGTCCCCAGCTTACGACCGGAAGGAACCATACACATACGCCAACACGAACCCGAGAATCATGACCCACACCTTCCACCACGGACCCCAGGCCTCATCAGCGTCTACAGGTCCCATCGACGCAGCCTCCACCAACGCAGCCTCCAGCCCCTTCGCCATCGCCTCCATCCCGAACAACCGCTTCGCCCGCTCCCTCGCCTTTTCACCCAGCCGCTTCCGCTGCTCCTCCGAAAGCGACACGATCTCCAGGAGAGACGCGGCCCACAAGTCGGGGTCGGGCTCCCTCAACCACCCAGTCCCAATCTCTTCAGTACTCGAAGACAGGACGCTCTCCAGAGGTCCACCCGAGTTGCACGCGAGCACTGGGACGCCGCACGCCATCGCTTCGATCGGTACAATCCCAAAGTGCTCGTTCGATGGAGTGTAGAGGAGGGCAAGAGTGGATTCACTCCTCAGCAATGCCGTGCGCTGGGAGGTTGTAAAGTTGAGGAGGAAGACGACGTCTGGGTTTGTAGCTTCGCGTAGTGAGGGGGAGGAGAGGGAGGGTGGGAGAGGAGCAGGGGAGGTGATGATGTAGGTTAGAGACAGTGCTTTAGCTAGTGCTTGCAGCTGCGCAATAACATGTCGGTTATCCTCCAAACGGTCATCATATCCTCCTGCCAGGACTAATCTGAGATCCTTCAATTTGGCATGGTTCCCTTCAGAATGGAGTTTCAACTTGGCGAACGATTCCAGTGCGAGCACAATGTTCTTCTTTCCCTCGAAGCGGTTGAGAGAAATAAGGGTCGGGCGATTTCTACAGCAAAGATAAATAACCACTTCACTTGGCAGCGCGAGGGGACTTACGAAATAACCGAAGCAACATCGGGGTCAGACGAGTCGTATGTCCCCTCATACGCCTCCAGGTTGATACCGGGATACACGATCTCGGGCAGTTTCTTTATCGAGGGGAAGTACGACTTGAAAACCCTCGCAGTAAACTTTGAATTCGCAAGGATGATATCCGCTTGGCCTGGAAGATACATCAGTACCCACGTACAGCAACGCCTCATGCCCGCAAGGCCAACCACGATAAAAACAACAACGAACTCACGAGTCGTAACCTCCTCCAACCAATCCATCGGCAACCTATACAACCTCTTCACCAACCCCTGCCTCCTAACAACCCCACCACCACCATCCACAAACGCCCCATCCGCCAAAAGCTTATCCGGAAAATGACAATAAAACACCACCCTCTTCCCCGCCACACCCCTCAAAAACGGGACACACGTCGAAAGCTGGTCCACGAAAAAAACATCATACCCTCTTGTCTTGCCTTGAAGCAGCATAGTCGCAAAGAGATGCAGCTGCCTCAAATGCGCAAAGATGATGTGGAATTTGCCTTTGAGCGAGCGAGGGAAGGGTGGAGGGACGTAGTGCACTTTCAGGCTTCCTGTATACGGCGACGAAGATGCGGTATTCGAGATTCAGCTTCGCGTGACGTCAAAATGGGTAATGCTAGGACGCACCGTCCTTAGTCTCCTCGAAGCAATGCGTAGGATCATGATGAGACGTATAAATCCCCACATCATGCCCCAACTTTTGCAATCCAAGCGCAGCATCCACAACTAGGCGCTCAGCCCCGCCTATTCATCCATTACACGCATACACGACGGAACGTCAGTACCATTTCAACAATTCTATAAGACAGTAATAAGCACCAATTCCAAGATCTGGGTGAACAAACGCAACTCGAAGCCGCTTGGATGCCATACCCAGACGACTTTACGCAGAACGGTGGTCGACGTTGTGGAGCAAGAAATATCGGACGTGTCGCGGTCGTGTTGTTCCCGGCAATCAATCAATTAGCCGGCCACCCAGGCTTCACCTCCTCGTACCTTCCGCTCCGACTCGGGGAACTCCACTCGACCAGGACACAACTAACGCTCAGGCGAGGCTTACAGGGAGAGAGAAACCGTCTATAAATACGACACATCAGATACAGGGAACTAGAATTATAATACTACATGTAGCGCTACGCTCTTGGGGATGAGACGAGTGGGATAAAATGGGATGGGGTAATAAAACAACACTGAATGCAAAGTTCAATGATGCAGAAAGCAGAAAAAGAGTCTCGAGAGGAAAGGGAGGAATGGGGATGATGATAGAACATGCCATATGTACTGGGGTAGTGATGATGCACGAATGCAAAGGGATGCTGATGCAAAAAATGGGACAGGTAAAGATGAAATGATGAATGGAGCGAATGTCACAGGTCAACCTGAAAACACCCCCACGACAAAACCAGGAAAGTACTAAATTCTAAAGTACAATGAGTGCCGAAGAAAAGAGTCGAGGATGGTGTAAGTTGAACGTAATGCCCAAACACAAAAGAAAGGATATAAAAGTACAATTACTTTTCCAGCCAATGGGACTTGGTAAGAACCGTCCGCGCTCGACCGTGACAAAGGAAAAAGTCAAGAGCGAAAGCAATGCAACGGGTAATAAAAACGGGGCATGACGAGAGAGCAAAGAGGAAGAGAGGATATGATGGACTGACAATGGGAAGAGGGAGAGATACAGCCGATATGCGCCCTCCCAAACCGAAGCGGAAGGTGCGGCTACCAGGTGGTCTAACGGTTATCGATCTGCTTCGTGCACTAACATCGACGCGTGGCGAGCGTGATCCGTGCTTATCCCGCAGGAATCGTCAGAGCCCAGTAGGCTGAGGGCATTGCCATGCGAAGAGGCAACCCATCATCCATAGGGGTTGCATCGCGAGATGCACGAGGACAAGAAGGTGGCCTATAAAAGTTCGACCCCCCAAAACAACGCACGCTACTCCTGGGTCCAGGATTCTCCCCCAGGAAAGCGGCAGGAAAGCAACCCCCACCATCCCCACCACAAACACACCCTACACGCCTGCCGCTCTTTACGACTTCCTCCTCTCCGCCTCCTCGGCTTTAGCTTTCGCGCGCGCATCGCAGGCCAAGCATTGTCGTCCACGACGGATTTTCTTTGATGCAATTCCTGGGCCCTTGCTGCCTCCTTCCCCAGGACCCTTTACGCTCCAATCGAAAACACCGTCGTACTCGATACCAAGACGTGCAGCAAGACCACGGAAACAATTTCGCAACCCCTCGTAGTCGGGCAGGTCGTCAAACTCCAAGTTACGCGCGTAGGTGTACAGCACGTGGAACTCCTCGGGAAGACCCTCCGTCAAGGTCGCTTCATGCTCGAGCTTGCTGTCGCGGATCAGGTCCCACGTAGCACTGACGGGGTTATAATGCTCTTGAGCCTCACGTCGCTCTTCACTATTCGAAATGGCCGCCAAAATCGACGAAGGAAGGTTGGAAGGGGCGCGCATCTTTCTCCAAGGCAAAGTCCCACGAAGGAAGTAGATGAGCATGTAGGCGAGGGATTCAAGGTCATCTCTTCGCGAAGCTTCCATGCCGAGGTGAGTGTTTATTGACGCGAATAGGGAGGTTCCGACCCCATGGAGGCCTGTCGGGTGTTGAGAAAAGGGGATGTGGATTTGCGATACCGAGTCTCGGAACTTCTTGGCCAGGCCGAAGTCAATGATGTGGACGAGGGGATGGTGCGGACACGGTCGCGACGATGCCGGAGGACTTGGCAGCCTTGATCTTACGGGCTTGACGACATCACCTTCCACAGGGTCAGGTAAGGATGAGGAGGGCGAAGTTGGGGACGGTGCCGTTGAGTTGGCATTCGAATGTGATGTTGAACAGGAGCATGGTGTTTGTGGCGCCACCGACATGACAAAGTTCGCAGGCTTGATATCGCGATGGACGATCGAGTGCGAATGCACAAATTCAATGCGGGAGATCTGAAATTAAGCTCAAAGTTAGCAATGGACTCATACGGCAGTTAACCAAGCGGGAAGAGGGTGCCTCGTTATGCAAAAGTGTGTCCACGGCAATATGCCACCACCACCACTGCAACCATCAGCGCCAGTCATCGTCTGAGGTATTGCAGAGGTGCAGGAGACTACACGATGGAACCAGCTCGTATAGCGACAGCCCAATGGTCTTCCAGCGTGGCGTATTTCCAGCTTTGGGAAGCTCACCAATTGATCTGCCAGTAAGAGGACGGTCTTCATACTAAAATGGCGATTGCACATCTTGAAGAGGTCTTCTAGACTGGGACCCAGGAGATCCGTGACCATAACGTTGTAGTCACCCTGTCGACCGCTCCAAATAATCCATGGTACGCCTTCACCGCCAGAGAGGGATTTGTATATTTTGGACTCTGTTTTGAGCGGCGATGGGTGCGACGGGTGGTGATCAGGGTGGGTTGGCTCTAGCTTGATTGCCACTTGTTTTCCTGCTGTGGTATGCACGCCCAGAAACACGGTTCCTTGAAACCAATAGCGGGTCAGCAAAGGGGTGTGCCAATGACATAGTGGGGATTAGGACCCGGTTCACTCACCACAGCCTCCATTTGCTATTTCTTCTTCAAACCTGTATTTGCCAGCATAAGTAGTAAGAACCATCTTGCGGACGTCGCGAAGAAACCGCGAGCGCGCGTTTGGTGGTTGAGAGGAACGTTGGGGACGAGGGAAAAGGTTGGTGATGGCATTGGCAAAGCAGCCAGCCACTCAAACGCGAGTAACGTAAGATTTTCTCACACGGCGACCTCATCAGTCGTCTTCATTCTTTTTCTGTTTCTGACATTCTAAATGACGTTTGACCCTTCTTATTGTCTCGTCCTTCTGATCGCCTCAACGTCTCGAATGCTTTCACTCAAGTCAAACTACCTTCAGAATGCGAAGAAAAGAGGGGGGAGAAACAGTGGCTTTTCCCCGGCTTTATCATCTCACCCCCACTGGAAAACAAACTTTACGACACCGGCCTTTGTTACTCGAACTTCGTGGCCATCTCGTGGGGATCGGCTGAACTGTCGCGAAGCAATTTCTCGTCTCTTTTTCGCGCGGAACTCTGGAACCGTGTTCTTGAAACTCCAAGGGCCGGGAATGTTCGGCGTACCCAAGTTGAACGGAAGCTTCGGGCGAACCTACCAGTGCTCGTCCTGCGGTCTTGTGCGCTCCTCCTGGCTTTTCTCGTAAATCAGACGGTCCTTGGAGAAAATGCCGTTCTCGGTGCACCTTTCTCCTGACGACCTTTCTCTTGTTGCCGTCACGAATTAGAGCTCCGCGGGATGGCCGGAAGGTCCTTTGTCTGCTCAGGGGTGCCTCCTACCTTTGTCCTTCAGTCTACGTGCGGCGAAGAGACGCTCTCTCCAGCGGATTTCATACTAGGTGAAAGGGGCTGGAAGTTCTGGCTCGATGGGTCCATGGCTTGCTGCACCATTCACTGAATATCGCGTCTGATATCGCGTCTGGAGACCTGGTGCTTCAACTCACATAGCCAGGCGAAAACAACAGATATAATATTACAAGTAACATCACATAAACATCATCAAGTCGTTAAAGACATCAGCACTACACAGGACAGCAGGGCTATGGCAGCACAGTGCACGAAGAGAAGCCTCGCTCTCAATCGCGGAAAGGGCAAAGATCAAACGCAGAAGCATGGCATCTCTTGCTATTCAAATCCACAATCAACGCGCCAGTGGTCTAGAAAAAACGCGTAGAATTGAGTAAGCTCCAAATCTCATCCTTCCAGACAAAGCCGCACTAACCTTGGAGTACAAGCAAGTTCCAGGCGTAAGCGCCCCATAGACGCAAGCGAACGGATCCAAGCTAAGGTCGGGAACGGCAACGATGGGAGTGAGGAACTTGTCAGTCAAAGGACAAGTCCAGCATCCGCCTTTAGAAGCATCCGTGGCCGCAGCGCCCTCGACACCAGCAGCGTTGGCGTTGGTGGGGAGACCTTGCACCGCGGGGTTGAGGGTGAGCAGAGCAACAAAGGTAGCGGCGAGGGTGAGGCGGATGGCGTGGAACATGTTGGTCGTAGGAGTTTCGTGCAACTAGAGAATAAAAGAACCGTTCGCGGTGAGCAGATCGTCCAGGATAAACCGGAGGGTTGGAGCACGTACAGTAGACTTGGAAGGGCAGTAGGATCCTGCTGTTCCAGTCAAGCTGGGTCGAGATTTTATAGCCCGTTGGAGGGACGGTACCGGTGGTACACTTGCACCTGTCGTCCAACTGCAAGGTCATTTCTTTTCCTATCACCGAACCCGTCGCAGTTTACAGGACACGAATACCCAACGGACAAAGGAGAAGTCCAAAAGTCTATGAACGTTCATCGAAATCGCGAACCGAAGTGCAAGTGGAATGTCTCTGTCCCCTCCGTGTCCATGGGATTGTGAAGTTCTTTGAAAGTCAGCGATTGTGAAAGCTATGTGGCTGTAGAAGGAGCACTTGAACAGCAGACAAGGATGTGTTCCAGGCTCGAGGCAGGCCTAAGGAAGGTCCCCGACATTTATGATGGTAAGGATACCTGCAGGCCTCCTCTCACCGCGTCCGATTTACGTCAAAAGTCATCTTGAACGGAACCAAGCGAAAGAAGCTTCCGGCATCAATGTGAATAAGTAAGTACCCGCAGTGACATTGCACACTGCTCGCCCTCCGAACTATGTACTCACTTTCCGAAACAGGCTCGCCAAAAGCTCATCCCTATTCCCCTCCGTCTATTCAATCACAGGTCCGGCACGGGTGCATCGATTCCATGAACCTGCCAACTACGGTGCGATCCGAACACCCACTGCTTCTCGTCGGTGTCGTGCGCATTGAAGGCACGCAGGTGGCAGTGATGAAGAATGGATCGTCAAAGTTGGCTAAAGCCGTCACCAGCCTCAGGGGACTTCCAATCGCTGAGCTCAGGCTCTGCCAGATGCTAGCACAAAGGAGGGATTCCAACCGGCTCATGAGAGCATCGGCATGTTACATATTTGAGAAATGCAGCATTCTACAAAACGGTCGGAGAGCTCGAGCACCAGTACCCATGGTGGCAGGGTAGAGGTAATCTCTTCTCGTTGGGTATCGGTCATGCCATAGATGGAGCAATGCTCAGAGATTCTCCAAGTTTTCGGATATGGCCCACCTTCCGCGTTGGTCTGCAAAGATCCACTTCCCAAAGACAGTCGACGGCCCCTGCACCTTGGTGGATCGTATAAACGCGAAGGATGGGGAGGATACTTTCGCTTCAAGGCTTCCAGGCAAGCAGCCCGACTAATACTGTGCGCCAGACGCGGTCGATTCACGCGTGTGAGCGGACCAACGCGACTTAACATCGGTGGATGCGGTTAGAAGTCGTGTTCTGATGTACGGTCGACGTTGTGGTCGTGGTTGAAGCATTTGAAGCCGTGTGCGATTTCCTAGGAGCCTGTAGTAATGGGCGGGCCGTGCCGCGGATAGGGGCCCATCGAACAGGCCAAACTCTGGTGAGCGATGAAGGGTCGCAACCGACAGCGTAGACCCGCCTTATTCATGTCGTGTTTGACCACACGACATGATCCGTTTAGTTTTTGAGCCTATACCAGGCCTGAGGGAAGGCAAAGAGACCAGGGGAGAGTCTGTTCACCTATGATCATGACCTCTCGACTTGGTAACTCGGCCGTCTCCAGACTTGGTCCCAATCCCATCAACCCGGGTTGCGGCTTTGATGGTTTTCACTTCAACCTCCATGTTCTTACCCTTCTGGAGAATCATAGCGCTATTTAGGCATTCTAAATGGCCAAAGAATGTCTGGTTCTTGCTCTAGCCAGCAACCTGGTGCTTATAATCTAACCCGGTATTTGATCGGGAAATTTGTTCGAATAAAATGGAGGACAACTGGGCTCGACTTTGCCTTTGCTTCATACCACCACAGGGATACCCATAGCATAGGAGGGGGTATGTCCAGATTTCTAATCTCAATCCCGAGCCGTTTGTTGAAATTTGGTGTCTAGAACATGCAGTTTGACTACCGGATCCTTGCAGCAAGCAATTTGCCTCCTACCGAGTCTCAAATCGACGAGATAAAGGCCCTTCTGCGGGAGGAGTCCACCAAGGAGGAATCTCTGGAACTGGAAATTCGGAGGATACAAGAAGAACTCCATCGCTTGCGTTTGGCAACGGTCGCCCAGAAGCGCAGAGTCAGTGACTACAAAGCCATCCTTTCGCCAATCCGTTCGCTGCCAGCAGAAATCATCGCCCATATCCTTCTTCTGTGTGCAGAGGATAGAGGTGGCCATCATCTCCCATTCCCAGCGAGGTATCTCGTTCTCGGACAGATATGTTCCCGTTGGAGAGCCATTGCCCTCGCCACACCTGATATCTGGGCGACCATCCAGATCCACGTTCAGTCAAGGTCCTCAGTCAAGAAAAGCATCCAGGTTGCCCACGTCTTTGCAGAGCGCTCCCAACCTCGGCTTCTCACCTTGGATGTTTCTTGCAACCACTCCCATCACCAAGTGTCGAACTTCCTTCCAACCCTGCTCAACGAGCGCGTGTCCAGTCGCATCCATTCGTTGAGACTACGCGTTCCGGAGCGCTTCATTACCGGTCCCGGGGAGAGTCCCATCCGCCATCCGTTTCCCAAGCTGGCCCACCTGGACTTCTGCGGGCTCTCGCGACAGTTCTTCCACCCCACGGCTTACCTCGTTGATCCACCAATCATGATGATGGAAAATCCATTCATAGCCGGCTCGTCGCTGACCACCCTCAAGGTTGAATATCCATCACCACTCCATACACCTAGTTGTTACTTTGGGCTTTCCCTTCCCGATACTTCACAGTCGTGGTCCAACATCACGAGCATCATCTTAGGGGAGGGTGTCCTGTTCGAAACCCACCAATTCTTCTGGATTCTCGAGAAGTCAGCCGCAAAGTTGGAGCGATTCGTCGCTTCGGAGGCTCTTTTCGATGCCTCCATATCTACTTCACTTGCGGCCCCCATCGTTCTCCCGCATCTCCACACATTCGCCGTGCACCTCTCTGAGGAGGACGTCTCGTTCATTAACCACCTCACCATGCCGGCCCTCAAGTCACTCTCGATCGCTTTCCAGCGAGACCTGCCAGCCTCTCCCAGCGACGTCCTCGACCGGCTTCGGGAGCGCTCCCAGTTCTCGCTTTCTACATTCAAACTTATCAACGGCTGCCTCTGGTCAATCGACAAAGCTGATGTCCTCGAGGGTCTGTTCGGGCATTTCTTCCCAGAAGTAGAGGTCCTCGAACTCGACTCACGAGCCCTGGAGACGAGCCTCATTTTCCAGTCGCTTCGCCTCCGCTCGCACGAAGCCCCCTTCCGAGATGCAGGAGAAGAGAACCTTCCCAAGCTGCGCAAACTTTCCATCCGCCTCGACAGGGAATACGATGCCGGCATCATCTCCGACTTCCTCCTCTCCCGAACCATCTGCCCTTGCCGCGACCACCATCGCCAAGGTGGCTGCCCATTCGCCATCTTCGAAGAAATCCAACTCTTGACAACCAATACTCGCTACCTCGAACGGCAACTGCAGAGGTTCACCGAAAACGAAGAATATATCGCTAGTGCTCGTGCTCCTATTCGCATCAAGTGCATAGAGGGTTGATCGATTGATCTCCCAGGTTGATCCCCAGCTGGCCCTGGTGGATCCTGTTTTCTTTCCTTTTTCTGTGGAAATAGAGATTCGTTTGTAGACGCATACACAGCGGGACTGTACTCTACACGCATTGGGAATACCAGTCATTCAGCTTGTTGCAAGTCGAGCCTGACACGCAGCATGTCGGTCCAGTCCATCCATTTCCCCCGCACTGGGCAAATTTGGAGGCACAGTTTCCTGACGGCGGGGGCGTAGGGACAACAACGGGAGGAGTTGTGGAAGGAGTTGGCTGCGTAGTAATGGGAGGCGGGGTAACTGGAGGTGCCGTGTTCTGCGGCAGATTGGTGGCCCAAGGATATGCGGTTGTCGTTGCGGACCACGGGGCAAGGTTGTTGTAATCCCTGTTGATGGTGGCATTGAAGAAGACCTTCTGGAGGAAGGGAACAACGTTGGTGCTAATTTAAGCTGTGAGACTTCTTTTCGTCGAATGATAACAAGGCCGATTACTCACTGTCCTGACATATCGCAGTGTCCTCCGCCCCTAATTGCCATACCAATCCTATCCTCAATACCCAGCCATTTGTACACCTCCCTCGCCGCCGGGTACACGATGGTCGCTGTCCCCCTAGCATTGACGAAGGGGTCGCCCTGGCCTTCATCAATCACCATATACCTGGGCGCAATCGCAGCAGCAATCATGTGCGCATCATACGGCAACCTCTGGTGATTATTCAAGAACCCGCTGATAACATTGCACGTCCACCACGGTGCTCCCTGTTTGCTGTTCTCGAGGTTCTCGCCTTGGCCGGACAATTGCCAGTACCGGTACGGCCCTAGACCTTGGATACCGCTGGACATGGGAACTGTGACCAGGATGCGCTCGTCGAAGAGGCCAGCTGCTAGGGCGGCCTTTCCGAGGCGAGAGCAACCCGTCACCGCAGTTTTAGTCGCGTCAATCTCGGGGACTACGGCTTCGATGGCGTCGAGTGTTCGGTGTACTCCCCAAGCCCAGGCAGTCAAGACACCTTTTTCATCCACATGGATCAGGATACCTTCAGCAACGAAGACTGCAAGAAAGACCTACCGATGTCTTTGCCATTGTACAAGCTCCAGAAAGTACCAGTCTTCCCATTCGAATCTGGAGCAACGTTCATATAATTGATCGTGGCGACTGCAATCCTCGCGTTGGTGTACGCTCCATTGTTGACGCCTCCAATCGCCAACATGACCGGCACCTTGTTCGAAGGGCTTGCGCCACTGGGGAGCGCCAAAGATGCGGTGAACTGGCCATTCCTTCCTCCTGCGCTGACGTTGATAGTCAGAGTGTTGCCGTTCCTCGTAGCCGTGACCGTCTCCGCCGAGTGGTCAGGGTAGAACCCGTATTGGTATTCCTGCAGGAGCCGCTTGATTTCTGGCTGGCGACAGTTGTACCACTCGTCGACTGAGGAGACGCGGCGGTCGATGGTGAAATACTTGAAGGGGTCTGGGAGGGTGGCCTCGGACGGCAGTGAGGCTGGTGCTGGTCTGGGTTCAGGGAACGCGGGGCATTGCTGTGCAGCTACCAGGGGTAACGCTGCGGCCACCAGGGATAAGAACGGTAGGGAGAATTTCATCGAGGGAGCAGGGCTGTCGGAAGGAAGAGATTAGTGTATGGGATTTACCCTTCTGGCTGAATCGAAGGATGTGGAGATAGGGTTTTATAGTTCACTTTCTCCAGGATGGATAGACCTTCGACTGGAATGGAAAAAGTTCTCATTTTTCCGATGTGCAGTGGTCGACGCTGCATATACTTCGGATGTGCTTGGAGTGCTGACTATGGTACCGGAGCCTCACGACCTCGAGGTTGATTTGCCGGTGCGGGGCGCGTGCAAGTCCAGCGTTAGCCAGAGACGGCACACAGGCCACCGCTGGTTGTTGTTAACGACGACTTCATTGCCCTTGCTCTGTGGTTTGCGTTATAAGAGGCCGCTTTGGGGGTCCTCGGGAGATGCTCGTGGATGGTTTCAAGGGCGGCGGCGGCCCGCCTCGTCGATCCACGGCCGATCTATCAAAGCAAATCCTCCCAACACCGGAATCATAGAGGAAGAAACTTGTGTCATCGGCAACTCTTCTTGCCCTCGTGGCATCGTACCTCTTTCCCTTCTAAATGCTTCTGAGGCAGTTCTTGAAAGATTGGCGGGGCGCAAGAGGACTTACCGGATAATGTCTGACCAGACAAGGGTCATCTGACCTCCCTTCTCGCTGTCCCAAAGGGAAATGACCTACCCCCACGCCGAGCTTTTAGGTATAACTGTGCTGCGAAGCCTGTTGGTCTGAGTGTCTGACCAAGGCTCGCGTCTGGTCCGACGGCGAGTACTCGGTCTCCTTAGTCGTTCGTCGACAATCCTGAGTCTGTGAGGGGGCACGATGGTAATTAGAGACCGATTTATACAGACTAACATACAAATTTCAGCATGATTTAGGAGACTACAGCACGATGAGAGACCAGGACACTGCACCGAGCTACGGGAGCTCAGTTCTCAATTCGGCGGGTACTAGGAGCAGGAGCGGCCGCGGGCACAGCGGCATATCCCGCTGAGTACTGGTCTGACGGCGTTTCGACTGCGATCCTTGTCTGTTGAATCACCCTTCCACCGCAGATGATTCCACCGCTCACTGTCGTTCCATTGAGGTTCAATGTGGCTCCGGGCCTACGGACAGGACGATGGATCCTCGCAACGTCGTCCGATAGGACACTCGACTCCGCCCCAAACACCGCTGGCGCGTAGTTTCCATCCGTAACGGTTTCGTTGTTTATAATCAACGCTTCTCCCGTAGCTGGGGCGACTTGCTGGGAGCCATTCGATTGTGTAGTCACATTGTAGGAAAGGCTGGTGTTCTGGTAGATTTCTCTTGCGGCGACTATCCCGCCAGTCATGACGACGTCATTCATTTGTATCACTTTATGGTCTCGATTGGCCAGGGGATGGTACGGTCCTTCGAGATGGACGTGCGAGTTCCTGTAGATGCCGTTTCCAGCAAAATGTCCTCCCTCGATTATTGTGCGGTTGAACGCCATGCCAGCCCAACCATCTTGGCTGGATGTCTCGGTGTCGTGTGGTGTCCCGTGGGCTGGCTGCTGGCCATTGGTCACTGGGGGATTCTAAAGCGCATATAGTCTGAGAGATCGAGCCCCGACAGCAACAGGATTGCACCTACGTTCCGGTGGTGCGCGGCAGGAGGTTGATTCGACATCGCTACCTGGGGGGAATAGACAAGTGGGAGACTAAAGATCAAGGCAGTGGCTGTATACAGTACTTATACTTAACCAACAAGGATACGTTTGTGCCGGGCAGGGTGTGGGCGGTGCAAAGACTGCACGGGGCACAAGGACTTGAGACTTCCATCTTGAAGTGGACCCACAACCAAGTAACTTCGAACAAGAACTATGCCGTCAAGTCACAGCCAGGTGACTTGTCTTCACCCTTTGCCCAGGATGGAAATATAGTTCAATGACAGCCTTCTATTCTTGCAATACACGTTCCACCCTCATTCCAGATCGGAAATGGGCAAAACAACAACGTGTGCCCAATTCGGGAAGATAAGCGCCCAAGATAGCCGTCGCAGTGGGTCACCCTTGCCTTGGTGTCATTGAATGAGATGGTATTGTTAACGCAAAAATGGTGTAGTAACAAATGTGTGTAGTAGATCTAACTAAAGCGGTAAAACTAACAATAGATGTGTGGAGTGTAGAAAGCTCATGAATAAGGATGTGTTTGATGAAGGATGAAAACGATGACCATCGCGAGTGAGCGTTAGTCGTCGAGTGATTAGGGGATGGGTACGGAGAATGAGAAGTCGATCAAGTATTTACAGCGGCAAAAAGGTAAAGGGCATCGCGTCGAAGTTAAAGGGAAAAATCATGATCGTGAACTAAGGTCGCCATTAGGGAGAACATTATCTGTGACATCGAACGTTTCGTGGGATCATGGAACGCAGCTCGGGAGGATGGTCGAAGCTTGACAGGAAGAAGGGGAATGGGAGGTAAAGCGAACACGGGGATTGTCACTAAACTCGGTGTAGCTGTCAGTTTAGACGCCGGGAGCCAGAGCTACAGTAGGTTTAATTCATGGCATCTAGAGAGTAGATAAATTAGCTCCTGACCACGTACGAAGCGAGTTCCAACACAATACTCACCCTTTCCCATTCAGAGACTGTGGTCGAATCAAATCCAGGGATACACGAGGGAAAGTACGAAGCCGAGGCGACAAGAGGAAGAGTGGAAAAGGGGAATTAGGTCTTACAGGGTTGTCGTAGGAATGTTGAACGGAATGAAGTAGAGTATAGGAGGTCGAAGGGAGTCATAGAAGCGGAATACAGGGCCCCTTGGAAACGGGGAAAGGAAGAGGAAGGTACAAGCTCCAGACGAGCACGGACTCGACACGTTTACGCAATACGTCCATCTCCAATACCACCACCAGCACCAACCACATCTCCAGCTCGCTCAACCATGCCGCTATCCCTTCGTCCTCGCTGGGGCAGCAGGGCTGGTCTTCCACGGAACAGACCAGCAAATCCACGTCGCTCCTCCCAGCTGCCACTGATCGTGTTGGTGTCGTTGCTGCTGCCACTCCTGCCAGTGGTAGTGGTAGTACCGCTCTCAGCGATGCTAACTGGCGCCGTGACGAAGCTCTGAGCAGCGCTACTGAGCATCATGACACTCTCCACTCCTTCCCTGGTGTTGACACTCAGGTAATCGCTACTGGCACCACCGGGGGCCAGGGACCTGTGTCGCTCCCATGCTGAGGCAGGAGGGTGAAGGAACACCTCACGTGGAGAGTCATCGAGAGCGGGGTGGGCCTGTTGAGCTTCGAAGGTCATCTGGTGGGGCATGGGGGTGATCATACCGCTGGCATCACTCAGAACGCTAGGCGTAGCAGATCCCGCGCGACTGCGAGCTGGCAACGTCGGACTCCTCAAAGATGGTTCCTGGGAGAAGAACTGTTGGTCCTCGTCGTCATCTTCCTCGTCGTCTTCGGAGGTGCCGACCAATGCAGGAGCGGAGCGTGGTTGGGCGGATGGATCCTCTTCGTGTGTTGACAACTGATCTTGCGATCGAGGCTGCAAGAACGGAACCGGTCGTCCAAAGGTGTAGTTGGCCTCAGCAGCGCTCCCATGGCTCAGACTCTCACTTCCGCTCCTGCTGTGGCCGCTCGACGAGTAGTAACCCTCCTCGATCAATTGTTGATGACGCGGGTGGACACCACTGCTGCCACTTCCACTGCCCGAACTCTCGCCAGTTTCCTGGCTTGCTCCGCTCTGGCCACTGACAGTCCGCATGGCGGGGGCTGCAGCCTCAGGAGTGGCTTGCGAAGGAAGCCGCACGACCTCGGGCATCCTGGCGCTAGCGGTGCCAGTGACGAAGTTCTCCAACGCACTCTCGCCACTGCTGGACCCAAGCCTCCTGTGTCCGCCACCGGCATGCAAGTTGGTCATCGATGTCGAGCCTTCACCGCCCCTCAAGGGAGAAGCAGGGACCGAGGATGATGGGGATGTGGCAATGCCTCCAGCGATGCTCTGCATCAAGCTGTGAGCTCGCTGCCTAATTCTGACACTGAATGAGCCAGCGCGTTCACGAACGGCGCTAGCCACACTCTCCCTCCTCGATCGGGCTCGGACGGGGCTGTCGGGGGCGACGGAGTATCCTTGTCGATGGAAGGAGCTGTGCCTCGACCTTTCCCCGCCGCTGACGAGCGATAATGACAATGGACGACCAGCACCCGAATGACGAAGGGATTCCCTAGACTTGGCTGACGAGCTGTGTCTTGACCTGGTCCTCGAACGAGAGCCTGCGACATTGGTGTCCGATCCTTGTCCCTGTTGAATGCCGATCAACGAAGCACGGGGCGAAGGTCCGCGACTGTTGTTGCCACTTCCACTACCGAGCAGCCCAACCACATCCTCTCTCTCACCCTCCACCTCGCTCTCTTCGTCCTCATCCTCGTAGACATCCTCTTCGTCCCTTTCACGTCTGGCCGCATGCTCGTGCTCATCGTCCCTCAAACTCAACTGCAAGCTCTCGCCATCGTCCTCTCCCAACCTCCTCGAGCGTCCGCGGATAGCCCTCATCGCACTCTCATGCGACAATGCCCCTAAGCCCAGCTCCAGGTCTTCTGCATTGGGCGGGGTGGTACCTCCAAACGTATGCTCAATCCTCCTTCGCCTTCGATCCCTGCCCTCCCTCTCTGACACACTCGGGAACGCCACACCCTCACTCTGGCGTTCAGCAACTGCAGCAGTCGCTACCGCCCTCGAGCTGGAGTTGTTCGACGACAACGGCGAAGGGGCAGACGCAGAGGACGAACCGGAAGCCGAGCTCTGGACAGTGCTCCTCCTGCGCGTCCTGCCCTCCTGCCCAACGAGCGGGTGTCGGGGTGGCATCGGCAAGCCTCCACTTCCAGAGCTTCCAGCACTTCCGCCGCTCTCGCCACTCGAGTTCCTGTCGCGCTGTCGGTTCTCCCGGATGATCTCTCCCATCTCGCTCAGGGCACCTTCCTCGCTCATACCAGCACCAGCACTTCCACTCGCCGCATAGCCGCTTCCTGCACTGAGAGCGCTCAATCCACTGATGCCGCTAACCTGGCTGAGACCTCTGGAGTGTCCAGTCGACGAACCAGTGGTGTGCACGGCGACCCCACGGTGACGGTGGATATACGACGGAACCGGTGGGCCAGACAGGAATGGGAAGCGGGTGTTACCACCGTTGCCAACATCGCTCCTCCAGCTCAACGGTGAGCTCGACGATCCGGAGTGGGGGCTGGCTTGACCAGGACGTTGTTGACGGGGGCTTGGGCTGTAAGTCGACATCGAACGAGCAACGCTCGTTAAGCCAAGAGTAGGGGGGATGGGGTGACCGAGTGATGACATCGAGTTGGAGGCTCTTCCGCCCATAGACGATTCCGTAGATGGTTCTTCCGAGTAACGGTGCGAGGATGAGTCTTCGTCTTCGTCGTCTTCTTCCTCGTCCTCATGACCTTCTCCTTCCAGCCCACCTTCATTCCCAGAACCAGATGTACTTCCACTCCCACTTCCGCTGGAGCCCGAACCAGTCCCACTCCTGCTCTTCTTCGACCCAGACTTGGTCTTGCTGCTCTTACTCTTCCCGCTCTCCCTATCCTTTTCCTTTGGGAAGGGCACCAAATCGTTCGAGCTAACTTGTCCACTGCCAGGTTGGGTAAACGGATACGGAAGCTTCAAGAGCGGACCACTCCCACTCCTCTGCAGATCTCTCTGCTCTCCAATCATCTCGGCACGCTCCAAATCCGAACTGGCACCCCGATTCTTCGACGGACTCTCAAACAAATCCTGCGACAACACTCCCCTCTTCGCAGGGGTAGGGACGCTCGGGAAACCAACAGCAGCCAAAACGCGCTGCAAGCCTTCATCGCTCAACCCACCCTCCTCATCGTCACCTCCCGCGCGCCTCTTCTCATCCACTCGCCCCGATTTCTCAAAGGCCTGGGCACCGGTCGCTGCGTTGTAGAGATCCGCACCCCACTTGTACCGCCCACTGCCAACACCGACGAGACAGAACTCCCAAGCGTCTTGGACGCGCGCACGGGTGCACTCTCGCCATTCCCAAGGGAGGACACTGTCGTCGTTTGAAGCAAGGGAGGAGGTTGCGCTGAAGGCGGCCGAGAGACGGTTATGTTCTTCTTCTTCCCATTTATCGCGGGGACCGCAGATGCCTGCACAGCCGTGGCCTGAGAGGACCCAGAGACCAATCCTGTGCAGTCAAAGTCGCTGGTGAGAAACGTGGCGAGAGATGGCAGAATGAACGACTTACCAAGAACCAAGAAGGACCAACACCCTCCAAGCCGTCCAAGCCACATTCGCCCAGAGGACTCCGAGCGCGTAGGACGTCAAGAGACCATTATCCCTCCGGAAGAAAGTCGCGTCGCGGTTAATCGCCGAGCCAATAGAGCCTATACAGCCAACAATAAAAGTGAAATGTCAGCGTCAAGTTGGAATTTGATCGGGACCAAAAACCCCAGTGTCAAACGCAAGTGGAAGCGAAAATGAAAACCACGACGCGTGACGTCAGAACGGGAGAAGACCAAGACGCGACCGTGGATCAACAAGCGACGGAAAGAAAAACGATCATGTCACAACACGATCGACAGCTTTCATTCCGGCGGAACCGCAACCAAAAACGGGAACGGATAAGACTCTTTTCTTGGAGTGGAGCGGGTCCCATACGGATAAACAAAGCGGAAGGAAATCGTCTTCCCAGAACGGGACTGACCCAAAGTGGAAAAGAAAGGAACGCAAACTCACCGGTGCTTCCATCAGTCCACACAGGGTTGAACGCCAAAATCAAGCCGAGCGCCAGTCCTGCCCTAGGCAACAGAACCAACACGTTTGGAAGATTCTGGGCATACAAGTTGAAGGTCTCCGCAAGGCCGTCTCGCCACGTAATCCGATCCCTCAACAACCTCTTGGTCTTGTTCACTTTCTTCTCGAGTGTCTTCAACGGGCCCTTCGACTTGGACGACCTTGATCGGCTATGTTTGTATCGACCTAGAGCAGGATCGGACTCTTTGGCGTCAAGTGATCCGTTGGAAGAGGTAGAGTCGGTTCGGAAATGTTCGTTATGGCGTTGACGGGTGTGAGTGGCTGGTGGGGTGCGAGGTTCTTGAACTATCTCTCCCTTCTCCTCGAGCTCGTGAGCATCTTGGCCTGGCTGACTCTCATCCGAGTCTGTGCTCGAAACAGTGTCAACGTCCGGCTCGATTGGAACGAAGGCGGTGTATCGGAGATGTTGGAAGAAACAGAAGACATTGTAGGAGGTCATACAAGCAAAGTTGTAGCCAGGCGCCGAAAGGTATAGCGGGAAGATCACGGGTCGTCCTGTATCCTGGTTAGAAATGAGGCTCCTGGAAGGTAAATGAAATGACACTCACGAACTCTCCACTTCCTGGCAAATGAATAAACCAACTCGTATACGACGAAGATGACTAGTACAGAGACCAGCCAACACGCAATATAAGCTGCGGCACAGAGTGCCCAGTTCTTGCCCGAGTTGGGTGAAGCAGTCGGAAGCGGATATCTCGAGACCCTGAGCGACAAGATCAGCCAACGTGACCACATCGATTCCTCACATTACGCACTGTAAGATCATGTAGACCGCATTGAAATCGAGGAAGGCTTGAAGCGGCAAGTGGCCAAGGACAAGGATGGGCCATAATCGGAAATACACTTTCATCCACATGGATGGACTCCTGAGCATATTCAGATGCAAGCCCCGAATGTTGAACTTGGGTCGCGTGCGGCGCTCTCCTGAACGAACGGGGTCTATAAATAGAACGTCAGCGTCATGTTTTCCTCATTCCAGAAACAATTGTACACACCGTGAGGATGAGCTCCTGACCAACCCCCGGTGGTTGCGATAGAATGGAAAGTCGTTGGGGGTGCCGTTGCACGATAATGTCCACGAGTTAGATGTTGATTTACAGCCGTAGACCCACTGGAAATCCTCTTCTGGTGTGCCGACTTCTTCTTGGAGTACCAATTCGATTGTGAATGAGTTCGTGCATGACTATAGCCCAGTGGAAGGTTGAGAGGGTCGGTGGCGCCAGATGCGACGCGCGTCGTATCCGTAGGCTCCCGCTTCGACATTGGGGGGACACCCACCCCAAGTCCCTGCGCGACATTCTCGCTTTGGAGGTTGACAATTCGGACGCTCCGTGGGGTTGCCTTGCGTCCTCCAAGCTGCGCTGGCGGAATCGCATCGAGAGGCGATTCTGGGCTTGTGCTGTCACGTCGTTCCATCATCTCAACACCACCCCGAAGGTAGTCGATATCGGCTTCGGGTTCAACGTCCGTCTCCCGGTCAACTGCACCGCTCACGTCCATAGCAGGGTCGTTCTGAAGCTCAGCAGCGCTTCCCTGCATCTGAACCTGCCGCAGGTACTCCCGATACTCCCTCTCGAATTCCCCAAACTCTCCCAAGTCAGGGGGCATAGGTGTATTGGTGCCAATGGTCGAAGCCGGTGCTGGGGGTGGTGGTCGCCTGGGAAGCCATGACGGATAGCCTTCGGATGTCCTTCCCAGAGAACTCTGGCCAAACGATTTATACGAGAGTCTGGACGGCGCAGCCTCGGCCCTCCAGTTCGGCTGGAAGGACGAAGGTGGCGGAGGTGATGCCGAGGCGGGGCGCGCTCCGCTCGTATTAGCGCTGTCGCCTCGATCATGTAGCGGAGACGGGGAAGAGGAAGGATTGTGGCGGTGCTGGGACGAGGGGGAGGAAGAGGATGCCGGTCCTCCTTGAGCGGCAGAGGCGCTCTTGGGTGACGGGTCAGACGCGGAGGCAGAATTGGTTGGAACTCCACCTCCAGCGCTGTCGCTCGATCCGTTCGAGGACGTTGAGGGCTGGTTCTGGATAGCCCCAGTGTCAATTGGCGGCAATGAACTTGATCCCGCTACTGGTGGTTGTGATTGCTGGTCATTCCCATCATCATCATTGTTAACGTTGGACGTGTTCGTTTTCGTCGTAGTTGAAGTCGTTCGTCCTCCGAATAGTTTGAACATGGTAGCTGTCGTGTACGCTGCTGGTAGTTTTCGTGTTGGTGTTCGTGTGGTAACCTCGTGCGTTGGCTGGCGTCAGGAGTAGCAATGACAGCGTAGCAAATGTCGATAGGAGGATAGGTTGCGAAATAGGATGAACGGTAGAACTTGAACGGAGAACTCGAACACAATAACCGCGAAGCTACTGTTCAATGAAGCAACTGCAGCGGAACGCGGGGCAACGAAAAGTTAACGAAGAGAAGAGGAGAAGAAAGAGTAGAGATTATAAGAATAGAAATTATGTGGATAAGATAGCCGGTGTGCGTAGGGGCAAGTAGTGATGAACACGTTCCCTTCTGTCGAACGCGGTGTTACAGGGCCTTGAAGATCCCCCGTGTACAGGTGCTCAGCGTCTGTAGAAAAACGCGGCAGCCTCGTGGCCCAAATGTCCAACTCCAAAAGCGCCGCAGAGAACAGACTTTGTGCTGCCTCGTGTTTCGACGTCGAGGGGGAAGGGAGCCTCGTGTTACGATGGACGGAGGGAGCGGACGACGCGGAAAGGGTCGAACGAAAAAGTTGGCAAAAGGACAACCAAAATGAAATCCCACGTCGGTCCCTCAAAATAGAACAAACATTCCACCAAGAAAAATCCAACAACTTGACAGGGTTCAATACAAATCAGGTAAACCAATAGACGCCGCTTCCCGTACCGTGCCTTGTGCCATATCAACACTTTTCCTTTTATGGTACTTCGTAACAGATTACAAACGGCCAAGATAACGGTAGTATTGCCTTTTCTGGGTTAGCTCCCGGGTCTGCTGGGACCGATTCGACTGGCAAGACTTTTTCTCCGAATGATGGGCGCTTGTGCGCTGTTGATTGGTCGCACGCATGACGCACTGCGCTCATCGTCCCGAATTTCGCGCTCTGCTGCAATATTCGTGGAAATATTGTCCGCTCGTACCATACTAACGGGCGTTTCATTTAGCGGGCGGGCGCTATGAACGGGACGGTCTTCCCGCCTCAAGTGCGACGATAGAGCGTTGAATGCCCACCGTGAACATGCAAACTGTAGTCTCCATCGCTATGTATGCATTGATGTGAAATTTATAGAACGTTTGAAAGGCCCACCTGGTGGCACTTCTCTGTAGGTCCAATCATTGCATCATCTGTGGGCCTCTGCGAGGTTCTAGGCGACTTCTGTCATGGATCTACTAAGTAAGTATATGAATAGCGCAGCGTGAATGAGACTACATACAACCATGACTACCACTCTGCTATTAGAGGACGCTATAACCTAGGCAATGTTCATTCCAGAAGTCACTTTGCTCCCTCTCTCAGCAAGCCACGATTCTTACCAGGCCAGCTTCACCTCGACATTCGATCGCTAGTCCATTCAACTTCACGGTTCACGAAGCTTCTTGCTAATTGAACCTCAGCGACGACGGCCAAAGATCCCCTATTCAATTCATTTCCACTCAGGATCGAAAACCCCTCTCCCGTCTGTCAGTCATCTCGTGCCGTCGAACAGGCTTCTGACTTCAGATTAGCTTTGACTTTACAATGACTTGGACGTCCGTTGCGAAGCAGCACTGACTTGTCTCCGAGATCCCGACGTCTCATGCTTAGGCTGGACAAGCGCTCAGAACGACTACCACGATCGAACCCCATCCCCGTTCCTCCATTCTCACTATCCAGCATGCACGCAGCCACTGCATTCAAGGACCTTCCATCCAGCTTTACGATACACACCGCCTCCACGATGCCCTCGCATTCAATCCGCCCTCTTTAGAGTGTGTAATTAGATCCACCGGGGATGATGACACGGCGAGTCGGCGAGGACAAGTCAGGGTGCGGGCACCGCGAGAACCACCGAACCTTATTCAACCCCATTCCCCGCCCTTGATTTCCAGCAATATCCTCTGCTCAAGAAGACGACCGCATGGACGTCCCAAGTATAACAAGATCCAACCCTTACGAGAGAACAAAGGAGTTATCTTTATCCCTGGGTACTTGACTCCCTTCTTCGATGTCCGTCGCCAGAGAACCTGCCTCCGCCGATAAATGACATGACGATCGAGCCCCTGCCCCAGGCGTTTTCTCTCTTGTTCGTCGAGTGACCAATGATGGCATGTAGCATATGGCCAGCCCTGCCGAAGACAGTCGAGTACAACAGCAGTGGTAACTATCTTTGAAGGACTACCTTGTTTCTCGGGCGAACCTCCACTTGGCACGCCCGCACTACCTCCGCTAATAAGCGCTCAACAAAGACTTGGCCAAGAGCACCTCAATGGCATCGATCAGGATCCCCTAGTGTGCATACTTTCGCATTCAAGACTAAACACCTCGCTGATTTCAGTCCTCGTTATCATGGCACGGAGATTATGGGAACTTCAAGCTTCAAGACTACTAGCTACTCCGTTCAACTCGATCGTTCACATACTACATTGACGCAAAAGTGACTCGCCAATCCACGAAGGCCTCACTCGACATTCAGAGCAGTTTGCTGGACTACCTCCCGAGACTCTTTACTCCTTGGACGAATGGTGCATTTGAAAGGTTTGGGATGACTACAATCACGCACGGTCAGCTCAGCCCAACCATCCATCGACGGGCATACCAGCTCCAGGAGGAATGACTGACCTGACAACTAACGGCTCATATTCAATCTTCGGCTCAATCACATTTCCATCCTTATCAACGGCCTTTGTAATATCGAACACAGCGCTTATTGACGCAATCACCAGGAACGTAAAGTCGAGTGCTACATGTTGGCCTGGGCAGAACCTAACAATACAGTCAACTTCGCGTCAGAACATTGGGCAGTCGTGGTGGGACTCCTTCACCAACTATTAGTACTCACCGTCGACCAAAACCAAAGATGATATCGGGAATGGGGTTGATCCCGCGCTCATCATTGCCTTCACGATCGACGAACCTATCTGGCTTGAAGGTAAAGGGGTCGGGGTAGAGTTCCGGGTTGTGAAATACGGCCCAGATGTTAGGAACGACGATTGTTCCCTTCGGGATACAGTAGCCTCTGTACTCGTTAGTCTGCGACGCACAGTGGCTCACGCCTAGCGGTCCGACAGGATTCCAGCGGAGTACCTAAAAGTTGCTTCAGTACTCCCGGAAAGCGAGAGAAGAGATGTACGCACCTCCCAGCAAATGCTTTCCTACACACTGCCCGTTAGCTTCAAGTTGTCGCTCTGAGCCTGGGTTGGATACACGCTTACGATCAAAGGTAGATCCTGTCTGTCCTTAAGGGTGGGCAGACGCCCGCCCAAAACGCGATCAAGTTCTTCTTGCGCAACCTTTTGTACTTCCGGGAAGTTCGCGAGGACCAAGAGATAGGACAGTACTCCAGACACAACGGTGTCCGAGCCAGCTGAGACGCTCATGGTCAGGGCTTGGGTACAAATGACATGAATGTCACCTCACGCACCCGCAAAAGCGCTCGCCGCAGTGTTCTTGACGATTTCTTCAGTGAAAGTACTGGCTCCTGCCCAGATATCTTCCAGTTCTTCAGTGACGAGGCAGGTGGATGCTTCCCCTTCCAACTATTTCAATCTGTTGTCAGTCCTTGCTGCAGAGACATAGAGACTACGACTCAACCGACCATCCTCTGTCTTGTAATCGCGAAGGGCCGTTCCAACATCTCCATGACAGGCTTCCTCCACTCCCTCGCTTTGCGCTTGAAATCTGCAAACGGGAACCATTCGGGGACGTATTTGAGCAACGGGATGTAATCCTGGAACACAGTATAAAATGACCACCGCTCCGATGCCTAATCACAAGAGACAGGAAGTAAAAGTGGACTTACGACCATGTACGACCCATACAAAGCGACTTGGGAAATATTCCTCGCAACCGTCTCCGCAAGATTGACGTAGAGGTCACCTTCTTCAGCAACTTCATGGCCATAAACCAATCCCAGAGTCACAGCTGAAGCGTTCCTGCAAGATACAGCATATTCGAATCAGTCGGGGGTGCATTGTGGCCCTCAGAGTTGCCTAAGTGGACGACGACGACGTACCTTCGGATGACGGCAACATAATCCGTAGGTTCTTCCAGCAGCCCCCTCAGCATCGAGTGGACATACGTCGACTGAACTGATTGATAGACGCTCCGATCAGCTTTCTTGAAATGCTTAAGGAATAGACTACGGTGTCGCTATACAAGACACAATCAACCCAAGGTCATAAGTTGGAGATTCCCAGTCCGGAATGTGACGTCGACGTACCTTCCACCGTTCGCCGTACGGCATCGAGCTGATCAGGTAGTTGACGCCAAGTCTACAAGTTCCTTCAGCTCTATGCATTAACTAATCATCTGAGCGCTAACAAAACGTACACATCATAAACCATCGCGCGATACGGCCTCGACGAGTAAATGCTCGCTCGTTCATTGAGGAGATCGTCCATCGTTTCTCGGGAATTTAAAACCAACACTGGCTTCCCGAGTGTCTTCCAGTATACAAGATCACCTAGGATCCCCCAAAGAGCACCAAGTTTATATGGCCTTTCAACCATTGGCCAGTTAAACAAGGACATACCATAAACCTCGCCCCATTTCGCGTACGATACCCAACGATAAGGGTCAGGAAGTGTCGGTCCGCCAAACAGAGACGACGGCGGCCCAGGTGGTGGGGGCAACTTCTTCCTTACCTCCCTGTAATACAAACCAAGAAGAACGATGATAGGTACAAGGCCCCAGGCAGCCCTAGTAGAAAAACCCGCCACTGCTGCGAATGAGCGCACAGTCTCCATGTTGCCCTGCCAGCGCGATGGTAGTTACAGTAGCGGTGGGAGGAAGGACAGATTGAGGTGATAACGGAGCTCATGGTGGTATATAAGGGAAGCACGTTTTTGCAAAGAGTGTCCTATTCGGAAGAGAGTGAATGGAACTTGGGACTTGACTTCAGTTCTGAAGGAATCAAGGATCTCACGCTTGCGCCTCCGGAGGATTGACGCCCCCGGATTGGGTCGGAGATTAAATACAAGATGACATCCTCCACAGGAGCCCTGCCATGGCCAAGGCTCGATGAATAGAGTTTTTCACGAATGTCGAATTAACTATTACCAGGTTTCTCTCAGGTTCATAATGCGGCACAGGACTTTGGAGCCATCCAAGGGCTGCACCGAGCTCGGATCGATAGGGTTCCACCCCTACTTGGGAAAGCAAGGGAACGCTCTCCATGATGGCTTCATCTAGAGTACCATGACACTCGATTTCCCATTAAAACGCGAAATCCATAGCCCTCAGTCAGGGCGACGTTGATCGCACAAACCCCAACAGTGTCTTCCAAGGCTCGAGCGCCGGCATCTTGCTTTAAGCGCCCAACCCAAATCCGATCGCTTTTAGACTCCATCTGCTCCATACGAGGTTCTCGTGACCCCGCCCAATGTATAGAGGCTATGTTATCACAGTCACAGCACCTGATAGATTAATCTGAAGTTCCATACTCCCTGTCGTCTTTTCAATACAGGAGCTATGACTTCAATCGGGCGTTCCGTCACAGCAGCCATCCTCTGGTATTGTTGTTCATGGTGTACCATCCACGCCGAAGAAAGGGGTCCCCCGCATCATAGAGGAAGCCTCTGCACTGATCACTGAAGCTAACATGTCGTATCTTCGCTCGAGCTAGATATCATCACCGTCGGAATCGGATAGGGGTCGATATGGGTTAGGGCTTGTCAGGGGCACTAAGTAGACCAAGTAGAGGTTGAATTGAGGCTCCGTTGAGCGCCCATTTCAGATCGTTTCCTTGGTCCTCGAAATTTGTTGCAATTCTGTCAACAGCGAAGCGTCAGACAGAGCAGCAGATTACGCGCACGAAGCGAGAACAGATTCCCTTTGGCATAGACCTTTCTGCGTAGGGAGAAGGTAGCAAACGTGAATGAAGATCGTATGGTGTACCGCGGCTGCATGGACGAGCTCATCATCTGGCCGAAATAATTTTCGGGGCCCGACTACGGCCGTCGGCGGATTACCTTTCGGAGGTAGAATATAGCATCAGATCTAAACGTCGGCAGCGCCGCGCGAAACGTTTGTGTCCCACTCTGTCACCGCCTTCCTTTATTCCGCCATTTTCCCTTCAAAATTGCAACTAGATAACCTCTAGGGGCCCACCACAGACGACGGAGGTGAGCATGGCTGGCTTAAACGAATGCTCTGGTCATTGGAATTGACGCCTTGAGGCATAGGCTCTTACCTTTTAGGTTAGCCTCGTTCCGCGATCCAAAAGTTCGAAAACGAAGTTTGGCACACTATTCAGTATCGCCGGTTTACAACCCATAACGACCTCAAGTCTCGATAGCCACACAAGAACGTCTTTGTTATGCCCAATTCTAGGCCAGAGCGATCAACCAGGCCGTCTAGGTCGTCACGGGCGTCCAGCAGTCGGCGTACAAGTTCAGAAGAGTCGGGGGAAGACACTTCTCGTAGACGAGGGTCTCCAAGGCGGCAAAGACAATTTCTCAGGTCGTACGCATCGTCCAGCGCGTTGCCACACGTATCGCTTGAACAAGGCGGTGAACACGGCCTCGAGGATCACAGGTCCGAACGCGAACACCAGTCAAGATTGCCGGGTCCCTCGACATCGAGTATCGCTTATCCAAAGACGTTCCTGGCACGCCCAATACAACGGCGCTCTTCCTCAAACGAAACGCTGTCCCAACTTCACTTCACCAGCAGCTCGACTTCGTCACTGCCCAAAATCCAGACCAATGCGGCCAATTCATTCAGATTCACTCGGGGCGACACACGGAATGAACCACTGTCGCTTTCTCCTACACGAGACTCGTTCCCCAGCTTTACTGCAAGTCGTTCAGCAACATCACTGGCTCCACAGCAGAAACCAATGATGACGAATGGGGCGTTTATTCCCCGAGCTGGCCCCTCGACCTCCAACGGACTTCCTCATCCCTTCTTCGTTCCAAGAGCACCTCCCAACGGACTGCCACCTGCCTCACACCATGGACCAAACACAATACCAGTGTCCATAAGCACGCCGGTGGCACTTCCTGATCACCCACCACCACCCTATGATGCCGTATATGTGAACGGAGTTCAGCAAAACGCTTCCACATACACCAGCCACTCTCGTTCCAATTCCCAACCCAGTGTCCCAGCCACCTCTCCGTCGCGAACAAACATCCACACTGTCCCTCAGAACTCCGCGTCTCATTTACGTTTGACCGATCTCCGTCACCACCAATTACCGCCGCAGTTACAGCAGCAGCCTGTATCCCTAAACTCATCGAAGCGTCATTCCGATTCAGATGATAGCCGGAGCTCGTCCTCAACTGAGGTCAACGGCCAGGACGCTATCTACACCACCTCTGCGGCAAGACGACGGAAAGGGAAGGCAAGGGCAGTAGAAGGAAGCCTCCTCGGGGAACCGTCGGTTGAGCGGCAGGTTGCAGCGGGGCCTGCGGTTTCCAGTTCCTCGCAATCACACTCCAGTTCACCTTCCCATACAGCTACTGTGAGAGCCACTCTACAGCCGAAAGACAAGCGCGGTATTACCACACGTCTAGTCCGGTTCTCCTTGAACTGGCGTGGCGAGGGTAACGGGAATGCAGTCAAGGGGAAACAGCGCGAAGAGTTTCTACATGGGGATACCGAAACCGAGACTGAGCGCGAGGACTCTGTACGTGTTTAAATCCCACTCCCATCCGGATTCCCGTGTTGACAACGAATTCCAACCCTTCCAGGGACGCATTGCCCATACAACCTCCCGTCGCCTCCCCCGACTAGGTGAAATTAGCTGGCGACGTTCCTACTCCAACGACTCCAATGGTCCCCTTAGCCCGCTTGGCGTGTCACATTCGCGACAGTCAGGGCACGGAGACGACCACGATGATTCTGACGATCCTTCACTCAAATTCACGATCGACCTCAACAAACTCACACCATTTCTCTTCGAATTCTCCAGGCTTTTATCTATCGTTCCGGCGTTCTTCGGCATGTTGTTTTGTTTATGGCAGATGTTTGAATTCGACAGGGATGACTTTGTGAGGGAATATTGGACTTGTGTACCACTTGGCGATGCAGGAAATGGGCAGAGGTGTACGGGTCCTCCTGTACCCCATAGGATGGACTGGTTCATCGCTTCTCTTTGGGTGCGTTCTTACTCTCCTTCACGCTAACTCCGCATCTCACAATTGGAACAGGCTCTCCTCACAGCCTTCCACTGCCTAGGTTTAACCACCGGCCTGCTCATGCGTTGGAAGCTCTACTACCCACCTCTCTCCACCCTCGTCCGCTTACTAGGGTTGCAAGGTTCGTATATCGCCACCCGTCTCCCCACTCACTCATCCTGAACAACTCCGCATTTCATCAGGCATCTGCTGGCCAGCCACCCACCTCACCCTGAGCATCGTGGGGGGTGTCCGCCGTCCAGTAATGGCATGGGCCATCATCGCAACCACAACCGCCATAAGCCGCAGCATCCAGATCTGGGTAACGAGCAACATCATTTGGCTCAAAGCACCGACATCTTCCTCCTCCACCACCCACTCGGTCGCATCCGAACTTAACGAAGCGGACGATCCGGACAACGCAACTCCGGCGCTGAGTTTCTTTAACAAAGTCGCTACGATCATCGGAGGAGACGACGAGTCTTCCCCGTCGAATATGTTGTCTGGTTCATCTGGTTCCTCGTCCCCCGGTCAAGCATATAGAAGGCGGCATCGGCGGTGGGACTGGCGCAAGGTTGGGTTGAGGTGTCTTTTGCCTACGGGTTTCTTGTACGTCGTGATGGCCTGGAGTGAGATTGGGAGGAGGGAGTGGGAGAGCAGCCGACATGGGGTGGTTATTCCTGGTGTCGAACCGAGAACGAGCAAGATAGCGGGAACTGAGCCCGTATCCGACGGTTCTGTCAACACTGGTGTGTCCGACGTTTTCACGACGGCCTCAGTACAGACTAAAGATGCTACCATCTCGCCCAGCCTCGAGCGTATCGCTCTTGGTTACTAGTCTGTTTTTATTTGTTTCTTGACTGGCTTTATTCATTCATTCATTTTGGATTTGATTTTCCTGGCATTTCTTATCAATCTGCGTTCTGTCGTTTCCCTTACTTCCTTGGTTTTCCTTACTCTTAGTCTTTATCCTCGTCTCTGCGCCGCATTGCTTCTTCCACATTCGCAAATGATTCGCAATCCAACGCTTCCAAATTCGACCACATCCATCTACCCTTCCTAGACTAAGACTATCCCACTATTATCCGCCCTTGTTGTACTATGTACTCGCGTCCACGGTCCGTTTTGTCACGTTCAAATATCAAGATCTACGCTTTGTCCGCATCTTGACCAACGCCCCTACGAACTGATTTCCATGATTCGAAGACCCAAGTCCTCGTAGTTATCTCCTGAATGGTGATTGTAGAATGTACGTACAGCTACAAAGCGTACATACAACCGACTGGCTACTATGTAGATGACAAAAGGGAGAAATAAAATAATGCAGGGTCGATGAGGATGAGGAGGAACAACAGAAACACTATAACGGAACGATTTTTGTTTGTATTACGAGGTCGAGTAGCAATCAATCAGGGTAGTGCTTGAAGTAATATCAGAAAGCAAAAAAATAGCGACAGCACCGTCTATAAAGGAAAGAGAGGAACTAATAAACAAGGTAGCGTAGCGACTAAAAGGAAGGTGGCTCAAAGATTGCAGTGTCCATGGGCTAGAAAACGTATAATGGTAGTGTGGATCGGGACGACTCAAAAACGCATGCATAAAAGGACAGTGGAATTACGCCATGCCCCTAGCAAGAGCGTTAAGTTGAGCAGCCATCTCGGGATAGGTCTTCAAGAACTCCAGCTGAGCAGCCGTGGCGTATTGGTAGGTCAACGCGTTAACCAACTCAGGCTCCGTCCTGGCCAACTCGGTCTGCTTCTTGAACATCTCCATCGCCTTCTCAATCTTGCTCTGCTGGAGGCTTAGTTGAGCGAGGGTGGCGACGGCAGCGTCACAGTCGGGGTCGATTGTGAGAGCTTCGTTGCAGCATTCCTCAGCGGCGGCGATATCTTGTTTCCATTGGTAAAGCGCGAGACCCTTGTTGACGAGAGGGAGAACATTGGGGCGGGGCCTGGAAAGCAATACATGAGCAACCGCCAAGGTGGGCAGTATAAGCAAAGAGGACGTACTTGGCTTTCTCGATCTCGATGGCCCTGTCGAACTTCTCCACGGCGTCTTGGTATCGCTGCTGATCAAGCAAGAGTTCACCGCTGTAGAAAGCAATCTCAGCACTCCGACTGGCAACGGATGGAAAGGGTACGCACTAGTAGTTCTGGGGTTCGCTCCTTTGTGGGAAAGCCTTCATCGTCCTCCTGAACTGGGCCATGCTGTTGGCAATATTGCCTGCCTTGTATTGAGCAACGGCCAACTGGATGTGCGAGAACACGAATTGATCGTCGAGCTCGGTGGACTTGGTGTAGTCCTCTGCAGCCTTGTCGAAGTCGCTCATGATGAAGAGCACTTTAAGCATGTCAGCATCCGCACATTGTACGAGACCAGAGTGACAAACCTTGTCCACGGTGATAGTAGATATCGGGGTCGTTGGGATTGTGTTTGATGGCCTCTTCGAAGCATTCAAAGGCCTTGACGGGGTTCCCTTGCTCCATGTGCACGCTGGCAATCTTGACCAAGCTCTGGGTAGAAGATGGGTAGAGGTTGATAGCAGTTTGGAGATCGCCCTTGGAACCTTCAATGTCGCCAATCAAGAACCTACACACGGCGTCAGTTAATTTCTCCCCCTTACAATCACAAGGCTTACTTGAAGGTGCCACGAAGGTTGAAGGCTTCGGCCTTTCCGGCGTCCCATGAGATGCCCTGGTCGATAGCTTCATTCACGAAGGACAAAGCATGAGCGTAGTCGGCTGCCTCGAGTGCTTGGAGAGAGAGTTGGAGCGTCTGGTCGCCCTGCGAGGGGTTTTCAGGGAGCTCAAGGGCAGGACCTGGGTGAATGACGTGAGAACGACTTAGTTGATACGAACCAATAATTAGTAAGTCCACATACGAGGTCGGAAGGCTGCAAAGTACGCCGAAACAAAGGTGTAGGAGGGTAGTCTGGGTTCTCGTTGCTGAAAGGAAAGTTGAGGAGGAATGCGTCTTTCAAGGATAATAAGGACATACAGCGAGGATCTCAGCAGCTTTAGTTGACGAGATGGTCTTGAGAACTCGCTCCACGGCCTGGGCGGTCGAGGCATTTTGGAATTTGTCGAGGATGGTAGCAGCAGTGTAGTCTGACATTCAAAGGCCTCAGAAACCATTGGTCGGATGCAATTGGGACTGTAAGCGTACCACGAAGAGCCTCCTCGTATCGTCCCAAACCCTCCAGACCAACGGCACGTCGATTGAGAGCTTTCACGTAGTTAGGGTCAAGCTTGAGTGCTTCGTCGCAATCCCGAACGACCAAGTCATGTTTAGGCGGTGAGAAGTTGACATAGCCTGCGAAACCAGCGTCAATGGGACCCCCCCAGCACTGACGGTCTCTCGTTACTACGCACATGCTGCCCGATTGCTATAGAACACGGGTTCAGGTTTTGGAGAAACGGCGATTGCTTTTGTGTAGTGCTCGGCAGCTTCAGAGAAGTTGCGCTTGGTGTAGGCGTTGTTTCCTTGGGATTTGAAGGCCGCCGCGTACTTGGCGCGTTGCTGCATGTCGTATGACTGTCAATTCCGCCTCCAGCACATCAATCAGAGTAGTTTACAGACCTCTTCAGGGAGGGCCAAAATCTCATCCGCGGCCAAGTTGAAGTTCAGTTCCTCTGTAAATTGCCTTGTCAGAACCGTTACACCGTCCAAACGACTTGTCTAGCTCACCGTCCTCGACCTTAGCGCTCTTGGGCTTAATTTCCTCTAAAATAGGGCCATCGTCCTTCTTGGATGACTTCTTCTTCTTACCGCTCTTGCTCTTTTTCTTCTTCTCCCCCTGCTCCGCGTCAGGCGGTGGTCGCGGTCTGGACGTGGATGCGTAGTAGGCAACGCCAGCAACACCAATCGCGGCCGCTGCCGTCGTCAGCAGGATGGCGCGCTTGTTCTCAGCGACAAAGTTTTGGACGCGCTCGACGAGGGTCGTCGTCGTCGCTTCGTGGGAGGAGGAGGAAGCCATGGCGGTGGTCGACGGTGACGGTGATGACGGTGACGAGGCTAGGCGCGTCTGTGTGACGCCAAAATTTGTTTCGCTTGACCTTGGAGCTCAGGGACGTGGGAACTACACGCGGAACATTTCGTGCAAGCCGGAATGACGAACGGCTCGGCATCGGAACCAGAATTTCATTATCACACAGGGACCAACACTTTACATATATTCACTACACAATTTCACGCCTTTTCAATGTCCTAGATTTCAAGAAACATCAGAAACACTACCAGGGAAACAAATCGAGCCGCCATACCTTCTCAATCAACTTGGCAGCAATAGGGTGGAACGAGAGCCTGTTCTCTTTGAACGTCTTCTCCGCCAACGGCTTATCCGCCTTCGCAATAGCACGGAAAGTCGGCCTGCAGAACTTCATCCTGCCCTTTACCACACCAGATCCATCAGCTCCTACCACCCACTTAGCCGCATCAGCAGCCCACGTCTTGCTATCCGGGGCTTGAGGATCCTTCAACGCAACGCCGTAGAATCGGCAGCGAGTCTCAGCGTTCCCAGTTGTCGCAAATTGGTACGTTGAGCCTAGGAGGGCGATGAGAGTTCCGGGGAGGGGAGGGTAATCTTGCAATTTCTCGAGGAATGCAACTGGAGTGGGATGTCAGACAAATCACTAGCGGGTTGAAAGACTCACTTTGCTGGTTGGTGTCGAATCCTTTCAGGTCGTCTTCCTTAAAGTTGAGACGCGATGGATCGACATTGCGAGCTCCATCCCATCGAGAAGCAAGGTCATAAGCTGCCTTGGCCAACTCGGTGTCATACTCCATCTTGACTGGCAGCTCCGTGCCCTCGCCGTACAACCAGGCCTATTCCTCGACCCATTAGTATCGGCCGACTTCCGGAACCGAAAAACGAGACCTACATCCCAGTTAACAGTGTCCAGGGCCTTGACTTTCTCCGGATTATGCTTCTGATAATATCCATACAGGTGGTCCTTCCACTGTTGGGTCGTGATGCTCTTCCCAATGAACGTATCGACATAATCCCGAATATATGGCAAAAACACGTCCAATCCGCCCAGAGTCCTCTCTGTATGGTATATGATTAGCTTCCAGGGTCTTCTCCAGACGAACAGGTAAAATGCTTACCGAGATGCAGAATAAAGTTCGCCCCCTTCTCATACGGAATGCTACTGTACGCCTCATCCGTATCCTCTCCAACTTCGAAGTCGATAACCAGTCTCTGATACCTCGGCGTATCCTTATAGCCCTCCAACGAGTCCTTCAATGCCTTGTAGCCAATGATGTACTGGAAGTCGCGATGCTTAGGCCCATGGATGAAGTGCTGCAAGAGACGCTCCATATACGTCGTCCACCCCTCGTTCAACCAGAAGTGCGAGGCATGAGCATGGGTGATACCGTTCCCAAACCACGAATGGGTGAGCTCGTGGACGACGACGTCGACGAGGGCCCGATCGCCAGTCAACAGCGCTACGGTTATGTGTGATCAAATTCATACAAACGCACACGCTGGAGGGAAACAACTTACTAGGTGTCAAGAACGTCAAACAAGCGTTCTCCATCCCACCATACGGGAACGCAGGCGGCAGCACCAACAGATCGTACACCCCAAACCTATAATCTCCAACTACCTTTTCTTCCTCTGCCAAGAACCTAGCAGTATCCTCGCTGAATTCCCAGTAAGCCTTCTCGATCGTCTCGGGCTCAGCGAAGATGCCAGTAGTCCATTGCTTGTTGGGGAAGGGCGCGAAAGGACGGTACACAAGGTTGCCTGAAGCAAGGGCGAGGAGGTAGGGCGGGATGGGGACGGGCTGGATGAAGACATTATTAGGAATTGTCTGAGGGAAGTTGGAGAAAGACCTACCTGACGGTAGACATAAGTAACACTATCCTTGCCCACAACCTTCCCGTCGTGTACTGGCCCATCCGCAGGTGGCGAAACACGGATGGCAGACATCAACGCTGGGAGGATGGAAGTTACCTTCGCATCATAGGTCTACAAAATAAAGCCCAGTAATGATCAGTACAGGCCCACGTCGAGAAGGATAAGTAAAGCCAACATACGATCTTATCAGAAGGCGTGTCCTGCACAGGAGCCATGGTCCGGGCATACGAGGGCTGGCACTGACTGAACAAGAACGGGAAGTGCTTGCCCTGAGTCTGCCTGTAATCCAACAATTCCGTCCTCAGGATCCCATATTCACACTCTCGAAAGAATCTGGAAGACTCACTCTTTGCCTAACCACTGCAACGCAGTCGCCTCGGGGCTGGTCTGATACTTGACCCAAGCCTCGATTTCATCCCCCTTCTTCAATCCACTGGGCAGTGAGATATGAAGCGCCGAACCCATAACAGGATGTTTCCCCTTCAACTCGAACTATTCCGTGCCACCTAACAATCAGATTCGATCCGAGGACTCAATAGCGCGCACGCACCTCCGCATTCTCGCCCCTAACCTTCGTCTCCTGCACATCCAAATCCAACGTATCGAATCTATTCCCATTCCACAGTGAAAGACTGATCAGACGACCAAAGGCAGAGCTTGAAGGGAAGACAGAACCTACATAACCTCCTTCACATCATCAGTCTTCACTTTGAGCTTGTACCCCGCAGAACCTTTAATGATCTTCGCATCAAAGTCGATCTCCCAGTCAAAGGAGACGTGAGACGTCTCGATTTCAAAGTAATTGGATTGGGTCGTTGGGTCGAGTTGCATTTCTCGTCAGTAGGGTCAGATCTGCGTTTCGTGGTTTCAATGTACTTTGCGACAGAGGGGTAAGTGGAAGACTGAGTTAGGAGATGAAAACAAGAGGAAGATAGCCAAATTGCGCCGCTGAGCTGAATGGCGATCAGTTATGATCTTGATCGCACGGGAAGCAAAGATAAGATAATTAACTACTTGTAACGGGGTCAAAAAATAGAATTTAGAAGTCTGCGCAGCGACGAAAAAATAATGACTACCTTTAGCCTGCATAAGGCGCTACCAGGGTTCGAACCTGGGTTTCGGGAAATCGGAAGCATGATCAGAATCCCGAGTGATAACCACTACACTATAGCGCCTGTTGAGCGACGGTGGAGACAGTTAAACACGACAGGCGCAGATAAGGTGTCCCACCCGAAGATGACTCTTGACGTTTGGCTATCCATTGATCATTGTGTGCAGTAACTAGCCCAGCGCAAAAAACCTCTCCTCCTTGATGGTGGGGAGTAGACAATAATATGGTGGAACAATAGGAATAAACCATGTTTATAGTGTGCACTGACGAGTCGGACTCCCTCGCACGCAAGCGGACTTTTCGAGTAGACGCCGGTGCGAGTTGAGCATGGTAGTACGTACCTAACGAATGCGCTGCCACACACACTGTCAATGTGTAAAGTCCTAATGCCAGTATCCGACCTTAGCTCAGTTGGAAGAGCGCAAGACTGTAATCGGGTGACCTGAAGTTCATCTTGATGTCGCCTGTTCGAGCCAGGCAGGTCGGAAGACACTTTTTCGCTTTTTTTTATTGGATGCGAGGTTTCCCCGCCAACAGTTCGAAGCTCAGAACACGTTTGGAGAAGGACTCCTTTGTATCTTTGTTAGCAGAAAAGAAGAAGAAAGACATATATTCGATGGCAAGACTGAATATTTATACAGGGATCACTTTAAAAGGTCTATGGGGAAAGAATAAAGTTCACATCAACCTAGGGCCTCGTGTGCAGCTACAACGGCCAGGAGTTCTTGCATCTCCTCCAAGTGTCGGTTCCACCTCGCTTTGGACGTGCTCGTAGGCTAGAGAAGGATTGGAACGCGTCAGATAGCTGGTCTGATGAATGTGACTTCAACTTGCCTCCATGTGTTGGACCCTCCTTTTAATCCGCCTATTGTCGGTAAGCCACATGCTCAACGTACGGACCGACTGCTCGACAGAGCGGCCCTCAAATCCTTCGAGAATGGTTTCAAAGCCCTGCATGAGTTTGTCCCAAACCTTGTTCTCATAAAACTGGTCAATCGCATCCAACAAAGTGGGATGCTCGAGGTCCGACCACTTCAGAAGTGTGCACCAATGGCTAATGGCCAGCTTCAGGCCGTCGCGAACTTGATGCTGTTCGGAGTGCCGAATAGTTTCGAGGATGATATCTGAGAAAAGCGTGGCGTCAGTACCCGAACAGTGAGGGAAAACATGACCACGGCAAGCAGAGCAGGGAGTCCGAACCCACTACTCGCCTTCCTGGCTAGCCCCCTTGATCCTCTCGAGAGCAGAAACAGCAAGTTCAGCACATACAACATCCTGTGGGACGTACAAGTCCTTCGCGCGCACCGGATCTTCGAGCCAATCCAACAACGACAGGTGGTGGAACTTGACTTTGCTATATCCAGGGACACGCTCAATCCCAACGAGCGAATGGAGGTCCGACAGCATCTGCTCGATAGTCCCCGGGCGCATCATGAAGAGGTCCTCTAGCGTATCGATAGGATAGTCCTCGAAGAACGCGAGCTTCTGGATGAGCCGGACGAGTTCCAATCTGTTGTCCGCCAAGCCCGTCCGTGGTCGAGCGCTTTGGGCGTTGGTCAGAATCTCCACGTAAAGGTCGTCGAGTGATGCGAATGGGTTTTCAGTCCCAATGGTTCCTGCTGTTCCCCGGATGATGATTTTCAGTCGATCGAAAGCAGACGAGTGCCGTTCGGAAACAAACTTGATAGCGGTGGATCCGTAGATAAATTGCCCGTTCGCTCGCTCGACTAAAGTCTCGATGTCTGAAGGTGGTGGCCAGGTCGAGGGGGTGATTCTGGGGTCATTGCTGTTGGTCGCTATGTGTCGGAATTGACGCTGCAAGTAGAGCCATATATCCCTGGATGGTTTGTATTTTGCATCCAGATTGATGAGGGTGGTAACCCCGCAGAGGGGTCCGGATGCTTCGAAGCCCGAACGAGCTGCAAATTCGGGACGGGATGTCACCAGGATTCTCAGGGGAATATTTGCATCGACAATCTTCCTCCTGAAAGCCTGCAAAACGGCCCTCTGTTTCTCCTCCCCCTTGCACTCATCCAACGCTTCCAACAGGACGAGGCTTGGCCACTTCGGATCAAAGTTCCGACCAGGACCTGAGCCATCCATGGCTAAGCGAAAGGGGGTTGCCAATAGAACCTCAGTCTGTGTCTCCAAATCCTTCTGGAAAATGGAGGGGTCCCGTTCCACAGCTTCGCAAATAAATGGCTTCACAGCCGCATTTATTAGCGCAACTTGGTACGTAATAGTGGCGATTAACCGCGTGTCGTTGTTCCGCAGCTTGTCGTTGCGAGAGAAGAAGAATGAGGCGGCGAGGATGTTCTGGCTTGAGCAATACTCAGCGAGGGATTGGGCGATGGCTGATTTCCCAGCACCCGCAGGTGCGAGAAGGGCGAGTACCTTGGCGAGTGTTAAGGGGTCCTGGATCCATTGCATAGCCTCATGTTTAACCTGAACCCGTGTGCCATCCTCGCATCTTGGTGGATTGAACCTTTCCTTGGAGTTGTGCATGGCACCTGGCGCCATGTTCTGCGAGAGGAGGGACATTCCTGATGAAATGTATGAGCTGAAGATCGACGAGGGAAGAGAGTGACGACGAACCTGTGGCGCTGTTGAACTTGAAGTGGTTTGTGTTGTATGTGATGTTGTGGATGTGGCTGGTTGATGCATCGGTAAAGTTACCTCCATGTATCACGGTGTGGTCGGCATGAGCAAACAGGCCGCCAATGGTGCTTGTTCTCTCTTTGGTGGTGCGGAGATATGGATGCATCCTCCTATTATTCTGGGGCCTTGGGGGCAATGCATGGGTGCCAGTGCGAAATGGGAGAGGGGATGTGGAACAATTGTATGATGACTGAGAGTGAGTTGTAGTTGAATGACAACAGGGACGCGGGTGGACATGTTTCCCAGACGCCGACACTCCTGCTACTTGAAGAGCATTGGCGACGTTGGTGGACGATTCAGAAAAGCCCCTACGGTAGGTTGTACGGGAAGGAAGCCCGTGAAGAGCAGCATTTTGGGAAGGGTATCCCATTCCTGGCAAAGGTGGTCGATCCATTGGGTGGGTGTTCAGTCCTGTGAGTGAAGTGAAAGTGTAGTACACCTGCGTCGCAAAGCAGCGCCTTTTAAATTGCCAATGATTGTCGGACTCCACGCGGACAAAGTGTACACCATTGCATTTGACTTTTTGACTTCTTCGAGGGTCAATTTCTCGGACTGAGTCCCGAACACACTTTCGAGCCTGTTCACGTCTTGACTCCGGTACATGAATCCGAACCTCCCGTTCGGTAAACCCCGACTAACCAAATACCATAAGACAGTTGGTAGGCTGAATCTGCAATCACCCGCTGAGTGCCGTTGCTAAATCCAGTAGCCAGTTGTGCTTCTAAGTGGATTATAGCGATGTCTATGTGAACGTTGAACATATAGGTGGCCCCATCGGACGAAAAGCATTAGCCGATATTTGAGCAATAGATGGTCTTATTTGAACAATTCCCGCTTATTTGTGCAATAGACCTTATTTGATGAATAGACCTTAGTTGAGCAATAGACCTTGGTTGAGCAATAGAGCTTATCTGAGCTTACCTCCAGACCATTCTAACTTTGAGCAACATGTCGAATGAACTTTATTAGAAGTAACCACCAGGGTCATTTTCGCAAGTCGCAGCTGAGGCTCTGAAGGGATCGAGCCTGGTCCCTGGTAGCGTAATAGGGGCTGGCAGGCTGCCAGCTGAACGCGTGAATAACTCGGAATAGAGCGCTCTTCGCCGCAGAGTCTGCTACTGCCTTCCGCAGCCACATTCCACGAACTCAGGCATACACCCTACATATCTACTCAACTCAACCAAATCCGAAATCATATCCTAGATGCTTACGGGCCAGTGTCCGTGTATGACTCCATCACTCGGAAAAGTATTTCTATCTTTGTCGCTCGGGGTTTGAAACGATACCCTGGAAATCCGAAACAAACGGCGGTGCTGGTAAGCACCTTTGGGAAAAGGAACGACAGGACACCCACACTTGGATATCCCCTACAAGCTGATCAAAATTTGACATTCATAATTAGGAAACTATGGGATCCCAACCCATCCGGATTCGGCATTGTCTTTTCAACTGAATGACTACCACCAGCCCTGTGAAGAGGTAGTCTCAGGTAGATGGTGGGTTAGCTGAGACTCGAGAGAAGGAGAGGGAGATGGCTGCTTCCAACCACAACACGTTGAATATAACGAGCAACGATTCACCGTCACGTCAAGGAACAAGGAGAAGAGGTTTGGTGAAGGAAGAGTGAGATGGGCTTAGGGTAGGATTGTCAGATTGACACTTGGTATGAGAACGGAATTGTGAGTGATCTACGGCAGATAAAGGGGTGGTATTTGACGAGATACATGTGGTACTCGAGTTTCCACGTACAAGACCGGTCGGCGGTCTGAAACCTTTAATATTTATCAAGGCAGGATTGAGGGAAATATTTCAAAGATAAATACGCTCCCCGAGATGAAATGTAAAAGAAGAAAACTCAGCTCCCCTCTCAACTCCCGGGACCCGTCGTTCGTGCAGTGTGCTAGCAATCGGCCTTACAATGATACACACACTTAATTCCAGGAATTTTATTCGACCTTCCCTTTGACATGGGCTTCTGCCCTTAACTTCCTTTCCCTCGCTGAATCCACGCCTTCCAATGTCCATCGTGCATCCTCTGTCCGCTCCTTTGTCCGTGCTGAGTTCACGAGTTGTTCCGCTCCTTTCCTCTCTCTCCATTAATTTTTCTCCTGCTTCCTCACTCGCGACCATTCTGTCGCGTCTAAACGGTCTCATTCTCCACCCCAATTTGAGCCCGAATTCCCTTCTTTGAGTAGCTGTTTCCTCTCCTTGTCCACTCAGTGGTGGGCGCTTATGTGTGATCCGGAAAGCGGCATTGCGGCAGTCACTTTAGGGCAGGGCAGGGGCGGGGCTGTTCCGATTCCGGGGCCTTATAGGCTCCGGGTTCTTGTCTGAGGGGGTTTTGTGCCGCCAAGACGCGAATCGTTTCGCCCCACGTGACCAGGGGTTTCATGTGACACTTCCTTTGTGGCTGGACAGTCACTTTAATTAAGAGGCTGCGAGTTCAATTTTGGGCGGATGCCGATATTTTCAATGGAGATTTTCAAAGTGTTAAGACTGTGGATTATATTTATGCTTCAATAATTTTTTAAAAATGTCTGTAACTTATTTCCAACTAAACAAGGCCGGGTGTGCCAGTTGTCTTGATGGGATTCACCAGTTTTTCGTTGGTTTTGGTGTGTAGTAGCCTTTAGGACATGGGGTGCCTATAAGGCCCCGGAAATTATGCCGTTTATCGGCCCGCATCCCACTAGTACTAACAAATGTTGCATCTACAAAAGAAGATCTACTATGCCTCAAATATTTTGCCTCCAAATAGGATGTGTTGCGCAAGTAAGTCCTGTCCGTCAGTAACCCTATTGTCGAAATAAGATGTCTTCACAAAATAGGGTGTAGTAATGTCGCTCCGCGACGTACTGTCGAAATTAGACAACGTAATGCTCAAATAAGGACGTAATGATTATTGTCCGGTGCGGTCCCCCATATGAACAGACCGGTGACTCGGGGGCTCGAGGTCAGGCGATATGGGTTGTCGTGATTGGATAAAGCAACTAACGACTCGGAATGGTCGTGATAGAAAGAGAAGCCCGTGTGTTGGATTTGTCGTCTGGCGTCCCGCAAGTCGACGGAATCTGGGTGGCGTTGTGCATCATGTACATCTGAAGGAAGGCGAAAGAAACTGGTCAACATCAAGTGATATTGATAGCATTCTTCAGCCACAGCAGAGCACGAGGCAGTGGGGAAGAAAACTGGTCGGCAGGCATCGAGTGATGTCTACAGCATTCTTCAGTCGCAGCAGAGCACGGGGCAGTTGGTGCTGATCTGGAGCGACATTTCCAGAATAACAAGGCGCCGGTGATCAAAGGTTGTGTTAACGGGCAGCTGCGTCGATGAAATGTCTAGAATGGAGCCAGCTGGTCAAAGATCGATTCCATAGTGGGAGCAGAGATCCCGTTTTCTAGATATGCAACCTGTCCGGGGTCAAGAGAGACAGAAGGCGAGTTGCGAGCACAAGAATTGAAGAAGAAAGCCGAGCGACCTGACAAATGGCTGGAAGGCCAACCGGGAACGATGCGGGAACTCCGTTAATCATAATGGGTGTGAGAATGACTCGACCCGCCTCAAAGGACTTTTGGTCTTGGCGCAAAACACACCCATCGAGCGTACGAGGACTTCGGCCCGACCTTGAAGCTTGAAGCTTGAACCATGACTATGACCGTATAACAGACTGTTGTGTACGACAGTGACTCATGCTCCTCGAGGCATTCGACTGCTTGCCTGCGAACAGGTGACCAAGATGCATGTTCTCCATGCAACCCTTTCCACCCAGCGCGTTCGGGCTTATGGCTAAAAATCTCGTTGTATGTGATGGATTCAAGACGTGGCTGTTTGCACTCGGATAGGACTCCATTGCCTACGATGAGCCTGAGGTACACAAACCCTACATGCAGCCAGCCTGGACACCTGGCGTTGGGCTTGCCACCTCCCTCAATCCCTTCAACATGCGGCACAAAGCACTAAGCTAGGAGGGAGAAATTCCGGCCGTACAAAACCTCCATGAAAGTGAGTCTAAACTATGCAATAAGCATCAATATGCAGTCGCTGGGCCGAAATAAAGGGTGCAACTGAAACTTGGTCTTCTGTCAGGTAGAAGCCAGCGACGAATTTCGGTTACTCGTTGCAAGATGGCTCCCTTCTCTGTATGACGCCGTATGTGGTTAGCTCGCTTTCGACAACGACGCGGTACCGCTGTGGATGAAACTGGTCGGAAATGGATATAACAGCGACAGTGCTGGCTCGACACTCCTCAGCTCGCCAACCACGGCCTGTCCACCTCAAGGCATATCGTCAAGACTTCCCACCAGCAGCCACTCCTTTATCCATCGTTCGTTACTCGTTACCCGTCACCGACAGTATCAACCTCAGGTAAGTAGGAGCGATGGCCCTTCTCACTTCCCGCCCAACTGACCCCTTCTCCAAGCAAATGATGTCCTTCACTCGCCTCGTCTTATCCGCCCTTCTTTTTATCTCTTCCGCGCTCGTCCCGTACGTCGTGGGCCAACAACCTTCCCAGGCTGCGGGCTGCTACGCTTGCCCCGTCACAGACAATCTTTTAACCCCCTTGGTCGGCATTCCCGATTTGAGCTTGGACCCCTTCAGCTGCGTCTACGGCGCCTTCAGTCCTGGAACGTGCACCTACTCAAGGGTATGTAATTAATGTTCTATCCTGAAGGGTTTGGTCACTCATTCCCCTTGTAGACCACAGGTGACCTTGTGGCCGACTCAAATTCTGGCCGGTGCCAAGCTCGCGCTCTCGACGTCTGCTTCCTTCGTCGAAGGAACGCCCTTCCTCGATCTCCCAAGCCCCCCAGCCCAGCCGCTTACGAGCCCAAGCCACGCGCCATGCATGTTAGGAAGGATCTTGCGGGTAATAAGCGTGATGCACGGGCAAAGCATGACAGTGACATTCGTGAACATGATTTCGAGTAAATATTTCTTATTGGTTTCTCCCATTATGCAGTATGGCCTCTATCGTTCCCCTCCTATATTGCTACCCATGAACGTATGATCTTTATGCCTATACATTCCTTGCTTCCCTGGGCCTTTCTGTTCATTTCTGTTTCGATACACGTTTGTTTATGATAGGATCAATCGTATTTTTGCTTCAACTTCCTCGACCCCTTCTGACCACTCCTGTCCTATTCCCGGGTTACTCGGATACGTACGTGTTGTTGTCTGACAATATCGCAGCACCGAGGACAGCCAAGGCTTAGTAGGACTACCAAGTTTCACATCGACAAACACAGTTGACAAAGTGAGATCATCGACCCCCAAACGACTATGTCTCCTAATCAGCCCTAGACTCCACAAAGTAATGTCCTTGCTATCCATGTTTGGATCGCACTGCTCGTCCGCCGCATTCGCCCTTTACAGTATCCCTCCATCCACTTCCCCGTTAGCATCTTTCGTTTATGACGATTTAACGTCAATATTCTGACAGTGGGCCCATGTCCTTCACCATTGTGGCGCTATTGATTTGTCTCTACACTCGGAAATGGACAGCGTGACTGTGCGATAACTAAAAGAGCGCGCTTCGCCGCAGAGCCTGCTACTACGGACCTACGCGTACGCTCACACCCTTCCAACTCACTCTTCAGCCTCCGGATTGAACACTTAATATAACCTTAAAACGTGTACAAAGGCCAAAAGTGTCACGCAGGTATGATTCGATACATTTATTTCACCACAGGTTCAGTCCCAATAGCAGGCCCATGTAAGACGACTAGCCGACGCACATAGCCGCTACACCAAAAGGCAGCATGACTGAAGAGCGAGTCGACCCTGTCATATTCATACATGGAGCATAGGATACATCCTACCGGAATCCATGCATGGAGAAGGACTCACCCTAGTACCCTTCCGTATGTAAAAAGATGTGCTTCTGCTTCTTCCTGCCAGCTGTCATAGGTTGACAGCCTTTGACATCTGAGAAGGCACCTAAATGACGGTCGATAGCTGCTTCCCTGTGTCTAATAATAGATGGGAAGTCAATGAGATGTCATAGAATGTATGTTATTACATATGTTACAACCCAAATTACGGGCTCGTTTTTGGTCCGATTACCTTAGAATTTTGCACATTTATTCTACGCGCCGTAGCGTTTTTGGGAATGCCAAAATATCATCGTTATTCATTGCGACGCCGCACTAGAAAAGGGATAAAAGAAAAACAACGAATCTGTAATAGCGGGGCAGGATGGACAGGTACATGCGTAGTAGTTGAGCTATCAAAAGCGACAATGGAGTGCTACGTACTCACCAATTCTCGAGCACGACAACGCTATGTAGCTCGCACTACAACCTGAACAATCTGACAGTTAAATTTACGGAAAAAGCGAACCAAATGGGATAGATGCCCTGTGACCTGCCTCAGCTAGCGCGTGGCACAGCTGTGTACAATTCCCCCTACATTTCAAGCCCAGTATCACGCCAAACGGAGCAGCATGGACTGAGAAACTCGAAGAAGATGATGGATCAATGCTTGAGAATAGAGAAACTAGCGGAAATTATAGGCAAGTACCAACACCATTCAAGATTTCGTCTGATTTTTACTATATGGCATACAGAACGAAAAATGCAACCAACCATCTTACAAAACCAATTATTCTGAGAATTGTGAACATTTTTTCGTGATTTGTCGAGCACAGGAAGAGGGTAAATGGAACGGAATGTTTTACGACCAGGATTTTTGATCGCTCTCGGCATTGTCCGTTCTCGGCGCGCGGTTGATCTCGGCTTTCTCGGCTGGCCGAAAACATATCCATGGGCGCTTCTCTGAGCTGTTGCAGGCGCTTTCGGAAGAAAAAACAGGGTTTTCACCTATGTTTTCCATCTGTTTAACAAAGGTGTCTCCTTTCAAAGAAAATAAGCCTCCCTCTCGTTTGTTTAGACTGTGTCTTTTGTCAAAACAAAGCTTTCTAAGGTTGGATTCATTTCTTGATAAATCAGATGACATTCTAAAAATAACCTACCTGTCGTGATTAGATGGTCACACTAACCACTGCGCCAAAAAGGCGCCCATGTCCAGCTTAGGTGGACAGGCAGACCGTGGTATATAAGCACCATTCTATGTCATGATTTCGCCTGTTCATGACACTACCTAAAAAAAATATTTTAAGGCAAGTATCCCGATGGAAGGTGTATGGATCTGTGAGATAGTATTCCAGATCTCGGAATAGCTATAAAAGGCAGTTTGGAATCCCATGCATGGTCCTAGGCAAAGGCCTGGTTGGATACGTCCTATCCCATGCATGGGTTTGGGCAGGATATTCCTACTCTCATGCATGGGAATGACAGGGTCTGGTGGAAGAGCTTATCTCTTCAGCCACCGTCGGGTATATGAGCGTTATGGGAACCGCTGTAAGCCACCGGTCTTACACCCTTCCACCCCCCGAAAAACTCCCCCTCCCGGCCTCGTCCCAATCCGTCAATCCCGGGAGGTAAATCGTCAGACAGTCATCGTCATCGTCAAGGGGAGCCGTGAGGTGGAGGGCCATACATGGCCACCTGAAAGGTGCGACCCTTTCCAACTGGTACGTCACCGGTGGACGACAATCCCGCCAAGCCACTTTCGTCGGGAACCTTTCAAATGTCCCGTTGACTTGGGGGATCGAACTCCCAGCCGAAGCTCTTCAGTCAATGTAAGACGACTAGCCGACGCACATAGCCGCTACACCAAAAGGCAGCATGACTGAAGAGCTTATCTCTTCAGCCACCGTCGGGTATATGAGCGTTATGGGAACCGCTGTAAGCCACCGGTCTTACAGCCCATTCTGAGCCATCTACGTCGCTTTCGCTATCGCTAGCGACGATGTTGAACGACATTGCCCCTCTGGTCGATGTTCTGGGCAAGAGGCACCTCGCATCAGGCTCCACTCCTATCTCGCCCGTAGCCAAATGTTCCATCCTCGAAAAGCGCGGGTTCTCCACCAACCGGTTAACAACTTCCCGTTCCCTCACTGCACCTGAATGCGCACTGCCCGCTGAATTGAACGATGAACGTCAGTCCTGATCCATTGTAACCGGAAAGTCACGAATCAAGGGTTTCCCAGTGACCAGTCAGAGTCCTCGTGGACGATAGCCGCAAATAGAGTCGGTCTATGGTATCGGATCTCGACGAGCGCCTTCAGCGATGGAACCACCATCTTCGTCGAAAGGCGAGCGCGTCGACAGGCGACCGACCTGATTCGTGTAATGAAAAGGGAGAAGGGCGGAAGTGTAGATGCTCACCAATCGAGGGCAACGTTACGCGAGCGCGGTCGATCACCGACACGAGCACGTCAATATCAGCTCCTTTGTCTGTTCGGAACGACATGTGTTCCAGCGAATCGAAATCCAGAAATTCCAGAATAGGAACTCCGGGACAAATTTGAGAGCGCACAGGATGGACTGTGGAGAGTACTCCATTAGGTTGAGTAGTTGAAGTCTATGGGCGAAGGGCGCGGAAGACCGTTGTTCAAGCGAGGACGCGCGGCATCCACAGCTTCAAGGCGAAGGTGAGACAGGCTTCCACACAGTGGGAATACTCGAGCAAAGTCGAACCCAGACACGTTGGCAAGCGTAAAATCCTGGAGCTTGGGGAAAGAAATTGCCAGAAACAAGTCGGGAGTCGGTGGGCGTCGATTGGAATAGAGGGTGTAGATTCGAGAATACGGGATGAGATGCAAGGGTGCAGGTTGAAGGTCGCTAAAAGAAGCGAGAACTCCATGGTCACGGTCCAGCCATCGCTGGCAGGGAAGGCCAACCGAGATCTTTACGCGCTTCACCCATTTTGCCAAAAATTAAAATCAGCCACACGCAATCTTTTTGAACGTTGGGACGTCCATGTAACACTAGCCCACGGTCCACGGAAGTTGAATTGATGAGCCAGAGTGCAGAGACGACGACAGGTCAGGGCGACGCGTCGCAGGGCGCTACTGAAACCGTCCTCGTATAGAGAAGAGAGGATGACTTCTCATATGCCATCGTTGAGGTAGGGAACACTGGGAAGCCGTCGTGGGAGAAATAGCGCTCATTCTAAACAAAAGATACTTCTGGTTCATCAGCGCAAGCAGGAAATCGATGCGGATAAGAAAAGCTAACCTTGTGGGGGCGCATAAGCAAATGTACTGCATACAACAGCAGGAGCAACGCGAAAAGAACATGGTACATGGTTGTCGCAAGTCTGGATTCACGTCAAGGCCGTGTTATACCAGCGACTATGCAGTATGCATACAAGGAGAGTAAGACTGTTCTGATTCAAGCTGAACACTTAGCCCGGGGCTGACATGTATGGGCCACTGTGGACTTTCGAGACTCGCAGAGCTCGAAGCCAAGTAAGAGAAGAACTGATTGATGCACGAGAAAAACCCGGCTTTACGACAAATTGGAATGGAACCTTTGTTTCTGAAACAGGGCTGGCAACAGAAGTTGAAAACCTACTACTACAGGGTAGTAGCAGGAATAGTAGCAGGAAAGAACAGATCTGTGGTAGCAATGTACATGTGGTAGACCAACGAGGGTGAAGGGGCAGCGCTTCGCCGCGGACCCTGAAAAGTCACAGCCACCTTACATTTTCGTGGGAGAACTGAGCGCCAAGACCCTGTGGCAGCTCTATTGAAGACCTACTACTACAGGGTAGTAGCAGGAATTACCAGGTTAATGGGAACAGAACTCGTCGAACCCTGTTCCTAAAGCTTGATGATGAATGCCCTTTAAAAGGGCACTCCGAGTCGGAGGTATTCGCTCTTGGCACCTCACCATGTCGTTCCAACGGGGGCCCCAGTTGGATCGTGATTAATGCAACACACGATTTATGCTTAAAGATTGAAGAATACTTTAAACACGACGTTCCCCTCAGCGTTTCCCCCTTCCCGTGCAGCCATCATGTCCAGCGCGCCTGACTTCCCCGAGGGCCTGTTTCACTCTCTTTAACCACAACCTCAGGCACCCGTCCGCGCACGAAAGCTTGGCAATAAACAATGGCCAGAATACGAGAGCCACCCAAACATTCCTGTCATGGCTCCAATACCATCTCCCTTCATTAGTCTCAAACGCGTTTAAAAATCTTGTCTTCTACGCCCTTGTTGAATCTAGCGCGCCTCAATGTGAGCTTGTTTGTTTACTAACCAAGGAACGCTCCAACGCTTAAGAGGAGGCATTGAACGATAGGGAGGCTTACAGCGCTAGCGCCACCCCATCTCCACCCCTATCTCTACATTTCCCATATTCTAGGTTGGTCTCCCAGGCTCTCGTACTCGCTTGCTCTTCCCGCTCACACCCTCACCAATTCCAGTTCCAGAGCTACGACATGTACATCTCAACCATTGCACGCGTTGCGCTCGGAATCTTCCCCGTCCTTTTGGCGACAATTCAGCCATCTGTTGCGCAGGCGCCATCGCCCACACCTAACTGCTGGGTGTGCCCGGACGAAGATTACGCTGGATTTGTGTTGACAGAATCGTTGGTTATGGGGGACTCCTTGCGATGCGTGTATGGCGACCCATGGTATTGTGATTATAACAGGGTTCGTGTTCATTCCACACTCTTCGAAGGTGTATTCAAGGAGCTGAGTGTACTTGTTCATAGAACGATGGCAGTCTCACGGTGGATCAAGACGAAGGTCTCTGTTACTCGGCCGCTGTCCATGACTGCGCTGCCCGTCGACGAAGGGCACTCCCTAGGGCCCCTCACCCACCTTCACCTGGGTCACAAGAGCCAAAGCCGGAGGTCATGCACACCAGAGCACGCTTGGGTGGGAAGAAGCGACAGAAGTCCCGCATTATCAGCTACTACGATTGAAGGCTCGATTGTCACCCTGGCCGAGATACCTAATATCCTCCTTCCCACATTCATTTACTCAGTCTCTCTCCTACTTTCTTGTATCCCATCCAATCGCTCCCTCATCTGCTTAGTCGCTACCCTTCTTGTATATATTGCCCCCTATTTCTACTTTCTATCGAACACCCAATAGAATACTCTGGATTGTCGCGCCATTTACCGCAAAATTCCATGTTCGACTATCGTCATTCACTACCACTCGCTCCCCGGAGATGTCGCTGGTACGATACTGTGGAGTGCTCTGCAATGTTAGGGCTCTGATCGAATAACTCCGGATCCACCTTCATGTGCATCTCAGGGAATTTCCTAGAATTGTCATGAACTTGATTTTTGAAATCAGAGCTGTGGTCATCGTTTATTCGGGCGCTGTGGAGCAATTTAGCCTGGCAGGAGACGCAGAAACTGTTTTAGACGCGCTGTTGAACGCAGTGAGGAACGCCACCAGGGAATAGCGCCTTATTTCGAGGTTTCTAGCGGGATACTAGTGGTCGACCTATTTGCGTTTACATTAGAATCTAACCGAGTTGTCTCAAGACCCGTTTTGAAGCGTGACGGCTCCAATCGCTTTCATGGTAAGACACGGCAACGCCGGCGTCCGACGGGCGCTTATTTACCTGGAACCGAGTTACGCGCGCCTTGTCCTGGGACAACAGGCATTGGAAAGTGCAAGAAGTCCAAAAGTGCTCCTCAGTGACGCAGATGCGCAGCGTTATCGAGTGCTCTTACCTGCTCCACCTCTCAGACCGTTGGGTATTTAACAATACGACGAGGACACTCAAATGGTCAAGCAACTGACCCTCGTCTTCCCAACGGCAACTTACCTTCCGACCTCCGTACGTTTCCTGTCACGGTCAACCTTCGTATTCTAACTCAGGTCATCCTTAGGACGACCTCCATGAAGCTTCTCTTGTCTGCGCCATGCACCCTACTGGCATTGTTGCCAGCCGTCATTGTCGCCCAGCCATCTCGCACCCCTAACTGCTGGCTTTGCCCCGGGTTTGACCTACAGGCCGTTCCCCTCGCCACTTCGGATTACAGCGTCGACCCTTACCAGTGCTCCTACGGAGACGCCGGTGCGTGCACGTACGACCAGGTGAGATCATCCCTGGGGCAATCATCCCACTGCATTCGCTGAATCTTGCGTTCTTGTCAGACGTCGGGGTTCCTTGTCGGAGATGACAATGCTGATTTTTGTCCCGCCCAAGGGGACTTCGATTGCGCGCCCGCTCGTCGAAGGAACGCCAGGAGCCCCCTTCCAAGGTCTCCTAGACCAGCCTCCCCTGCCGCCAGCGAACCGAAGCCGCAGGTAATGAAGGTTCGGGCGAAGCTTGGAGGGAAGAGGAAGCAGGTTGTCCGGAAATAAGCCTCGCTGTGGCTGTCGGTTCGCTCCTTTATCACCGGACCCCGGTTGTCCGAATCGTATTCCAACCCTCTTCTCATATCCTTTGCTTCCCGTTTCAAGAGAAAACTTTAGAAAACACAAATAATTAGATTCGTGTTTGGATAAACACCATAAGAACCCGTTGGTTGCGATATCGTACATATGAAAAATGCATGTCCTGCGTCTCCAGTGCTTAGATATAAAACATCGTATCCTTGACTCGGGGATGAAGCTGAGGAGGCACCGTGTATCAGTCAGACCGCTTCTTCCCATCCAATGACCGCGAATATGGACTCACCCCGGCGCCCCAAGCCTTCTCGGCCGCTTTATATACTCTCTTCTCCCTCTCCTCTTTCTCTCTCTGTCTGTCCAAAATGCCCATTTTACGGCCTTGGGAAGGCGACTCGTCTCCAGCGGTTGTAGTCCCCTGGTCTGATAGCATGAATTCGTTCAGATAGCACCTTCCTCGCTCACAAGCCAGATCAGCGTAGTATGCTGCCGGGATAAGGCTAACAGCCTTGGTAGCCCTGGCATAAAGATAGCTGGCGTGATGAGTTCCTTGCTGAATGTCGTCGGCAGTGAGCGAGTTCTCGTCGTGCACTACGGTATAATGCGTGGCCTTCACTGAGCCCTGGATCCCGGCGTGGGCTTGAAGGTAGAAGTCGAAATCGAAACTAAAATCGGTGAGGTTCAGTCAATGTCCTGGCTGAAAGCATATTCAACGTACACTCCGGTGATGCCTCGATCAACGACCGTCCCTGGACGAGTGTTTCCGTTTCGATCAGCATATTGTGAGTTGGTCGAGAAGAATCTGGTTACGAAGAGATCTCAGTACGAAGCTGCATCTGATAGGACGAGAACTTACTCCGCACGGTGTCTTTTTCCGCAGATGATGATAGTGATGGACGGCTTGTATTGCACCTTGCGCTCTTTCGTCGATAGTTTCTTGCACGCTTCCCTGATCTGCACCAACTCTCGCTCGAGTACTTGGTCAAATTGTCCCTGTTTCATTGAATATCGTAAACCGTTCGGCTACTTCTGGATCAAGCAGGAAGGCTTACTTCGGAAACACCATCTCGATAGACAAATATTCTCTCAGGTAGGCATCGATTCTTCTTCTCGTACAGTAGCAAACGTTCCACAAACATATCCGAAAGCTCGTCGAGCATCTGGAATGCGGAGGTTAGGCAGAACTCTTAGAGGTAGTTACGCAGGGACTCACCTCCTTCTTGCTCGTCTGAATGCGGAGGCTGGCAGGAAACTGGACAAAGTTGTCGTCGACGCTAGCGACGACAGCGGCAATAGATGGGGTCCCTTCCTTACTCAACGGACTCGGGTGAGTCACATCGATTCCAACCATCATCGTCTTCTTCTTCCTCAACCACGCCATTGCACTGTCTTCCAGCTAACGAAAGATTAAACACGGGCCTTAGAGGAGGACTCGTTCGAATTACACACCATATGGTTGACGCCGCCAAGCTTTGTATTGACCTTCAACGCGACGTTGGATAGATATTGATCTCGTTTGGTGCCCCCAAGCGAATCTCCGAAGACTCTGGGAAGTTGCATGTGCAGGGTCAAGAGTCCCAACTCGACATCTCCAATCCGCTAGAACCCACGGTTAGCTGAAATCGCCAAAGGAGGATGAGTCGTAAACACACCTTGATCCCCGGGTAGATGTACTTTTCCTTCTGCTCCAATAAAACCAGCATGAAGCTGGGCCTAGTTTGAGGAGTGGTTTTCTCCATCTCTGAAGCCAGACCTTTCCTGACGAAGTTCAAGGCTCGAAGGCGTCCAGGATCGTCGTGCACGTCTGGGAGATCGACAACCGGCAGTAAGCGGGGCATGGCCGAGGGGATGTTGATACCGCTTTTTTTGAGCTTGTCGCGGAATTGAGTGACAAGGTCTCGTAGCCTAGGATCTTGGTTGCTTTGGACCCGGTACGGAGGGTCACCGCCCGTCTCTCGCAGGACCAACACCCACCACGTCTGCACGGAAGCCGGAATCCTGAATTGTACATCCATGATGTTCCAGCTAGCGTTGTTGGTGCGAAGTGGCCGATTCTTATCTTTGTAGTGGAGTGCTGGAGGTGGAAGCTCTCGCCCCGGGACGACCGACATCTCCTCGTCGACTTGCATACCGAATCCATTCGCGCCGACAGGGCCTTTGGGTTGTGCTGAAGGGGAGAAACCAAGGAGTTTGAACCCAGCGTCGGTGATGGTTTCTGCGTTGAGCCGAATGTCGATCTTGTCACGGTACACGCAATTGTCGATGATCTCGCAGAGCTCTGCTGGGATCCATTGGCGCTTCGCCTTGGTGCCAAGGTCAACCACAGGTAGATCTGCAGCGTGCTTCAGGGTGATGTTATATTCTAAGCGAGATGTTAGCGTACCCTTTCATGAAGGGGAGCAGGGATACATACTCTTCCGGAAGAACTGCTCTACGCTGATCTTTCCGCCAAATTCTTCGCATTGGAAATAGGTGGCGCGAGCGGTGGTGGTCCCAATGTCATTGAGCTTCTTCTTGTGCTTGAGATGCAACGTCTTGACTTTGATACTTTTGATCATAGCCTTTGGCAACGTTGGCATGGTTCCAGAATGCCGCCTGAACTCGAGGAGGCGTTGTGCTAGATTCCCAGGTTCGACAAAGGCTGTCATACACGCGTTTCTGCGACGACTTTAGTGTGTTGTACCATGTATTGTCCAGGACACTTACACATTAACGACGAGCTGCCTGAACGCCGGCCTCACAGAGACGAAGAAGCCTTGTCTGGCAAACAAACCAGGATGACCGATGTTCAGTTTGGGCGTCAAGTCCGATGGGAAGAAGTATTTGTTCTTGCCGACGCGGATCCCATTTCGACCGGCATGCTGCTGGAGCACCAGATTCAAAGCAGAGACCAATGGGAGGATGTCGTGGTCCTTGTATTTGACACTGCCATCAAGGTAGCTGTCGAGGGCGATGAACAGGTGGCACGAGTGAGATAGTAAAAGACTTACTTGGTAAGGTCCTGGGTATCCAGCTGTTTCTCGAACTTGATCGAGATCGTATAAACATCCCCTGGAGCCGTGTCATCAAAATCTGTGAATGTAACCTGCACGTCTAGAGGCTGCGGTAGCTTCTTGGCGGATACCAACCGCTCACTCTTGTCATGAGCGATGTAGGGCAGATGAGGTTTACAAAGAGGGCTGCGCTCCAGCAATTGGAATAGACGTTCCTTCCGGCTGGCCAGCGCTTTCTGGGGTGATATCTCAATCGTATAGTTGTAAACAGGTCCTTTCGGAAGTCGAACGGCGAAGAAGTTGGTCCGAAGAATAATCGGGGTACCCAAGGTTCCATAGCCTGGACGAAGAGGGCGTTCGGCAGTGGCTGGCGCGCGTTTAAAGCTTTGTATGAGCTGGTTCTGACTGTCGTCTCTGAGACGAGCAGGGAGTTGGGCAGGTTTATCCTCTGCGAAGATAATGGGACCTTGATTAAAGCCTCCACGACCTCTGCCTCCTGGTGGGCCTCCCCGACCACGGAAGCCAGAGTCATAACCACCACCGCCTCGACCACCTCGATAACTTGGAGCGCCACCTCTGTCTTGCCCTCCTCTTCCAGCACCACCTCGATAGCTGCCTCGTTGGCTCATTCACGTGTGAGGGTGTAGTGGGAGATGAAGGCAAAGGTTTACAAGGGCCACGTGCGGTAGGTGGCATCATCCTTTTATACCGCGCCCATGATGATGTTTGATTTGGGGATTTGAGTCAACAAATGGCCCACGAGGCACCAGTTACGGGGCTGCTGCGGTGCCCAGGCTGCGGCTGCGCAACAAAAGATCTGATACGAAGAACAAAGCAGTCTTCGCAGTCCCTCGTTGGAAGGTGGCTGGCGATTATTCTGCCGCAGTCGAGTTGAAGGATGCCATTTTCCCTGGGAATTAACCTGCGCAGGAATAGACCGTTGTCAGTCGTACGCGTAAGTTCCAAGAGAAACGTAGATTAAAGCTAATCCAGTTCGTCAGCATTACGTTTTGAGCTTTTTCAGAAAAGACGTCAAGTAACAACTTTCGCGGCAAGTGCCATACATCGGTGGGAACAGGGGGGCTCGTGGGAACTGCTAGGCTATCTCGCCGAAACTCGGCGCACGTCTTTCCGTCGGGCGCTTATGATATCCCCAACCTGTTTGGAGGTTCTGAGAGCGAGGATATCTCGACAGTGTTTCCATAATACTCGATAATCTCGATAATCAGACCAACTATTGGGACTGTATTTAGCCTCGAGTGATAATAATCGTGAGGGCCCTCTCCAGGGACTCCTGGCAGGAGATAAGGCTATACTCAGATACGACTCCGACCCTCATGAGATCTCCCCACGCTTAGGAACACTTTGTCCGCGACCGCTTCTTCAAACTGCTGAGGAATACTCAATCTCTGGCCTAGAAATGGTGCAACCTGACCTCCCTCCCGAGATTTGGCTAGAAATCCTAGCTTACTTCCACCCGTCCTTTGTTGTGAATATGATGGGCGTCAGCCGATTCCTTTTCGAGACGGCAATGGACTTCAAGTACCGTAAATTTGAACTCATCTCCAATGACAGAGCCTCAAGAAGGGCCATTACACAGCTTAGGTGCGCGTCTCACTTTCCCACTCAAGTCATCGAGTACTTAGAACCAATGGAACAGCCATCGAAACATTGCAAACCGCGTTCAGCATTTATATCTTCGCCCAGCCTTCCTCCCCAGCAGCGGTGAAGCCTCTGTACCTCTGAGAGAAGTATCACAGTCAGCCATCCCAAACAACCGCTTCACTTGGCTGGCATTTCCCCATTTTGGCTCTCGGTCGCGGAATCGCTCATCAAGCTCGGCTATATCGACAGCACAACCAGCCCCACATCGTAGCGAAAACCTTCTCGAAGTTGCATCCAAGTCCCTTTCTCAATGCTCGAATATACAGAGAGTCACCATCGTGTTATACGACTACGCCATTACGTCGTCTTTCGACGCATTCCTCGACAACCTATGGTCATCTTCCGGGAATAGCGTCCAAAGAATTTCTGCACAATCGATCCCGGAGAACCTCACCCCTCTCCTTCGCTCCATCACAAATGGAAGCGGCAAACTCGTCAACCTACACCATCTCGAAGTCACCCTCCTGAACTCTCACTCTCTATTCGATCTTCACTCCGCAACCAACTCTATTCTTGGACTTCTGTCGAAGTTTGGGCCCAGCCTTTCCCACCTCTCCCTTTCATCGCTCGCTGCTTTCGACTTCTCTCTTTTACTTGCGAGACTGGCTGGAGTCGCTCTTCCAAAGCTCGAAACTTTCGAACTTTGGCTCCCTATCACGAATGAAACGTTGCACCATCAACGTGCACTAACACGTTTCTTGCAGGCTCACAATGGCACGCTGGGACATTTCGTCTTACGAAATCAGCCCAAAGCCGACATTCCACTCCGTGCGGCTGGTGTAGACCAGCTGAATAGGTGGCTTCACGCGGAATTTCCAACCATCGCTCTGCCGAAAGTGCACACCCTGGACATCGGTGCCTCGACCAAATGGCTTCAGTTAACACCAAACCGTCAACCAATATCTCTCCCGAAACTCGTACCCTCGCCCCTTCCACATCTCCAGAATCTGGTCTACCATACGACCTATCCGCTTCCGGATGAGGAGATGCGACACATCCTAAGTGCGACGGGTAGGGTACTGGAGTCATTGGACATCTGGATTGAATTATTTACATCAAGCTCACTCGATGCCCTCGCCCAAGACTTGACGCCCAATCTCAGGAGCCTCGCACTGGGGTACAAGACGTCCACGGGAGCCGGATCTCTGGGGAGAGGTGTCTTCTGCGGCGAGATTTCGCGAAGAAGGTATCCCAACTGGCCCTTACGGACGCTGAGGCTGGGTTACAAGGGTAACTGTGGAGAGATACACGTCGACAAGCCGTATTGCAACGCGGTGGAGAAAACCGTGACAAGGGCTCTAGAGATTGACGGGCGTAACAGATGCTGTTGTTTCGCCGATTACTTTGAGCCCATATCCACAGGTACCGTTATTAATCCCTGGGCTGAGGGCGCCTAAATATAGTAAACCCACTTCTAGATACCGTTCAGTGGATACAGCTTTAGAATAACAAGTCTTCACCTCCTCACTTCAAGACTCCTAAGTAGTTCGCCCTAACCTGTTCGGCGAAAGATTTGTGTGCACAGCCGAGCGCCTGTGTTCTTGGTGGGTGCCTTAGGACAATCATGGCGTGTCATCCCACGTCGGATCGACTATCTCAGACTATCTCTGACAGATGCGGTGTTTGTGGGCTCCTTCATATCTTCGACTCAAAAGATGCCACGCATGTCTTGTTGCTCGACCTTCCTCCCCTCTCCCTACGCCAGAAGCTCACCACCAGTTGATCATGCCAACCCCCGACCTGCCTCCGGAAATATGGCTGGAAATCCTGGAATACTTTCCTCCGACTTTCGTCCCAAAGATGATGGGTGTAAACAGGTTCCTGTTCGAGCTGGGGATGAACTACAAATATGAAGAGGTTAGGTTAATTTCAGACGACAAGCCTTCGCTGAGAGCCTTCCAGCAACTAGGGTGAGTGTCACTTTTGTGTGTTAAGGCCAAGGCGCTCAAGGCAACGAATGACATCACAGACACCAGAACATTGCAAAGCGCGTCCGCCATTTGTACCTCCGCCCTGCATTTCTTCCGGGCATCGACGAAGACCCCTCGCTCCCTGAAGCGACGGGCTGTTTCGACTGGCTTTCGTCCTTGAAGCCTTCGTCCTTGAAATCTTCGAAACCGCCAGCCACAATCACCGAGAGAATTCTACAAGTCGCATCCAGGTCCCTAACGAATTGCACCAACCTTCGGGAGCTCTCCATCGTCATCTACGACCATGTTGTCACTCCTTCCTTCGCCGCGTTTCTTGACCAGATATGGGATACAGTCGGAGAGAGTCTGCAGAAGCTTTCAATCCAAACCACAGCAGCCAAAATTCCCTCCCTCCTCAGCTCAATTAGCAAACAGAAAGGGAAGATCCCCAACTTTAACTCGTTCGAACTCGTCATTATGAACTCTCGGTTCCCGTTATCCTCCCAGCAACCCATGGAGGCGACCCGAACGATTGAACAGTTTATCATGGTCTTCAAGGAAAACATTCACCATATCTCATTCTCCACCCTCACCACCTTCGATCTCGCACCCTTGTTTCAATACCTCACCAACAAACTCCTCCCCAAACTGACCAAGTTTGAGCTTTGGTTCGTCATGTGTCATGCAACCCTTTCAAACCGCGCGAACCTCTCCTCTTTTTTACAAGCGAATAGCGAGACGCTGGAGCATCTGGTATTACAACCGCGCCCAAAGTTCGACGTCTTCTTTCCAGACCACGGCATCGATATCCTCGATCGGTGGCTCTGGGAGGTGTCGTCGGCCATCACCCTCCCCAATCTCCACACCTTAGACGTCGGTACCACTGCTACATGGAAGGACGACCCGCAAGGATGGGCCCGGGGCAGGGTGTCGCTACCCATGCTCGTGCCTGACATTGCTCCCACCCTCCGACACCTCATTCTCCGCAATTACCCTTTCTCGATAGCAGAGGTGAAAAGCGTCCTGGAAGCCACAAATGGGGTTCTATTGTCTCTTGAAATCTGGGTGGAGATCTTCTCACCCAAGATGCTCGATTCGCTCGCCAACGAATGGACACCGTGTCTCCGAGACCTCACTCTGGCTTATTGCAATATTGGTACCTGTGCCACCATTCCAGATGCCACCTACTCCGAGATGCTGGCAGTGCGCACTCAGATATCGAGCAGAAGGTATCCAAAATGGGGGCTGAAACGATTGAGGCTCGGGAACAGGGGAAGCTGTGGGGAAATCCATGTTGACAGAGCTCTGTCCCAGGCGGTGAAAGATACGGTAACGACTAATGTGGAGGTTTACGACGAAGACAAGTGTTTCTGTTATCGATCTCAATAGTCCCGTTACTCCGTAAGCGTCTCGCCAGCTTGGTTAGGCGCCAAGTGCTATAGATTTCTGTCATCCTGTTTCAAAAGCCAGACGAGCTACCCCCAAACTCTGAATCATGTGAATCTCTGCTCGAGTTAGCAGATTCCACGCGAAGAATACGTGTACATACATACCGCAGCACTGTCTCGGCAGGTGCCAGTACCCGCACTAGCGTGCCAGTAGGTACTATACATACAGGTCAATCTGCCTCTTGGTTAGATTATTGAGCGCTTCTTCATTCCGAATGGACTTCCCTAAGGCCTGTCAGCCATTTTAGCTGCCACGTCCGACCCGAAAGGACCAAGAGTCGTTATATTTAGAACTCATGCATTCGATTACGCCCTTGCACTTTTGAAGTCAATGAAACAGAAACCAACCTGAGGATTCCCCACTGCGTCAGGTTACTGACGATTTGGTTCCGTCCGGGGGCTATATAGATTAGATTATCTTTCAAGGGGAGATCGGTAAGCCATCCGACTGGTTTATCATCCCGAGACGAAACTCCGCTCCCATTACTATTAGGTTTGGCGTGATGAACCTTACGAATCGCGCCAGCCCTTCCTTTCACTTCCCTAACTCCTCGCCGCATCGTGTCGATCATTAGCTCACTTCATATACCTGGATCTCGGGACTAATGTCGAAGTGGCCCCCTTTCTTCGTCACCACGACCACGACAACCGTTTAAACCACCCAACTGCCCATGTCGCGGTCTGCAGACCCTGAGCGGCAGCCTCTCATTGCTGCCTCGAGCGATGAAGCGGTTCCAAACGCCACGATTTCGTACACGGACCCACCGCCTTCGGTACCTGCGATAGACACTAGCCTGGGTGAGGACCCTATCGCTCCCAAGAACACGGGCAGGCTGTACGCATTCTATGGCATCCTGGTCATCCTTGGGACAGTTACACTCGTCCTTCTTATCAAGGGACTTATTGAGTCTGGAGATGTCGACGTGAGTGCCCACCGACAGTCCTATTATTCACCCAAAGCTCACAGACATGCAGTTTGACCTGAAAGGTGCCCTCAAAAGCGCACTGGGAGGCGGCCTCAGCGGGGCTGCAGCCATGGTCTTACAAGTCCTCATCTTCATGCCCCTCCGGACGATTATGAACTACCAATACCGCTTCGGCTCCTCACTGTCCACGGCTCTCAATACCCTCTATGCCGCAGGAGGCTACGTACGGTTCTACCAAGGCCTCTCGGCCGCGCTTCTCCAAGGCCCACTCGCTCGATTCGGGGACACAGCAGCCAACGCAGGCATCCTCGCCCTCCTCCAAAGCAACCCCTATATGAAGAAGCTGCCGGCGTTCGTAAAGACTGTATTCGCTTCGCTGGCGGCGGCTGCGTTCAGGATGATCTTGACGCCTATCGATACTGTCAAGACCACGCTGCAGGCCCAGGGTAGGGAGGGGTGGGGGATCTTGAAGAGACGGATACTGAGATATGGCATTGGAACAATGTGGTATGGTGCCTTTGCTACAGCTGCGGCGACCTTTGTTGGTCATTACCCGGTATGTGCTAATTCAGGTGACGATACTCGTTTTTTAAACCTTCCCTTCAGTGGTTCGGAACGTACAATTACCTCGACGAGGTCCTTCCTCCTGCCGAAACAACCTTGCAAAAACTATCCCGGCGGGCGTTCATTGGCTTTGTAGCCTCCGTAGTCTCAGATACAGTATCCAACAGCCTGCGAGTTGTCAAGACCTACCGACAGGTCAACGAATCCAAAATCGGTTACGTCGAGGCAGCAAGGGAAGTTGTCCGCACGGACGGCTTGAAAGGTCTTCTAGGACGTGGCCTCAAGACCAGAATCCTAGCCAATGGTTTACAAGGCCTGACATTCTCAATCCTCTGGCGGTGGTTCATGGACATGTGAGTGGTGCTGCAATCCTAACAGCAAAGTCTATCGATATTGATTCCAATACGTGTTACAGATGGAACGAAAAGACCAAAAAATAAAGGGGGGCGTTAGTCTAAAGTACAAGTTAGGCGTGATCGTACTGGTACATAGGGGAAAATATGAGAGAGAGAGGAAGGGTTTGCATGTGATGATAACGATAAACATGAGAATAGAGATCCTTTAACGAGACCAAGCGGGTAAGCAGGACGATAAGTTTACTGCCCAAGCGCGGTAAACCATTACGTAGAAGACGAGGAACGGCGACGATCACACAGGGCAATCCCTGTTGGCGTTTGACATGTCGGGACCTAGGATAACCATGGATCAAAAAGGGAAGCGTTCTGGGATGATAAATATTCGTTCAGCAAAAGTCTTCGACGGAAATCTCGACACCGTAGGAGGCGACCTCGGCGAGAGCGGTGTAGATCCTGTCTCCCAGATCCTCAGTCGGTCGGATGCGAATTTTTTCCAGACGAGCGGGGAGGTCTTTGGAGAGTGGTGTCCCACCGTTGAGGCCGGCGCTATCCGCAGAAGTAAACTGAACTCGGGACCGAACCATCTCGATAAAGGTGTCACAGACGTTATAGTCGATCGTGAGTTCCAGTGATTTGAGTGCTGGCAAGAGGTTCTGGCGTTGACGTTGTGGCTTTCTTCTCCCGCCGTTAGCTGCCCCGTTTTCAACGTTCAGCAATGGCCTCCATGTCATTGCCGAAAGCAGACTGTGCGTCACAGTCGGAGCTTGTAGTGGCGCGCTATACACGATGAGCTTCGTCAACGTCGGAATAGTCTTGAGGCCTTGGATGAGCTGCGAATCCGTCAACGCTGTCTTCCTCAGGTGCAGGGTCTGCAAGCACCCCAGCCTCGACAGGAACCCCGTAAACTCGGAAGAGAAAGGTGACCTGAGGTTGCAAATCTGCAAGAACTCTAGCTTTGGAAAGGTCAGCTGAGGGAACAGTCCGCGGAGATCGACCGTCTCGTTCCAGGGTGGCGTCATGATCGAGACCTCGCGCAACGAGTTGTGTTGGACCCTCAGATGCGGACTGTACACGCTCCCCATCCCATACATCATCCCCGAATCCATAAACACAAACCCTCCCTGTTCCAGGTGCGAAGTCTGGAGGAGGATGTCGATGAAGTCATCGCTGGACACAGCCATCATCGGAATCGTCCTCAGATGCGACCACGGGAACTTGAAGATGAGCGGTGAGATGTTGACGGATTCGAGGGAGCGAAGGAGGGGTGCGTCGCTGAACATGTCGAGTTTGCCGATGAGACTAGACGAAGGCGGTGGGTCGTCTTTGGTTCCGAGGCTGAGGGTGGTGAGGAGAGGGAGACGTTTCCGGATGGGTGCGAGCGACTTGAATGCGTGGTAGGGCATGTAGAAGAACATGGACTGCCACCGTTCCGAATGGGCTGTGAGGGCGTCCAGGACTGGGTGGGAAGGCGTGAACGGTGGCTCCTCCCAGAAGACGTATATCGTCAGAGGGCATCCCCCCGAACGAGTCAACCACGTCTGGACGAGCTCGGTGAGGTTGAAGGATGTGGACGTGAATTGGAGGTAGAGCCTTGACCACAGTCTCGGAGTCGCAAGCGCGGTTTCGCGCCATCGCGAGCAGATCTGTGAGACGAGGAGGGGAGTACGGATCGTGTTCGTCGCGTCCATGGCTCCATCTGCGCAGTGGAGGAATATTTCCGACAGCAGTTCTGTCGGAATTCCACCTGGACCTGCGAAGGGAAGCACCAATGACTGTGATGGGGTGATGATGCTGTAGCGATCCATTGGTTGACCGGGTTTGAGGAGAATTCGGTATCGAGCAGCTGCCACACCGGTGATGGACAGAAGGCGGAATTCCGTTAAACTGGACGATGACCAGTAAATCGGTCGGCGGTTATCAGGGAGGAAGATCCAATGGAAGGAAGAACCACTTGGTAGGAACCCAGCCCGACAGGTAAGGGAGAGGTGTCAAGCGACGATTTATCGCGACAAATCTTCTGGAACGTGGTGCATATGTTTATATTGCAGGCACACGTTGATCGATTGGATCGATGCAGAGAAGGAAGGACGGTGTCTGTGGTTTGGATCAGTGACATATCGTATTTCTTAAATGAAAAACACGTACACTTGTGAAGCCTTCAAGGAACCTTTACTGCTTGTGTATCCGAAAAGCTGGCGAAGACGACATCTTGTGGTTTTTGGGAAACGAAGAGATGTGACGAGGGGAAACCACTGATCGATCAGATGCCTGCACTGTACACCTTGTTTGCCCGAGACGTGATCGACAAACACAGCGGATATTGACACCGGATCACGAACGCTCCTCTTTCATCTGCACGAACACGATGCGTCCCTCCATCCTTGTCGGTGGCCAACGAAGGAAGTCGGACGATGTTACCTGAACGGTTCAGAGAGGGTGACACGAATTCAAACTTGTTAGCCGCGTCCGACAGCAATGAAACAATATATAACCAACCTCTCAGGCAAAAGACCAACCCTTGGCTCGAGACTCCTTCGAAATGCCGCCACTCAAGTGCAGAACTGTCTTTCTCAAGATACTCACATACTTCATAGAAGCTTTTCGTTCATTACTCACATTTTTCACCTTTTCCAAACATGCTTCTTTCCATCCCGCCGCGAACGCGTCGGATATCGAGGAGGGCATTATGAAGGAAAAGGGATTCATATCCGGTTCGCATGTCTCGTTATTCGATGAATATAAACTAACAACACGGGCAGTCAATCAATGTTCACCGGTATTCGAAACGGTGACAGAGATCCAGTTTCCTCCTACCTTGGTGTCCAACGCCCTCGAAGGAGATTTGGTCGAAGTCAGCCTCTCACAGGAGGACATCGCAAAAAACATTGCAGGTAAATCAATGTTCTTTTTGACTACACGCTTCTTCATCTGGTTTCAGATCAGAGCGATACCTCTGTTGGTCAGCAGCGCCTTTTCGGTCAGTCATTCTTCAGCGAAGAGACTTGTCATACTTACGGGTGGACCGCAGATTCGGAAGCACTAAAGTCTGCATTTGCATCCAAGAAATCCAAGCTCCTAGATATCCTCGACCAGTTCCCTCTTCCACCCCCCTCAAGACCGCCTTCGATAGCTTCGACATGCACCACAGCCCGCAGCCCAACCACAGTGCACTCCCCGCTCCAACCGTGTCTCCTGGCCGAATCCAACCCACCAACCACGCCCATCCCATTCCCAATCATAGATGCCAATCCCCACAGTCAGACTGAAAAGCCAGAGGCTGAAATTAAGAAGAAGCGGAGATTGACGCTGCGCAAGGTCCCGAGCGCTCCTAACCTGGACGCGAAGCGTACTCCTAGAAAACTGGTGATTTCCCTGCCGTTGACCCATATCCCTAAAGCGAGCACCGATCTTGACGCGAATATCCCTCCTGTTCCACCTATCCCTTCTGGACACGTAGATTCTGAAGTGACTGGAACTGTGGCCAGTGAACCTCTTGAGACGATGGACCTAAACGAACTTGAACGACCACGCTACCCGACATCTCGTTCACCCACTTCTTCTCCCATCTCCCGCCGCTCTTCTCTCGTCTGGTTTGCCGATGGCGGGTCGAGTAGCCACGGACACTCCAGCGAATCCCAGTACACCTGCGCCGACACCACATTCACCTCCAAAGTGGCTACCCCTCCTCTCCCTTCTAGTTCTGGATGTGCCGACTCTAGCATTGTCATCACCTCGGCGACAAGTCCTGCTCTAGGTTCCAATACTGGTCACTCTGATTCTGGGAACGGTGCGACAGCGATCTCAGGATGGAACAAATCGAAGGACCAAAAGCTCGCCATGACTCGATCAATGACGGTAACACACGGCCTGAGCCTCCCGCCACCATTCTTGCTCGCAACGTCCACATCTGCTCCATTTCCCAAACCCCAGCCTTCATCTACCCCGCTCCATCCTGCTCTTGCTCCTAGAATTCCCGGGACACCGCTCTGGACACCTCCACCACCGAACAACCACCACGAATGGATCAAAGACTGGCGAGACGACATGTACACTGTGCTTCAGGGATTCAAGGAAGTTAGTGTGGAGATGCAAGAAGATAGTTTCCGAAACGTGTTCGATGGCGATGCCTCAGCTGAATCTGCTTCTGCCGTTTCATCCGTCGACAGTGGCTACATGTTCGCTTCTCCCTCCGATGTTCTAAACCTCTCCTCGCCATCCGACATTCTCAACGTTTCGTCCCTGCGGTACGAGGAAGGCTCTTCCCTCGATGATATGGTGATGGGTACCAGCATGATGGGGGCGAGGAACATGAAGTATTATTCGGCCAGTTCAGATTCGAGCTTCGATAGGAACTGGGAACTCAAGGGGGCAACGGAGAGGAGGGAGAATAGCAGCGAAGACCGGTATGTTGGAGTGGGGAGGAACAAGCGAGTGGCATGCAACCTCTGATATTCAGAATTTCTGAAAGGGCTGAAGAGCGGGATGGAAACTGGATGGAGGGACCAGGACTAGGATAAATGGCTGTTATGAGCTGCGCGCAGGTCGAATAATTCTGTAGACGTATCCTTGCTTCAATTGTAGATAGAATGGAATGTACGGATCTTATCCAGGATTGCAGAGGCTGGAAAAGGGGGAGCGGGTATGAGTGGAACAAAACTTCAATTGACGATAACTAGGGATAAAAATACAATGCTGTGCACATGTCAGTTCTCGACTTCACCTCGCGCATTTGGTATGCACTCACCTAGAAAAGGCATAGCATAATTCGAGAGCAAGCTAAGATAGTGGTGCATATACGATGCTCGGGCTCTATGCGGCAACGGCGACCAAAGCGGCCTTCTCCTGGGCAGCGCTGGGGACGTTGGGGGTGTCCTCGAGAGTGAGCTTGTCGAGGGCATCCTCGAACTGGTCGTCGTCGTCGTCCTCCTCCTCTTCCTCCTCCTCAGACGCCTCTTCTCCTTCATCCTCGTCATCCGACGGCTCATCTTCAAAGTCAAGCTACCCGAGATCCCATTTCAGCCAAATGCTGTGATGTTGTAGAAGGGAGAAACTCACAGGATCGTAGATGACTCGGATGATCAAACTACAACTCGGGCATGTAGCCACATCTTCGTAGTTCTTCAGCTGCTTTTTCGAGATCTCGAAGCGGTCGCCGCAGGGACATGGGTAGTGGTATACACGCTTTTCAGCGTCCCAGACCATATCCTCGATCTCGATTTCGTCGTAGTAGGCGCCCATTATGTTTCGTGGCGATTAAGGTATACTTTTGAGTTGTGCTTTGGGGGTGGTTTTCTGTTCGAAGGTGGAAGGAAATTCAGGAAATCTATGAAAGTCTTGAACTTGAATCAGTTAATTGATTCTGATGTTCACAGCCCAGAGTAGACAGAGATACCTCTTCAAGAGAACCTTCAAGTCATAAAAAAAGTCGTAAAGCGGCTCCAGGAACCCAAAGCTCGAAGTGAGATGGCGGTTGAGCAAGAGGGCTGGGCAAATGAGTGTCTCATCTAATCTCGAGTCAGGGTCCGCCTTGAGGCTGTGCATGCGATTTCTCACCCTTCGGCCATGTCCGACTGATAAGCGCCGAACTGAGGGGAAGACTGCCGTTTGCACAGGCTCCTGAAGTGAGACACAGAGAAATACGGTCTAGGGTGTTTATCTGGTTGTCCCGTACAAGATCAAGGATAGAGAAGTGCAGAGGACTTTAGTCCACCTTCAAGACTCCCATGACTTTATGGCCATCAAAATCCTTCCCTCGTCGTCGTACCATTCGCGGCTGTCGGAAGAAAATAATTGCGATAGTCGAAAAAATGTTTGCCAAGAGGCAAAAAGTGGCCAACGCCAGGATCGAACTGACGACCTTCGCGTTATTAGCACGACGCTCTAACCAACTGAGCTAGTCGGCCGTTACAGCGGGGAAAGGCATTGCTTAACAGAATCCCATGAAGGGGGTGGTTTCGGTCGGAAACACTTGGTGGTAGCAGTTCGTGACCCAGGATTCACTCCAGGAAAACATTCATATATTCAGGCAGGATATGGTTTGAGAACGTCCGATGCGTTGATTTCGATGACCTTGTGCTTTTCTATGCTTTTCTTCTAGGTAAAGCCTCCCAGTCCTTGTTCAATCCTAGTTTCTTGATGACCTCCGCAGGCATACAATATACCGGGTCCAAGTCGACCAGGCCAGGATAGCCCAGTATCGAAAGCCCTACGTTTCCAGTGAGCCTCAGTCGATACACTTACAACACTCAGAGATCAAGGGGACTCACCGGCAACTCCGAACAAGGTATGGAATACATCGACCATATCCCCTGGTCTATCTGCGATGCCTCCTCCTTCCGCATCCTACGCAAAGTCAATAATGGTATGTAGCAGAAGCAAGTTCAGGACTAACCTGTGCACTGAGGATGAAAGCTTCCAACTTCTTAGCGTCAATCCACGGGACTTTCTTGATGATAGAGAGTGCCGAGAGGACCCAGAAACTGTAGCAAACCTGATCACGCCGGCATAATCAGAGAGCGGTTTGATAGACAGAGGGTTGCTCACATCTTCGAGCTTCTCTGGCCGGCCATTCAATCCACCATTGGGTAATTGACGTTCGGCCAACCACCAACCCAGGGTGTCAGTATCGACGACTTCATCGAGCTTGTCAAGTATCGCGAGGGCAGCGGTGCATACGAAGACTTTGAAGGAATACGCGTGAGCATAGAGTGTTCATAACTGAGGGATGTAGTACCTTGCGCAGCATGGCTCTCCGCACCGACTACACTCCCAAACCCTCCATCATAATTCTTACAGCGCTTCAGGTATCCGACAGTCTTCTCCTTGTCTAGTTCATCTAATCGACCAAGTAGCGACAAAGCCGAGACCGCGCAATACAGGAAACGGGTGTCAATTTCACCAAAGTTGTCACCTGCAAAGACGCCCGACGGTTGCTGGAGCGAGAGGATATCTAGTGGGTTGTTAAACAGATCAACCACGAGCCGCTATAGGTTGAACTCACATTTCACTACTCTATCCACATCCACCCTGTCCAGCGCGTCCTGCATGATTAGGATCTGGATCGCGCTGAGCGTGGAGAGCAAATGGGCGTCATGATCAGGATGAGCGCCAAAAGCACCCTGCTCTTCATCCCAACAGCTCATCACAAAGTCAATCATCTCCTCCCTGTTCAGCGCATCCTGGTGACCCATAACCGCCAACGCGGTCAAACCCCAGTAAACCGCGTTCAGTCGAAGATGCGAGGTTAAATGGTAGGTGAGATCATCCTTGTTCTAGATAGACGCTTTCTTTTCGATAGTTGGTCGGTGGACGTATAAGAAATAACGGGTACCTGCCCAAGTTTCTGGATGTAGGAGACGTGCAGAGGGACTAGAAGTTCATTGGTGGCCATTCCAGATCGTGGTGGTATGAAGAAAAGGACCGACTGTGCGCATTGATGGCGCCGAACGCCCCCTTTCCATCGACTTCCATCATGTCCGACTTTCGTACTCTCAAATCGTCTCGTGCAACTCGTCAATCGTTCGTCAAAGCTGAAAAGAAACCGGAAAATGAGACTGGAATTCAGAGTGAAATCTCCCAGAAAGTCGAGAGTGAACCACAGTTAGGTTCATCGTACACGCCAGCGGACGGACTGTACTCTTCTCTTCCTTCCAGTCTCCAAATACGTGTTGAACCAGAAACAGGACGGGGTATATACACTACGGATAATGGATTCAAGCCAGGTAAGTCTTTAACATGTTCATATCTCTGAATGAACGCTTAAACACCGTGAAATAGGCGCGGTTTTAGTCTCGACGAAACCTCACATCGCGACGCTCTCAACCAGCCAGCTGAGCTCGTACTGCTCTGCATGCTTCGGTCCAGGCACAAGTGCGCCCCTCAAGAGATGTCCAAACTGCAAGATCGTGATGTACTGTGGTAGCGTGAGTCCTATTGGTGAAACCTATTGTCCTCCTTCCTAACGGTTATTCAGGCGTGTCAAAGCAGAGATTGGAGCCTGCATAAATTGGAATGTTCTGCTTTACAGCGGTGGATGAGCCAGCCTCGTCCCCAGCCTCCCCCTGGATCCTCGTCCGAGCCTCAAGTGGTTTCAAGCGGAGAGACTCGAGCACCACCTTCAGACGCCATTCGAACCCTCGCCCGTATCCTATGGCGAAAGCAGAAGGTCGGACTGACATCTACGTGGGTCAGTCACCATCCCTCCTTCAGTCTCTTTATCAACCTGATGTACATTGTGACAGGCTAAAGAAATCGACCTTCTACAATCTCGTATGCCTCCCTTCCACTCTAGTTTCAGGCACTCAACCTGATGTCTGTCCTCTAGATCGGGCCTCCCTGTCCAAGCCCACGGTGTCGCAGTCCCCAACAAGCAACGACGCATCCTCAAACATCACTAAAGCTGCGGAATTGCACACCCACCTGTCGCACGGCCTAATACATTATATGGGCCTCACCTCTCCGCAAGAACTTGAACCATACGGAATCAACTCGGCTGGCGACCTTGTGGATTTGCTGTCGAGAGTACGCCTTGACTTTGCAGCTACTCCTTTGGTATTGGCTGACTTTGCGCACACCAGTTTACGACGAATACATTCACGCTGACTTCACCCTCCCTTACACCTCTGGGAGCTTGCATCTCCCCCGTTGCAGCGCTATTCAATCACTCGTGCGACCCCAATGCGGTCATTGTATTCCCCAGGCCTCTTGGAGGTATGTACCTTTGCATACTCTCCGTCTACATGTCCTAAACTCCCGGAGTAGATAAGAAAGAGCATGAACCATTACTGCAAATTATCGCCATTAAACCGATCCCTCCAAACACGCAGGCAAGTTCGCCTTAGAATTTCCTTCGCTACATATGCTCATCCAGTATTAGGTTCTGACCTCATACATCGACGCGACTCTGCCTCGAGCACTACGACAAAAGGCGCTGAAAGAGACATATCATTTCACCTGCCGATGCTCTCTGTGCTCGCCCGCGGATACGGCGTCGCCGGACCTTCGAGAAGCTCTCTACTGTCCTAAGAAATGCGGCGGTGTATGTCCGTTCCCAACTGAAGACTCGCCCAAGTCGCGGTGTGCAAAGTGCAACACTCCCATCTCGGACCCTCCGTCTGTCCTTGACGCTATAAGGATAGGTCAAGAGGGTCTCGAGAAAGCGGAGCGAATTCAAGGCTCTGGTGCGGATTTCACTTTTCACGGACGAAATAACGGATACTCATGCCCACACGTAGATCCCCAGAAAGCGCTTCACCTGACCAGAAACCTTGTTCCGCTGCTGACTTCAGCAGGTCTTGTCCCAAGTGCCCACCCCCTCCTCGCCCTCACGGGCCTCCACACGCAATTCCTCATCGACGAGCTATCACCCATCCTCGCCTCGCTACCCTCGCTCAACACCTCTCCGCGGGATATTAATGATAAAATGGACGTCGACGTCGAAGAGGTCGTCTCTCCAAACGTTCAACGCGAACAGCAAGCGCGAAAGGACGAAACGACCGAGAAACTGCAAGCGGCTCAAGAAGCCCTCGATTCATGTATTCGATTCAGTTCCATGGCTTTAACTGGGCTTTCCGAGATTCTTTCGTATGGGCACCCGGTGAGAGGCGTAGCAGCAGTGGAACTGGGCAAGCTGTTGGTGGTGGACGAACCTTGGCCCACTCCCAGTGCCGCATCGACCTCGTCTTCACCTTCCCCTTCACCCCCTCCAGCTATCTCACCCGCACCTTCATCCTCGTTCCCACCCTCTGGACCTCCTCGTCTCAAACTAGCCCACTCAACACTCGTCAATGCTCTTAACGAGCTCAAGATCGGGTTCGGAACTGATATCAACGGAGAGAGTATTGGAGAGCTTGGAAAGGAAGTTCGAAAGATGCTCGTCGATGTGGAGAAGGAGCTCAGCGTGTGGGAAGATGGTGTGAAACGCGCTTTGGAAGATGCGAGGTTGGCGCAGAAAGGTGCTCAGCAGAAGTAGCTATAGGATGACAAGGATCGACGATGATCCGAGCAGTGGTCTGGAAAACTGACATGGAGGTGTAATGTACTCGCATAACGCACCATTCGTAATCACAAACTCGGGTTGGGGCAGTGTGCTCGAACCGTGCAGCTGGCTCCCATTCATCTGAGCCTTCCGCAGAGTCGGGTTTTGCGAAGTCAGCGCACAGGATGTCAATCAACTCGGAGTCTCGTCCGCTATTGAATTCATCGTAGGGTATGGACCCAGGGATGCTGTTGAAGAAGCTGATTATTTACTATAAGTGTCTTAATATCGATATCCATCGTAACATGTGCTGTGACTTCTGAATCAGACGGGTTGGGCACTCTTAATCGAGAACCATGAACCGATGCCCGAACTGCTCAGGCCTCAGAGGACGACGTCGACAGCACCGCCAAAGGCTAACCGACGCAACTGATATTTCATCCGACCTTAGCTCAGTTGGAAGAGCGCAAGACTGTAATCGGAAAAACGTCTCACGGACGATCCTCTTGGGTCGTTTCTGAAGTTCATCTTGATGTCGCCTGTTCGAGCCAGGCAGGTCGGAATTCTATATTCTTTTTCCACCTTTGAAATTTTGGAGCCAAGACGGCATAGCACCAAGGCATGGAAAGGAAGACTTGGATATGACATATGTCCGCAGTAGGCATATTTTCGGGCTGGCCGATACTTTTAGTATTTACAATGGCTTCCCCCTGTTAACAGCAAGTTTTACGTTACAATCCCGACGCGGCGGGAATCGAACCTCCTCCCGCTGGTACCCAACGGCCGACTAGCTCAGTTGGTTAGAGCGTCGTGCTAATAACGCGAAGGTCGTCGGTTCGACCCCGGCGTTGGCCACACAGTCTTTTTTGTTCTTTTTGCCTTCTTAGCAATGTGCAAAAGGACGTGCGAGTATCATTTCGTCAGGCCACGACTCGGAGAAAGAGTGCGTATTCTTACATCTCACGTCTTTCTTTTGGACAAAGATTCTTTTTCTTTGTTGACTCGGAGAACGAAGTCGATACATATCTTCTCCGTGGATCTTGCGCCCGGATCCTCTTAGGTCTGGTTCATGAGAATCTAATCCACGAGGTCCGGTTTCTGAGGATATTCTGGGTGGCAATGATATGCTCAGTGATCTTATGACCACTGGCTGGATGGGCGCTAAACGAAGATCACCTTTGTGCGGACCTTCGCGATCTATAGAAGGTCAAGGCCAGAGAAATGGGCTGTGTCTTTGTCACATTGGTCTTGTAAAAGGTGCGAAACGAGTAGATCGCGGTCTGCTTATCTCCACATACACAAAAAGGTTGCCAGCTCCAGGGGGGTCTCCCCGACTTCACTCCTCCAGTATCTTCAGCGAGCTGCAGTGATGTTCACCCAGTCACAGAATTTCGTCGTCCAAGGGGGCGAGTTCTTTAATTCCGAGAAACTCTATAGAGTGGTCAACAGAGAGCCCAAACCAGGTGGGTGATGCTCGTATACCCTCCAGTTGGCCCGACTCACATCCACTCGGTCTCAGATCCATTCGATCTTCTCCATCGGCACCGCGCAGTGCAGGCAACACACAAATCGCCTTTGGCGTCCTACGCAGCCAAGTGCAAATCCGGGACTAGAAAGGAAGTCATTAACGACATCATCTCCTGGACAAACCGCTCAGATGACACTCCAATCCTCTGGTTTTCGGGGCCCGCAGGAGGTGGCAAAACCTGCATTCAGCGAGACGTTGCGCGCCAGGCAGAATCCTCGAAATCCCTCGCCGCGTCCTATTTCTTCTCCAGTTCGAAGCGCAACCCAGGTCTCGACAGCGCGAGTCCATTTGTGGCGACTATCGTGCACCAATTCATCTACTCCATTCCAGAGATGAAGCACTACGTTGCGCGTGTGTTGAGGGACCGCCCAGATATCTTCGAAGAGTCGTTGGATGTGCAGCTGGAGGCGTTGGTCCTGGACATTTTGCCGAAGCTGTCAAAGCAGGCGCTGGCCAAGGCTCCGCGTTCTTTGATCATCGACGGTCTGGACGAGTGTCGGGACGCGAGCGAGAGACAGCATCTTCTTCGGCTGCTTCGAACGCTAGTTTCGAATTCGTATATCCCTTTCCGCGTCGTAGTCGCAAGTCGTCCGGAATTGGACATCCGCACCACCTTCAATACGGTTCCTTTGCGCTCCGTCGCGCACCATGTTCGGTTGGACGACTATGATGGTACGAGTGACATTCGCAGCTACTTTTGCGACGAATTTACCCGCATCCGGGAATGCCATCCGTCCGCATCGTCGATCCCCGACGACTGGCCACCGGAAGAAGATGTCGAATTACTGGTGGCGAAGGCATCCTCGCAGTTTATATTTGCGGCCACCGTCATTCGATTTGTAGACTATCCTAAACAGAACCCAGTCACCCTCCTTCAACATGTCCTATCATATACGTCCTCTGTACCGTCGTCCTTAAAAGGCGGTGACGATAATCCCTTCTCAGAGCTCGACGCGCTTTACACGATGATTCTTCTTCCTTCCGTGTACGCCAATCCCCGCGACTCATACCAGATCGATATTCCCCTCCTTCGGCGTCTCTTACATACAATCATGGTCATGATCCCTCCTCAAGGACCGATTCCAACTCAATCTCACCAACTCTTTCTTGACAAATTCCTTTCTCTTCCTCCAGGAACAACAGATATGACAATCTGTGATCTCCACTCTCTTCTCAAGGTCCCCAAACCCCATTATTCTCAATCTCATCCACCGCGCGATTCCCTGTTCTCCGGCACTGGGTCTTCGTCGATGACTCCCGACTCGGAGGAAGACTGGGTGCCCCTAACTCCCATCCAGTTCCATCACAAAAGCATGGAAGATTACCTCTGCTCTCCAAAGCGCAGTGGAATCTTGTACCAGTCACGGGAAGACACCAATATCCAGTTGGCCGAATGTTGCGCGTTTCATTTAATGTGCTGGGAAGAAGGCGACGACGACACCAATTCCAATCCAAGCCCAAGGTCATCATCGACACCGATGGCTACTGGAGGGATCTTACCCTATTCCTACGAGCATTGGGAAAAATACCTCATGGAAGGGCTTTCTGGACTGACTCGGGAAACCTCACCATTCAAAGTTGGAGGCACAGCCACGAGCCCACTTGCATTGGCCCGGGAGGAAACTCTCAAGGCCCGTCGGAATGCTTCCAAAACCCCAAAGTCCATCACGAACGGTGAGGCCTCTGGGGTTCGTGACGGCCAGCCAACTCCCGAGAAGGCATTACCTGTAGCACTCCAGAATCTCTGCGACTTCGACCCCATGATAATCGTTCGCTATAGATTTTTGCACTGCATCACTGCAGCCAATTCTGAGTTCCCATTTACGCTCGCGGCGCACAGGGATGGGAGGGATGTGCGGCTATTGGATGTTGTGCACGAACTTATGGTAAGTGGATTGCGCTTAATATCTCTTCACTGTAACTAAAAAATGGTTTCCTAGTGCTATGACGCCTTCTCAGGATGCACAAAGCTTTGCAAAAGGTTGAACAGACTCGAGCGTCACTGGTTCAAAGCGGCTCGATTCTTTGCACAATACGAAGAGCGGACTAGTGGCACTTCCGAAGCATCCGTTGGGCACGACATTTCGTCCAAGATGGAGCTTCTACCTTTAATCGACAACCTTCTGAGGGTAAAGCATCGGCGTCCACAAGGGCCAGGCACACTGAGAGTTCGTCACTCGGGGCGAACTAGCCAGGAGCCCAGCGTTGTAAGCCCCACCTCAAGTCCTGAAAGCGATCTGGCCAACTCGCCCCAGTTTTTCAATCCTTTCACCAATACTAGAATCCCAGTTACGAAACATACCAGGCGAGCCTCTGTGCCTCTGTCGAAACCGTTGCCTCCTTTGCCGCATGACCGGCCTCCCGGTCGTTTCTCCCTTGCACTTACATGGCCGTTCAGAAAGACTAGCACGTAGGTTCTCTATGTACCTTCTTTTGGCTCGCCATGTAATACGCAATGTTCTATTCGAGTAACTGGATTTCCTGGTTGATCGACAGTCGTGATCAACTTCTTGGACAGCATCGCAACTTAGCGCATGCCAGCCTTGCTCCTTTTTTACAGCTTCAACGCCTCAACTCGTCGCGTACCACCTTCACTTTTACCTCCCATCTCGACACGATATGCACCTAGCAGTGTTTCCCAAAAACTCCCGAGTTGCAACTGTTCCATCCCAAAGGGAATTCGGCTGAAAACTTTAGAAGGATCGAGACGTGAATTGGCGGGTGGAGTAAAAAGAGCACAGATAACAAGAAAGCAAGACGTTAAGATCGTAATAACAATAAAAGATGCTAAGGTACCAAGAGAGGAGGATGTACTACAAGGTCCAAGTACTGAGCGAAAAGAAGCGTTCCGATACGACTAACCCAAACCCAGATGAAAAGAAGAAAAAAAGAGTCCTGGAATCAAGGCGCAAACCTCCTGGCCATGCTTCACAACAAACCCTCAACACCAGTCCACGGTGAGGGTGTAACCTCATCCGACAGCGGTGTGTGGAATGTAACTCCAATATCTAACCCCATCTCTCTCAGCCTGGCCAGGCGCTCCCTGATTATTCCATTTTCTTGTGCAGTGAACGCACACTTGACAGACGACAAACGGGCGATGCTTGGTGGGGAAGAGAGAGGTTCGGTAATTTCGAAAGGCAGATGTCGGTTTTTCTGACGTCCCGGCGAGATCGACATGGGGAATGGGAGAGCAGCGAGCTCGGAACGGTTCGGTGGTTCGTCAAGCTCGACGACGCTGGGAGGTATATACTCTTCTTCAAGGTCAGTGAGCTCCGGCGGGAAGAAAGGTGGATTCGCGTCTACTCCCTCAACTCCAACCCAGGTCCGCTCGAAGCTCGACGAGCTATTAGAATTTCGGACAACAGGCACGTCGACGATTTGTTGAATTCCCGTAGGTGGCAGGTCGAACGCTTCATCAGGTAAAAACCTCGATTCCACGAAGGCGCAGAAAAGTTCCTGACTGCCGCATGGAAGCGCAAAGTCGAAGCTTGTCAGGTTGGGTAGGAGAGGATCCTGGTACTGGTGAAGATATCGAGAATTTGCCTCCTTGGGGATTCTGGTTACTCGAGATAAGGATGGTTTGTCGCCGATGATGTCGAGATGGGTGTGGCCGTCGTCCGAGGCAATCTCCACAGAGGTAGAGGCAGGCGACACAGCAGACATCAAATCAGAGTCGGTGTCCCCATCTTCGACCATTGTACAGCTTGAGGTCGGGGACGAGGGGAAGAACGAGGACGTCGAATGGTCATGCACTTCATCATCGCCAACGCTGTCCGGGTCGGAGCCCTCCCCTACGTCAATCTCCATCCCATTATACCACCCTCGCAAACCTCTCCTCTCTACAATTAGCGCCTTCAAGACTCGATCCACCATGCACTCCTTGCCCGCCCCATCACCGACATTCCTGCAATGAACATATCCCCTGGAAGCCAAACCGATTCGAACCTTGTAGTCGCGAATGACGAGTGTCGTGATGGTGGGCGCTAACCGCAGACACGCGAGGAACTCCTTCTCGACTAGAGGGACAGATTCCAGTCGGAGGACTTCCAAAGGACATCCGCTTCGGATCAGGAGTTTCTTCAGTCCTGCTATGGGTTCAGGAGAGTACCGAGGGCGGGGTTGGGAGGTTGTGGTGTTTTCGGAGGTTGTGTTAGGAGGCAGGGCTATAGTGGAAGCAGGGGTAGGTGCCTCCGATCCGTCGTCAGCGTCCGTCGAACTATCATCGTCCTCATCGCCGTCTCCATCGTCATCGAAAAATTCTTTGCTGCCAGCCCTCCCATAGATCGCTATCTCTCTTAACTTCGGAGCCCGGATGTTGGAAATGATGGTGGTCATATGGAAGGCGCCCAGAAGGTGCTGGTCGCCGTCCACGCAGAGTTCCCGCAGCTCGGGAAGAGTGACCACACTGTCGACAGGTGTGTAGGTTTGGGGTACGTTTCCGCCGGCTTGCTGAATGCCCATAGGCGTGACCAAGGAAAGCGGAAGCTTCAGTGTACAGCTTTCCAAAGCTGAACACTGCCCCAGTGTCAAAATCAAGTCCTCGCAACTCTTGAAGAAGAACGAAATGTTGGATTCGAGGACGAGTGTGGTGAGTTGTGACCAGGCGACTGTGGATGGGATTTGGATGGCACCGGCAAAAAAGGTGAGGTCGAGAGACTTCAGGCTAGGAGCCTCGGAGGCGAATTGGAGTTGTTCAGGCCAGTGTGCCAGTCCCAACAGGTTGTCATTCCCGCTACCAACACTGTTGACGTACTCGTCAAAGTCCTCAAAATTCGACCGGTTGTCAGTCAAGCTGAGAACTTCCAAAAGCGGTACGTCCTCCCTCCCCAGACCCAGGAACGGTTTCAACATCTTCAAGGGTAACTGCAACTCGATCCTCTTCCATCTCTTCGACAACTGTATCAGCAAGCCCAATAGCTCCCCGCACAGCCGCGTCTCTGCCTCCCCATCGCTTCCAAACCAGACGAATGAGATCGAGAGCGGACAAGCTCCTGATCTTCCCAACCATGTCTCGATCACCTCCCTCTTCCGTCTGAACCGGATGGTGTTAAGCTCGGGCATGTCGGCACTGAAATTGGGCGGGACGATGTGCAGAGTGGACCACAGCGCGGGAGTGTTAAGGACGATCCGTCTCCACTCGCTACACACCCTTCCCAGTAGCACCGGTGCCTCGCTACGGTGCATTACAGCGTTCCGTGAGTCAGGGAGGCAGGCGATGAAGATGGACTGCATTAGCTCGGGTGGGAAGCGGCGGAACGGTGAGGCGAGAGCTGCGTATGGTGCTGCTGCATCCTTCAAGAACGCTTGTCGAGACTTCAACTTGGAGAGCCGACCCTCGAGTGAGGCGATTTCGCTGGCGATTTCTTGGGTTTTCGATGTTATGGCGGACGAGAAGGCCTGGATTTCGTGGAGCTCCGATGCCGTGGGGACGTAGTTGGTGTTGAGCATCCTTGCGTACTTCCTAGGGACCTCCAAGGATCTGCTACGGTCAGCTCAATTGAATAGATGGCAGAGACAGGGGCACATACAGATCCGGTAGCTCTTGCTTGAGTTTTGCCAGGTCGAGCGGTGTTGTTTTGGCCGTTGAGAAGGGGACCATGGCCGGGAATCGTAATTGTGGGTCTCTTGCCAACTGGGCGGTATTCCGGTATATATACCAAGAAGTGTGGCACAATGGGCGTTTTACCAAGTACGACCGACACTGCAATCGAACAAAATAGCCAAGACTGGACTTGTATCGTCGACTGGAAGCCCGTGCTCACCCCGTTTCAAGTGTGGCCAGCTGTTTCCTGCAGAAGGCAACCAGGTTGGTGTAGGGAGGTGATGGTGTGATAGTGAGAGAAGGAGCCTCTGTGGGTGATTCCATTTCTACCCAAGTCGCTTACCGTTCATTTACAAACTTTTTTGGAACTCAGCCGACAGAGGCAGCTCAGAGACAAACCAACGGAATGCATATGGCGCTTTCTTTATGGAGGTACAGCCTTTTTGGGCCGAAGCTGTGCTGTAATCGAAATGGAATCTCCCGATTTCAGGACCTCAAAACATACATGCCCCTTTCTCGGAAAACATTCGCTCCCTTGTCGAAAAAGTCACTTCTATACTCTCACCCCTTCACAACGCCATCCTTTTCTGTCTCTTGAAGGAAGAAGATTCAAGGGGGACCCCGAATTCAAAACGGCGACAGAATCTTCATCTTTGGCTTTTTCTCAAGGCCTGAAATTAGGCCCTTCGAGATGCTCGAAGTCGGATGCACTCTCAGGGCCACAAAGCAAAGGTGCCTTCAGCCAATTTTCGGCCACGGTTCTTTCATTATTCTTTCACCGGAAAGAACCTTTCTGGAGAAAAGAACCTATCTTTTCATTCTGGCAACATATCAAAGCGCCAACAACCAGTAGGAAACAAATGACGGCGCGCCGTGTCACTTCGTTTGTCTCTGAGAGGGCTTCGGAAGACCCTGTATAGATCACAACGCCGTACGTTATTATGACTGCACAAAACCTCAAGGAACAAGACAGGATGCACAGGCCTCACCACTGTCTTTCTGTGCACTGCATGGCGCTGCGGATGCACTATTCCCGCGAAAGCATGACGAATTCTTAGTGTGTCCTGCACCACTGCCCTGGTCTTCGGCCCTGCATACCACGGGAACACCCCAACGGTCGGAACCGCGACATCTATGGTTAGACAACTACCACGACCGTCACTTGAACCAAGCACTTATGTCCCCTTCGACCTCCGTTCCCCTCAAACGGCCTCACTACGATCCACTTATATCCCTCCGAATATTTCACAGGCGATCTGTTTCCGACGGGATACTTCGAAGATTCCGCGAGCTTCTCCAAGTGCACCAAAATACTATATCAGGGCAGGACAACCCGGGACCTGGTCCACCTTCCCAGACAAGGAAGTTCTGGAAGTTTATGCGGAGCGAGATGAAGCAAAACGATGCGTTGGGATCTTCCACGGGAGTGAAAAGTGGAGAGTGGTACAGGGAAATCGATGGATTGCGATCTGGTGTGGGCGTCCCCAAGAGCCACAAGGCTCGCGATCTTCCACCCTCAGCAGTCGGCATTCACCCCAAACCCGATCTTCACCCACCCCACTGGCGGAACGTTGGTGGATTTGGTTAGTTCTTGGGAAACGCCCCTCCCCAGGGATGTGTTGCAAAGGCCAAGTCGCAATGACGGCCCTGGATCCTGACACAACTGCACACTATCATTGGCCGCGATGCACAAGTGCGGATTGTGAGACTCGGGATACGGGAGAAGCTAGGGGAGATCTCCTCGATATCGATCTGGCGTCACTTGGTGCATCATCGTCCCGGTAGGCACAGTGACGGTGACTAACATATGAATCGGCGTTCATAGGTCTCAAGACCAGAAAAGGCGCGAGACGCTCCTCGACTTCAAGCTAGCTATTAATATAATGACTCGGACTGTGGTAACAGTCGATTCTGGACCCGTTGCTTTTTGTAAGATGCAATGTTCCTCATCTCACTTGGGCTTTTGCCCTCTCCTACACCCCTTCTAACCATTGAGATGGCACCTCTAGTTGCCCTTTTTCCAAATGTCACATAAATCGGGTTTAAGACGATGGGTATACCCGACATCAAGCAACTTCTGCGACCGTTTTACCCGCAATCGATACCACTGGGTCTTGTACGACCCGAAGTACTACTATTCCGCAGCACTCTTTCATGTACCGTTTCAAGTTTCAATAGAACGTTCGCGAAATCCGAAACAAAACACACGTATATGACTTTCCGAGTTCAGTATATGCAAACCAAGCGCCCAGGTTCAGACAACGGAAGTGGAATGCCAACGATCGTCAAGGGGCTCAACTGGAGCTCGAGGGTAGTACTTACGCAGGGTAGGAAATTACCTTTACAGCCCTTCACAACTCCCCTAATGCTTCAAGTTGCTAATGAAGATCCATAACGTCCAGACATGACAACCTTCAGTCTAGTAAAGCCAGCAACTTGATTCCCGTATCCACAGCAATACACCATTTAGCAATACAACATAATGCTAGTACACCTGTCCGTCCCGAAACAATAACTTAGAACCAAAAACATAGTCGATAACTCGAATCGAGTCGTAGAGAGCATCAAAAACACAGCATGGTAGTCTTTCTGTTGCTTGCCGTCCTTGAGCGCTAGTTGCAGTGCATTAGCTTGTCCTTGTCCTTGTTCATGTTTGCGATCTTGTTGTCGAGACTTGCTGTCCTTGAGGCTAGAAGCTTGAAGGTTGAGTTCGCACTCGCCTTCGTGTTTGACGCAAAGTCCATTCGGATAGAACGAAAGAGAATAAAATAAAGAATAATAAAAAAGGAAGCGAGAAAAACAGAAGAGAAAGCTACAGTTACAACAGAAACAACACTTCGAAAACCTTGTTGTACCCTTTACACGTTTTAACCCACATAGAACCCAACGCACGCCCGAACTCCCCAAACTACAACTGCGAGAAGGTCTGAGTCCGACTGAGTGTCCTCTTCAAACCCCTGTTCGGTTTACCTAGCCCTGGTCCCATCTGGTGCTGAGGTTGGCTAGGCTGACTCTCCTCAAGCGGTGGCGTATCCGTCCTCACGAGCGGTTGCGTGCCCGCAGGCTGCAATGGCCTGGTGGACGGACCAGCTCCAGGCGATGACGACGAAGGTGCAAAAGGTGACGAAGAGGGTCCAGGACTTGGGCTGTGGTGCAAAAGCGCGCCCCTCCTCTGCTGACTCTGCTCCTGGCTCTCGATGATACTCCTTGCTTCGGGATAGATCTCGGGGTCGTATTCCGACAAGGGAGCGGGGTATTGCTTTTCAGGTTTGAAAGCAGCCATGCCAGGCTGTTTATCCCAGTATTCGCGCGTCCACGGCTCGGGTTCCTGCTGGGATCCGAGAGCGGGTTCTTCTGCGTCGTCCATAAAGTCGTCGGGCACGTTATAGTCGTTTTGAGACTCCACGAATTCCTCCTCCTCAGCGACCTCGTCTCCCTCCACCTTGCGTCGCTTCGGTCCAGATGAAGAGTCCTCTTCAATATCCCCGAGTGACCGTTTCCGCCTCTCCATCATCTCCCTCCTCAATTGCAGTCTCCTCGCCCTCAAGACCTCTTCAGCACGTTCTCTTTCAACCCTCTCGCTCTCCATCTCCAACTCCATACGCCGCCTCACCCGGTCCAATCTCATCCACTTCTCACGCCTAGCCTCCATAACCTGAACCCTCTGCCGTTCGGAGTTGGGAGCCGCAACCAAGATGCCTCCTGCAATATATTCCCCTTCCTTCCAACGTACGATGTACGGGTAAGGTCCTCCAGGCCTCTCGTCCGCTTTTCTGAGCTCCTCGAAGTCCATAGCATGACATCGACTGTTCACCTCATCCATGGTAACCCACCCGATATCCAACAGCCGCCTCAAAACCTTTCCAGTGATGGGGTACAGTCGAGGTCGCTGTCGCAATCGATACTCATATTCCGCTATACCCTCGTATTGGTCGAACAGTTCTGCTACGGGTGGTCGAGTGGAGGGGACGTATGCGTAATCTCGGATTTTGATGTTGTGGGAGGTAAGGAGTGTGGCAAGTTGGTCAGCGTCGGGGTCGTCGATTTCTGTGGGCGCCAGGGAGGAAGCCCGCATCATGGCTTGGGACTCGGATGAAGACGAAGCGGAGGGTTGGGACGAGTCATCTTCCCGTTCTTGACTTTCTGATACCTCCTCAACAGGAGACTGGTCGAATGAATGTGACCAAGATGAGTGTGGCGAGATCGAGGAATCGTCCGAGGTTGGTGGTGATCGAGAACGCGTGTACGGTTTCGGCGAGCGGTAGGAACGTGCATGTCGTCGATGTACCAACGTGGAGGTTGGTGGTGCCAATGAAGAAGACGAGGAGAATGATGGAGAAGACGAAGAAGAGGACAGAGAAAGCAAAGATGAGCTCAGGGCCCTTTTCAAACGATTAAAGAAGCCACTCACACAAACACGGTCAGAATCCGTGGTGGAGGGCATCATCGTCACAGGGAATAAACCCCAATGACTCTGCGACCTCTTTAAGTTGGAGCTTGGGTTCTCGTGACTTCCATTCGTTTGTTGCGTCGGAGTCGATTGTTGTTCTCGCCCCATTGAGTCCGAGGGAGAGCCACCACTGCGGTTGCTTTGTTCTGAAATGTCGAGCATTTCGACGTCGCATACGTGTGTTGGTGGTTCAGATGCGGCACGGGTTGAGGGACCCGGACGTGTGTATCCGTAGATGGTGGTTGTGGTGGAGCTTGCTGGCTTCCAATGGCGGTGAACGTACGATGAGGTTGTAGCGGAAGAGGTTCCATTTGTCATCATTGAGTTGTAAACGGACAGGGTCATCTTCGAGCTGGAGCCAGTGGCGACGGTGTGACAACCCATGAAACCCTTTGGCAGTCCATGTATTGTGTCGATTGTAAGCGAACCAGCCATAGATGCTTGGAGTCGCTGATAAGTTCTTTGCTATCGGCTTGGTTGGGATTTGAATTGGAGCCTGCCGCTGGTTCTGACTTGAATCCTTCGGCTCGCTTGTGAAAACTGATCAGTGCCGTTATCGGTATAGTTAACTTCTAGCTCGTCGTTGTCGTTGTCGTCGTCGTCGCCGTTGCGCTCAGCGTCGTGAGCGCGAGTAAGTGGTTGTGGGGGACAAGCGGTAGAGTCGACGAGGGATGATAATGGATGGTCAGCGTTGGGAAGAAAGAAAGGAAGGAAACCGTCCGAATCGAACCGCCCTCTGTCCCGACGGAAAATTCCCACGGATGACAAACTGAGTCAACAAAAAAACGCGTGCCCCGGGCGCGGCGCCGACGTCCTTTCCGCTTTTGACCAAAGGTGCCCAAACAGGGAAGGTTTGCCGCGATCGGCTGAAAGGTCGCGACGCGTCGCGGAGTCGGCTGACACCCGCCATGCGCGCCCCTGTTGCTCGATTTGGGGAACAATGCATTTCGAAGACTTCGGTTTGGTCACTTGTTTGTCTTGGGTAGACACCAACAGATCTGTATGTAGTGACTCAAGATCGATCCGAGGAAGATGCAGATAAACTCGACCCCGTCACAGTGCTCACAACCCTGAAATATGAGCGAGGGGGCTTCTGACCTGGGAGCGCGACCTTCGAAGATATTCTTGCGTGGAGCTAAACGTAAGGCGATCCCTCAAATTCGTACCTCAATTTGCTCATCACATAAATTGCCGGAATCGTGCAGAAGAGTGGAGGCTAATCTACACTTCAAGTTTCCTCTAGTCAATGGCTCGACTTGCCATTCTGAAGGCCGGGTTCTTGATGCCCGCGGGGTATACCATTGACCACCAGGCTTAGCTTTGTCTGTAGTCCCCTGTGCGCGAATAGGAAGAAAAGCTGGACTTTTGCAAGACGATCAAGACGTTTGAAGTTACCAAGTGGTACATCTTGTTGACTCAACCTCGAGTCCCGACACGGCCCCGAGTACCAGCAATCATGAGCAGTCCGCCGCATCACAAACGCGGTTTCCGAGACTTGGGTTGTTCAAAGCCAACTCTTTCAGGCTTCCTCAAAGTAGTGTCAAGCAACGTCGTTTGCTATTCGCAAAGAATGATATTCAGTGTGTCGTACCGCGATAAGCGCCGAGCCCTCTTCAAATAGCCGCGGAAATCAATGCCCGACTTTTCTCACGTCAGGCCGTTACTTCTCTATCGAGTGCTTTGCGGAGGGTAGACAGCGCTCTCTCTCCCACTTTCTCTTCGCTCATAAGCCCAGACCGACAAGCAGAGCTCAGGCCCTTCTACCCACCCTCCAACATCCTCTGCAACCCTTTGAGCAAGCCGCAAATGACAACACCGGATCTACCTCCAGAGATATGGCAGGAAATCTTGTCCCATGGCTCACCTTCCGCGGTTATGAAGATGATGGGAGTCAGCCGTTTCCTTTTTGAACGTGCTCTGGACTATAAATACGAAGGGATGCGCCTCATCTCAGATGGCGAAAGAGAGATATGGAGATTTGAACAATTGAAGTACGTACGATCATCCTCCATCATCGTCTGGTGCTGAACGGTTTGAGGCAGTAAGCCCAGCATTGCAAGGCGTGTCCAGCGTCTTTACATCCGACCTACTTTTCTCCCTGCCAAACCGACCGACCCTCCTCCGGAGACTTCGACACCCGTCCGACAATACCTGGCAGATGCTCGTCGTGCTTGTCTCAAGGTTGCCAGTGGCCTCTGGAACCCAACGAGGACTGGTACAGATTTGGACAAGCCTGTCGACGCCACTTCGCGCCTCCTCGCAGCGGCTGCCAATTCCCTTCCAAACTGCTCCAACCTTACCGAGATATCACTGGTTGTGCATGATCTCGAACTCACCGACAAGTTTATATCCTTCCTACACACTCTCTGGAGTGCGATGGGAAAACAGGTCAGGCGATTCTCTCTCGCAACAACCTGCTCCAAGTTCCCAGCTCTTCTTGCAACGACGTTTCATGACGAACAACACCACGGGATCGAATCCCTCGAGTTCGTCATTGCCAACTCCCGATTCTCGGGTTCTTCAGAGTCGCAAGAAGCTGGTGAAAGCAGACGACCATCTGTTGAAGAAAAGAAAGCATCCACAGCAATGTCCCAATTCATTTCACTCTCACATCGCACCCTCACACACCTCTCGATCTCGACGGTTCAAGAATTCGACCTGTCCCAACTCTTCTCCACGCTCGCCCTCACCCCCTTTCCTCGCCTCTCCAAATTCGAGCTGCACTGTCACTTGAATACCACGATGCCCTCAAACTCACAGACTCTTGTCGATCTCCTTGACGCCAATAAGCAATCACTCGAACATCTATGCCTTTACCCTCGAACCGGGTTTGGGGCCTATTACCCAGTCGCAAGCTCCTTGGACAGTTGGCTGAACAAAGAGTTCACACAACTCACCCTTCCCAAGCTGCACACGCTGGAGGTCGGGCTACGACCAATGTTCGACTGGACCACCCAGTCGCCTATCACACTCCCCAAACTCGTCCCTGCAATTACCCCTCAGCTACAAGCCCTGGTCATCAAAAGCGAAGGAGGTTTCGGCGCCCCGGAAGTTCGAAACGTGCTCGAGATGACGGAGGGGAAGTTGGAAAGGCTCGAGATTTACGTCCACAAGTTTACACTTGCGATATTGGATTCGTTGGCCAACGAGTTGACGCCGAAGCTTCAGTCGCTCACCGTGGCATATGACAAGGCCGCAGGGTGTCGATATGAACTTGAAGAAAGAGCGACCCTGCGGTACCCCAAGTGGCCACTGAAACAGCTCAGAGTGGGGTATAAGAAGTCGTGTGGGATGATTCATCCTGACCCTGAGATGGCAGAGGCAATCGCGCAGGCCGTCCCGGGGCCCGTAGAAGTAGACGTTGAATACATCTGTCCCTGTTAGAGTGTGAATAGCAGCTTCAAAGAGTGAGACGAGGAGTTGTGGATAATCCATGCTAAGTCATTATTATGGTGACAGTAACGCTAAGTAGGTACACAGACAGACAGACATAATTGATACAGAGAGATACATATCATGATCAGTCAGAGTCCAAATGGGATGCATATAAACAGTACAAATGAGTCAATCAGGATGGAAGAGAGAGAGAGAGAGTCCAAATGAGAAACATGCGTAGAGGTCCGAATCGGTCATCACCGAACCATTCACATCCGACCAGCCACGGCCACTGTCGAGACATCGGGACCACCCATTGCTACGGAGGGGCCATGGCCGCTCTTGGTATCGCTAATATCCAACCGCTGGAGGGCCGACTGCACTACCTTGCCAACACATTCCAAGTTCGGGACCGCATGAGTAGGAATGTCCTGATTCACTTTGGGATCTGTGCTGTTTTCTTTGGAATAGGGCGGAGGGGATGAATCCAAGGGCGAGGAATGGTTGCTTGGGGTGTGTGAAGACTCTTGGGAGCTCGCAGAGACCGACCACGAGAAGGTAGTGGGGGCGTTGGGGTGGCCTAAACAGGATTCAAAGTCAGGCGCTGTGGCTCGCGACGACGTGATTGAAGTATCCACCTCCTGAGACGGGGCTGTTCTGCATAGGAGTCGCGGTACCCGTCTGGCACTGGAGGCCCTGCATCCCTTGCGCACCGACTTGGCTACTGTTCAAGATTTGAGGGTGCTGGTGTGCATATTGGATTGCGGCTGGCGCCCCAGCCATGAACGGGGGGTTGAAAAAGCCGTTAGGTACCCCGGGATGCATGGCCATCACACCCGGGTGGACAAACCCGTTAGCTGCTGGCATGCCTCCCATGAACGCGGGCGTCCCTTCATTGCTCTGCTTCATTTGGGCTAAAGCCTGGACTAAACGCAACGAGTCAGTATACTGGGTAGTGGAAGCGCCCTCAGATGCGTTCAGATATGCAAATAATACATACTCAATTCATCGGGAGACATCTTGCCAGCTGCTGTCAGACTAATCAGCCCTTCGGCCCATTTTTCGTTCACTTTCGCTGTGGCCTGTGTCTGGATGGCCGCCAGTTTGGCTTGCTCTTTTGCCTGGATGGACCCCAGCGACTCTGCGTAGTGGCTTCCGCCAGTAACCTTGGCGTTACCTCTGATATGGGAATGATGCAGGGTAATGCCACCTGTTGAAGTCGGGGGCATGGTCGACGGATCGAAACCGGGGCCAAGGTAGTCGAGGCCATAGACTTCGGCTGTCTGTTCGATGACACTGTCATGGAGGTGGAGCCGGTCATCTTTGTTCTTGGGCGCAGCGTCGGCTTGGGTTGGCTGTTCATTGACAGATACGCCAGGTTGAGTTTGTTCGTGAAGGTTGTTGGACTCGGACATGACGTCTGGAATAATGTGGATAATCTGGTTCAACACGCCTCGAGTTAGGGTGGGGTCATCAGCGAGGATAGGGGAAAGAGAATTCACCTCCGGAGGTAGTGGCCTGATGCTCGATGAGGAGATTGCTGGTGAGAGGATATCTGAAGTTTGCTGCTTTTCCAACGATTTCCCCACCTGCTTTTATGCCCCAACCCTATGCGAGTATTCACCGTTCATTTACCCCGAAATGCTACCTTCAAACAGCTGGAGGGCCCACAGAGAGTCATTGCATCGCCATCCGAAACAAGGCAGACAATAGTCATGTCAGGCGAGAACCAGGAAGAGAACAACGTCGTGCACACAAAGTCTACGATCGGCGTGAGGGCGCAGTGTTCGTTACTATGTAGTTGACATTGACTGCACAGGGCTGGAAACTGTGACAGACACGATGGGTGGAAAGACAAAGTGATGACGAGATGTGTGGGTCCACTCTGACGGGAGGGCATCGATTCGGGAAGCAAAAGCAATCACCAGACTATCTCTTCCATTACAACCCGTATAGCATTGACCGAAGACCATAGTTATTCAGTAATTAAACCTGACTCGGGGTTTGGGCATCTTTTTCTGCAAGACTGGGACGAATGGGGGCTCACCGGTATCAGTGAGATCCACCACTGTAGCAGCATCTTCCTTCCGCATTCATTCCCCCATACAGGCCTTGATCGACTCGTTATATCTGCACTAGAGGCAGATATGAGTCCTGAAGAAACGCTCTCGCATGTTCGATCGTTCATCTGATATGCGCTGGAAACGAAATAAGCGCCCAGACACTGCCCCTATTCTTAGGGTGGGCTCAAGCGATCATGATGGAATTTCCCCGGTCACATTGGCGAAGTCGGTTTACCTGGAATGACAAGCAATACAGTTACACTTGTGTCGTCCTTTTTAGGGTTCCTTCGATGATATAGAGTCGACACTGTTGTCAAGGGTCAGAGGGTACACACACTAGACCTGTGCTTTATGTCACAACTATTCACTGCCTTACTCTCGTCCGTCGACCTTCTCCTTCTGTTCATCTTCCGTCTCCCTCTTTCCTAATTTCTCCAGCACCTTCCCATGAGCCTCCTCACTCAAATGGGGTTTCCAATTCACCGAATTCCAGGGCTTGACATTCGATCTGTAGAGCTCATCGACCTAGATGATTTGAATTCGACGTGAGAAGACAGTCCAAAGCAAATTCGGGCGACAAACACACCTCTTCAAGTGTCAGTCCCTTTGTCTCAGGAATGAAGAGGTAGACATAGACATATCCGAAGATAAGCATGCCGCAGAAGATCAGTAAGATGAGTGGGCCAATCCTTCACGGGCGCGTCAGTTCTCGCACTTGGAAACAGCGAAATGACAAGGGACAGACTTTTCCGCGATCCTTGGTGCAAAGAATGACAGCAGGAAATTCCAGAACCTAAAATAATGTATGTAAGCCCGTAGATTTAAACCAAACACTAGGAAATGAAACCTCACCAGTTCGTGGCACTTCCCAGTGCAATGCCCTTTGGTCGTACACGGAGAGGGAAGGACTCGCCGAGGTAGACCCATCTATGAGGAATTCTATCAGTACCACAACTGTGTACAGAGATATTAAACTTTGTACTCACGGTGTGGGTCCCCAGAACATTGCAAATGCAAAGACGTGAAGGACAGCAAACGCGATCAGTGTGTCTCCTGTGTTTCAATTCAATTACGTACCCGTCTCCCCAAGAACAAAGTAGAACGCACCTCCTTGGATGTTACGCTTGGTGAGCTCCTCAATAGGCGTCCCTTCGGGTGCAAGCGTGAAATGTCCCACAAGCCCAGCCTGGGGAAAGGAGAAGAGTGAGGAAAACGGAAGATTTGCGATGGGTATGTCCACTTACGATGATCGAGCATCCAGCTTGAAGCAGAGCTCCAGTTAACAGCAGGCGTCGACGACCCCACGTCTCGATGAACCTCTGCAATATCGCACGTTAGCATCTCGGTTGCACGTAAGGGAGAATAACGATCACTCACCAACGCAGGGACAGTCCCAACCACGGACACTGCTCCCAAAATGACCTGAATGACATATGGCGAAAGTCTCGTTCCAGCACTCTGGAAGAACGTATCACCATAGTAGTCTAACGCCCGATGAATCCTGATCAGCGGGGACATCAAGTAAGTCGAGCAATTCACTTACAATAGAAGTTTTGCCCATTCAATTGTTGCACGAACTGCAACATCATCCCGTTCATCGTTCTCTTCCATAGCGTATTCCTCTTGCTGAAGCATTCCATCCATGTTGCTTCTCCGCCTTCGTTTTCAGCGTGGATGGCATATTCAAGCTCGCCCAAGAGTTCGTCGACAAGTGGAGAGGGTTTTTCGGGAGTGTCTGAGAGTCCGTTCAGAAGGGCGACGACCTTGCGAGCTTCCTCGCGGCGATTGGTACCCAACAGGTGTCGGCTGCGGTTGTCGAAAGGTTAGGACAGGTGGATGATGGTCTGCGATGACTTACGGAGATTCGGGAAGGAAGAAGATACCGGAAAGCATCACGAGGCCCCAAGCCAACTGAAGTCCAATGGGTATTCTCCATGAAGCAGAATTGGGGATATGGTGCGTTGCCAAGTCGAATACATAGCTCAAGAACAAGCTACACTCGAGATCAGCCTGGAACCTCTTGAAGCAAGCAAATCACCTACCCAAAGATGATCTGCAGCTGATACAAAACCAAGAGCGTTCCTCTCAAAGCCTTTGGTGCTGTCTCACCCGTGTACAGCCTGCGGAAGTGCCCAAGTTTAGCACCCAATCAATTCCGACGACCTGAAGCACTCACGGGACAATTCCAGAAAGCGCGCCCACTCCTAGTCCTGCGACAAACCGCCCGATCGTGATTTGCGCGACGGAGTACTCAGTAGCTGTCTGGATAATAACACCAATGGTGAAAATTCCAGACCACGAAAGGATCGATGCACGACGTCCAAAGCGATCAGATGTGAACGCCTGTGCAATGGCGCCGCTGGTGACGATTCCGGAAAGGAAAAGTGAGAACCGAAGGCTTTGAGTTGCCAGACGGGCAGGTGCTTACACAAAGGTCCTAGAATGGATATGAGAGAGAAGGACCAGAGCCGTTGGAGCATTGACTTTACCCGGCAGATAGAAGCGAAGTAATGATCGACGTTCGAGAACTGGAGAGGAAGTATGTTCCGTCGTCTGCCTGCTCTCCGAACCTTCTTATGAAGTCCGGCATGATCAAACATCCCTAGTACACACATAAGCCTTAGACTAACATCAAGGACCAAGTGGTAAATGCTCACTGAGATGACACCGATATCATATCCAAAGAGGAAACCTGAAGTCGTGCAAAGCATTAATGACGGCCAACGAGATTCGAAGACTGGCAACGACTCACCTCCGAATGCAATGAAGATGGCCAACAGGATGGCATATCGGTTAGTCGGTTTGGCGATCTCCTCAGCCATGACTTCTTTTCTCCCAGTAAGAAGTGAGGGGAAGAAGGAAGAGGAAGCTGGCCAAAAGCTGGGTGCATTTGTTCGTTATGAGGGCAGCAACGCGTCCCACCCAGCGCCTCAGAACCACAATGAACAGGGTGGTTCTTTGGAGCGTGACAGACCCAGATGACCACGATACTCGGCCTATAGAAGTCGTTCGGGTGCAAAGATGTGGAGAGAAGCCAACGTAGGAGAGTTGCCGGGCTTCCCTGAGGCAAGGTTAACGTCAAAGAAGTTGTAAACGAGGCTCCTCCGTCATGTCGGCCGCGTTGATAGGTCCCAAGAAGCCCATTTGTTTTGATAAAGATAAACTTATGTCCGTGTTGTTGGCGGAAAAGCGAGCCGCCCTGAACTAGGTTCGGGGAAATGGGTGTCTCGATGCTTCGTTTGTGAATATTCGACCCTGCTAGTGGGGAACTGGCAGATATCTGCCCTTCAAGTCGGTGGCTGGTCGTGTGGTCTGAAGGCGGCAGTAAGCCACGTTCCAGCTGCCAGCAAGTTTCAGAGGCATGTAGGCAACATATGGGTCAAAAGCAGAGCCAAAGAGAAATGATGGGGTCCCACTGCGAACATGCGTCATGACTGTCTTTCGGGGAAAGGTTCAGCATCAGCTGGCAAGCGCGTCCAGGAAAACAAATGGCAGCACATCTTGGCAAGTATAGTACCTTCAAGGTCTGGTCGTCCGTTGGCGATATTGTATAAACCTACAGGAGATCTCGGTCAGTTTGGACCGTTCAACAACACAAATTAAACGTCAAGAGTTCAATCGCTCCCAGGGGCGAAGCCAGCACCCACCATTGCCAGGGAATGTCGACATTGCCGTGGGCGATCCGAAAAGGTTGACATTACCAAGATTCAGGCGGCTCTGTGGGACGAATCCTTCCATCGTCGAGGTTGCTAATGACAGTTCAGTAGGGAAAAGATAGTGCCCTTGTCCTGCACGCGAGTGCATCCAAGTGATTCGTGCTAGACTCCTCTGTTGGTTGGCAGCGGGTGTCAGGATAAATATTTTAACCAAACCTCAAGTCGACATACCTTGGCGATGAAACGGTTCTGCACCAGTGCAAAGAGTTACCGCTCTTCCAGCACCAGTTCCTCCTCAGGGTCGCAAAATGAGGTTGGAATATTGGGGTCGCAACTGAACTGTCCCAAACTTCCAAGTTGTGTGATAAAAAATCTGATTCGTCCTGTGATGGTAGACCTAACACTTTGGCATTCTTCGGCGTCCTTCCGTGCGGATGCTGCCGACGACGACTGACGACGACCGTGTCGACGGTGTCGTTGAAAAGCTGGAAGAAACTTCAAGAAAGTGGACTCGGAAGGGCCGGCAACCCACTGGTTGAAGCGGAGATTGATTTCGTGAAGGCTTTGCCTCCGAGTCTAGTCTAATCTTGTACTATAGTAGTAAACTCTAACCAGATTCAAATCGTATCCTGATCAGCCACAAGCCGAGGTTCTACCGACTGCGTATCTGCGACTTGACTGGAAACGCCAACCTGACGAACAAGCCGTGCCAGTTGCTCCAACAGTGTACTCCTTGTGTGCTCCACGAGCGTAATCTACATCACTGAGATCCACAGAACCGTGACTTCGACCTTCGACTTGCGAGGACTGCTTTTGGCTCGATAAACTGCACCTTGCGGCGATGTCAACTCAACCCCTGCCCCTAACTCGCGTTTCCAAATTGACCCTGACGTTCCTTGTCGACAACACCATCGAATGGATGACCAAACTCCCGCCAGGCTTCACTCACGAAATCGTTCATCACATCCACGACTCGCCTCTCGATGAGGAGAAAGGGGTTCCGCTCCTGAACTTTGACGACTTTTGCTGCGGGGCCCATGGTTTTGCTGTCTTGCTCGAGACTGAGGTCGATGGTGAAGAACACCGGGAAGGAGCTGAGGAGGCAAAGATGAAGAAACACCTAACGCTTTTCGACACAGGTCCCGACTCGCTCTCCCTTGTTCGCAATATCCGGGGGCTACAAGTTCCCATTACCGAAATAGAGCGGGTCGTAACCTCGCACTGGCACTCGGACCATACCGGCGGGTTACTTTCCTTCCTGAAACTTCGAAACGAATGCGTAGAGAACAACGTCACTACGCCCCCGAGGAACTCTGCAGATCCAAAGTCGTTCTCGGGCCAGCCTGCGCTATCAAGTCCTGTACCACCCGTGATTGTTGACGTCCATCCTTCCCGACCGATTCAGCGAGGTATCGCACCTCCACCCTCTCATAACGTCATTTGCGCTATCCCGGCGGACCCGTCTTTCGAGGAGATCGTCGGCCTTGGAGCCACCTTGGAAAAACACAAGGACGGTCATACAGTTGCCGGAGGGACGGTGTATATTAGTGGAGAGATCCCTAGACTGACGGACTTTGAGGGCGGATTGCTGGGGGGTGTGAGATGGGTTGTTGATGAAGAGGACAACAGTGTCGAGGGTGGGAAGGCGAAGGGAAAATGGGTCTCGGAGCCTCACTTGATGGATGAACGCTACGCTGCAGTGGATGTTGAGGGCAAGGGCCTGGTCGTGTTTAGCTCGTAAGTACACAGAGCTCGACTTCATGATCCTATCCTAACTTGATTTTCCAGGTGCTCTCATGCAGGAATCATCAACGTCGTGAAAGATGCTGTTAAAACTTTCAATCGGCCTATTTATATGGTAAGCTATTTTCCTATTGCTGTCCTACTCATACTGAGTTTATCTATTTCAGATTGTGGGTGGCTTGCACCTGGCCTCAGCAGACCTCCATCCCCGAATCGAACCCACCGTCGAATTCTTATCCAATTCACTCCGCCCATCTCCAACCTATATTCTACCCATGCATTGTACCGGTTGGAAGGCAAAGGTAGCACTAGAAAAGGAGCTTGGGGAGGGAGTCGTCCCTGCTGGGGTTGGGCATAAAGTAGAGATTGTTGGATCGAAGGAAGAGGGAGGTAGAGAGAGGTTGTGGGTTCAGATTGTAGAGAGCTTGAAATGACTACCGCAATCAGAATATCGTGCCTATGGAGCCTTAGCACCCTCGCCCGCCACGTCCCGCTTGTGAAATTGAACAAAGCGCTCAAGATATTCTTTGATTAGAATCCGAGCGAGAGGCGGGGCTCCTGCCTGTCAATAGGGGCCAAAATTCCCCTTTCGTGATTGGAGCAAATAAACGCAAAGTCATGGTTACAGCCCGAAGCAGCGGGAATCGCACCTTTCTCCCCGATTCACCCACATAATTCAAATCCATCCATTTTTCTCACAAACTACGCTTCCAAAGTCAATTTGACATGTACTCTAAACGAAAACGACACACAGACCACCCCCGCGAACCTAATTACGACCCCCGTCGCGTTCAAGAGGACTACGAGCGTACCCAAGCTGACCATGCTCGCGCTCTGGCGAAATTCCAGCTTCAGGCGTACGAGGCGGACGTTGTGACAGGCCCTGTCGCGAAAGGCAGAGCCAGGATGTTGGAGTACGTGGAAGGAGTTGGACCAGGGAAGGGATTGATCGCCTGCGCTCCAGGCGATGAAGAGGGTTCTGGCTCCGGTGCACAGAGCGATGCAGGATGGGGCGGATTCGATGGCGGAGAAGACGTTATCTCGTTGGGGAGCTCTGCGGTGACCTCAAAGTCGTCCACCGCACCGAACAGGGTCACTGGGGAATCCGGGGTAGGAAAAACAGTTTGGGTTGACCGGTAGGTTTCCATCTTGTATTCGGAAAGATTCTACCAGGCGCTATGTGCCAATGCCACGGCTGTGGGGAGTCACGGTCATGATTGTACCCGACGCAAGGAAGTTCTGCTGATACAGGTAAACCTCAAGGACTCAGTGCAAGTCCACCTCAATTGGTTCGCCTCTTGTCCCTATTACAATCCTCAGCTAACTGATCGCTTCTTTCCAGATACGACGCTCGGTTACTTCTCGACTCGTTCGCCTCGAGATCCCTGGGCCATGATGGGAGACATGCCAGCTCTCGGTCCACAGAAGCGTTGGACGAAGACTCGGATTCTGGCTGGTCAGATCTCCCAGATGTGGAGGAGGTCGCAGAAACATTCCTTCTATCTCCTGACGAAGCACTGGAACTCCATCGTCAGAAACGTCGCAAGCTTATGGATGAAGCTTGGGAGCGGAGGATCCGGGAACGAGAAGAGGAGGATGCAGAGGACGAAGCCTCTGAAGCAGCAGCGGCAGCGGCCCTACTAGACGAAGAGGTGCCCATTTACTATCTTTCCCCCGGGACCACACTGACGATCTTGTAGCCCATACCAGAAATGCTTACCCTAATGCAACGCACCGCATCGCACCTGGCCTCGGCCTCCAACCCTGCTCAGCTCGAGATGCGAATATTGGCCAACCACGGCAACGACGAGAGATTCTCATTCATGCGGGAAGGCGGCAGGAGTAGAAACGTCTGGTTGAGAATCAAGGCGGAGGCGGTGGAAAAGGTCAAGAAGGCGAAAGAGGCTGAGGAGAAGGAGAAGCAGAAGAAACGGGGGCTAGGCATGGGGGTGTTGGCTGGGTATGATAGTGAGGATGAGAGTGGAAGTGAGGGAGAGGAGGCGCCTCCGCCACCTCCGCCCCCGCCTGAGGACGAAGCTCCAGCACCTCCACCGCCCCCACCACCTGCCAATGTACCGGACAAAGAGGCTCTCAAGGCTGCGCGTCGTGAGAAAGCGCGCCAGTGGCTTGAAGAGAGGAAAAAATCTGGTACAAATTCATGAGGAGGATGTAGGTACCCTAATATTCAATGTTTTTCATTTATGTACACTTTGAAGCAACTTGGAAATTGGCAAATGATAATCCTTCCGAGAACAAAGACATTGGTGGAACAATGCGGATCTTTGTCCCTTGTTTTCCAACTCAGCGAGGCTTGACGTCGAGCGTAGGGCGGGCTCGCATTTCCTAAATAGGCTCGGGGCAATCCCGGTATGGAAACCCGCCCATCCGGACAGCAGGTGAGGTTTAGAAACTCGGGGTGGTGGGCGAGCCAATGTGCTTGGGGATTGTCGTTTTGAAGGATCGCTAGAGATGGAGGTTAATATGAGAGGTTTCTTCCGAATCCTCTGTCCGGCGGAACAGTCGGGAACAGTGCGGCCGAGCGAATGAATGGTGACGGCGAGGTGTGTTAGAAGCATGCGAATTATGAATTACACTATAAAGGTACAACATTGGCGTGCAGATTATATACAAGAAAAGTCCGTGGGCTTGAGTCCTTGAAGTGGAAATGACTGTGATCTCCCAAAAGCAAGTGGGAAGGAAAAGAGTGGATGTGGATCATCAATGGATTGGACGCCCGCGCCGCGTGTTCCTGGAAAAACGTCAGAAAAGCGACGCCAACGATGCAAACCCATTTGACTTACAGTCAAAAGCCTTGTTGCTACGTCCTCTGTCCATTCATGAGCATCGCCATCCTATACTCGTGTTCCATCCTGAGCTGTTCAAGTTCGCGACGATGGCGAGCCTCCATCGCGTCCAGAGTTTCCTCGATGCAGTGACCGCCAGTGACCCTAGCATTGCCGGATATCTTCGCCTTTCCGCTGAGGCGCACGGTGCCCTCAGCCATCGTGATGGCCGTGGGGTCGTGGCCAGTACCGACGTGTGTTCCAGCTGTGACCGCAGCAGTGTCTGCGATTTGGGCCTGGTCAAGGACGATAACCCCATCTGGCCTTATAGCCTGCACATCGGCCTTCTGAAGCTGGTTCTGCGTAACGGCTGCTGGGGCGACTACTTGGAGTTCTGTAACGGTTTCTGAAACTGCCGTCTGGCGTTCTGTAACGGTTGTCGAGGCTACTGCCAGTGTCTGGCGCTCTGCGAGGACTTGTGACACGGCCAGCTTCTGCTCTGTTGCTGGTTCTGGGACAACAGCCTGGCTTTGGACCATGGGCTGAGCAGTGTGACTCTCCACGATGGTCATCTGGCAAGCTCTGGTCGTGCAGTCGAACACGGAGTGGAAGAACCTGAACAAGGCGGCCATGATGGTGTTGGAAGGATTAGATAGTACGAGAGAGGACTGGGTGTAGTGTAGGGCGAGTAGTTGAGTGGGTGAATTTGTGGTGAATCCTGCTGGATTTACTTCCGGTTTTATAGAGTCATCAGGACCTGTACGGCGTTTAGTTGACGATAACGGTACATGGTGCATGTACTTACCTTGGAAAGAGAAGCTGTACCCAACGACGCCCACAAGGCAACCGCCGACCTCGAGCAAAAACAAAAGAAGTCAAAGTTGACTGGAACCAGGGAACACATTGTTGCTTTGGGCGACAATAAAAGTGACATATAGGGAAATAACGTGTTGAAACAGGAGGGGGAAGGAAACAAGAAAAACAAGAAGCGGTGCGTCCTTCCTGTCAACAGCGCGGTTTTCCTTCCCGGGGTCTGTTAGATCTCAGCCCACGGAATTCTCGTGAGCAACTTGCGACGTCAGTCCACTCAGAAGGAAGGAAACATTCCTTCGGTCAGTTTTCAGCTCTTACTCGCGATATTTCACCAGTCGACCGTCGAGGAAAATGGGCTCTTTGCTGCCAGTATGCAGTATTATCAATCTACGAGCCATGTCTCTTCCCGGTTCTCTGTTCAAGATGCCCACAAGGATACCAGCTGGTAGTCAAGTGAGGTAAGTAATTCCGATTATCACGAATCCATTCATTCATTGAATTCGTTGTTGACAATTCTCCAGAGCTAGACGCACGAACGAGTCCAAATCCAGAGTCTAAAGAAGGGCCCTCAGGCAGGCTTCATCAAGCTATACACTGCTGCGTGTGGGTCCAACCTATCATGAAATCTGTCAAGACAGGTCATCGAACGCCGTCCGTCATTGCCTCATCGATATCGCTATTCAATTGACTCGTTCTCGGCTCTACAGTCGTATGTGACACTTCAATTCCAGATTCCCCAGACAGAAAAAATAGGCAAGCTCCCTCCACTTGAACAATTAGACGACGACATGCAGGCTAGTGCACCAGGGTTGAAGACCCCCGGAATGAGGTGTGGAATCATAAAACGGGGTCTTAACACTCTTTTCTTCCCTAGAGGGAGGGTTCAGAGTCCAGCGATTATAACCAGTCACGTCCGGAAGAACCTAGCGGCTGGGAAGGCCAAAAGCTGCTCGAATGGGAATCGATATCCTTCGGAGAGCCAAGTTCGGATGGAGTTCGCGAGGTCGACAAAAAATCTTTTCAGTGTCAACTGTGCTGTCCCCGAGTCATCTGCGGTGCCGTCAGTAGTGGTTCGTCTGGACGGTACAGGAGGGAGCACTAGCAAAAGCGGGCTGCAAGCCCGTATGTTCGACTGCTCATCCAGGACCGGCCGTGCATTCAAAGTACAACCATCGACTCCTCTGCGCATGCATGCATTCTGAAGCTTACCGCCCTCGTTGTACGCTCGGTCTGGCCAGCATACAGCCGGTCTCATTGCATATTCACCATATATGGTTTACCTCCTTCCAGGCAGTGTCGCTGGGGGACGTACTGCGTTATCAACACAACCTATCCTGATTCCAGACTCTGCAGGACATGTCGTTTCCAGGTCATAAACTGTGTCCTTGTATTCCATAGCTTCGACGATCGTCTTCCGAGTCCCCGAACTCGATGATGATGGAACCCTCACCCACAACGCTGACCCGTGCAGCCCGGTCAAATTATTCTTCCCCTTTCCCCTATGCCCTACCCTCCTGTTGTTCTACAAGACGAATACACGACTATGTGGAAAGTAATATACGTGGGAGGACGGTATTCAGAAGGTGCGGGCGTTCGACCATCTGGGCCAGATCATGATTTAAATAAGCGCCCATCATCCCCACACGCACGCGGAACAGCACCCGTTGAGGTTCTTTCCATCCACCTCCCGAGAGGCTTCCGAAGTGTCAGGCTCAATCCAGGTAATTGACGAGGTAGGAAATGAAAAGAGGGAAATTGCCACTGGGACCAGCCTGAGAACCCATTGCAGTTAAATTAAATATCAGAGAACTTGAGCGCGGGCACAAGGGTAAGCTACTATCGGAGGCCGTGGGTGCACAGGTACCCACATCCCACATCCTCGTGTTTGGCTTATTCTTGATTAACACGAAGAAGATAGGTAAATTGGCAACGTACTTGGAAGAGTGTCAGATGCCGGAGGTTCTGAACACGCAGAGCTACTACTGCGACAACGACAGCAGGCCCCATACCAGGGATCCATAACTCTGAAGGACCTGCGTGTCAAGCCGAATGCCAATCACACCAGCGACACCCGTAATGGGCACCGCCGCGAGTTAAACACACATAAGACTTGTATGGTATAAAGTGGGAGGAAAGTAGTTTACAAAAGCCATACGAGACAGTAGGTCCCTGCCAGAACGAGCACGAACAGGCATGTCGACATAACGATCAGCATAAGGGAATATTAAGAAATAAGAAATAAGAATAAGAAGGAAAAATAGGCACATAATAAACGAGAACGGAAGGAACAGCAAACATAAAGAGCACACGATATGGAGGGGGATCTGTAGTAATCACTTCGACCCAATCTTCAATTTCTTGAATTGCAACATGTGGGAGCTGCGCTTGCGCTTCGCAGGTTTCTTCAGAACTTGCGCTATGGTCTCGTCGGAAGTGGACCCCGAATCCACTGGAGAAGAGCTCTCTTCCTCTGAGAAGACCTCCAACGTTTCCTTCGGCTTGGGCTGAAGTAATTCATCCAGCTGCGGAAGGAGCGCCACACGTTCAGCGACCGTAGCCGACAGTTTGACGCTCGAGAAGAACGAGACGATTGCAGGCAGGGCTCCTTCGATTTGGAGAAGCTTGGCACAGAGGGCTGAACACGAGGAGCTGGTGCACTGTATCATTGAGGATTCAAAGTTAGCACAAGGTCAACTGGACATAGCATAACTCACCAAGCTGTGATGCACAGCCTTTCGAGTATCGAGGAGGCCCTGAAGAGCGAAAGAAGGTCGGAAAGGATCGTACAGCCGTGGAGGGTGGACGAAGGTATGGTGCACAATCAGAGTCGGGTCGAAGGATTTCAGGGCAGGTGGGAGGGAGGCCAGAGGTCGAGACGAAGGCCTGACAGTATAATCCGAGCTATTGTTCTCTGCGGTATGGCGCCTGCGCTTCCGAGTCTTTCCCGGAGGGGGCGGGGGAGGCAACGCCCGCTGTGTGTACACCTCCCAGAATTCCCGTGAGTATGCGACCAAGGATGAATTGCGAACCTTATCACCACGTCCCCACTCCTCCAGATGATGCACGCAGCGCTCGGCGAGGTACGTGTTTGTCCTCTTTCGAGATTGGTATAGATCTCCGCAGCGAGCAGGTGTTGATAGATAATCCTCGAGGCTTTTGTGATAGAATCGAGGGATAGGAGGCGCATTGCAGCCTGATGGTTGGTCTGGAACATTGACAAGGGAGTGCAGGTCGCACAAAGCGGCATCTGCCGCACCCTGTCGTAAACCAAGGAAGTCGTGAAGCGTGAAAGACTCATTTCGGGGGCTTGAAGTCGGCGCTTCAGCGACCATGATAACGTGCAAGAGACGTTTGGTGAGCGCAGTTGGATTCGAAGCCTGAAGGATCGCTGTGTACAGATTGTCGACGAATTCGAAGGGGTTCTCTTTGTTGGAATGGATGGCTGGATGATAGAGAATTCTTCGAAGCGACTCGACGGGATCGTTGTCCGATTTGGCGACGTACTTGATGACCGTGGAGGCGATGATGAACTGGGAGGATGACTTGAAGACCAAGTACTCGAGATCTTTCGCTGGTGGCCACCGTCGGGGAATGGAACTCCGCCAAGGGTGTGTCGCGCGAATTCCTGCAAATCCGACCTGTAGGTATTCGCCAATGTCGGGAGTGCCATCGTAATCGCCCAATCGTATCGTACGGGTGAGGGGCTTCAACGGCTCCCCCTCAAACGCCACCCGTATGTCACGTTCAGGTCGAGTTGAAATGATAACGCGAAACGGGATACGTTTGTCGGTTATGAGGACGGGAAGGATCGTGAGGAGGTTCTCTCGATCCTCCAAATGACACTGGTCAAAGCCATCGATGAGTAACACAATCGGAGAACGTAATTCGTCCGGAAACTGTTGCGCTAGATGCCGCAAGGGCCCCAAGAGTAGTCGCTGTACTTGAACCTTCGGGGATTTGGAGAAGATTCCGGGGGTGCAAGAGAGGGCTTGAGTGACGAAAGGTCTCACCGCCGGGACCAATTCCATGACCTGGTACACAAGTGTTGCGACCACCGGACGCCCTTCATCCAGCCCGCGCGACGAGAAGAAGTAGGAACCTCCGAGCGCGTTCTTTTCGTGAAGGCGATCTGCCACTTCTCGCTGGATGCAGGTCTTTCCCGCTCCGGCGGGACCATGGAAGTACAGCATACGCTTCGAATAGGGGTTGACGGCCCACTTCAGGACATCGGTGATAACCTCGTCGCGTGTTCCTGCTATACACTTGGGCTCGCGTGCAGCGCTCGCAGACTCGTGTGTTGCCTCCAACTTGCAGGAATCGAGAAGGTTGGTAAGAGGGTCTTGAACGACTGTCAAACCAGCATACAACGTCCAAATGTCGTTAGAAGGAAAGATCCGCCGGCCATCGATTGAGAACACACCACTGGTATGATTGTGGAGAACGTTCTTGCGATAGTTGACTTGGACGCTTCCGCGACTGAGGACGTTGATTTCTGAGTCGGTGACGCTGCACTGCGAGGCTCCTTTGAATGCCATCGCCGGAGGTGGTGGAGGTTGTGACGATATCGACGATGAGAGACGAGGCTCTTTTGTATCTGAATCATGGACATCAGGTACAACCAGCCGACGATATCGTCATACGAAAAGAGTCGCGGCTGAAAGTTCCATTAATCCCCGGGGCCAACGCGTGGGCTATAGCCTATAATGACGAAACTGCAAGTTTAGCAGAAGAGACCCAAACTACCATGACATCCACACGTGCTTGGGGAGGATAAAGACGAGAGTCCCTTAATTGGGGCCCCGTGTTTCATGTTCTCCAGATCTCGAGCTCAAAGATGCCTAAACTAGACCCGCTACACGTTCCTCAGGCCTGTTTTCCCTCCAATTGAGATAATGAAGTCGCATGTCGTTGTTTGAACTGGAAGATTCCTGGAATCTGGGCTACTGGCGACGGCGTCATAAGGAGATCCCTCGTCTGAAGCAAAAAAGCTGACCCTGAATTGAGTCTTTCATCGACAAGAACACGAAGGAATCACCTACGAGAGCGCATTGAAAAAGGGCGAAATCCATGAAACGCCGTCGTCGCCGTGGTGGTAATTGGCCAACACAATGTGTAACTGTCGGCGTGAAGCCGAAAATTGGATCTCAGCCATCAGCAGTAGATAATTCCCGGGCCGTGAATTCAAGCTCTAAGTACATGTTGAACACTCATCGAATAGCCATGGATCGTTGCCTAAAGCCAGACAAAGCCCGCATATCATATTACAATAAACACCATTAGTATGTATACCTATTGCATCGGAACAATACTTAGACGCTTCCAATTGCAATTTTACAGGCTCGGACGTCCTGTGGGCGCTTTTGTGAGCGCCTGTTGAAATGCGCCAGTTGGCGAAGCTTTACATTATTGCTTTGTCTAGAGGCTCGGATATATACCCACGGGGAAGTCAGTTCAAGGATCGTATGACTTCCAGCGAGGTTCTGAGTCAGGCGGAAGCCAACAATCCCAATTCTCGCTGGAAGGTCAGGCTCCCCCAAGTCGCCATACGACGGACGGCCTTGACTCGACTGTACACAGGACCACAGATACCAGAGCACCAACAATACAGTTTATAAGCATGTGCACTGACGCCCGCAAGGATCATGATGATGAAGCCCGGGCTGATAGTGATTGTACTGAAGAGACGTCGGAGAAGATGGGATGAAATGTGATGTTCCTTTTTGAAATGATAGATAATTCAGAAATCTATGCGGACTAGTCCCGACTTTAGACACACACCATGTACTTACTTTCCAGTCGACTTGCGATAGGTCGAGGACCATAATACAGTTTGGACGAGCGCCTTCCAAATCGGAGCAAATTGATTCCGTTTTAAGTAGGCACCGGACCGACGGTGGCGGTGCAATGACCGACGTCGGTGGTCCCTGAACGGGGCTTGGTCGTGTCAAGCGTCCTTAGACCGCGACCACGATGACCAGTCCGCCGCCACCAGAGGGCCCGTCCCAGCCACTCGAAGGACCCTCAAGGGCACAAACGCCGGCCAGGACGGAAGAGATCAGCATCGATGAAGCCACACCATGCGAGTGGGACGATTGCGGGAAGCCGTTCACAGACTTGACTGCACTGGTAGACCATATTCACAATGGTGTGTATTGCGAACACTTCGAAATGTCCAAGGTGACTAAAACAGATGATACCTTTTGCAGATCACGTTAACAACCAAAAGTCTGGTTACACCTGCGAATGGGCAGATTGCCCACGCAAGAGCATGCCCCAAACCTCGAGGTTCGCGCTGGTTTCGCATTTACGATCCCATACAGGGGAGAAGCCGTTCATTTGTTCGTTACCAGGTCAGTCCATTAAACTCTGCTACGATGACGAGGCCAATTGATGTCTGTTTCTTGGCCGGATTTTAACTGGAAATGGCTTCAGAGTGCGACAAGTCGTTCACGCGTTCGGACGCCCTAGCTAAGCACATGCGGCAACAACACAACATTTCTCCACCCCTTCCTGGCCGAGGGGGCCCACGGAAACGTAAACGGAATCAACCCGGGGACGATGCAGTTTCTGTGGATGGCGGCGGTACGCCGTCCTCGACGGGCGGCCCGTCCACAGCCAACACAGGAACTTTCAACACATTCAAAATCGAACCTACCATCATCATGCACAAACCCCCGCTACCAGAGGACGAAGTGCCCACACCGTTTGTAGAGGCTCCTCCGCCAGCTTCGACGAGGACGAGGAGGCAACACCAGTTGCACCACCAGCAACAGCAGCAGCAGCGGCAGGAAGCGGAGCAGATGAACAATTACAGGACGATGGTTATCAATAATGGGGGCGTTTCGTTCATGCGGCAGTCGCCTATCGTTTTGGACGATGATGTTGAAGAGATGATCTCACCGTCCGAACTTCCTCCCCATTTACAGCAACACTACAATCCTGAAACGGGACTGGTGCTAGGGAGGTCGCCGGCCATGGTGATGTATCTCTTGATGAAGGCGCGGTACTCTTATGTGGTGGAGCAGCATGAAGGGCTACTGGCGGAGCTTAGTGTGCTCACTGAGGAAATGGTGAAGGAGAAAGAGTTGAAGGAGGGAGCGTTGGATGTGTTCTTGAGAAAGCAATACGGGTATGTTCAAGTTCGATTTGCGGCATATTATGGTTAGCATTGCTTATCGCTCATTGACAGTGATGAAGCCGACAAACTCATCAAGCCTCCACCACCACGATATGAACAACCAAGACACGAGGCACTCACGAGTCCTGGTGAGGGAAGGACGGTGTATAACTTCGGACCTCCGGCGAATGGCCAGAGGTCTTACGGACCACCACTGGCACCACCCAGTGCTAACGGGTACATGGGGCATCCCTAGTTGCTTCACGAAGTTAATTCAGGTCTGTACTCACATTGACATCATGTTCAAGGTGAGGATGCGGGACTGGGCGACGGTGCGGTTGCATGACGACTGGTTTAATGACGAATGTATCGCTTTACATATCTCACTTCAGGGATACCTTCCAAGGACTCGTACTTATACTTATTTCTCTCAGCATACTCATTCCGATTTTGTTCTAGTGTACTATTCTGTAACTTGGTTTTTCATGTAGCTTTCGTACCCTGTGAATCATTGCATTCCACCAGAAAAAAGCCTCTGGGCTCTGGAGACTCGAGAACGCTATCCGTGTTTGGAACCTCGGTCCGCTTTCCCAAACGTGGGAATCATCTCTCATGCCGCATCGGCACAGGGATGAGATTCACCTCGCACTGGCCTGTGACGCTTGCTCATTGACTCAAACAGCGACGACGACTCGACGATAATGGCAGGAACACCGGCGCCAACTGAAAGCTCACAGCAACAGGCCTCGGCTCCCCAGCAGCTACCACCGCCTGGTCAGATCCCCCTAGTCGCACCAGGCGCACCAGGCGCACCGCCGGACCTCTCGACATTACTGGTTCCACCAGGTTCGACGGTAGTGGCGAAACAGGAGGAAGAGGCCGATGGCGAGGATGATTTACTGCCCGCCATGGCAGACGACGACTACTCTGCTCAAATGTCGTTTCAGACGCAGTCAAAGGACAATTTGAAGTGAGTCTTAATGAGTTGAGGATGAGTGGCTACTAACGGCGACTGTGTAGAGTCCTAATGGACAACTTTACGCCTGAGCAATATGACCGGTTCGAAGCGTACAGACGACATTTGTTGCCCAAGCAAGCTGTCCGAAAGGTTCGAGTTACATGCTTTAACTTGGGCCCAGTGCCGGATACATTCTGACCACTTCCGTTGTGATCACAGGTCATTCAACAGACGCTAGGACAGCAGGTGTCGCAGCCTGTAGCACAGATAATCGCTGGTTTCTCAAAGGTGTTTGTTGGCGAGATGGTCGAAAAGGGTGAGTCTATCCCTGTCTTGGACTTTTGAAGGTGGTTGTCTGATTGGAATGCGTGAATAGCCCGCCAGGTACAAGCACGTCGAGGAGAAACTGGTCCACTTTCTCCAGACCATCTACGAGAGGCGTACCGCATGTACCAGGAAGAAACCGGACGAGTGGGTGCCGCTCGTCCATTGCGATCGAAGAAGCTCTTTGTTCGATAGAGGCGCAGTTACCCTCGGCTCCATCCTACACCCCGCTACCCGGTTGCTTGCGGCCGACAATTCTTTGGACGCTACCATTTGATCCTCGGCAGCTTCACGATTCTGCCAGTGTCGACAAATCGCCACGCTCGTCCAACCGGTTAGCGCTCAAGTTCGTTTCAAAACCCCGGCTCTCATCGCGATAATGGATTGCAACCCACTCTCGGGCCTTCCAGCCTCCCGCACATTCCTGTTGTTTTGTGCAAGGCTCATGAACATCATTTCACTTTCGCAGCCGCAAACCACCAAGCCACGCTTCAAGGACCCTTCCTGTAATCCATACCCATGGTAGCACGATCTCACACTGTGGGGTCACGATACATCCTCGTGTATCGCACGGACCAATGTCTTCAGTGTATCGCCAATTCAATTCCTTAGTTGCTCAAGCAAGCATCAATTCCACAGCTATCCTTCATGCCATCTTCGTCATTTCATTCTACGACCAGCGCCCATTATAATTCATTTTGGGCAGGCGAATTACAGGGTCGTGGAAGGCGTTTATTCGGGGGTTCTTGCTCTCATCTCACGGCCATCATGCATCCTTATCGTCCCCGCTAATCTTTTTCGTCGTGATCTACGCGTCCCTTCGTTCAAACGTCATTTCTGTTCACGACGCTTTGAGGCCTTCTCCACAGTTCGCCGACACCACAGTCCAAGAAGGACGACGGGTGCAATGGTGCTGCTTAGTACGCGCTCCAGGCGGCCGTGGCGCGTCACCGTGGCCCCATGAACACCCACTTGGACAAGACACGGACCAAGTAGCACGACCATCGGTCAGCTGATACCCCCTTACTGGTGTGACGCCCCCGTGTTTATGGTCCTGCCCTTCATCTTGGCCAATGGCAGCACGGAAAATTCCATGCTCCATATCCAGGGACGGACATCGTGTTTCGCAACTGAGACTTTATATTTAAACGTCGGATCCCTTCACTGATAAATGGCCAGCGAAAACGTCGCTTTCCCCCTGGTCTCACCAAGGGATCCCCCTACCTGGTTTAGTTCCCGATTTCACTCACTGTACTACAGGATCCTACGCGTCTTGATCTCTGCGGATTCCTGAGCAATGGCAAGCCAACTCACGTCAACTGCGACCATCTTCCTTTCTACTCTGCAAGACACGGTCACACCCAGCATCCTCGACCTCATACGCCGACTTGACGGCCTTGCTTCAACAAGGAAGACTACCACCACTGTCGCCGTCGCTATTGTCGCCTACCTTGGATTCGTCCGAGCTCTTCGATGGAGACGGTACAACGCCATTCACCGACAGTACCACTCGCGCTATGATGCGAAGACGGGGAAGTGGAATTTGACACCGGAGGAAGCGAGGAGGGTTATGCTGGTTTCGTCAACCTATGACATGCCAAAGTTGTTGAATTCGGCTCTGGCATTCGCTTTGTTCAAGACCTATGCTATTGTGGGTTCCAGCTCTATTCTTGGAATGAAAACATACTGATTTGGTTTCATGGTAGCCTTCGATTTCAAAATTGTTGTATGCGACGAGGGAGTTGGGTTCAAAGGAGAACGTTGCGAAGCGATACGCGGATGTAAGTCTGGCTCTGTTTTATCATTGAGTAAGCTTGCTGAATCCTTCGCCTACAGACTGAGATACTTATTTGTCGGTATTCATTCGCCACTGTCACCCGTCAAACGTCGGAGCTGACACGGGATGAACACCCCCAGCCACTTGGGTCGGATGCCCCATAAACGGGTTTCATGACCTCACTTTCAAACCAGATGAGAAGACCCCCGCAGAAGACCCGAGAGCAATGATTGCTCTGTCGAGGGTGAATTACCTACATTCACGCTACAACATTGTTAGACCTGCATCTCCTCATTTCATCTAACGCTACTGACACAACGCCTTTGCAAATTGAACAGTCCAATGATGATTATCTTTATACCCTCTCTCTTTTCATCATTGAACCTATCGTACGGCACCATTCCTCCATCTCCCTGCTCTCACTAATCATCTTCACTCCTTCCCCCTAGCTATGGGCGAAGCGCTACGGCTGGCGTGCCCTCTCACCTATGGAGTCCCAATCCTACTTTATCTTTTGGTCCGAAATAGGACGTCGGATGGGTATCCACGACATCCCTGAAACACTAGAGGACCTTATGGCGTGGTCGCAAGCATACGAGCAAGAGTACATGGTCCCAGCCAAGTCCAATCACCAAGTTGCGAAGCTTACGACGGGTGAGCTGGTTGAGGGTGTCCCGAATGTGTTGGGCTTGAGGACGTTCGTGGAGAGGATTACGGTGTGTTTGGTGGAGGAGAGGGTGAGGGTTGCTATGATGTGTGTGGCTTGTTTTACTTCAGAGGGGACACGGCTGATCATGATGAATGGCTTGCTGATTTGATAGGCAACCGTCCCAGCCGTGGTACCTCCATGCCTTCACATCGGCAGTCTTGCACACCAGCGGGTTTGTGCAGCGCTGGTTCTGCCTCCCAAGGATAAGCCCCTCCTTCCCAGTTAACTTGGACCTTCCAAGGGACCTGTCAGCTCCATCTCATCCCAACGTGTACGTGCTTCCCTCACCATTTCAAGATTCTTATTTTCTTACTGTTGTCAATAGGTATCGCTCACGACCGTGGTACAAACCTGAATCAAGTGGACTGGGGTATATCCGTGACCGACTGCTCGTTGCATTGGGATACTACTCCGCTATGCCTTCCCCAAGGTGGGTTTATCTCGCGACACACAGTGTGATTAGTAGGAACTCATAGTGCCACTTTGATGTTCAGCCTTAGGAGCGGTGGTTATCGATTGGAAGAGTTGGGTCCTTTGCACCTGGAGAAGAGTATGTTTCCGGTGCCTGGCTCTATGTAACTCGCATCACTCAACCTGCTCTCTTGTTCACAGCGGCGAATGAAGAGGTTGTACGCGAAGCAGCAAGACTTCAGGGGTGCCCGATGCCCAAGCTACGCTGAAGATGAATCTGTGTATTATAATGACGACTTATCACTTTTTCTTTCAGTCCACTTTCGTTAAGGTGACATCGTCCTTAAGGGACTTCCGAACCCTGGCAGGCCTGCGCCTATCTCTGTAAGCACCCATGCAACCTCTCCCGAAAGAGGAAAGGACGCGCCCTAAAAAGGAAATTGGCTGCTTGCCTGGAAATCCGTGACTGAGAAAAAGTGTAATTCTAACCCTATTATACTGAGGCGTTGCTAGAGCCAGCGCTATTAGATGCACAGTCTTACCATCTCCGTCGTCGTTCCGAGATTTGGACCAATTCATGATGATGAAACTCCAGAACTCCGGCGCACAGGTGCTTGGCAGCCGCTCACCTGGAATTAAAGTTAGCCCTCGATACCTATAGCTTTTTCTGTTAAACGTCCAGTTCGGTTTCCCGTTAAGAGCATCACCGTCCTTGCAATGTACTAGTAAATATATCGCTCTGGAGACTAGGGTGGACAAATAGAGCCTCCAATCTGCGTAACCATCCCAATAAGGCCCGTGCTATGAAGAAGCCCCGAAAAGAGAGAAAAGAACACACACCTGATTCATGAACGCGTCGATAGTGTCCCCCTCCTTCCAGTTCGCGATCGATCTGTGGGTGCGATAAAGGATAAGCATTTCGGCAAGGGTCTTTCGATGCGATGCGAAGAAACTGTGAGTCAATTGCTTCGGTTTCCGTTAATTGACCAGTCTTTTTATGGACCATCTAGCATAATATGCACGCCAACACAAGACGAGATCTGACGAGATTCAGAAAGCAGAGGTGCACAAGCGCCCAAAACAAACAAACAGAGCCGTTGAGCGGGCCGACGACGCCGGGATGAGGCCAACCGTGTCACTCACGCGGCACCAGGTTTCGTTTTGGCCACCACCAGGACCTTGCACCTAGCAGATTCAAGTTCTCAACGGCTACGTATAAGTCAAAAATGGGACTGTCACTGGACCTAGGGACGCCCGTTAACACGGCGCTCATGCTCTACATTCTGTACTCTGTCCAACGAATCATCTTTCCCCCAATCTCCAAACCAACTTCAATCCCAACGGAATTCAAGGCTGGGTACTCTTGGATGCCCAAGTCTCATCCTCCGACGGTGCTGTTCAAGACATTTACGCCGAAGACGCTGGAGCCGTTCAATGGAAAGGACGGAGGAAGAATATTGTTGGCGATTAATGGAATTGTATTCGATGTGACGGCTGGAAGGAATTTCTATGGACCAAGTGCGTATTCACCTGCCTCAAAGGCGCATCTCAACTGATCCAATTGCCTTGAATGTATAGATGGAATGTATGGCAACTTCGCTGGAAGGGATGCGTCGAGAGGCATGGCGAAGCAGTCGTTCGACCTTGGTGCGTACCGTATTCCCCCTATTCACGGCCCTGAGTAAACTGACGTGTTTCCTCGTTATGCAGAGATGCTTACCCCAGTCGATCAACCTCTGGACAAGTTGGAGGACTTGAAGCCCGATGAAATGTAAGTTGCACCTTTTGATATGGGTTTAAATGCCCCGCTGACATGGTCTCCGTTCGTTTGCGCACAGTGAGAATATGAAGGGTATGTACTTGTATGGGTAGGATTGCTTCGTTGTGCTTACGTTCGATTCTTCTAGGTTGGATTGAACATTTCTCGAACAAGTACATTATCTGTGGAAAACTTGTAGAGAACGATGCTATTTGAATCCACGAACTTGTTAAGCTTCTGAAGCTCGCGAGTGCTTATGGAGAGGCCTGCTGCCCTCTTGGATAAAGAACGCCTCAAAGCCCTGCGCCAGAAAATGTTCAATGGATGGTACCTTGTTAGCGGAATCCAGACCTGGTTGGCGCCATTCCGCATACGTGCACCGAAACTACCTTTACATCACTGAGTACATTTGTTCACACAGCTTATCCCTGGGTTCACGATCTTTGACTTGTTTCTTATCCTGCTCGTACCTCCGCCCGGACGACATGCTCCTCTCTGAACAGGCTCACCATCTCTCAATCAATGGCGGCACGTTTAACGACCTTTCTTCGAATGGGCTAGATCGTACGCTCACATGCTTGCTCCCATCCTATGTAGATTCGTGGCTACTCATGGTCACCAGCGCTTGTGTGCCTCGAGCAATTCTCCGCTTCTGGAGCGACCCACGACTAAGCTGAGCGGTATCCCCCTCCAAGGTGTCACGCAGAAACAAGGAAACATGGCGGGCAAACCATGCAGATGTGGGCGAGCCAGTCCCCGGGCCAGGAGATGAATTCAGTCTTCTGGCTCTACGGCTCAGTCGGTTTGGGTAAAACCACTATCACCAAAACCTTCCCTGAGAGATGGGAAGCACTGGACATGCTAGGCGCTTCTTTCTGTCACATCTGACCCCGCTATCCTGCGGAAAGCACTCCCCATACAACCCAACCAACTCATCATTGAACCCTTTCGCAAGATACCCTCACTGGAAAACTATAAATCTGTCGTCATCGATGCCTTGGACCAGTGCATCGGCCCCGAAGGCGTGAACAAGGAGCAGGGGCAATCGCTTGTCCTCCAATTCATCCAAACCCTAGTCATTGCTCAACTCCTCACAATCCTCCTCTGCTCTCGACAAGAAAAATGGATCGAGGAAGCGCTGGAGGAACTCCCTCATCTTTCCGGAAACATGGAACGATTCGCGTCGGACTCGCGCGAGTGGAACTATGTAAAACCTTGAGGAGGCGTAAAGGTAATCATCGCAAACCCGACACGTACAGCCTTTGTGAGATATGACATTTGCTGCTGTGGGAGGCGACAGATAGTCGACAAGTGGGCCCTACGAACTAAGAGAGATTGGGGCGCCACACGTACCCTTCACCCTAGCTCTCTGGTCAGTAGGTTTTGGTGACGTTATCGCTGTGTCTGTTGAAATCCTCACATGTTTTACTTGCCGCTTTTACTCTCCGCCAGTGGTTGTTTCCAATGACTGGCGGGTTTAATGATAGGGAAGGCTCCTCTGACAGAAAGCAATGACCATGGTACCATTTGCCGAATTTTCACTATGCCTTGTTTTCCTGTCCGTCAGGTGATGCTCAGGACAGAGCCATCGGAGTCATCTTTGCACAAGTCATGCGGGTGAATGAACGGATTGGATTGACCGCGGTGGCGCACTTACAAGTTGCGGGCAATTGTGAAGGCTCCCAGTCTCGATGGAAGAGCCCGTCTATTGCAGCTAGCTTTATACTACCTGGTGCACGTTCGACCTACAGTCGAGGTCTTCTTCAACTCCTTGCAAAGTTCAAGATAAACTGTAGCTTCTTTCGTATCTCATCGTTCTGTGGTCTCACTTCTCTGATTCATCGGACCTTCGTTGTACCCCACATGTTCCTCGACTCGACGTTTCTTTTGTTAGGGTCTCGTAAACGTTCGTCCAGTGAGGACAATGTCATCAGCGGCGTCAAGCGCCCTGCGCCCTGGGTTTTGCCCATGTGGCGATGTCGAGATGAAGAGATTGGAATTTTGATCGGCCGTTATTTGGCGGGACAAACAAAGCAAAGATTTTGTCGATCTAATCTTAGCGGCTCTCTTCTCTTCCTCCCACTCGAATTCGATTATTCTCTAATCCGGGTGGAGAGGAAGACGAGTTACGCCCCATTTTCTATCCTTAACCACCATGTCGTCTTCGTCTACCCAAAAAGAGGCCACTGAGCCCGTCCAACAGCGACCAGAGCTCTCTCGCTCGCCGTCGTTGTTCGCTCATGTCCCTGCCTCACCCGTCACTGGACCCGTTCAGGACGATGCCAACGCCGTCGACGGCGTTCTTGAACTGGCTGACGGAACAGCCTACAGAGGTATCAGCTTTGGTGCTGAAGGAAAGAGCGTTGCTGGCGAATGCGTTTTCCAGACCGGTACGTCTCATCTTTTTTTCTGCGAATTTTGGTTCCGAATCTGATGAAATTTTGTCTAGGTATGGTTGGATACACAGAGTCCTTGACGGACCCGTCGTACGAAGGCCAAATCCTCGTCCTCACCTATCCTCTCTTGGGCAACTACGGTGTCCCAGCACGCCCAGCCTCCTGGGACGACCTCCCCGAACACTTTGAATCGTCAAGGATCCACGTCGCCGCTCTCATTGTCGGAAACTATACAGAAGACTACAGCCACTTCCTGGCCAGCTCTTCTTTGGGAGCATGGCTCAAGGAGAACGGTGTCCCCGCTCTTTTCGGTGTCGATACTCGCGCCCTCACGAAAAGGATCCGCGAAAAAGGATCCATGCTTGGTCGCGTCCTTGCTCGAGCCGACGGCCCTCGAGTCAGCCGTCCCCAGGCCTCCCTCATCTCATCCGTCCCATCCACTCCCTACCCTTGGAGAGAAGAATACATCGACATTCCCTTCAGCAACCCTTACGAGAAAAACCTCGTCGCCCAGGTTTCAATCGCTGCCCCTCGGGTATACGCACCCACATCCACCCCTCGCCTCCACCCCTCCGGTCGTCCCTTGAGGGTTCTCGCCATCGATGTTGGAATGAAGTTCAATCAGATCCGATGCTTCATCAACCGCGGTGTGGAGCTCAAGGTTGTCCCCTGGGACTACGACTTCCTCGCCGAGTCCGAGCCCTATGACGGTCTCTTCGTTTCCAACGGTCCAGGTGACCCCACCAAGGTCCCCATTACCGTCGAGCGCATCCGCAAGGCCATGGAGGGCGACATGCCCATCTTCGGGATCTGTCTTGGTCATCAGCTCATCTCCCTTGCTGCTGGTGCGAAGACTTCCAAGATGAAGTATGGTAACCGTGGTGAAAACATCCCTTGCACGGACGTTCTTTCCGGCCGCTGTTACATTACCAGCCAGAACCACGGTTATCAAGTTGACGCATCTACATTGCCCATTGGTTGGAAGGAACTCTTCAGGAATGCCAACGATGAAAGTAATGAGGGCATCTACTGCGAGACCAAGCCCTTCTTCTCCGTCCAGTTCCATCCCGAGTCCAACCCTGGCCCTCGCGATACCGAGTTCCTCTTCGACGTCTTCATCCAGAACGTCGCAGACTCTGCGGCCACTGGCTACGTTGGTCCCCTCCAGCTCCCTGGTGGCAAGAAGGAAGACAACGAGAAGCGTGTTCCCCGCGTCAACGTCTCCAAGGTCATCATCCTCGGTTCCGGAGGTTTGTCGATTGGTCAAGCTGGAGAATTCGACTACTCTGGATCCCAGGCGATCAAGGCCCTCAAGGAGGAGGGTATCTACACCATCATGGTTAACCCCAACATCGCCACCATCGCTACCTCCAAGGGTCTCGCCGACAAGGTCTATTTCCTCCCCGTCACCCCCGATTTCGTGCGCAAGATCATCAAGTACGAAAAGCCCGATGGTATCTACGTTACCTTTGGTGGACAAACCGCTTTGAACGTCGGTATCAAGCTCAAGGATGAGTTCGAGGAACTCGGCGTCAAGGTCCTCGGTACCCCCATCGAAACTATTATCACCACCGAGGACAGGCAGTTGTTCGCTGACGCCATGGCTGAGATCGGCGAGAAGTGCGCTGAGAGTTGCACGGCTACCAACTATGATGAGGCTCTCGCCGCCGCCAAGAACATTGGCTTCCCCGTCATCGTTCGTGCTGCATACGCTCTTGGTGGATTGGGCAGTGGTTTCGCCCAAGATGAGAATCAATTGAAGACTCTCTGCGACAAGGCTTTCGCCACCAGCCCTCAGGTCTTGGTCGAGAAGAGCATGAAGGGATGGAAGGAGATCGAGTACGAAGTTGTTCGGGATTGCCGAGACAACTGCATCACTGTTTGTAACATGGAGGTGAGTTTTACCTTCTTTTCATCCTGAGAGAGTTGCTCACGATCTTAAACAGAACTTCGACCCTCTTGGCATCCATACCGGAGACTCCATCGTCGTCGCTCCTTCTCAAACCCTCTCCGATGCCGACTACAACATGCTCAGGACCACTGCCATCAACGTCATTCGGCACCTCGGTGTTGTTGGTGAATGTAACATCCAGTACGCTCTCAACCCTACCTCGCAGGAGTACTGCATTATCGAGGCAAGTCGAATGTCCTTTATTTGTATGATCGTTGTCCTGATCAATAATCAATTAGGTCAACGCCCGTCTCTCACGCTCGTCCGCCCTCGCCTCCAAAGCCACCGGCTACCCTCTTGCCTTCATTGCCGCCAAGTTGGGTCTCGGAATCCCGCTCAACGAGATCAAGAACTCTGTCACCAAAGTCACCTCAGCATGCTTCGAGCCCAGCTTGGACTATGTCGTTGTCAAGATTCCACGATGGGACTTGAAGAAGTTCAGCAGGGTTAGCAGGTTGTTGAGCAGCAGCATGAAGAGTGTTGGTGAGGTCATGGCTATCGGAAGGACGTTCGAGGAGACGTTCCAGAAAGCTATTAGGTCTATTGACGATCAGTTCTTGGGCTTCGCGAAGGTGAGTTTATTCCGTGTTCATGTCGTGACATCATATTGACGGAAATTTAGAACGCCTTGGTTGAGGATATCGACGAAGAGCTTGTCAACCCCACCGATAAGCGCGTCTTCGCCATCTCCACTGCGTTCCATCGTGGATATAGCGTCGACAAGGTTTGGCAGATGACCAACATTGACAAGTGGTTCTTGAACAAGTTGCATGATATCTTCAAGATTGAGCAGAAGCTCTCGTACGTGTATTCTTCCATTCCCATCTCAGTTCTTCCTTAATAATGCAATCTTTTTCATCTAATCTAGAGCATGCAATATCTCAAGCCTCAGTGTCGATCTCCTCCGCCGAAGCAAGCAGTACGGTTTCTCGGATAGGCAAATCGCCGCTTGCATCAGCTCGACAGAACTTGCTGTTCGACGTGTCCGACAAGAGAACGGTATCGCCCCCTTCGTCAAGCAGATCGACACCGTCGCCGCCGAGTTCCCTGCCTTCACCAACTACCTCTACACCACCTACAATGCTGTCGAGCATGACATCAAGTTCGAAGACCGTGGCATCATGGTCCTCGGTTCTGGTGTCTACCGCATTGGTTCCTCCGTCGAGTTCGATTGGTGCGCAGTCCGTGCAATCCGTACCCTCCGTGACCAAGGCATCCCCACCGTCATGGTCAACTACAACCCCGAAACTGTCAGTACCGATTACGACGAGGCCGATCGCCTCTACTTCGAGAACATCAGTCTCGAGACCATCCTCGACATCTACGAGATCGAGCACTCCCGTGGTGTTATCCTCTCCATGGGTGGTCAGACCCCCAACAACATCGCTCTTCCTCTCCACCGCCAGAACGTGAAGATCTACGGCACCTCACCGGAGATGATCGATACCGCTGAGAATCGATACAAGTTCTCGCGATTGTTGGATGAAATCGGTGTTGACCAGCCACAATGGAAGGAGCTCTCGAGCTTCGAGGCCGCTGTTGCCTTCTGTGACTCCGTCGGCTATCCTGTCCTCGTCCGACCTTCTTACGTTCTTTCCGGCGCCGCCATGAACGTCGTCTCCACCAAGGACGACCTCGCCAACTACCTCACCCAGGCCGCTGAAGTCTCTCGCGAACACCCTGTCGTCATCTCCAAGTACATCGAGCAGGCCAAGGAGATCGAGATGGACGCTATCGCCAAGGACGGCAAGATGGTGATGCACTACATCTCTGAGCACGTCGAGAACGCCGGTGTCCATTCCGGTGATGCCACCCTCATTCACCCTCCTCAAGATCTCGACCCTCAAACTGTCCGCCAGATCGAAGAGGCCACGGCGAAGATCGGTAACGCTCTCAATGTTACTGGTCCCTACAACATTCAGTTCATCGCCAAGAACAACGAGATCAAGGTCATCGAGTGCAACCTTCGTGCTGCGAGGAGTTTCCCCTTCGTCTCGAAGGTCACTGGCATCGATGCCATCGAGATGGCTACGAAGGTTATGCTTGGCTTGCCTGTCGAAGCGTATCCTGACCCTGGCCTTCCCTCCGACTATGTGGGTGTCAAGGTGCCGCAGTTCAGCTTCAGCAGGTTGTCGGGTGCGGACCCTGTCCTCGGTGTGGAGATGGCCTCGACCGGAGAGGTAGCGTGCTTCGGAAGGGACAAGTACGAGGCCTACCTCAAGGCGTTGATCTCGACTGGTATCCACCCTCCCAAGAAGAATATTCTGTTCTCGGTGGGAAGCTACAGGGAGAAGCTGGAGATCTTGCCGTCGGTTCAGAAGTTGAGCGCTGCCGGGTACAACATCTTTGCTACCTCTGGTACCGCCGACTTCTTGACTGAGCACAACGTTCCTTGCAAGGTGAGGAGTCGTACATGGATATTTCTTGATACGTTTGGCTAATGTTCGCGTTTTCTCTTAGTATCTCGAGACCCTCGGATCGGATGGTGGAGAGCAAAAGTCGGAATACTCGCTCACTCAGCACCTCGCCAACAACCTCATCGACATGTACATCAACTTGCCGTCCAAGAATCACTACCGCCGTCCCGCCACCTACGCTAGCAAGGGCTACAGGACTCGTCGCATGGCCGTTGACTTTGCGATCCCCCTCATCACCAACGTCAAGAACGCCAAGATGCTCGCCGAGGCTCTCATTCGCAACCTGCCTCTGGACGTGTCCAACGTGGACGCGAAGAGCTCGCACCACACCCATACCTTCCCTGGTTTGGTGAACGTCGCTGCGTTCGTCCCACAGTTGATCACTCCGGGCAGCAAGGAGCTTGCGGCTGCTACAGAGGCCTCAATCCGAAGCGGCTTCACTACTGCTTTGATCTCTCCTGTTGGAGCGGATGGTAGCATCACCACTCGCCAGACGCTCGAGCAAGTCCGTGGAGAGATCGCGGGATCTGCTCATTGCAACATCGCGTTCAGCATCACGGCCACTCCGGACAACGTCGAGGCGATCGATGAAGAGGTCCAAGCTGAAGTGAAGAGTCTGTTCGTCCCAGCGTCGACACCCGTTTCTGCTGTCGCCGCTCACTTCACGTCCTGGATTGTGGAGAAGCCGGTGGTCACGGACGCAAAGGGCGCAGAGTTGGCGTCCATCCTGCTTTTGGCAAGCCTCAACAACTGCAGTGTCCACGTCACCAATGTCCAGAGCACCGACGATCTCTTGCTCATCTCATTGAGTAAGGCCAAAGGTCTCAAGGTGACCTGCGACGTTTCGATCTTCTCGCTATTCTTTACCAAGGACGAGTTCGATGGCGCCTCCATTCTTCCATCGGCCGCAGACCAGAAGGCCCTTTGGGATAAGCTCGATATCATCGACGCCTTCTCGGTTGGCCCTACTCCGTATCAACTCGCCAAGGCCTCGAGCGAAGCCGGATCCGTGTTCTCAGGGACTGAAGAGGCACTCCCCTTGTTGCTGACAGCGGTCGTCGAAGGTCGCCTGACCCTTAATGACATTCGCAAGCGTCTGCACGATAACCCTGTCTCCATTTTCGGTATCCCAGATCAGACCCAGACGACCGTGGACGTTGTTCTTGGCCGAAAGGCACCATTCAGGAAGCACAGCGAGGCCTGGTCTCCTTTGGAGTTGAGGCCTGTTTCCGCATTCGTCCACCGTGTGGTCGTTCAGGGCCAGACTCTTTTCTTGGACGGTTCGTTGGTTGCTTCCCATCAAGGTCGGGATATCTCTGCCTTCACGCTTCCCCCTGTTATTCCAGCCAAGGAACAAGAGATCATTGCTCCTCCTGTCGCGACTTCCACCGCCTCTGTTACCAGCCCTGTACCTTCGACTTCGCTTCAGCTTCAGCAGCAGCAACATCTCCCACCTGTCAGCACGCATTCATTAACCCACCTCCAACCCCATCCATCATTCCACCGCCGACACATTCTCTCCGTCAAGCAATTCACCCAGCGTGATCTGTACGACCTCTTCGCTCTCGCCCATGAAATGCAGCTCCAGGTTGAGCGCAACGGCACCTTGGACATCCTCAAAGGAAAGGTGCTATGCACTGCGTTTTATGAACCGTCAACTAGGACTAGCTCGTCCTTTGACGCCGCCATGAAACGCTGCGGTGGTCAGGTGGTTCAGATTACTGCTGAGACCTCTTCTATCCAGAAGGGCGAGACCTTGGCAGACACTGTTCGGACGCTGGCTTGCTATGGAGATGCCATCGTGCTCCGTCATCCCGATGTAGGAAGCGCGCAGATGGCTGCCAAATTCTCTCCCGTGCCGATAATTAACGCTGGTGACGGAATCGGGGAGCATCCCACACAGGTATGTCTAGTTGACGTCTGTCAGATATGGTTCGGGGATATTGACCTTTGTCTGTTAGGCTCTCTTGGACGTCTACACCATTAGGTCTGAGCTCGGAACTGTCAACGGACGCACGATCACATTGTTGGGTGATCTCAAGAATGGTCGCACAGTTCACAGCTTGGTGACGCTCTTGTGTCACTACTCCGTCCGACTCAACTTTGTTTCGCCCCCTTCGCTGGCGATGCCTTCGAGCGTTGTCTCAGCTGCTCGCAAGGCGGGTATCCCGGTCACCATCTGCGAGACCTTGGATGAGGTTCTGTCAGATACCGATGTCCTCTACGTCACCCGGGTTCAGAAGGAGAGGTTCGAAAGCGAAACGGAGTGGTTGCAGGTGAAAGATGCGTACCGAGTGGATCACGCCGTTCTTTCACGGGCGAAGGAGGACATGATTGTAATGCACCCATTGCCTCGGGTTAACGGTGAGTAACCGATTCACCCCTTTCACCTTCTTGACTCGAATGCTTACATATCCTTGCTTCAGAAATCGACCCCGAAGTCGACTTTGATTCCCGCCGTGCCGTCTACTTCCGTCAAATGCGTTATGGCCTTTTCGTAAGTGTGGACGCCTTACGTTGGAAAGGGGCACTTAATTCAAACCTAATCTTTTTCACAGATTCGCATGGCCCTTTTGGCAAGCGTTCTTGCATGAAGTCCGTGAGGAGAAGCGCCACAAGCTGTGGGACTAAAAAAAATTGAAATTTTCGACTGCGAGGGCCGCGACACTCGACGCTAGACTCGGAGATCTCATAATACTACCGTGTAGCGAACTAGCATCTTTTATCTTATGTTTTTCATGACCTATATCAAACCGGATCTTTGGGACTTCAAGGGTTTTATGAAGTTGGAAACGCTTTTGGGTTGCATTCATTACCATCGCATATCTGTTTGTATCTATAGTTGGCTTTATCTTTTGGCATTGAGGGACTGTGGTAGATTTACACCCTCCGCATTCACGTACTTCTTGGTAAAATCAGAATTAGTTTCATCATGGCCATGCCTTTAACTCTCCGAGGCGCTGATGAGCACTGCTGACTCGTACCGGCACTACTGTAAGCTCCAGGTATCGCACCCTCTTCGCCGTCGTGGGGAACACGGACGAGATTTTATGTAATACACCATTGGGCGCTTGCAAGTGTGACTCTGAGAAACAGATTGAGGAGTGGGAAATTGATCAGCCCACTCGTCGGTCTTCCCAAGGACATTGTTCTCAGCACCCTCTGGAGATAATTGCTAGAATTCTAAAATCCAAGGAACCGCGCTCACGCCTCAGAAACTCGCAATCGATCTGGCCGGACAGTGCATTTGCACAACATCGGGCTACTCATCCACACCGTTTATTATCTTACCATCCGACACAGCCGTTGCATCTAACCCAGTTAAGAAGCTTGAATGACTACTTTTATCTTGTCTGAAGTACTGACAGTACTGACATAAGTGACTTCTAGTTCCTATTCCAATTGAAAGTCCCATCTGGCGCTGCAATCCGCCTCCTCCGGAAGGATGAATGACCTGTCTTCTCATTTCCTGATAGATCGGGGCCTCTTTGATGGTCTGCCTCGAAGTGCACGTTGAGAGACCGGGTAAGTTTAATCAGAATGAAGAGACTTTTGGAGCGGTTAATTTCCCTGCGAAGAGAGTTGAAGCATTGAGAATACGTATACAGGGTTCGTTTTCGAACACCGTCATTTTCCATTCTACTCTCAAACAAATCGGATCCAGCAAGGTCAGTGACCCAGCCTCATCTGGTTCTTTCGGAGAACTCGATACAGGGAATAACTGATACACAACTTTCTTCAAGCTCTTCAGAAACATCGAGGCTAAATATGAGCGGTGAACTGAAGACTGTGCACCCGATTCCGGTAGACTCGACGGGGTTATCGCCGGCCCTGTCGTGTCCCAGATAAAGCCAACAATTCAGGTTAGAGGGGGATTTTTGCTATAAGAGCGGGACTTTCGTAGCTCGCCTTCCCCTTGAACCATTCCCCAGCATTCACCAAGATGGGTCGCACATCTCCTTCATCGCTCAGAACCCAGGTCCTTGTCATTGGCGGGGGCCCTGCAGGAGCGTACGCAGCTTCCGTACTTGCACGAGAAGGCTTCCAGACCACTGTCCTCGAAGCCACTAAATTCCCTCGGTATGCCCGAGCTTATGAAAATGATCTCATCTTGTATTGACTATGTTCAGATATCATATCGGGGAAAGCATGCTTCCCTCCGTCACTTCATTCTTCGAGTTCATTGGGTTGGATGAAAAACTTCGCAACCATGGATTCTGCTCAAAGGTATAGATCTTATCGCCTCACCTCCTGTTCCCCCTGTTGACAGACATACCGTCAGCCTGGGGCAGCCGTCAAGTTCAACCAAAGGAAGAAGGAAGGATGTAAGTATCACAACATCGCTGCGCCGAAGAAAATAACCGACATTCCCCGTCCAGACACTGATTTCCTGAAGAATAACAGCGAAGGCACCTGGAACGTGGTATGTAACTCACCATCTCCCAATTTCTGCTAGCCAACGAACCCGGTTCGCACAGGTTCGCTCCGAATTTGATGAGATGCTCCTGAGGCACGCAGGGGAATCCGGTGCTACCGTCCTTGAAGAACACAAGGTCATCGAGATCAAATTCGAAGATGTTTCTGGGAAATCACGGCCTTACTCTGCTGTGTTCACTCGTCCTTCTGGAGAACGAAGTGAGATACACTTCGACTATCTCATCGACGCGTCTGGTAGGAATGGAATCATGTCCACGAAGGTCAGTCCGACAAACATATTTTTCCCCATTCGCGCGAACCTAACAACCATCCTAGTACCTGCGCAATCGAAAGATGAATAGTAGCCTTCACAACATCGCTTGTTGGGGCTACTGGGAAGGGGGCTATGGCAAATATATGCCTGGGACGCGACGAGAGAATGCACCCTGGTTCGAAGCACTCACTGGTAAGAGTTTACGGATCATCGAGGACCCACTGTGCCTTATAATTACTTATCTAACGCCCACAGATGAGAGTGGGTGGGCATGGTACATCCCTCTCCATAACGGAACTGTGAGGAGTCCGATTTCTACCGTCTCGGACTCCAGCTGATAGATCTTTCTTGCAGGTCTCCGTTGGGGTAGTCATGGACCAGGATGTCAGCAGCTCGAAGAAGGCGAAAGCTCGTGAAGCATCTGCAACGGGAGAGCACACCCTATGTGATCATTATCTACAGCAACTTGAGCTCGTCCCGGGACTTAAGGCTCTTCTTGGGACGGCGACCCTTGTCAGTAATCATGTTAAATCCGCTTCCGACTACAGCTATTCGGCAGAGCGCTACGCTGGAGACAGATTCAGAATTATTGGAGACGCTTCCGGTAATGCCTGTCTTCTGCGCATATTTTAGTTTATGCCGGACTAACTCCATCGCCTTCCTAGCCTTCATTGACCCTCTCTTTTCGTGAGTTCGCATCATCTCATGCGTGTATCGGAACTTCCCTGACTGGTCTCCATTCCAGCTCCGGTGTTCACCTCGCTCTCTTGGGTGGGCTGACAGCAGCATCTACCGTCGCTGCTTCGGTGCGAGGCCATTGCTCCGAGGAAGAGGCAGCGGAGTACCACCATGTCAAGATCGGAGCTGCATATACTCGGTACCCTCTACTAACAGTACCTCACTGATATCCGCGTACTAACTCTCAATGTACAGATTCTTCTTGGTTGTAATGAGCGCCTATCGGCAAATTCGAAGTCAGAACGTCGATATCCTTTCGGATGTCGATGAAGACAACTTCGACCGAGCTTTCGACATCATCCGCCCCGGTAAGTAAAATACCCCTGCGTCCCACTCCGAGTCTGACGATAAGTACAATAGTTATACAAGGTACAGCTGACGTCGGGCGAACCTTATCGGAAAGCGAGCTCCAAAAGACCTTGGATTTCTGCAAAGGTTAGTCACCGTTCCCGGGTATAGACCGCAGCAGCTGATCATTACTCTTGCTACCTCAGATGTCTGGGCTCCAGTAGATCCCGAAATGCACGAGAGAGTGGCCTCTCGATATGGGTCGGAGCTGCTCTCTCCGGCAGCACCGATTTTCAAGCCTGAGGACTTGGATCAAATTGTGGATCCCAACGACGAAGATGCTGTTGACGTATTCAAGAGGGCAAACGCGAGAAAGATAGTCGATCCCATGTTTAAGGGGATCTCCAGCTTGGAGTCAGAGCCTGTGAAAGGGTTCATTACCTGCCTCCAAAGAGGAAGTTTGGGTCTTATTTACATCGCAAGCGCCGCCTGAAGGATTGGTCCGGTCCAATTTCTTAACACAGTAGTAAATTAATGTTCACCCTACTAATGGGATCTATTCCCGACTTCGTATTCTCTGTATCAGAGCGATTTTTATTGATTGTCTTGTACTCGACAATTACATAGATGAATGCAATAGGGGTTAGTTCTCCTTGAATGAACTCCTCTTTCCCACAGGCCAATAACCCCGAAATCTCTCCGACGCTGGGCTGGTTTCGTCTGCACTGTCATTGTCAACGACGACCACTCTCGCCTCTCTCATGCATCGTACGGGATATGAACACCTTCCATCATTCCAATCACTCGATTCTAACAAATGAAGAGGGATGTCAAGTTCTGGACGTACCGTGTCTTCCAATACACACACATGTTCCTTTGCTCGGCGACCCAAACCTGCTCAACTGAGCAGCTTCAAGTTGCTGGATATGGTTAGCATTCTAACCTTACTTCTGTGTTATTGACCTCAGCATCACCGTTTCTCCTACGATCCATGCTTGCGACATTCCTATTCATATTGCACTCTCACGTCGACCCTCATTTCAAACACTGCTGGAGGAGTACTGCCCTCGAACCTCTCAGATCCCAGTATTGGCGCTCGCTAACCCGGTCTGTGGGTGCATCCACTCCCTGGCGCTGGCGTACAACCTATTTGGTCCCAACCTCCGCGTTACCCCGTGTCCTGTACTCGTTGGGACGAAATATCTGATGCTCTGGCTGACGTCGCTCCAACCAAAACACCTGAAACTTGGTACTCGGGGCTTGCTCTGATCTCTCCTTGTTTCATCGGAACACGTTGAGCTTGACTCTATGTACGTAACTGGGCAGTGGCCTTTCTACATTCTTCTAATGTGGCCATCGGAAACAAGAATAGCTTCAGGGCGCTTGACTATTTCTGGGAATTCATTGACCCCATCCAAGCATTTGGTAACATATTCACCGGAGACTTTGGCTCTCCAGCCACAACGCTAGCATCTGTCACTTTCTATCTCAGGACGCGACTGATCCTCAGACTGGAACCAGTGAGGCACCATCAGTCACGACCAGCATGCGACATGTTAGACCTCTCCAAGTTCATTCGAATTCCCCGATACATAATGTTTGGAGCCAAGCGCCGTATCCGTCGGCATGTACAACTCGATTTGAGGTCATAGTTAATCTCCGGGAACACGTCCCTTTCTGCCACGAGCTCCATTCCAACGCTAGAACGTCCGTTTCCAGCCGGACCAAAATTCACTCCTTGTGGCTCGGAAGCGCCGCAGCCTCTCCCAATAGGGAACAGCAATACCAGGCCTCGCAGTATATATTCCTGGGGTTAAAGACTGCTTAAATAAACCGAGTTTGCACTCGTCGTCTCTCGTCCTCTCAACTTTCCACCACCTCTCTCGATCTTACCGTCATGGGCAAAGCCTTCAAACATTTCGTGAACTCAACTTCCATCTTCCCACCTGGTCAAGGTCTAACTTTCGAGACAGGCTCACACCAAGGTCCTCGTCATTGGTGGAGGCCCTGGCGGCGCATATACTGCGTCGGTACTAGCCCGAGAAGGCATCCAAGTGACGCTCCTCGAGGCCACTAAATTTCCTCGGTGAGAGGAATCGCCACGCAGGGTCTTGACCTCTATCCAAACGCCCTTGCAGATACCACATCGGCGAGAGCATGCTTCCCTCCTTGAAGCTCTTCCTGCGATATATCGGCGCCGAAGAGAAGGTTAAGCAATACGGCTTTTGTGTAAAGGTCGGTTCGATTGACATTCCTTCCGGGGTCAGGCGTTGACGGAAATTCATTGTAGCCAGGGGCCGCAGTCAAACTTAACGGCCGCAAACGAGAAGGATGTGGGTGCTCGTCGCGTTAGGCGTCATCTAACTGGCCTTACCACTGATACCATTGATTAGATACTGACTTTCTGCGACACGACCCTAACAACGGATCATGGAATGTGGTACGTAACCTCAACCCTACTCATCTTAAACGGCGTTTCTCTGATCTGCTGGTTAGACTCGGGCAGAGTTCGACGAAATCCTGCTTCGCCATGCTGCAGAGTCTGGAGCCACAGTACTTGAGCAACACAAGGTCAATACAATCGAGTTCGTACGTGACGCAGATGGCAAGCCTACTTCACGCCCGTGTGCTGCTACTCTCTCCCATCCTTCCGGCGATGGAAGAATTACTTTTGACTACTTGATTGATGCCTCTGGACGCAATGGGATTATGTCGACCAAGGTGAGGATCTCCGGAAATAACCACGGGACCTAGCATTAATTTCACATTCAGTATCTCCATAACCGCCGCATGAACAGTTCGTTGAAGAACCTTGCTTGTTGGGGGTATTGGTCCGGAGACTTGAAGATGTACAAGCCTGGCACGGGACGGGAGAACGCTCCCTGGTTCGAAGCCCTTCAAGGTCTTTGAAGCCATGGTCTCTTGATGAATAGATGTACTCAACTATCCTTGCAGATGAAAGTGGATGGGCATGGTTCATCCCACTAACTGGGAAGGCAAGTTCAGAAACCCTTCTCAACGCCCAACAAATCGCTCAACTTCTTTAATCGCCAACAGGTGTCTGTCGGAGTCGTCATGGATCAAGAGATCTCCATCAAGAAGAAGGCTGAAGGGCGGGCCAAAAACTCCAACTTCACTCTGAAGGACCACTACCTCGAACAGCTTGAACTGGCGCCTGGTGTCAAAGATCTTCTCGGGAATGGAACCTTGACCGACGAACCGGTACGCTCTGCAAGTGACTACAGCTATTCTCCCGATCGCTTCTCTGGCGATCACTTCAGACTTGTTGGCGATGCTGGAGGTGAGCCCCTTACCTCAGTCTATCTGAAGTCGTTCTCACACCAGGCAATCTCAGCGTTCATCGATCCTTTCTTCTCGTAAGCACTGTTTCAGAACTCCCCTCTTCCATATCTCTCCGGCTGACTATTTTCGATAGGTCAGGGGTGCATCTGGCGATCCTGAGCGGATTGACTGCCGCAATTACGGTGTCTGCTTCAATGAATGGTCAATGCAGCGAGGAAATGGCAGCCGACTTTTTCCACATCAAGGCATCCACAGCGTACACACGGTGAGTAGACAGACGTGTTGCCGTTCAGATCCATGATGTCTGATACAAATGCCGCCAGTTTCCTCATCGTCGTTTTGAGTGTATACAAGCAAATCAGGGCTCAGTCGCTCGACGTAATGAGCGACGTCGACGAAGATAACTTCGATAGGGCGTTCGACATGCTGAGACCAGTCATTCAAGGCACGGCAGACGTAGGAAAGAAGCTCACAGACGACGAACTACAAAAAACCCTCGACTTCTGCCAACGTAAGTGTCTACCTCTGCTCCACTTCCGGTATTGCGATGATGCTGACCACATTGAACTTTGTCGACCACATAGACGTCTTTGCCGCCGCAGACAACGACATCGTCGACGAAGTGGCATCCAGATGTCAACCAGAACTTCTTTCCATTGCAGCGCCAATCTTCAGCGCAGAGCAGCTAAACGAGATGATCGACCCCAATGACGCAGATGCCGCAGCTGTCATTAACAGAATTAACTCTTCCAAGGCGTTGGCGTCGATGTATGTTGGCGGTCCTCAGCTGATTGAAAGCGATCCCGTCAATGGATTCGTCGCCACCCTTGAGAAGGGAAAACTGGGTCTTGTGCGAATCTGAACGCCGGTCTTAGTGACATTTTTACGTTCTGTATACTTAGTATCTATCATGTATATGCTTCATTCCGTCTTCGCCTGCCGTGCGCTACTATGAACTCCTCATGTAATATTTACTGTACCTGTATTCTATTTACGTTTTGTAACTTTGGAATTATGAACGTTGTTAACCTTTCGAATGAGCGAGTTCCTTTCGTCGATCCTATTCATGACTGTTCCGCGCAGTTGGGGAACCTTGACCAGTCGCCACCCTGACGTCCTTCTAATTTAGGTTGTACACCTTCCTCTTCTGGATATCGTTTCAGAGTCAGCCAATAGGTACGTAAGAGTCATACACGTATCAGGCTGCATCATAATCCCGGACAACGGTCCCCATTCCCAATCTCTCAGCCTGATCCACCACAGCTCGTGCCACTACGACGTCCTGCAGTCCCACACCAACCGACTTGAAAACCGTAATGGGACCATCCCATCCCTCCGAAGGTGCCCCCTGATCATGAGTCCGAGCTGCCCGGTGGATGCTCTTCCGGATCCAGTCCCTCAACGCATCCATATCGACTCCCCTCCCATCCTGTAACCGCGGTACAACCTCCCCAATCTCCACCATCTCCTCCGGCTTAACCCTCATCTCGATCAACTCTCCAGCTTCAACGAGACAACTCTCGCTCGAGTCGACTAGCAGTGAAGCCGGAGAGTGACTACCCTCGTAACTCTTCTCTTTCCCTGCCTCATGGTCAGTCCAGCTCTTCCTCTGTAAAGCCCTCTCAACCATCCTCCCTTCAACCTCCTTCATCTCCGGGGTATAACTCCCCACCAGAACAATATGCGTCCCATCCCGTACCCATTCAGAGCGGAAGAGCGGCTGCCTGGCCGAAGTAGCGCAGATGACGAGGTCAGCGGTGCGGAGTGCTCGCTCGACGCGTTCGGACGAAGATTCTTTCGAAGCTGTCGCCGTGGCACCCTCAGCATTACCGCCGACACCCTCCTCCGAGTCTCCCGCCGAGCACACCAGCTCAAACACAACCTTTTCAAACTGGGAAGACAACCTCCCAATCAACCCCTTCGCGCGATCGTTCCCCGAGCGATTGACGATCGTGCATTTCTCCACTACTCCGCCCTTGCCTTCCGGGACCGACTCGTCGTCTCCTTTTTGCCCATCGCATTCGGGTGTATTAGGGGGGTTGAAGAAACGCAAGTAAAGCTCCAGATGCGCTTCAATTTGGTTCCCCGCTCCAAAGGCTACGATGTGCTTCGGTAGCCTGCCTCGATTCTGCGAAAGGAGGAGCGTAGACGAGAGGAGCGAGCCTGCACGAAATTTCCATACCGAAATGATGATCGTTAGTCAAAGAGGAATTTGGGAAAAAGAAGGGGATGATTGCCCTACGCACCAGCCGCATTCCTCAAAGCAGTCAACTTCCTCGCGTTCACAATCGCCCTAACCGAGCCCGTCCGCTCGTCAAGAATGACAGTGGTAGCCGGTAAACCTGCACCAGCTACCTCTCTCGGAGCTTGGGATCCCGGTACCGAGACGATCTTCATGCTCGTGGTAATTGAAGACTTCGTCGTTTCATCGGAGCCCGCACTCTGCAACTTGTCTTTCTGATCCCCCAGGGAGGAGGGGGGACAGAACCGGGCAGGCATAAACAGAGCGGTATGATTCTCCATAGCGATATTCAACCGATGAGGTGTTTGAGTCCCAGGTCGAGTCCGAGTTCGAGCACGAGAAGAGTCAGAAGTAGCAGCCAGCCTAGAGCGAGAGATCGAAACGAACACTTCTGCCATTAGACATTGCAAGTCCTCCGGTAAGAACGACGAGGAGATCCTGTCGACGTCTGCAGCAGATAGCACCCTGAGATCTTTGGCCATTTTACTTATGTTTCTGGGATGATGGTGGTAAGAGGAAAAACAAGCGCGTTTGACGCGTCAATCATTTAGCCTGTGACAAAATGGATATTATTACAATAAGAGGACGATTACCCAAGAATCAGCATAGCTAGGAAAATATACACAGATATGGTACACGTAGATACGAGAGATGCGACTTGCGAATGAGGATGGGACTGGATGGGATAGCGAAAGCGATGATTAGATGATCGTGGAGGAAAGGGCGCAAAATGAAGATGTGCGAGTCCATGCTGATGAAAGTCTTGATGAATACTTCCAAACCCATTGAACGAGGCAGATAAAGGACGAAGAGATATTCCGAGTCCTTGTAGAAAATCACTCCGATAGTCCAATAAGAACCATCGCGGTTACCCCCGCCAACAAACTCACGACCGCCAACGCCTTCTTCGCCAGGCTCGCTGGCCTGGGCTCATCTTCAGGCTCGTCTCCTCGTCCTTCGCCATGACCATGCGCATCGTGGTGGTGGTGGTCGTGATGATGGTGATGATGGTGGTGGTGACCAGGACCATGGTGATGTCCACCTTCGACATCTCCAAACACAAAGTCACCAGCAATCATCTCTACAGTCGCCACATAGATAAGCATCCCAGCCGACACAGCCGACATCAAGCCCTGGATGAGTTTCAGAGGAGCTGCACACGAAAAGATGAGTCAAGTGAGATTGAGATTGCGAGTGGAAAATGTGCGGACCTTCCTCAGAGGACTTCTGGTTCTTGAGGACCACCATGCCGATTGCCATCCCTGCCGGCGTCGTCACTGCGAAAAGTAAGGAAAGAATGGTTTTTAGGGGATTCAATCTGGATATCCATGTCCTGTGATGATGATGATCGTGGTGGTGGTCATGCGAGTGCACTTGGGTTGACGCTGAGGTGGAACCATACCCATTGGAGGCGTGATGATGCTGGTGGTGGTGGTCGTGCTTGTGAGCGGCATGCCTCCTTCCTAGTAGATTCCTCACGGATCCCCAACTAAGCCATTCTAATCTCAGCCTTGGTCGACTCTGGTGCCGCCTGGGAGAAATTCGAACCGAGTCTCGACTTTGGCGTTTGGAGAGAAGTGGTGCTGACGAGTCGTTACTGGAAGGAGACCCCTCAGCGAGAAGTGGAACAGGGACCTCGGCTTGCGGGGTGGGGGCAAGCTCTATGGGCGAAACTGCTGTGTCATCGCTTGAATGAATCGACTCGATTGACTGCGCGTTTTCTTCGTCGTTTTGGGCCTTGTCCTTCTTGTGTTTTGCGGGCGGGAGTGCTGCAATTCGAATGCCCAGAGAAAGTCCTTCGAAGAGTTGATGGAATAGAACAGCGGTGGTTAACGAAGCTATATTATGACATCATAGGTCAGTAACAACTCGATAACGATTGGCCATCAAAACTCACTGAAGTCCGCCCCTGTCGTGACTGCGAGAGTAAGGCCAATAACTAACGAGTGGATCATTATGCCAACTTGGAGGACCTGAGATGAAGGTCAGTAACGAGGTCACATTTGAGTAGACAAACGCACAAAAATTCCAACAATCTGCCTCCGCCTCCCCACGCGTATCTCCTCTTGGTGGTGATGGTGGTGCCGGTGATCATGGAGAGGTTCGTGATGGTCTTCAGTTCGTTCCTGACGCTCTTCTTGCACTGGCTCAGGGGTCTTGGGAGGTGCAGGTACGCAGACACAGGCTCCAGGGCAAATGCCCGCCTGACAGACGCACACGTTTGAATGTAACCGCAGGATTTTGGGGGTATTGGTGAGGAAAGGCAGGATCACTGTCGGGTCTTGTCCAAGTACTGGGGTTGGGCAGCCTGAAACGGCCAAAGGCAGAGGAGTGGACGCTAATGAAGGGGTTTCTGCTGGTGTGGAAGGTGCTGAAGGTTTGGCCTGTAACCTATCGACGTATGTGGTGGAGATGTCTTGAGTGAAAGATTAGCGCGGACTCGGGTAATCAGAGCGCTCGAACCTACATTCAACCAAGAATATCGCCAGCAGCGATGCCAATCTATGAAATATCCAATGTCAGTTGTAATACACCAGTCCTACTCGGACAAAAAACACACATGATGAGCCCAGTCCACTTTCCAACGTCGCCATACTCCTTCTTCACAGCATCGGACAAAAGTGCACAAAATGAATCAGGCAACAGATGTATGAACGCCGTCGCTAATATCACACCGGTACCCAAATGCTTTCCAATGAAAAACAAAAGATCCGGTGTTCGAATGAGGCCTGACCCGCTAATAGCTGGAAATGAAACAGCGACCAGGGAGGCGGCTAGGATGGCCAACATAACGGCGAGCTTTGCTGTGTCGTTTGGTGCCAACATATTGACTTCATCGTCTTTCCCAGTAGTGTCGTTAAATATTGTGTATGTTGTCGTCAACAGCGAGCTGAGCAGGGCGGACATCGCCTGGTGGCGGATGGAAAAAGAGGGAGAGAGACGAGCGGGGCTGGTGCTCAATATAATAGCCCCGACCCTAACCCCAGTCTTGGTGGGCATGAGGACCGCATCGGTAGGCTTGGCGCCGGGCGGGTTCTGAGTTCGATTCGCGCGGAAGGCAATCTGTTCATACATCGATCGCGTAGTCAACAAACTCAACAGGTGCAAGGCGCAGAAAGCAGAAAGCAAGTTCACCGTAGCTTGCCGCGCTATTGCGTGGAGAGGCAGGGCCAGGACTGAACCCTTTGAGGATGCCCAGACATTGGCAATATAACCGCCTCGGTAGCGTTGAGAGAGGTCTCGATGGCGAAGCGAGTCAGCGAGACGGTCCTTGTCAGAAGCGAGCCGGACCCGACAGGCCTGCTGAGTTACATAGTCAAATCTAGCTCGTCTTATCCAGCGTCACGGCCTGGGATCTCCATCTCGCCTAAGCTAAACCGCTGTATAGTCCGTTCCCGGCATGCTTAGGTTGACCAGTGATGGGATGAGAACCATACCAGACTCACAGTTCTATAAATTCCTACAACGCCGCCAGCTAGAAGTAAAGGTTCAGCTATTCAATAGGCCGCTCTGCACACCAGTCCAAGAACAGGGAGTATGGGGATAGTTGTGGTAGGAAGTCAACCTATGTCGTCAACACAACGAAATCCAGGAAGCTTCGGGTTCAAGCGGCACGTAAATCCCGCTCGTTCCGCACTTCCGCTTCTTCCGCTCCCCACTGCACAACCATGTATTTCAATTCCACTAGAACTGAATCAAATACTACAAACCCTCTCCCCAGGCCTCTCCAAAACCCACTCCTTAACCTCCTCCGCCCACTCTTCACCCTGCCCAATCCCAAGCACCCAATTCACACTAATATGATTATGCCCCTTCCCCACCACCATCCTCTGCGGCCTGCCCAACCTCCTCCCAACAGCCTCCCGCATCTTCCTCCCCGCGTCATCCATATAATCCGGCTCCTCCTCCGCCTGCACCATCAAAATCTCCGGCAACGAACCCAGCTCGGAGTCAGGGAACCGGTTGAACAAGGATAACGCATCATTGGCTTTAGCTTCGTCGAGGGTGGACCAGTACTTCTCGATCGCAGAGGCACGGGGTGTACCAGGTACAGCAGCCGAGACGTCGTATCCGCCCGCGAAGAGGATTAGACCGGTGATTCGAGAACGCAAGGGTGAGTCCAACGGGACAACTGAAGTATTGAACAGAAGCGTCGCTGCGTGCGTTGCTCCAGCCGAATGGCCCATCACAACGATGTTCTCTAGGTCTGGAGATGGGCTTCCGGGAGATGCCAGTGCCTCGGGGTTCTTAATGACCCACTCTATCGCATCGCGAACATCCTCTACCGGTTTGGGATACTTGAACTCTGGCGCGAGCCTGTAATCCGCGATGACAGTAGGGATCCCTCGTCTGGCGAAGAACGAGCCTACACAGGCGTACACGAGCCCGAAACTAGGCGACAGGTTCCTCGCGCCAGTGACAAAGCTCCCTCCATACACAAAGAACAGAACAGGCGACTTCTCCCGCCTATCCTGTTCTAAAGGGTAGTAGATATCCAGCTGTACAGGCAATCGATAAGCTGCTCATTCCAGGGTAGGAAGAGACGAACCTGATGCCGGTCAGTGGGCCCATACTTGAACGTCTTGAACGGGATTTCCTGGATATGGGCCTTATTCGCAGTGAGGAGAGGCGCCAAGATCTCTATGGCTAATAAGCTCAATTAGGAAGCACAAAAGCCAAACGAAACCCCGATGCAACTCACATGCCTCCATAACATCGGGAATATCCCGACCCCGAATCTTCGCCAGTTCATCCATCGAGGCGCAATCTACTTGAGGGAAAGAGATAAAGATCAGATACAAGAGATAACGAATACCCTGCTGCGTGGATTAGTCAACAAATGTCGCATCCGTGCTCATTGGTTTAACCGAGTCCAAGGTGTTCTCAGAAGCCTAATCAAAATTAAGCAGTAGATGGAGCATTACATGCCGAAATGCGACTGTAGATCAACCTCTATATCTACCGGTTCTCCTCGGGATCGTCGAGCAGTCCCCGTTCTTCGTCGGTTTCCGAAACCAGGGGCACCTCCTTATCTTTTACTTTGCTAAGCTGCAAAAAGGGTATTAGGATATTGATATTCCATCCTAGGTAGACAGCAACTCACTGCGGTGTACAATGCCGAGACCACAATGATGACCGTTCCGACAATAGATAACAAGGGCGGCGTCGTTTTGAGGAAGATGCGCTGGAGGATCGTCGCGAATACAATCTGAAAACGCGTAAACATCTCGCTGAAGATCTAGAGAAGCCATCTAACATATTTACCTGTGTATAGACAGCCATAGTCCCTCTTCCAGCGGTTTCCCGTTGCAAACCCATCGTCAGCAGGATCTAGACCGCAGTTTAGCTCTTTTCCAATAACACCAAAGGAGACGTCATACCTGGGCAATGAAGCCGAATACTCCAATCATCAATAGCATAGCCAGCCAGCTCGTTTTCGCCGGGATGATGAATTCGGTCCGAGTAACGAGCATACTAGAGGATGGTGAGATAGAACTCGGAAGAAGGAAGGCTTGGTTGGACGGACGCTACGCCAGAGAAAATGATGGACTGCCCAGCAAAGGAGACCATCGAATGCATAGTATGTGCTCGTTTACCGATAGCCCTCAAACTAGTGACTGAGGATCTGTCAATACCATAACTTCTCGGAAGCGAGAGTTTCCTTACAGGCTAAGGTTGCACCGAGAACACCAATTAGAGCAACACTAGGGCGCGCGGTCAGAAAACCAGCGCGCTACACAGTCAATCGACTCACCCAACCGCTGTTAACCGCTGAGCAGGGGTCACATCCTCATCTCCCACATTGTGCTGGGACGAGTCTCCAAACAGCCAAGGTGGACGAGCAATGAGTACCACACCGCCCAAACTGAACACTGGAAATAAGGCTTTAGTCTCCAACCCAGATGAGAGAACGGAAGAACGCACCTCCAGCGACGAGTTGTGAGACTCGTAGATGCTCCCCCAAGAACATAGCTCCAGCAATAGCTGTACACATAGGTGACAAGAAGGTCAGGACGGTTGCGTCTGACAAGGAGAGGTATTGCAGGGAATAGTAGATTCCATAGAGGCCAATCGAACTGCAAAACGTCAACAAGAGAGATTCGTCGTGTGAAGAGGAACGCACCCGCCAATACCCCTGCAGAAAAGAAGCCACCGTACTCCAGGTGGGCCCAAGACAGGGTTAGAAACCCCCGTCCAAACCCTGAACGCACAACAGTCAATCCAGAAACGGGTGAGAGTTCCAAAACGTGAACTCACATATATGCCACACTAAAGACATATGTGATAACCTATAAGCAAAACTCTTCAGACACCCTCGACGTCCAAACACGTATCAGACACACACACCATCCGAACAAAAATGAGCTGCAAATCCATTAGCAAAGGATGGAGATGCAGCCTCGTAACGATTCCTTCACCTCAAACGTCGAAACCGGCGGGTCGATACTGTTCAGAATCTTCACTGCCAAATGCATACACGCAAAGAACAGCTCCGAAGCAGCAACCAACAGCAACCCGACATTATTCGACACGAAAGTCTTCAGAGCTCCCGGTGATCGTTCGTCGCGCTCATTGAACCCTGGTAAATCTGCAACCGAGCCATAATCCCGGTTTCTTGACATTTTCCTTTAGAGTTTGCGCGCTCTAAGAGGCGAGAGGAGCCTGAGAGACGTCGAGAACGCGCACGGTAGCGGTGGATCGTGGTGGACGGCGAGGAACAGGGAAATCTCGGGCTTGCCGAACTGTGCCAAGGTTTCGGCCACAATTTGAAGGTCCGCACCTCGTCGCCGACTCGGAGTTCGGCAAGTCTCGTCTTTGGCCGGTCATCGATGGTTGTGCTTTCGTCTTCCTCCTTCATCATCGACGGCGGAAGAACGCTATGTTATGGTAACATCCTCCTACGATGGGGACAAACCTCTTCGTCAGGTAGGGAAAGACTGGCCTTTCTGGGCCAAGCGTTTTGGTCGCCGTTGACACGAGGCGTGCTGGTGAAAGAGGTTGTGGAACCGAGGTCCTATTCTTGCGGCAACTTCTGTCATACAACATTCTGAAACAAGGGTTACGAGGAGCGGCTTGCTACTTACCTCGCAGCACAGTGGAGCGCTCGACTCGGACAACGAAGAACAAACCTCGCCCCTCGTCCCGATCCATCCGACCTCTCGTACACGAAAGGTTAGCTAACTGTTACCGTCCTTTGCAACGTATTATGAAGGAATCATTCTCCTCGGATATTCCGTGGGTACCTCGTTGCCCACTGTGCGAGAGACACCAATTCCAGGACCTGGGCAGTCAGCCACGGAAGTGCTTAAACACACTCTGTACGACGAAGGTACGCTTACACAAGTTATCCTTTCCATCCTCATCACCACAGACTTACCAAAATACTTATCAAACTCATCAGCTAAGTCCCAAACAGAGTATACGCAATCCCCCCTCTTCCTCCACTGATCGACGTCAATTCGGCCGAATGGGGTGACCATTAACTAACTATCGCGTCACCACGCACGGCTATCCACTGCGCATCTATGCACCCTCGCCTCGGGCGATCCTGCAAGCTCGGAACAGAGACCCAAGCAGTGCGTATTCCTGTCCATTCAACAATCAAGACCAATACAATACGAGGTGCGAGAGTACACGCCCTGATCTTGTGCTAGTTCCACGGCTTCCACCCCCGTTGATCAGCCCGGAATACCGTGGGTTGTAGTCCACCAATACAATCTGTCGCAGCCCCCAGTCCCGGTGGCAAGGAGATCAAGCTACTTAGACGTCAGCGCGTTCCTGACTGCGTGCGTTGAATTGGCCTCGTGGGCCGTCGTTCAAAGAACAAGGAGGCCTTTATCCGGAAAACTCTATAACGAAAGGGCCTAGCCTCGCAAGCGTCCAGCTCACCATTGACACCCTCAGGAAGGGAGTCTCTAGGACCAAGGAGGTGCGCTATGTACTCTCCCACATCCCATCTGCATCCCAAACATCGAGGCTCAACTTCGAATCCAAGCTCTTGTGTCGAAGAAGACCTGTCACCAATCCTCTACATCAGGCTCGCATCAGATCCCGAATCTCCATCTCACCTCTTCACACTATCACAATTCATCGAAATTCCCTTCTTTGGGCATTCGACACCCAGGGCTGTTACTCCAGGTGACTTACTTTGGGCTAGTTATTCTCGGCTTCCTACCTCGACTTCTGCGCCCAATCTATCATTATTTCGGCTTCACGATGAGGCCCCTTCCACTCCAAAGGCCATGTGGAGTGCAGGACTTCAGCTTTGGCTCTTGCAGGGTTCACAATAGCTCTGTGTCTGACGCGTCGTACCATCCCTGTCCTCGCTCAGAATCTCCTTCGCGAGCGCTAAGTGTAGCCCGGAAACGACGATCGCCATTCCAGTCCAATGGCGACGACACAGGCGTACAGCGTGGAGGCGAGACCTAGCCTCAATCCAGTAAATACTTCTGTGCAGGCGGGCCTATACGAACAAGCGCTGACGACCATGAATGACGAACACAATGACGACGATTGGCTTGTGGAGGGTCGAGGCCCTCTCCCATCCCCGAACATACATACAATACATTCTACATTCCCTCCCAGTTCCCGTTATGTAGCTACTTTTGAACTCTCGACTCTGTCGCTGTCTCGAGCCTGGGTGTTCAGAGTCTGGCCCCCGGCCGCCGCCTTCCACTCCGAATGTCACCCCTGATCCTACAAGTCAACGTTCAACGTTCAACTCCGACTGAGATTCTAGCGCTCATACCTCTGAATTCTGAACCTCTGACTCTGAGATCTCCTTCGATCAATTTGCCCATGCGATGTGTCTTTTGCGACGTTTAAAGGACTTACTTCTCTAGCTTCAAAACTACAATGCCGATGACACGACGAGACACACCTAAGATTACTGTACCTACATACCCTCGGGCTGATACAGACCACACGGACCCGCTAATTAAAGGAAGACAGTAACCAACTCTAGATCAAACGATCGAGAATCCCCCAAAGCAACGCGACACGACAAGCATCTTCTTCTATCCCTCTCTCTTCCGCATCTGCCACGCCATACCACGCGATCCAAAGTTCTCCACCCAATCAACTCAAAAACTACCCAACAACTTCGAACACCCCAACACAATAACGCAACACGTTGCACAGCAAACCCAACCCAAACTTGACACCAATCAACAGCGAGCACTGACATTGACATTGACAAGGCACCCACAGCTTCAGCTTCAGCTGCTTCGCGATGATCCCCACAAACAATCATGAAACACTGAACAATGTCAGTGTGTACTTAGTGATACTTACTCACGGAGCACACAAACGATCATCGGAGGGACGACCTTCCCGACACCTGGATCCGCTCCCCCAAGCGTAATATGGATCATAAAGGTGTCTGCCTGGACTCTGGACAGTGGACAGCCTCCCGGCTCGGTCATCCAGATAACCGCCCACGCGTGGAGAGGCGGAGAGATGGCAGTCATCGCATTCTCAGGGCACTCCGCGCAGATCTTCGCACTATACGCACCCGAAACACTCACCCTCACCGCAACCCAAGGTCTCCTCGGAACTCCAATCTTCCACCCACAAAACCCCCCGAAAAGCACAACATTAAGACTTGAATTATCATACTCATAAACTACTAAACAACGCATCTGAATCATGAACAAAAAAAGTGGAGTTGGATGGGGCATGAATGATCACAAGAGATACTTTTACATTTTCGTGTCAACTGTAGTAGGTAGGTAAGACGTACAAGAAACAGTGAGAGAGAGAAAAAGATGACGAGTGGGGCATCGGATGGGGCATCAGGAGACGTGAGGTGGAGAGATAAAGGAGTTGGTAAACCAGCCCTGGACTAGCACTACCCTGTGGCTCGACTTCATGGAGACGAGGTGCTAATCCACAGCTGGAACGAGGAAAGGGACGATTGAGGATCGAGGAAGGGACGCGGAAAAAGGAGGACAAGAGGGAGGGAGAAAGGGTTACACAAAAAAGAAATTAACGACAAAAACTGGTAGTACAAATACTTTCGCAAAAAAACGCAACTATCACATCCAACCAACGCACAAATGTCACATGCGCCGCCTGAACGTGTGTTTGGTAGATTTAAAGATTTAACAAGCGTGAGTGGGTCGACGAGAAGCAAGGGGGGAGGAAGCAAGGCGATAGAAGAGGTAAAAAGGGAAAAGGAATAGGAAAAGAAGCTCGGAAGACATAAAGAACAAAGAATAAAAACAGAATAGCATAAGATGTCGAGGAGGTCAAGTCAAGCCCCCATAGTAGTGAAAAAGGGAGTAGCGAATGGAGTCGAGGTCGCGTAACAGGGGGAGAAGCCAAAGTTTTAAAAACCAGAGGCAGTACTAAGTAGACTGTCGAAACGATACCGAACCGAGGAAGAGAGGAAGGAGACCAGATAACTGAGTATAATCTACAAAAAGCAAAGAAGAAGAAAAAAGAGGCTTTAAAAGCAAACTCCACGAACTAAAAAAAACATTCGTAGCGCCGCCGTGTATACAAGTACGATTTCTTTTTTCGGGATCAAAAAAACATATAACCAGGAACTAGTAGTAGTCTGAATACTTTTGGTTGGGCCGATGTGCATCGGATGTCGTCGACTGGTCGTCGGCGTCGAGTATGCTTTCGAGGTTCAAAACCAAAGACGGAGGGGAAAATCTAATAATCACACGTCAGCCACACATCCCAACAGCCCCCAACCGAGAAAACAAAACACACACCTATCTCTAATCTCCCTCCTCTACGACATATCCATAGAAGCATACTGCTGCCCTTGCGCATCGTACATCCCCTGCTGGCCATGCTGGTGCTGCTGTCCGTGTTGCCCCTGCTGCTGCTGCTGCTGAGCAGCCTGAATAGCAGCCTGATACTGCCTCTGCATCTGCGCGGCATACTGCTGATACGCAGCAGCCGCAATCTGTTGTTGTTGCTGTTGCGTGTATTGCTGCTGCTGCTGCTGTTGTTGTCCTCCCACTCCAGCAGTCGAAGCACTCCCCAAAGACGGAGACGTGCTCTGCGAACCAGGCTGACTCCCACTCCTCGAAAGAGGCTGCGTATTGCCCAACGCCTGGCTCAACGAACTCGAGCTCGTACTACTCGTCGTCGTCGCCCCAGTCCCGGAATTCGGCGGCAGCCCAGTGTTGATCCCCACACCATTCACCTGCTGAACCTGCACAACCTGGATCGGAGTCGTCAACGTGCTCGTATGGGGCGCTGGCGTCGACGTGGTCGAACCGGCGTTCATAGGCATAACACCCGACTTGGGACTCGTGTTGGCACTGTTCACGGTCGTTACGGGGACGCTCACAGGGATAGGGGTACCCGTCCGGCTCCGACTGCCCGCCCGACTAACAGGCACGCTCGCCGAATGGTTCTTGAACAAATGCCTCTTCCTTCCTTCACGCTCATCCTCCTGATTCGTCGTCGTCGCGGCAGAGGACGAATGCGTGGTGGAACTCGACGAGCTGGAATGGTGATGGTGGTTCTTGCGTCCATGGGTGCCGTTCTGCAAGCACTCGTGCTGCCCGCTCGCGAGCAGGGCGAGACCGACAGCGCCATGATCGCCCGAATGCTGGTAGTGATACCGCAAGCCGTTCATGTTCTTGTACCGGCGTTGGCAATCGCCAACGCCACACGCAAACGGCCGCAGTCGCTTCTCAGCCTCCCGCTCCACCTCCCTCAACTCCGTCTCAGTGATGTTCATCGACGACAGGTTGAGATCGTAGTAGGTGCTGAGGAGCTGGGTGTCGAGCGTCGAAGGGAGTCCACCAATCGTCCCGTCATTGGCACCACCGTTGGGGCGGTTCACAGGTGCACCCTTCGCCTCCCTCTCCCTCCTCTTCCTCTCCAACAGATCCTTGACATGCTCCAGATCCTTTGGCGGCGCAAAGTTGCAGCTTCCATGGGTCATGTGGTACTTCAACCCATTCGCCTGCTTATACGACTTGTTGCAATTCGGCTTCGGGCATCGGAACGGCTTGGACAACAGCAGCGACGCGGCGGGTCGTAGAGAAGTTGATGAAGTCGAGTGATGGGAGGATGTATTGTGATGCGTGGTGGTGGAGGTACCGTTGGCCATCTGCTGTCGACCGTTCGCCGAAGTCGCGCCGGTGGGTGTAGCGGGAGCAGTATTGGACTTGACCAAGGCCGGAGCACCTGACACAGGGGGCGACCTATTGCTACCTTGTTGTTGCTGTTGCTGGCCGGGACTTGGACTCCCAACACGACTACCGGGCGTGCTGGCCGGAGTACAAGTGCCACTAGGGGCAAACAAGAGTGCAGGAGGGAGGCAAGACATTTGCGGTTGGTCTCCGCTCTGCTGTTGTCCCTCGACCTGTTGGTCCTGTCGTTGATATTGTTGTTGGTCAACAAAACGCTGTTGGGGCGAAAAGTTGTTTTGAGGTACCTGAGGGTTTTGTTGCTGCTGATGAACCTATTAGACGACAACAGATAAGAAAAACCGCGTTGGATAGCGTTTGGAAGGAAAGTAGACTCACCCGTTCCCACTCATCCCTACTCGCACCATTAAACTGGGCGCCAGGCAAGCAGCTAGAGTAATCAGAAGCGAAACGAGCATACGTGTTGAATGCGTCTTCGGGATGGGCAAGTACGTTCGAATTGCTAAGCTGAGAGCGTGGATAACTGAGGTTGAGATTGAGGTTTGGTCGGATGGTACCGTGTTGGGCATTGCCACCGAAGCCGGTGGGTGAATTCTGCCTGGTGCTCGCTGCTGTCCCTGATAGAGGCGACGATGGTTGAGAAATGTAGGGTGAGAGAATGCCATTCGGGTTACCATTCGGCAGGTGATTAGGAACGAAAGCATGTGGAGATGGGTAGGCGGACAACGGGGTGGTGATGGGAGTATCAGGTGGGGAGGGCGCGCCACTGGATGGCGACGACCGGGAGCTCGACGCAAAGTGCGAGTACGAGGTTGCGGTGCTTGCAGCTGAGGACGGTGGCACCGATGGTGGGAGCGATGATGTTGGTGGGGGGACGCCGTTGTCTAGATCGAGTTCGAGTTCCATGTCGTCTGGGTCGAAGGGTGTCGGTGGGGGTGGCTGGTGATTCTGGAACTGTGAGAACTGCTGGTTCTGCTGCATGGCGGTGTTGGCGAGAGAGTTGAGGTGCTGCTGGAACTGGGCTGCTGCAGAGGCGTTGCGCGCCGCGGCGGCTGAAGGGTTGCCCGAGGTCCGTTGCTGCATCTGCTGCTGAGGCGAGAGCTCGTTGACCTGTGGGTTGAAGGGCACCTGGATATGGGCCTGCGACTGTGCGTTGTTTGGGTCGACGACGACGATGTGGACTTCCTCAAAGTGCTCCAGGAGCGCATGGAGGTCGCTAAGGTGGAGGCCACAGCAGGTGTAATTCCGGCACTGGCGATAAGGGTAAGCGAGGGTCATCGGAGACTGTGGCACTACTTACAAGCTCGCCTTCACGGTCGAAAACGTTGAGGGCATTGAGGATGGAGCGGTCTGCGTCGAGGGAAGAAGGTGTTTTACCTGCTTCCCATGAGCTGAGAAGCTGGTGGGTTGGGGAACCGACGGGGAATCTTGAGGACCATGAAGAAGGGTTGCCAGTCGAAGTGGCCATCATGGACATTCCATAGGAACCCGCTCGCCAGGAGATGGGAGAACCGATGAAATGTCTTGTGTATGAGGCCGGGTTGAAGGGCCCCGACGACGAGCCGGTGAATGAACCAACGTCCATGCTAAAGTCTTGAGGATTGGACGAAGACGAGGACAACGAATGTGATGCTGAAGTCGGAAGAGCGATTGGCTGTGTTGTCGACTGGGTTTCAGCCATTTCTAACTAGTCGAGTTATAAAGTAGAATCAACTAATGGCAAGAGGGAGACCTGTTACTTCCCTGAGAATATCCACACCTCCACAACCTTATCAATTATTTATTTATTTATTTATTTTTCACGGACCTTATTCATCCCTACTCCCGCTCTATCTGCGCACCGCGCCTGGCACAGCTTCCCAGTCCTCATCCATCTGCCGTCCAATCCAATCCTTGTGTCCTCCGAGCACACCGCAACTCTCCTGCCACCGAGAACCGACAAGCCCCTCCGCCCACACAACGCCCCTCCCCTGCGTCGGACTCTAAATCCACCTCCTGCCTTGGTCAGCACCGGCTGCCCAGTCTCTTAGCCTTCCTGCCTCGTGTTCACTTTGGGTCGCCGACATCACCACTTTGGGTGGTTCTGTTCTCTCCTCGATCTGAATTCTCGTACACGTACTTTGACAACATGTCCCTGCTGGTACACGACCAAAACCACTGGGGAACCGAACTTAGTCCGCCCCTCCTCGACCCAGAGCTATGAATAGCTTTGTCTTCTGACGTTTCATCGATATCAGCCACCCCGCTCATGCTATGCCGGCGGGCGCACGCGAAACTCTAGTCCCCTCGATGGTACCTTACTTTGCACTTAACCCTTATCTTTGCGGGCTGTCCATCGAGTTAATAGTCCCTACACCCACAACGATCCATCCATGACATCGCCGCGTCCTTGTTCTCAATTGTAATTAAGTAGGGTCAGCACCCGGCCAGGATCCCTAGCCACACGTACATACCCAATGTCGTACCTCCCCAACCCCATCCCCCGATCATCACCCAATCTCCAAAGCCTTTCCCTATACACTTACGAAAATCCATTGACACTACATACCAGCAACCCACGCGTTCACCATCGACCTGAACTCTCTATCCCTTCTCTGCCCATCGCTTCTGTGAACAGTCTGCCCCTTCTGTGAACGAATTCCCCTTCCGTCAATAGTCTATCCAAACCTAATCACCTCGTGGTTTTGAATGATCCTTTCCTCGCTATGAATACCACGAACAGCAGCAGTCCTTCGAAGGAACTGATCATACACTACACCCTTCCAAAGGCGTCGCTGATCATGAACTTTACCTGCCATGGACATCCCTCTCATAGGCCGTGAATTGGCGTGACCTACTAGGGTACATCTCCCAGAGGCATTCGATATGAACGCTCTGTTGATTCCCTTAAAAGTACTGATCATGCACTACGCCTTCCCAAGACGACCTTCCTCTTCCCATCGCGCAACAGCTTCTCTCTAACATAGATACATACTAACCCGATCCCTGCGGCCGAGCCCAGCCGACGCCCCCGTCCCCCCTCCTCTCTCACCAATCAAATCGCCAACTACTGTCCATCGCTCCACTTCTCCAACCTCCGGGCCTTGAGTCCAAGCTCCCATTGTTATGCTGCAACCACCCACTAGATTCGTCGTTGCGAGTCTACCAGCCACAAGCACTCGCTCCCTCGCTTTCTAATCATACCACACCACACCGGTACCCTACCATAAACCACCACCGTTGAACCTTCCAAGTTAGACCTTACCCGCTCGAGCTCCGAAGTCGATCACAAATCCACCCCAACACTAATCAGAATCATCCCTCCAAACTGAAACTCCGCATCGATACCCCGATCACAGCTTCAAGTAAGCGCCAAAGTACTTAGCACGCCGGTGCAGTGGGGGGATGGGTGGTAGAACGTTTAGCCTCTTGCTTGAGGACGACCCGGGATCCCTCATACATAGTCCCGTGCTCCAGCGAACCCAGACCTGAAGGGCAGTCGGTAGGTAGGTAGGTATCATTGGATGTATTGGGACTGGCGCCTCGGAAGGCTCAGCGACGAACAAGAGTCATAGGAGTGTCCAAGTAATAACAGTGCCATATGTATGTACCCCTTCCTCGCCATCCCCGTCCCTGCTTCCAAGGTCGAGCTCCATCCACTGCCAAGAAAAGACCCACCCAATTCCGTCGACATCGTCGCCGCATGGAGATCGCGGACCAAACCCGACCGGGAAACATGGAGAGACTCAGCTCCAAGTCCAAAAATCATAGATCCACCTCCACCCCTCTACTCCGCTTCAATCGTATGTCTACCGTACGTGTATACGGAGCAGGAATGAGTTCATTTGTCGTCGTAGGTAGTTGGAGATTTAGGCAATAATGAACGTCGCACAAGGTCATATCATAAGCGCGGTCCCGGAGGATGATAAGGCGTCGTAGATCCCAAGGGCGCTTATATTTAGATCTCTGGTAGATTTGGAGAGCGCCCACGGGGACCGTAGATCTTCAAGCAGACTATGTATGTACCATCTGATATAACCCTTCAAAACGCGTCGATCATGATTTCCCCATACCTATCATCTCGAACAACGTACACTGTGGATAGACTACCTGGTCCTCAGCGAGGTGTCCGAAAAGTTACAACATCTTTAATAATTACAGCTCGACTGAAGCCTGAGCCACTGGCAAAGCTTTACCTATGATCCACATAATATCACACCCACATCCACCTTCTTTCAATCCTTCGTCACATCACAACACACACAACACTACTTCGCGTTTCATTAAACACACATGTCGCGCTAGCGACTCTATTGCTAAACGTCTGAATCCCAGTCCCAGACGATCGGGCGCCTAACTTGAACGCGCAGATCATCTATATATCCAAATGCAACTCTTTCGTACTTTCCACCGTCAATTGACTGACTGGACTTCAAGTTGTGCTTCTGAACTCTCAGACTGGCTAGTGCGGAGAAGCCTGAAGAAGACTCGTATGTTGCCTGTATTCCGATTGAATCGTATCTGGAGGGTCAGAGATAATACCAAAAACGCCATAGTCCTGACAGAAATTGACTTCTCTCCTCATCTCGGTTCTCCAATCCTCGTCTTCTGAATCCTCACCAACTTCACAAAACCCCGATCACCTGCACCTAACTCGGACACCAAGCGATGTAAACTACTTACTTACAGGCCCTACGCACCTCGCCGCCACCAAGACGTACGTCAACAACACGTCTTTCAAGCGTCACCGGTCACCCCTTCTGAGAGGTTATGTCACAACAGATATCTAAATTCAAACCTCGCGATCGTACTTATTCTTGGTGCGCGAGGCTAATCCTGTACTGTACTCTCCTCCGCTCAAACGACGCTGTCAGTACGTACATACGAATGTTTTTGATGGATGAGAAATAATAATGTCGCCTCTGTAAATGCCGATCAGATAAGTTACTGGAGTCTGGTAGTAGTACCCCCAGCGGGGGTCCTAACGTTACATGCCTTCACTCACGTATTCACCGCCCTTTGGCTGGACCAATGTCACGGTGGACTAGACCCTGAGCTCGAGAATGTGGTCTTCCCGGTCGCAACTTGATGACATCCACGACCTTCGTAATAAGTATTACCACTCCGCTCTGCAAGCAGGTTTTCTCATAACTCTAGATCTGAACATCGCTTCCTCCTTGCCTTACAGCTATCCAGCACATCCAAACCACGCACCACCCGTAACCATACTCTACGTAACCTCCCTCCGTACACACCCTAATTTCTAAACGACAAATCCCCGTCACAACGACCATGCCTCGGGTGCACGTTCCGACTCGTGGGCCGCACATAAGTATGTAAATCAAGTAGTGAGTATAAGCGCCCAAGGGAACGGCTTGAGCCATTAGGCATAATTAAGATCAACGATCAGGATTCAGAACAATCAGCATAAGTAAGTTCCTGGTAAGGTAGCAATGAGCATCAATCATCCCGGCATCGTGAATTCGAAAGGACGCCTATTAGAGGAAGACAACATACGTTTCCTTGGGATCCCTGATTTGTCTAAATAATACCGTCATGGAGGTTTGGAAGCGAGCGTAGACAGGTGTGGACTGGACTCCAACCTTCTGGGTCGAGAAGAGTTGCTTCCGATTCCGAGCGTGAACTTGAAAGGTGGTTCTGATGTGCCTGGAATTGGATGCATACTACTCCACCATCCACGAGGACTGTAGAAAGCTGGGAATCGAAGGGATGTCCCAACAGGCAGAATTCAGGATCTTCTTCCAACCTCGTTCGTTCATTCCACGTCTCCATCCACCATAAACACCACACCTTGGCCTGAACGATGCCCCCAGCAAATCACAATCAAAATCAGACTTACGAAATTGATCGATCCCAATGACCACCACCCAACTAAGGACCTAGAAACGTGACCTTCCCCTTGCCTTGTCCGTTCCCAAATTACCCAGCTCAGTACCCTAGGCAGCCATCACCTCCGTCTCCGTATAACGACTACGCAAGCACCCTAAACTTCTGATGACCCATGTTACGCAATGTGACGAAGCGAAGGGAGGCAAACCTCAGCGCTAAGCTTCAGTTCAAGGAAGAAGACAGCACTTTGGTAAACAAGAAGACGTAAAACCGTCCTAAGGTAGTAAAAACTGGGACGGAGTTCTCGGGGATCGCTGGACTTTAATCCTGCTACATAAGTACCTTCCACTTGGGGTTTCATTTCCGCTTGCAGTTAACTAAGTTAATAAATCTAGCTATCTATGAAACGAAGTGGAGGAACTATGTGCTTACCCTACCCTCGGACATAAGTAATACTCATATTCTATCGGTAAGCAAAACTAACACTAAGTCTTAAGAGCTTCAGTTAGTTCCACTAGTCACCAGCAAAAAGTTCGTGGAGCACGCACCTCTTGGGTTGTTGTATCATGCAAAGTCGACTGGCTGAACCGTCCCCAGCCGGCGGAACGAAAGGTCACCGATAGACCCCATCACCACTTAGCAAGTTTGACATTTGACATTGACAAAAAATCCTGACAATTGACAAAATCAATCACCCGACCTCTATCCCTCTCCTCATCCACCAATCGCAAGGCAACACAAAACATACCCTGACAGGAAGCTACGGCGCACCCTGAAGTGACATCGGGAATTTCGACTGGCTCCAGGTTGACAGAATGTCCACACACAACTCGGAAGACAGCAACAGGCGATCCTTCCGAGACCCGACACCACCAACCCCAAAAGAGGCGGTGTTGCAGTGTATGGAGAGGCGAGTAAGCGAAATAAGCGGATAACCGTTGTCGCAACCGTGACGTCCGCATGGCGGGTGGGAGATGGAGGTGGAGGTGTCACGGCGACCTAACGGTATCTGCCCTGGATTCTAGGCGCGAGAACGATATTGTTACGAAAGTGCGATAGCGAGTGAAGTGCTGAATGACGAGATTGAACTTTGCCTTCTATGAATAGTTAAACTCCATCGGTGCTTCAAGTTGGTTTCCATGATCCAAGCGCGGAGGCCAGGACGAGGTGGTTGTAATGCGATGTCATGTAGAGTCACTAGTGACCTCAGGCTACGGCGTATGGTGAATAGATCTGCGCGACGAAGCCGGAACTCTGGTCACAGGATGTGGAGGAGGGAGATTTCAAGGAAAACAATAGAATACTGTATTCGTAGCATGTAAACTGAAAGGAGAAAGCAAACGTTAGCCCTTGTTCTCGGTGGAGAAAACCATGGACCCAACCCCCTCATGTTGCTTTGTTGAACGCCATATTTCCCGTCCTGATTTTCAACCGAGCGAGGTGAGTAGAGAGCCGACGCGGTACTCTGGTAGGACTCCGACAGAGCAGTTAATCCTCTGCCCTGAAACCCGAACTCCGCCGTCTCAGAGAGTCGCTCGCCTCTCCGACGCCTCGACATCCAGGCGGTGTTAAGCACATACAACGGTTTCAACTCGCAGCCGACTCACAAAGCACGGAGGTCGGCATCTAATTTAACTTGTCACAACATAAGTGCCTGTCTGTCAAATGCTAAGCGAGAGTCTGAGGGCGGAGTCCTCAAATAGGAAATCGTACGCTGGATTGGCTCTCGTTTAAGCAGCCGCTGTGATCTGCGTCCCTGTGTATCAGAGGGGACTCGTCCGCAGGTCGGGAGCCAGCTGCGCACCGGACCCTAGCCAGAAAGAAACAGTCAGAAGCCGTTGAAATCCTGGGACAAGATCGGCGGAATGGGCAGTCAGAGAGAACGAACAGCAGCGAAGATAAGCGAGCTCAGAGGGACCACCATCGGGGGTCTTTGGACCGGCGGAGACTCGAGAGACGACACGAAGGAACACCGGCGTCCGAGATGGACTTGGGATTTTGGGCGAGGGCCTCGACGCGCACAGCCATTAGGCAGAAAGGGTTCGGACATAGGCACTTCAAAGCTCCATACTGCAAGCTTCACAGTCGGTCACCGCTTGCGCTGAGTTGAGATGGGTTGAGTAACTGGCCTATCCAAACAGGTTCCAAAATAACTCGAACTTAGAATGGGCGGGGACCATCTCCTAAATAGTTCTTGGTGTAGCTGGAGAAATCTAGAGCTAGCTGGCTGAGGTATGGCAAGGTACATGAAGTAGAGAAGAAGGCCGCGGAAAGTAGGACTGAATTCGGAGTCGCCAGCCCCCTGAGGTCGGAATCGTCTTGGGTTACCGCCGAACGAGGGTGACGAATCGACCAATGAAGTCGGAAAGGGTCGATAAGTATACGATACCGAGCAAGCAAGACGCGAAAGCAAGATGCTCAGATAACCGAGTTCGATTCTGGGATAAGCCTAGGCAGTTTCCGAGGAGGCAGTGATCCCGACGATTTACGACCAGTAAGTGCCACCTCTCTAGTGGTAAGTAGCCCATCGTCGGACTCGGATTGTCGAGTCGGTATGCCCGACCCAAGATACAAGAGATACAAGTCACCAGACGGCTCGTGCGACGTGTCAGTCGCGGTTCAAACAGCAGGGAGGCGACATGTACGGTACGCGTCACTGTTTTTGATGAGCGCTCGGCAACGAGCGAAAGCGGCGGGAAAGCTTGGCAACGCTGAAGGGTATTGGAATGACGGCTTTCAAATTTCACGCTCTGAGCCACCACGTTTTACAGCGCACCTCGCTATGCTCACCGTCGTTTCTTTTCCAGGGACCTGTTGTGAAAGGCAGATTTGGAGGCCTGATCTGCGTTGTGCTTGTTCGACTGTCTCCTTTGGGCTCTTTCCGGACTGCATCGCATGAGGACAAAGATACGGGCACTTTGACGCGAATATTTTCCCGATATCTGTATTCCCTTCTCTTCAGAGAACGGGCGTGACTTTACTTCGAAGTCTCCGGTCAAGAATCCAAACGCGTTTCGAAATCGGACGTGTCTTGAAAAAAAAACCGTCAAAGATTGAGCGGTACGTCTGAAGTCTCCCTAAACATGCCAGTAGTCTCTATTCCTTGATACAGCTTTAATAGCTTTGATATCCTTCTGCTTAAGACGCTTGCCAACAGATTTTCGCAGCCTTTGGAGGCAGCTTCCAATCCTGGAGGCTGGAGCGTCGGGATTAGTCGGTCCTGTTCCCATACCGGGAATTATGCCCCTATTCTTAACACATGCCGACGTCATGCCGCCAGATCACAGCATTCGGGAGCGGATCCATTTTTGCAATTGGGGTGCTGGGTGAGGCCTTTTCGTTTGGAACCCTGCTTTCACCGAAACCCCAATGACCCCACTCCCCATCTAACGATTTCATCTCTTTTCACGAACTTTCCAAGAAAACTAGAAGAAACCTAGAGCACAACTTAGACGAATTGACATTCGGTATCCGAAACCGACTCAGAGACAAATCATGGCCAACGCACGGACAGTAGATTCTGGCGCCACTCCTAATGCCTCAACACTCGCTATCAGTCAACCATCTACGACGACTTCACCAGCCAAGCTGCATCATGAAACATCTCTACGGGCTGCTACGACCATCTTGGGGGCGCGAAATGTCGGGAAACCAACAGAAGAGGAGGAGAATGTGGAGGATGGTGACGGTGGGGCGACGTTTTGGAATAAGGCCAAGGCAAAAGTGAGAAGCAACACGGGGTTGCTTTTGATTGCTGCCTCACAAGCCTTCTTTTCCTTAATGAATGTTGCAGTGAAAAAGCTCAACACTATTGACCCACCCGTCACAGCATTACAGGTACGTCATCGTAGATATCCTTCCTGTTCGCTCGAAGTTAACCGCGGTGTAGCTCATTGTAGTGCGAATGGTATGTCAATGACTGGCTTGTACGTTGAACCTCGAACTTACATTCTGCAGGGGATAACGTACCTGTGCTGCATGGTTTATATGTAAGTTCCCAGAATCTGGGATGAAAGGTCGAAATAACACTTTCATCGTTCATAGGTTGGCAGCAAAAATTCCAGACCCATTCCTGGGACCAAAGGGCGTGCGGATATTGCTTGCATTTCGAGGCTTTACAGGGTGAGTGCCCTGATCCGAACGAAACATATACCATCCTCGCTCACAAGGTGCCTCCAGCTTCTTCGGACTGTTCGGCATCTACTATTCGCTGCAATACCTCTCCCTTTCCGATGCCACAGTCTTGACGTTCCTTTCGCCCATGTGTACCGCTGTAACCGGAGCACTTCTGTTGGGCGAGACCCTAACAAAACGACAAGCGCTCGCTGGAGGCAAGTCCCGCGTTTTTCGCTGCGCCCATTTGCGAGCTCAACGGAAATTGCAGTCGTGAGTCTATTGGGCGTTGTTCTTATCGCAAGACCTGCGTCATTATTCGGTGGATCTTCGAATTCAGCGTTAGAGGTTCCTGGAGACGATTCTGCAGGAACGCCAATCTCGCTCCCGGCGGATGACGACGGTGTTACGCCCGCTCAGCGCCTTTTGGCTGTGGGGTACGTCATATTAGCGCCCACCTCGGGCTGCGGTCTTGGTTGACTCGGTCTCATTTGCAGTGTTGCCCTTCTTGGAGTTTTAGGCGCGACGGGCGCTTGTGAGTCCCAATTCATTCTGTAGTATGGATGCGCAGTGATCTCATGACTGCGACATTCATAGATACTACTATCCGGGCCATCGGCAAGCGCGCCCATCCTCTCCATGTCCTCACCTCCTTTTCCTCGCAATGTGTGATAGTCGCGGCCATCGGGTAAGTCGGTGTTTCACAAAGTCCACAACCCTGGCAGGGGAACTCATTAAGCGGCGAAATAGCATGATCGTGAAGCATGAGTCTTTTGTCATTCCAGCGCGGCTCGCATGGCTGGCCATGTTGGCTATGATCGGTGTATTCGGATTCCTGGCGCAGGTATGTGCAGCTGACGAGGACCAACGAGTCGACTCACACCTCTCGCGTAGGTTCTTCTGACGATGGGACTGCAACGCGAAACGGCCAGTCGAGGCTCTATGGCAGTCTATACCCAGGTGCGTTTCGAGTGCGGGGTCGCTTAAGACTGGACCTGACCGCCGTCCGTTTCAGATCGTGTTTGCCACCATCTTCGAGCGGGTATTTTTCAATATCAAGCCGTCTCTCCTTTCGGCTATCGGCACATCCTTGATCATTGGTTCGGCAATGTACGTTGCTCTGAGCAAGAAGCCTGACGAGAAGGATTCAAAGCCGTCAGGCAACGCCGTGAAACTGCAGCGGGTGTCGGAAGACGGGATGGAGGAAGGCTTGCTCTCGAGTAGGGACGACTCGGGCGACTCAGATGGAGACGAAGATGCCAACAGGGACGGCGGACGGGAAGGCAGGAATCATGACCGGCCTGATGAAGACGATGATACCGACCTCGCTCTGCCGTTGCATCAATCTAATGAGGGGGCGCGGTCATGAGGATGTTCGTTCGTGTGCCGATTCTGCGTATCTTAGACTTCAATTGATCCCTTGGTTTTCTGTGCAAGGGGAGACCTGACCGGCTCCACCACAACCTGAATTGACATACCCCACCGTTGTTACCGGCCTTGAGGAAGATGCATGGCAAGATTTGTGGACTCTGAATGCTATTTCCGCGTCTCTGAATCTCTCCTGAATTCTGCCTGAGCCTCTCCCTTGGCTTGGGACTGAAGCCAAGCACGTCCGTTTATATTGACGGCACCTTTGCTTTGCCTTTGCTTCCTTCCATTTTCGAGTGGCGATGTCCTCGGTGTGTGATGGAAGATATCGAACGGGGTTAAGGGTCGCATCGCATCTCCATCCAGAGACCCACGTATGTCAATTTTCCCTTATCGAAGCACACAACTCACGACAATAGCAACAGTCAAGCAGCAGGCTGTTCGATGGATGATCGCTGAAATGGACCCCTTCTAGACGCATTGCACCCCTTATTACTTAGCACCTCTTTCATCCCAACTGTCATCCTCGTCTTCCTTCCCGGCGCTTCCTCTCCTCGAAGGCCGTTCACCGCTCGACTCTCAGGAAGGATGTCGACAGTCACAAGCTCACACTCAGTGGACCATTCCCAGAGCCATCCAGTGGGCGATTTTGGCTCGCTACAGGGAAAGGCTCAAGCAGGAGATGCGAGATTCAGCACGTACACTACCGCCGGGCAAACCAGCACACTCTACTCACAAGGCCCTGGGTCGCCAATGTCTCCTCGACGCTTTAGGGACTCGGTGCACCTTATTGAACCATCCAATCGCCGACCACCGCAACGATTCGTGAGTGGTACAGCGTTGTCGCTGCGATCCAGATACCCAACGCCCGTTTGCTCCACGCACAGGACCCGTTGATTATGAAGCTGCCCGTCGTCCTCGCCTCGCCCTTATCGATGTTTATTTTGGGTGTCGGTTTGGAAGTCCTCGCCTCGTTGTCGAAGGCCCAAGGCGGTGTGTACACCCTCTCTGGATGAACCTCGGGCTGCGTGTTTTGTGCTCACAGACGACCGCCACAGGTTTCCGGCTTCCTGGCGTTAGAATATCAACAGTGTTTGGAGACGTGTCTACGCAATTCTTGGCTGTGGGTAGTGTCCTTGTTCTCTGTTGATGGCCGGCGCTTATATGTGTCTTGTCAGTCCTTCCTCCCGACATTGTATGTCTCGAAGTACCTGGACACCTGCAGAACGTTGAAACTGACGAGTATCATCAAGAATCATCATTCCGAATGCTATCCTATGGCGGGAACTGGATTGGATGTTGCGGTCATATCAAGTGAGCGCCCATTGTCATCTGTTCATCTTTCCTGTCATTCTGACCTCAATCAAGCCTTTCGTCGTGCTATCTCAAGGTGGCGCCAAGGCTGAAGAAACGATTCTCCTGGATTACGTCCGTGAATCCCGCTCGAACCTCTCCAAACGACGTACTAACCGCATAAACGATTCACCTGTGTTTAGATTGAATTGGGGTAAGCTTCGACTTCTCACTATGTCCTGATGTGCATCGACCTGATCGGTGAACACAGCCCACTTCTTGCGATTCCCCGCGCCATGAAGTACAAACATAGGATCATACTCTTATCCTCATTAACTGCGGTCTTCACCTACCTCTTCCAACCCCTGAGTGCGTACGACTTGCGTTGGCAGTTACATTTCTCGATGTTGACGACCACCACAAACCAGCTGGTTCCATCTTTCAAGTGCGACAGACACCAGAAACACGCTGTAAGCACTGTCGTGATCGTTACCACGGAACTAGGGTCTGACGGTGATAATCTAGCATGGGATACAACCCGCTCGGAAACCATCGGCCTCTCGCCTGAGATTGGAAACTTGCAAGGCTTTCTGGCTGCCGCTGGTTATGTCGATGCTCATGTTACGCACGACCTGGAGGAACCCGAGTTCATTAGGAGCATCACGGGTTGGGCAACTGGCAAATTCGACGTAGGATGATCTTCCCGTGTTGCTTTGACACCTGCTGAAATTCTTCCTAGTTTCCCCAAGAGCCTGGCCTGAACGCAACAGTCTCGGCAGTAACTAATGGAATCCGTACCAACGTAAACTGCGATAACCCGGCTGAACCCCCGGTCGTGACTAGAAGCGCCAGTCGTGTCACCCTTGCCTCGCGATCGCTTCAGGGCTGCAGCCACACCACAACATTCAACGTCACTGTGGGCAATCTCTAATCCTGACTATATCCAGAATCTCTCATCTCCGTTCACAGGCCGATTCAGACATCTTCTACGGGGTGGATGCAGTCGTCTGCCCTGACAGCCCAAGCGACATGATCATCGAGCACCGACCGGTCATGTTTTGGTTCTACCGCACAGTGGACGGCGGGGTCGGAGATGCAAGAACTGTATTCTGCGCACCTAATCTCGAGGGCTCGGAGGTCGAAGTTGTCGCCTCGGTCGATACAGGAAGAATCCTCGCCCTAAACAGGTTATCCGACCAAGTCCCCTTCAACGATGTTTTGAATGGGGATAACGCCGGGAAAGCAATGAACGGGTCTGTCGAACTATCCATTTCAAAGCCCCAATGTTTCTGATTGTCCTTTAGAGTTGTCTTTGCCGAAAGCGACAACTCGTTTATTCAGACACGAGCCATTGCCACGAATTTGCTGGTTCCTAGCGCAATACTGCGCCACATCGACAAACAAGAAGGTGGTCGTGACGCTGTGTTTGCTAGACCCAACGGTGTTCTGGATTCAACCGTCGAAGTTTATGTTCGTTCTTCCTTCATATTTTTCCGGTATCGCGGCCCCTGACCGAAGGCCATCTACATTTAGCGGCTCCACCTCACCATGGCATCGAAGACAAACTATTTCGTGCCCGGGGAAGTCACACTCAATGGACAAGTTGTTGAGATTGTACCACGGCTATGGGTGGAGTGAGTGGCGGATTCCCATTCTTCTGATGACTGTACTCAATCCCTTTTTAATCAAGTCCCTTCCCCGCCCACTTCCTGGCTGCACTTCTGATACTGACGGGCTTTATTGGCATCTTCCTCCATGTAATCAACCGAAAGCAACGCAAGAAGGTCCACCTAGCCTGCGTGCCTGGTACGATCGCAGGAACAGTCTCCCTGGCATCCCATTCTGGCTGGCCTCAGCTTCTCACTCCCTACGACAACCTCTACGACATGGAGCAGAAACTTAGCAGTCTACGGTTCTCTCTCGATAAACGCACAGGCGCTATCATTGCTGACGATGACGGGTCGAGCACGCCTGACGAAAGAAGCCAAGACGCAGAAGTGCGAATGTCGCTGATGAACACCAAGATCGAGGTTTCGCCGAACCCAGAGTCCTCGTCCTTTGCTGCATTCCAAACCGCGGCGGGAGTGGAACCTTGGAAAGAAAAAAACAAGTGGAAGTTGTTTAGGAAGAGGGATAGCAGTGGCAGTAGTTAAGTCTCTGCTTCCGTCGTACCTCTTCGCCTTCCTCTTTCGTATTCCGCACAGCATTTTTCACAGTTTCACGCATTCAACATAGACTTTGTAATCAGTTCTGTATTCCTTGACGACTTTGACGACCATTCAGCCCCAACACCAGACCTGTCTTTTAGGCGAACACAACGTAGGCTACCTAATTTATACCCATCGACTTCTCGATTCATCTTGCCGAGTCTAACGAAGCCGGCCTCCGAGGTGTCGTTTGCGTAAGCTCTCATGGGCAAAATTCATTGTCGCTCATGTTCTCTCGGGCCCCGGATGCCCGCCCAAGGCCCTAGAGTCATTGATATATTTCCTGCCTGTCAGGCCTCCACTCAGGGATGGTTCTCTGTGTTTGACAACCGTCGACATTCTCTGATGAACCGTGGTTCGCAGCTCCACATTTTCGTAAGTTCCTGCGCTTCTTCTACCCATGGGCGAATGGCTCTTCAGCTCCTGACCGAGTCTTTAGCTCCAAGTTCAAGGTGGCAGAAACCATCGGAAGGAGGCTGCTCTTTGCTTAGGCCTTCAGGAGTCGGCAGCATTCCCTATTATGGCCTTACTCGGCCCAAAATAGACGGGAAGGAACAGTGATGGCCAATACGGGGGCCAGAGATTTCTTTCGCTTGGTGGCCGTTTGAATGACTTATGGTCACGTCACGGACTCAAAAAGCGCATCTATCACTACTGGATTGACTTATAAAAAGGGACCCGAATGGCCCATCGATGCGTGCACACACCCCAGCTAATCCCCCGCCAACTCTCTGTCTCTCAGCCCACACTTTCTTTAGTACAACTTCAACTCTCGTTTCATCATGCGTGTTTTCCTCAACTTGGCCTATGGACCCATTGCGTTCCTTCTGCTTGCGTTGGCCTACATGAATTTCACTGTACGAGCGTCCACGAACCTTTGATGTCCGCGGGCTCACCATTCCGAGATACAGTCTGCCAGCCCGGTAGGAATTCGCTCCGAGCAGTGTAGCACCGGGGACGTCCAATGCTGTGGGTAGTCGCTGCTAATAACAATGACACGTTCTCTGTGCTAACTACATTTTCACCGCAGGCAACTTGCTCACATTCGTATGACTTCCTGCTTCACGGCCCACTTCACCTGCTGACCTATTGGACCTCACAGTCGAACGATAGCGTTCTCGGTCCTCTTCTCAACCTCGCTAGCTCCACAGTGACTGGTGTGGTCGAGCTGATGTACGCTTACCTCCAAAACTCCCCGCCAATATAGCTCATCCGTCTTGACAGAGGCATCCAATGCACACCCATCAACATCTTGGGCCTCACCCAGACCGCTCAGTGCCAAAGCCAGCCACTATGCTGCTCCAACAAGAACGTCGTCAGTATCTAATACTTTTTCGACCGTCATTTATCACTCGCTAACTGGTTCCTCGACGTTCAGAAAGGGATTCTGGGCGTCATGGCAGTTGGATGTGTACCGATCAACATCAGCGTTTAAACCGGCGTCTATCTCGGGGAATCTTTCCCTCGCTCGTCACACTAATGAAGGCACATCATCTACTCAGAGCCGGATCTACTCTTTTATACTGGATATGTACATACCGCTATTATACAGGTCGAGCAATAAAATCCTCTGGATTGCGAGATATCTCATCGACAACTGCCCGATATCGCGATGTCCGTTCCTCAGATCACAGATGCTCCTTGCGGCAACTTCCCCCTCTTCCCCATCTCCCGAGCCTCCTCTAGAAGTCCCACTATTGCCTTTCCCATCTCCACATTGGTATTTAGAATGCATTTGATATAGGTTAAGTGGAACTCCTCTTCGAATTTTGGCCCGGGTGCCTCGCTGAGGAGGTGTGCTGTGAAATGTGGCGATGCCTGTGAATTGTGCGAGCGCTTATTCTACAAAAGGCAAAATTCGGGGTGGTGAGGCTTAGTGTGCGCATCGGCCAGTCCCAATGTAAGATTGACTTCAAATTGCCAAAACGGATAGTGTACATCCGACGTGTACGAAGTACGACACGGAGTAATAGTCCAATATCACGAAAATGCGAACGGAGAGGGCGTTGAGTCGCCTAGCAAGAAGCGTCAGGCAACGAAACCAAGGTCAGAGGAAGACAACTCACCGTCCAACACCGCCGGAGGGAGCCCATAGACAGGATCCCACACACTACTCGGACCTCTTCTATACTTGTTGTGAATCGTACTGGCCCACGATCGAGCACTCTGGCCCCATTCAAGGTCAAGCTTGAACCTCGTCAGATCAACACCGGGATCGTCAACAACAGTGCGCCACATCGGCCAGTTAATCTCCCCCTGAAGCTTGTCGTAGCTGTCCTCCGGCGAGCGTTTCGGTCCGTCAACAGCAAACTCGACCTTCAACTTCTCCAGCTTCGGTGCACGACTCGTACGACGACGTCCACGAATGAAGTCAAGGAGAGCTTCTTCGGTGAATTCGGCGGTGCCAAGTCGGATCGCGAAGGAGGTGAGGTTGGGGCAAAGCACACTCGCTGGGTCCTGGTCTCCTTGGGGCGTCAGCTTGGAGAGCACCGAGTTGGTGAACAATGCGGGTGCAGCTCGAAGATCTGCGGGATTCCCCACTGCCGGACCAAAGTCGTGTAGCAAGGCGCTATAGCGACGTCTAACCCCCCGACCTGCGGAGACGTTCAGCTGTTCCACGTTACATGAAAGCTCGAGACACGTCTGTAGTTCTGCCGCCGTAAGCTCCTGGTAATCGAAGAAAAGGGCTTTGAGATTGCGGCCCCAGGTGCGCATTATTTGGACCAGCGGTGCAGGTTTGGCGGCGCAAGGCACCGCACTTCGCCTCACCGCCAGGGTGTCCAACGACGGCAAGTCGAGATTGTCGATGAAGAGTTGAAGAGACATGTCTCCCTCCTGCTCGATGACCAGCGTATGGAGGTGAGGAAGGGTAACTCGAGGCACTCTCTCTTCATCATCTTCATTGGCATTGGCAGTTGCCGGCGACGGTACACCGGCGAGATCGCGGATCCGTTGGAAAGGGTCGAGTCCAATCGTCAGTGCACACTTGCGCATGTTGGGGCATTTCTGCAGAAAGGCGAGAGCCGAGGCAGAGGTGAAGTAGATGGCACTGTTTGAAGGCATTTTCGCCGACAAACATACCTGCGTGAGGTTCCCCCATGGAGCCGGGATGTCGTCTACCTTGGCGGGGATACATTCGATGAGGAGGCTCCGCAAGGTGGGGGACGAGACCAGGCTGTCTGGAGAGAGGATGGCGCGAGCTGGGCTCTGGGGCGATATCGGAAATGGGGTAGTATACCTGGTCGGAGAAAAAACCTTGAGCGAGATGGAATGTAATTGAGGGGTCTCGCTGGCTGGAATAGAAAGGACATGTCCCGACAGGCGGACAGGACATGAAAGGTGGACCCTTCCCCATTGGGAGGCGTACCCGCGTAAAATGGAGATCAGTTCTTTGAAATGCTTCTCCGTGTTTTCGTCGAACCAATGTCCCGTGTAAATGTTAAGAGACAGCTTTGCCCCCTTGGCTCGAGACAACCATGTTGCGACCAAAGATTTCCTTTCCTCCATCCTGGCAGTCCATTTCTCAACCTCGAGGTCGAATATCGCTTGTTGCTCCTCCGTCAGCTTCCCACCACCGCCTCCATCTGGTGCCACATATCCAGGGATGTAGTTCACATAGTCGGGGTAGTTGGGGATAGGCAGGTGAAGTGAAGACCACAAAGGCGCATGGTTGATCGCGATGCGCCGCCATTCTCGACACACATGGGTAAAAAGGAGTGGCGGATCGGACGGGGACATGAGTGCGCCGTGTTTCTTGGGCATGGCATGCTCAAATATAATATGCATGATGTCCAAGGGGAGTCGGCGGGTTATCGACAAGAGTGCTTGATGCCCGTCGACAAAATTCTTGTACTTGTCTCGTCGTTCTCGCAGCGCTTCAACTGCTTTCATGGCGTCTTCGAGTTCCGCATCGAGTTCTGCGAGGCGTGGCTTGGATTGGGTGACCAGCTCTTGTATTTCAACGAGTTGTCTGTCATGGGGCGTATAGTTCGTCCCTATGTGCTGCTCGAAAGGCGACGGAGGAATCGGCGACGACGACATGAAAGGGATGAGGCAGAGAGCGTTTATAGGGTCCGAGATAACCCATATCAGTGTTTGGTATTGTTTGGGTCAGAACGGGCGCTTGAAGGTGGGGCGCGCTATCCTCAGTATCCTGTAAAATTTGCAAGTAAGGGCAAGATGAACAGAAGAGAATAGATTCCCGAGCACTTTATCACCACACTCACTCAGAAAGGTTTCGGCAGGCTTGAGGGCTCTTGTGGCGATCTGAGAGCGCCAACCGTTTACGGTTTACGCGACTGAGAGTCCCAAAGAGGTCTGCAGCTTGACGAGGGGAACATGTTTGAGAGGCTTAGGTGTATCAGAGTAGACAAGCGACTCACTTGGTCATAGATGTCGCGTCGTGACTGGCAAACAGAGTCAAGGATATGAAAACTCTCGCAGGTGGCAGAGAGCGCCAGGTAATGAACCGGTCATCTTTCTACATAAGCCAGAGCCATCCTAAGTTTTCATGCTATCGCACATTAGTATTCCGCAGAGAATTCAACGAATCAGCTTGCCTGGCCGAGGGTGAAGAGGAAAAAAGCGAAACGCCAGGAAAAGGTGAGGCACGTCGAACGTGCTGGCACCTTCGTCATCACCCGACTCGGAAAGCAGTCCCGCCAAAGAGACGTGTCTCTGGATGTCGTTCCAACCACGACCTGACTGGCGTGAGCGACAATTGCCCCAATGCATAAAAAACCTGAAATACCAAGCCAGCAAAAAATCGATTCGCCCGCCCGGCGTAGCTAACTCCAAGTTTCCGCCCCTTCGATGGTTCTACACAATTTCAATTCATCCTAAAATACATGAAATAATACAAGCTTCCACAGCGTAAACAATGGTATCATAAAGCAAGGCATTGGGTATAATTTAAGTAAGGTGCAAAGTTCAAATCACCGCAGGACACCTACTAGTAAATAACGCCTCCTCAACCCAGCACCACAAATCAATCTGCAAAGCCATTCAGAAACCGCACACCCGGGAGACTAAAGCTTAAAAAAACACACGATCAACAACAGCCCGAAGTCCATACGCCGGATCCCACAACGCATCCGCAGTCGATCCATGCGCCTGCAACCCATGCAAATGATGGCCGTCAAGCTTCCACGGCGACTGCCTCCAACCCACCTCAACCTTGAGCTCCCTCAAATCGACATCAGGATCATCCATTATCGTCCGGAACAAGGGCCAGTGGTCCTCAGTTCCTCCGGGAAGATTCGACCGCCGATGGTGGCTGCACTGGTGAGCCTGCTGCCGCTTGACCCCACCTTTGGGCCCATCAATAGCAAACCCAACCTTGACCTTTGTCAATTTCGCAAGTCCGCTTTGGAGTGCCTGTCGATGTCGTCGCCCACGGATAAACTGGAGGAGCGCCTCTTCGCTGAACTCGGCGGTGGCGAGTTGGACTCTAAAGTAGGTAAGTTTGGGACAGAGAACGTCCAAAGGCGATCCCTCGCCCAAACGGGGTGTCAGCAAAGCCAGAACCGGGTTGTTGAATAAAGCAGGAGCAGGTCGATTGTTCTGGGATGGTTGTGTCGGGTTGAAAAGATCATCGTCCCAAGGGGAATGTCGATAGCGGCGCCGACCAAGCGTACGACTGAAAGACGTGTTCAGCTCTTCGACATTTCTTGCAAACTCGAGACACGTTTTGAGCTCATCTGTCGTGAGTTCACGGTAATCGAAAAAGAGGGCCTTCAGGTTGTGACCCCATTTACGCATGAACTGAATGAGGGGGGCCGGAGACGCGGGACAAGGAGTCACGCTGCGCGTCATTCCCAGATTCCGCAAGGCTGGGAGGTCGATGAGGTCAATGAACAGCTGTATCGACTGGTTTCCTTCCTGCTCAATCAAGAGGGTGTGCAGGTGAGGCAGCGAGACCGGGGTCGTCCTTTCTTCTTGCGGGTCTTGACTGATAATCCCATTCATCACCGCCAAGTGATGGAACTCGTGAACGAAGGGGTCCATCCCCAACGTCAACGCGCACTTGCCGAGATTGGGACATTGTTCAAGAAGATTGAGGGCTGAAGTTGGGGTGAAGTACATCGGGCTGGCGCAACTGGTCGCTCCCGAACGGCCGCAGAGGTACAGTTCCGTCAAGTTCGCCTTCGTCACCGGTATCTCTTGCAACTTCTGGGGCGAGCCTTCGATCGAGAGAATCTTCAAACTGGGAGCGGTGACCATGCTTCCGGGAGGGAAAACAACCTTGGGCGCTTCCTGGCTCGCCGTCATCCAGTCTCGGATACCTGTCGACGATATAAGATCAATGGTGATGGTGCGAATCCGCGGCGTCTCGCCAGCAGGGATGGAAAGCAGATGAATAGCAAGCATATCAGGACCGAAGACCTTGAGCTTCTCCACTTGAGGCATGTACGGCCGCAGGACACCCACAATCTCTTTGAAGAACCGCTCCGAATGCTCGTCACCGTTATGCCCAGCGGCAATGCTGAGGAAAAGGTTTGTCCCCTTGGCTCGTGACAGCCATGTGGCGACCATCTCCTTCCTTTTCTCCACTCGGGCCTTCCACCTCTCCACCTCCATCGCGAACACCTCCCGTTGTTCCTCCGTCAACCGGTTCTCCCTCCGCGTCAGCATCGTGTCGGGATCAAAGTCATCCTGCGCGCCAGGAACGTAGTGTTGGACGTCGGGATGGCTCGGTATCGGAATATGCAGCGAAGACCAAAGCGGCGCATGGTTAAGTGCGATCTCTCGCCAGCTCCGACAGACTCTGGTCAAAAGTAGCGGCGCATGGGAAGAGGACATGATCGCATAGTGTCTTGGCCGGGGTGTACATCGCTCGAAGATGCTATGCATAACGTCCACCGGCAAACGGCGCGTTATCGACGACAATGCTTTGTGGCCGTCAGCGAGCGCTTTGAGGCGGTCCCGCTTTCGTTGTAGCGCAGCGAGCTCTTCGTCGACTTGGGCGACTTGGGCGTCATATTGGGTCGCGTACTGTCGAAGTTCTTTCACCTGGTCGTCTGTGGGGGTGTAGTTTGTCCCTATGTGCTGCTCGTAAGGCGACTCTGGAATTGGGGACGACATCGTTGGCTGTGAAAGGGAAAGTCAGGTTCACAAAAAGGTCCCGCGTTGTTCGATTATCTCCCCAGTTTGGTGTTGTTAGGTCACCATGTGAGGCATTGCCACCGAGGATTCCGGGCGCTTCACGATTACCGTGAGGTTTGAACTGGAGCTTGTACTTGCAGGTTACACATACCCGAACGCCCCATTACATTATTCTAGGTGCAATGCCTCAGTATCAAGGATACACTAAAACCCTGCGTTCTGGCAAGACATCAAATTGACGGGCGCCTATTTGGCACTGCAAGTCCATTAGGATCGCGGGTAAGAGTCCTCCACCCTATACTCCGTGCCCGCCAGCCAAAACACGGTCGATTCCATACTCAAACACAATACACTTGGAGGACAGCCAGTCAATATCAGACTACACCAGACGAAAAGCAAAAACTCACCAGCCGGATCCAACCTGGCAATGGCAACAGTAACACCATACTCAGGATCCCAAATCGCGTCCACACCAGACCTCCGCGGCCTCCCATTAAAATCGCAGCACCTCTGAACATCGTGTCCCCACGTAACACCCACTTTCAATCCGTCCAGATCGACTTCACGCTCCTCCTGCTTCAACTTGTGCAACGGAGGCCAATCAAGTTTACGATCCTCCTCCTCCCGCCCTGCAGGTACCCATTCATGCTTTGCGCTCGAGGTACCACCGCGATCATCATATTCGTATTCTTTGGGGATGCCGACAGCAAACCCAACCCGGACCCGCTCCAGCCTCGCGATCCCAGTCTCAAGTGCTCGCTGGTGGCGTCGACCACGGACAAACCGAAGGAGAGCCTTCTCGTCAAACTCGACCGTAGAGAGTGTAACGTCGAACATCCTAAGATTCGGACAGAGGACCTCCGTCTTTAGGCCCCCATCCCTGTCAGTGTCGACACCCACCCTCGGGGTCAACATCTCCAACACCGAGTTGGTGAAATACACAGGCGCCGGCTCACTCAAACCCGGATCGTTGTGTCTGAATGGCGCTGCATGCCACATGTTGTGTCTGCGAATATGGTTGCGGCTGAAGGACAGGACCATCGTTTCGACACCGGATCCGAGTTCGAAACACGTCTTGAGTTCCTCTGCGGTGACCTCCCGGTAATCGAAATAGAGGCGCTTCAGGGTATGTCCCCACTTCCGCAGGAACTTGACGACGGGAGCCGGACTGGCGGCACAGGGCAAAGCAGACCTCGTGATGCCCAAATTGGTTAAGGCGGGGAGGTCGATGTTGTCGATGAGCATCTCCAATGAGATATCCCCATCCTGCTCGAGGAAGAGGGTGCGCAAGTGCGGGAGCACCACGCGGTTCTTCCTCTGTGATCGCTCCTCTTGAGGTGGTGGGACCTCTGGAAATCATCGGCACCCATCGTCAACGAACATTCCTGGAGGTTGGGGCATAGTTCAAGGATGTCAAGGGCCGAAGCTGAAGTGAAATACACAGGGATCAATGGAGGATCCGCTCCCAATACGCGGCCCCAGAAGTGCAGTTTTGTCAAGTTGGCGAATGGCGCAGGTACAGACTGGATCTTGACTGGAAAGTCTTCCACCGAGAGGATCCTCAGACTGGGGCTAGTGACCAGACTGTCTGGAGGGAAGGTAATAATTGTCTTCGGCTCGTAGCCTGGAAGGACAGAGCCTCTGATACTAGGAGCTGAAATGTCGAGGCTTACAGTGTGCAGTATCGGAGTTTCGCTGGCCGGGATCGAAAGGATATGTTTGGAAAAGTTGTGGCGGCACCTCAAGAAGAGGCTTCGCCACTGGGTCGAATACGGGCGGATAATATCAATCATTTCTTTGAAGTACGCCTCCGTAGCGTGGTCCTCCCCGCGGCCTACTACGAGGCTGATAGAAAGGTTGGTTCCTTTGGCACGTGACAACCAAGCCTTGACCAGAGCCTTCCTGTGCTCCATCCTCGAGATCCACTTCGTCACCTCGAGATCAAGCACCTCCTGCTGCTCCTCCGTCAGTGTCCCGTCCTCCCCGTTGAACCCAGGGACATGCGAGTAGTGAGTTGGAAAAGCTGGGATAGGGATATGAATCGCAGACCACAAATGGGGGAGGTTGATTGCGATCTCGCGCCACGATCGACAAACGCGGGTCAAAAGAAGTGGCGAGTCAGAGGGGTCCATGGTAGTGTTGAATGCGAAAGGAGGTAGGGTCCAGTTGAAGATGTTTTGCATGATATCCGTGGGGAGACGTCGCGTTATCGATAGCAAAGCCTTGTGTCCATCGATGGATTCTTTCAGCTTGTCGCGTTTCTCTAGGAGGACTGCGAGTTCTGCATTCAGTTCAGCGAGTCGTGCGTCTGACTGCTTCACGAATGCGCTAATATCCTGTAGCTGTGCGGCTGAAGGGACGTAGTTGGTCCCCAGATGCTGTTGGAAAGGCGACGCCGACATGGGCGGAGATGACATGAAAGGGCGAGTGTTCGTAGTGGCAGAAGGCAAGTTGGATAAAGGCCCCGGTCAAATGGATTGTGGTATTCGTTGATAGTATGGGTCACCGTGAGTCAGTTGCCTGGATTACTGGCTTCAGATTCGAATAGAGTACATGGCGGTTGCATCTAGCTTCAATGATCTGAGTAGAAATCGGATTTGAGTATCCCTATGGTACAACGTGGGGAAGATATCTGACCTTTCGTTCCTCGCGTGGTGAATAGCATCAGCAGTGGATCTCTGGTGAACTTTCATGGCCTTGCTTGGGAGGATGGGTGTGGTCGGATGGTCCTTGGTCAAAGGACTCGGGCTAGCATCTGATCCGACGGTCCCGAAGAATATTTCCCACACATCCCCGCATAGTACCCTGCTCAGGTCGGCCCCGGACTCCGGAGACCAGCCAAACCAACACAAGCACTAACTCCTGAGCCATATCATTACAATATACAGTAGCAGTATGTAGTCCCAATCAAGGTTCGAAAGCAAACACGCAAAGCAACACAAAAGTCCATATCTCAATGCCCCTCCTCAGCTCTCCGACTACTACTATACTCCCTCGCATCCCTCCTTCCCTTCTCAACATCAACACCAGAAATCACGGGTATCGCGCTCCAAATGATGATAACCAAGAAGAAAAAGGCGTATCGGATGTTCCCAGTCGTATCCGCAATGAGACCGACGATGAGAGGTCCAAGGAAAGAAGACGACTAGAGAGAGAGAAGAATATATCAGTCAGACATCGAAACGCAACTCGTTTGGCAGAGCACGCACCTTATCAGTGATACTAAACAACCCAAACCACCTCGCCTCCTCCCCGGGCGGTATAAGCTCCGCATAAAACGACCTCGCATACCCCTGGAACGCACCATACACACTCCCAAACACAACCGCCAAAATATACATCTCCCCCGGCGTCGTTAGACCACCGAACTTGAGTTTCGGCAAGGACGTCTCCGAAGGACTTTGGTTTTCAAAGAAGAAGCCGAGGCATCCGTAGAGGGGTATCAGACTCGCGAAGAGGATGAGGACCTTGAGGATGCGGAGGTTGGACCAGTTCAGGCGGCGTTGGAGCATTGGCCAGAGGAGTGAACCTGCGATGCCTGCATAGAGGTGTTAGGGTGCGTCAGGAATCAGGCGCCGACATGCTCACCAGCACAGGGTGTCAGGATCCCGATCAGAATCAATGAGCTTGGGGGCATAGAGAGCGATGTTTTGGCGAATAGCAGGGCGGTAGAAGTTATTGTCGTAAAGCCTGCCACAAACCGTCAGAAAGCGTAGCAACAGAGACGAAGACACGCACCATCGCTCAAAAGGAACCATGCACCCAGATACACAAACGTATTCTTCAACCTCCTCATTTCAGCAACACTCAACATCGTCCCAAGCCTCTTCCATGACCTGACAATCTCCCTACCTATCCTCCACTCTTCTTCTTTCCTCGTCACGTTCGTTTCGCCCCCATCCACGGTGGGAAGTGCGGTGTAGGCCGCAGAACCGTCCGATGGTTTGGCATCTGACTCTGATTCCTTCGGGAGCAACAGCCAGGCTGGTATACTACCCACAGCCCACCACGCCCCGCTCAGCCCAATCGCGACTCGCAGACTCCAAGTCGACCCTCCCATCATCTTCACCGGTATCAACGCAACCCCCAGCAGCACAATCCCTGCAAAGTACCCGTAGGCGATTCCAAGAGAAGATATGTGGGATGTCGTCGACGATAGGAGCGTGTCGTATTCTTTCTCGAGGGCCGTAATGGAAGAGCTAGCCTCAGTCGGCGACAGCAGTGGTGAACTGGGGTCTTCACATTCGTCTGACGGAGTCGAATGGTGGTTCAGAGTGGGAATCGACGACCGCGTTCGTTCAAGCTCCTCCCTCAGCGCAACAACCTTTGGTTCCTCCCTACCCAAACCGGGAAGGAAACTGTTCATAGCCACGACACTGGCGCCGAATCCTACATTGGCAAGGATAGCCAACAAGGATGACAAGGGCCAGAGAGGCGAGGACGAAGGCAGGAATAGGAATAGGATTGAGGATATTGATCCTAACAAGGCAAAAAGGAGGAGGAGGGGAAGGCGGTGAGGCGCTATCGTCACGAGCGTTAGGCTTGTTGGCGAATCTCGAATAGCAAAGACGTACGATGATCCGCAATGCCTCCCATGGAGATTACAGTCAAGGCCTGCAGAGCCACGGATATCGAGTTCGTATATAAGCTAAATAGCAAGTTAGCATGACCCAAACCATGCTATTCAAACCAAAAGCACACCTGTAGCTTGCCGTGTCGACCCATACCCAACCGAGCTTAACAACGCATCTCGACTCCGGTGTTCCAATGAGTGTCGCAGGCACCGTGTTGTTCGACGAAGGTAAAGAGACACATGGTTGCGTTTTGTCTGGCAGAAGAACTCCGTTGTCTCGCGCGAATTGTTCGAGGCAGATGGGAAGGAAGAGCGTCAAAGAGACAATAACGAAGACTTCGCTGGAGAATCATTTAAGCAGTTAATTGGGGAACGTTATCCTAGTAGCAGAAGACAGCGTACCTCGCAAAGGCATAGCTCAACCACCCCCACAGATGACGCTTGAACCGGCTCTTCGTTGCAGTCGAACCTGAAGATTCTGTTTCTGACATACTGGTCACGAGCCACGACCGGGACCAGGTATCCTTGGTTTGAGAGTCGGTTTGGATTCAGATAGTCTTTGTCGTAATCGTTGAATCATATACAAGTCATTGGGCCGTTTGTCTTGAGGTCCTTAGCTGGCAGTCGACAGGCTGAACAAGGTTGAGGTTCTGTTCAAGCTCAAGTCGCGACGGCCAGGTCGATTGACGGGAATGACCGATTTGGATAGGGGTCACACGCCCCTATCTTCAGTTTCAACTTTCAACGTTGAAGTGAACATTGCTCCTGCTTCGCTATTTTCACCATACATCTCTGTCTATTGCTTTTGACGCGGAAATATCCTACATACGCACATTTTGGTCCACATTCAACTGGTTCTGTATGTCAAAATCGGTCCTGCGTCCTCAAACGACAGCTGCTAGACTCGATTTACGTACTCATGTGTCCTATGTCAGAGCGGCAGAAGGCGAAATGACAAGACAGCGCTGAGAATTCTATATGGGAAGGAAGCCCAACCAAGCTGGCCGTCACTAGCTCTTCCCAGGGCACACTCATGACCTGGAGGGAGGGTACCCTCGCCCTCGTTGCTGCGTGGGCGGTATGGCGCGCTCTGAAGGCTTTGACGAGTAAAAACCCTCTCGATAAAGTTCCTGGGCCAAAACCTGACCCTTTCTTCTTCGGTGCGTTAGATACTTCGTGATGGTCAGTTGGGTTCAATACCTAGTTAACCTTCTTATACTCGTGAAGGCTCTGCGTTGAGGCTGTTTGACCCAGTCGGGGGTTGGGACTTCCACGCTGAAATAGCGAGCAAATGTACGTCCCGTCTCGCTCTGGGTGGTGCTGGATTACGGATCGGCTAACGCCATGTATGCATAGATCCAGGTATCGCCAGAATAGTAGGTATACAAGGGGTAAGTATTGTCTTTGACGTCCTTCCATGATGTATATTCATACGACGCCAGAGTAACATACTCTATACCTTCGATCCCAAAGCCATGCACCATATTCTAGTCAAAGTAAGTCCACACACAGGTCATTATGATGTCCATATACCCATACTTCACTTGAAGGACCACCACAATGTCTTCGATGAATCGGACAGATTCCTCCAGTAAGTGGCCTAGCCAGATCTTTGTGACATCCTAGCAGACTCCTAACCGACTCTTCGACGAAGGATGAACAGTCTACTCTTTGGACCAAGTCTCCTTTCGGTCAAGGGTAAGAGTGTTTGACAATATCAGTCCCGATGAATACTAAGCACTTGCGACCAGGCGACCGTCATCGAAGGCAACGCAAACTCTTGAACCCGGTGTTCTCGATTGCCCACATGCGTGAAATGAGTGAGCCCCATCCAGTCACAGACGTCGATGCATGTAACTGACCTGACCTTTAGCACCCACCTTCTATAGCGTGGCTTACAGGGTACGAAGTTTCTCGAGATGGCCCCGCAGCCTTCCGGCTCACCGTACTGGAACTACCAGCTTCGCGACTCACTCCATCAAATCCTCAAAGAAGGCCAGCCAACCGAAATCGACATCGCATCATGGATGACCCGCACCGCTCTCGAGCTAATCGGTCAAAGCGGTTTAGGCACGTCCTTCGACAGTCTAGAGCCAGACGCATCAGAGCATCCATTTGCAACAACTTTGAAGAACCTCCTGTATGTGCTCCACTGGGCTTGCTAACGCTTTCCCTCGTGTCACTAACGGTGGGACTCGGTTACAGACAGGGGCTCTCTGATATCCCCTTCGCGCGGTTCTTCCTGCTCCCCCGAGTCGGGCACATCGGGCCCCCACAATTCAGGAGATGGGTTGTCGAAAGGGTACCCTCGAAGAGTATCAGGAAGGTCGTCAACATGTCCGACGTCATGCATAGGACTTCAAGTGAGATATACCAAAGGAAGAAGCGAGCGCTGGACGAGGGCGACGAGCTCGACAAGAGCGTAATCGGGATTCTCTGTATGTCAATCTCCATCTATTTGTGTGTGTTGTCCTTCTCACTGTGACGGCCAGTGAGGGAGAACATGAACGCGTCTGAGGAAGATAGGATTCCCGAAGATGAAGTGCTGGCACAACTTTCGTGAGTGAACCTTCTCCGTCTCAGCGCACGCTTTATGACATCCATTGTTGTCCAGAACCATAACATTTGCAGCGATGGATACAACCTCCAATGCCCTCTGCAGGGTTCTCCTCCTCCTAAGTGGGAATCCTGAGGTCCAGGAGCGTCTCAGGCAGGAGATACTCGACGCTAAAGAGCAGCGAGGAGGCTCTGACTTGTCTTACGACGAATTAGTGCAACTGCCATACTTGGATGCCATTTGTCGAGAAACGTTACGACTGTACGTTACGTGCCACACTCCACGCTCTTCGGTCCCCTTACACATTCCTTTCACAGGTACCCGCCATCTCCTTTCGTTACACGACAGTAAGCACCACTATTTCTCCAACCGGTTCGTACGACGCTCAGGATATCTCCGACATAGAGCCCGACAAGACACCATCCTCCCACTCTCCATCCCATTCATCTCCACAGACGGCAAGCCAACTCACGAGGTACTCGTTCCCAAAGGAACACTCGTTCTCGTCTCCATCATGGCCGCCAACAAGAATCCTGAGCTCTGGGGTCCGGATGCACACGAGTGGAAACCGGAGAGGTGGTTGAACCCCTTGCCTGAGACGGTTGTCAATGCGAAGATGCCAGGGGTGTATTCTCATTTGTGAGTGTTTTCTCCAACCATCTCAGGTACTTAGCGCGTTATTAACTCAGGCCTGGGCCATACTTTAGGATGACCTTCATTGGCGGAGGCCGTTCCTGTATTGGGTTCAAGTTTTCCCAACTCGAGATTAGTGAGTCTCCCCCAACCTTCCCGAACTTCAATACCTAACCCACCCTCTCTGTCCTTCTTTTCTAGAAACAATCCTGTGCTCCCTCCTCGAATCATTCAGGTTCACTCCAACAGGCAAGAAGATCCGCTGGCAGCTTAACGGTGTCGTCCAACCGACCGTCGTATCGGAGGAGCCTGGCAGTGCCAGTGCGGGGAAGGCTCTAAAACTTCAGATGCCCTTGAATGTGTCGCGACTATGAGTTTTTGAATGGCTGATGCGAGTATTTGTACCATACCTACAGGGTGCAGAGCACCGCGGCGGTAATAGGATTGATGCGGTTCAAGCCAAGCGGTTGCATGACCCACATTAGGCTCACGGATCGCCAAATCTGGTAATTTCTTCGCGGAAATTGCACGCTATTGTTGTCGTCTTAGTGTATATTCGGATGCCTCTAACACAGGCTGACCCTGTCTTGAGGACCGCGTTCTGTTTGAAGGCCAAGGTCTGATGTCCATCATCCAACAAAAGTCGCGAAAGCTGCGCGAAAAAAAGACGCCCTTGGCGAAGCCCGAAAAATATCCTGTCAGCCAACTTAGAAGTATTACTTTCCTAATGTTCTCCAACGCACAAGGTAGCCCGACATTTGGGGACGCCTCTTCCAGCTCGAGCCTGTTTTAGACGCCCAAATATTTCAGCTGGAGCCCAATCCCGAACGGAACGGAAACTTGGCGCACGGAAACAGCAAGCCGTGGCTGTGCCTGATTGAACACGTCGCCACGTCGCGATATCAAAACCGGTTCCCGTTTGCTGTTCTCCCTGCCACCACGACTGTCTTTTAGCGACAGTCAAAAAAGTCTGATAGTCCAGGGGAAAAGACGACTAGAGGGGCTGCATTCGACCAGTAGAGACGACGGCGACTAGGAAACTCTAGAGACAAAGGAGGAAAGAACGTCGCCGACATGGATATCCTCCACACCCAGCTCGCCAACGTCCAAAAGCATTTGGCGTTCGTCCAGACGGACGAGATTGACTGGAAATTCTTTGTCCAGGCATGCTCATGGACCGTGACTCTATTCGAGTCTTATCTTCTGTGAGTGCTAGAGTACAGTTGACTAGAAGATGGTTGGTCTAACAGCGTGTCTACAGTCTGCGCCAATATCCTTTATATTCGAAAACCGCACCTCCACCGGCTCTGAAAGACTCCTTTGAACCCGGTCAATTCGAAAAGTCGCAAGCTTATGGAAAAGACAAGGCCAAATTCGCGCTTTTCAGCGGATTGTACAAGCAACTTGTCGACAGCCTTTTGCTCCAGTTTGGTTTCTATGCATGGGCGTGGAGAATTAGCGGGGTCCTCTTGAGCGCGGTTGGAAAGGAAGGATACCAGGTGCGTGCTTAGGGGATATTATGAACCGAACTTGGACTTAGGACAATTGATTTCAGATCCTTCAATCCATCGTCTTCGTCTTCACCCTCTACTTCCTCTCCACCCTCCCCACTCTTCCTTTGTCGGCCTACAGCACCTTTGTTCTCGAGGAAAAGCACGGTTTCAACAAGACCACCCCTTCCTTGTTCGTTACCGATCTCTTCAAGTCGTACGCAATCGCCGTCGTGTTGGGCGCTCCCTTCTTGGCCATCTTTTTGAAGATCTTCGAGTGGGCAGGCGACAGGTTTGTTCCGTGGTTGATGGCGTTCATGTGAGTTTTAGTCTTTCTGCACACTCTGCCAAAGGCTGAAGGGGAATATAGGATTACCTTCCAATTGTCCATGGTCATCCTCTACCCCACCGTCATCCAGCCCCTCTTCAACAAGCTTTCTCCTCTTTCGAACGCAGATCTCAAGGCTCGCATTGAGAACCTGGCCTCTAAATTGGACTTCCCTTTGACTCACCTCTACGAGATCGACGGCTCGAAGCGAAGCAGCCACTCCAACGCCTACTTCTTCGGTTTGCCCTGGGTACGTAGCCAGAACTGTCGAGTCCCCCAGTTGAGAAAAACTAACACAGCCAACAGAGCAAGCACATCGTCATCTTTGACACTCTTATCGCCCAATCCCCTCCCTCCGAGGTTGAAGCTGTCCTCGCGCACGAACTTGGCCACTGGTACTTCATGCACCCCACCAAGATGCTCTTCATCTCCCAATTCCACATCTTCACCATCCTCGCTCTCTTCCCCGCATTCCTCCACGCCCCACCCCTCCTCACCGCCTTCGACTTCCCTAAATCGGTCGCCTTTGCTAAACCCGGCCCGCCTACCATCGTCGCCTTCTTGCTCTTCCAGATGATCCTTACTCCCATCGAAGCCGTCGTTAGCATCGCTATGAACGCTGTGAGCAGGAGGTTCGAGTACGAGGCCGACCGCTTTGCCGTCGAGTTGGAGGATAGGGTGAGGCAGAGGCTGTTGGCCAAGGAGGGTGCCGATAAGGAGAAGGTGGAGAAGGAGGTGAGCGAGATGAGTGATATGGGACCTCGCCTTGGACGTGCGCTTGTGAGCTTGCACGTGAAGAACTTGTCGACTGTTTGGGTCGATTGGATGTGAGTTTTACTTTATCACGTGGAGTGTTCCTCTGCATCGTGCTGATTGGCCCTTTTAGGTACTCGGCGTACCACCACTCCCATCCAACTTTGACGGAGCGTTTGAAGGGGCTTGAGTTGTACGAAGCTGCTAAATCCAAGAAGGCAAACTAAAGCGGTTTTCGGCGCGGCCCTCGTCATTTTCCACTAGCCCAAGGCCCGCATTGCCGTCTCCGTTTTGGTTAATTTTGTGCAACTGGTAGTTGAAGCAACTATAGTATACGGATGTACAATCATATTGGTTATTTATTCCTTGGCTACCAGCTAACATTTGCCACATATCCCTCGACTCTCTTAAGTAATCAGGGACTGTTTTCATCGGTCTACTATCTGTGTGGAGCAGCAGCTGGACGTCGACCTACTGACTCTTTCTACACCGTCTCCTTCAGACAATTCGAAGGGTACTCAAGCCCCGACGCCTCAGCCAAAATGTGTCTCAACGTCCTGCAGCTTCGGCAGCTCATTTCGCCGAGAGGTTTGTATGGAGGAAGATGCGTATAATCAGTATTTGAATAACTTCTTCGTCGCCGATTTTTAGATCTCTCCTGGTGAGCGAGATAGGCTCCCAGAATGGGCCCTGGAGACTCAACAGAAACACATTTTAAAAAACGGTCACGATGAAGTTCTTTGCAGAGGTCAGTTCTTTACAGAGGTCCAAAACCTCGTGTTTGTGCACTTTCTTTGAGGGAGGGGACAGTTATGAGCTCACTAATTTGTCGCTGATGGGAAAACGCTACAACTAAAACGGAAGTGCCGGATTTCTGTACTCGCGCGAGTTACAGGGCTGCCGGGACCCACGTCTCCTCCACAAAGCAATGGCCGGCCCAGGCAGGCCAAAGTTGACCTTCACGCCATTTCCTTTTCTAGCCACTTCGTTTCCTGTTTTGGAAGTTAGCCTGCGTCAGTCACTGATCTTCCTCGCGATCGCTCAACAGGGGCCGTTCAACTGCAACCCGGGGTATGATTGGATTTAGAGTAAGGTTGTATGGATACAGTCTACATACGACTAACGAAGCCATAGGGATCCTGTCGGAATGTATCATACAGTGCCTTATATGTAGCGACAGGATTCCCCGAGTCGTGGAAGTAGGTGCAGGGAAGTGTCCTTTCAACGGCTTCGCAAAAATCGAGTACTGCAATTGCCATGGGTACGTTTTTGGTGAAAATGAGTCTGCATAGGGTTAGATTTGCGCAATTGCGGGGCCACAAAAGACCAGGCATATTCAAACCTGTCTGGACCGACTCCGAGTCGCACAGTAGAGCAGGTTGAGAAAGGAAGTCAAGGTCAGAAGGTGAGCTGACAAAAGGTATGCATAGGAAGAGTGCATTCAATAAGATATCACTGTGTTAGAAACGATGTGAGAGATTTGACAAAAAGAAAAGGCGAATCTGTTCGACTTACAAGATAATTTCCCAGGAGTCATATTTCAAATTCTGTACTTCCGAAAGTTCAAGGAGCAATTTCCACAGTGCTTTGGACAGTGTGACTGGAAACTGGGTGCTTGTAGGCCCCTGGAGGTGCCCATAGCCCATGATACGCGCCAACAGGCAGAGGAAATCCGCCGTGATATAATTGAAGGATAGGACGGGGTAGAATTCACGAAGCTGAGTCGTGTCTGGAATTGAAAATGCGATGGCTGCCACAGGGAGCAATCCGTTGCTTTCAAGGAGATTGAGTAAATCCGTATCCTCGAAATAAAGACGATCGTGGCAAAGTCGAAAGCAGTTGGCTCCATTGGTCCGGAGAGTCGAAGAAAGAACGCCGCCAAGGAGTCGCTCAAACAATGATCGGTCTTGGGCAGACATGTCACATATTTTGCTCCGGACGTGGCGCTCGTAACCTTGACACCAGTGGGTGATGCACCTGTGTATGGTGGATGGGAGGTCCAAACCAAGGAGAGCCCATTCCAACAGGAAGTTCGATGGAATGCAGAGCGGAACTACACGCGTTAGTGCCCCAAAAATATCGCGGTGAGCAAGAAAATGCGAGATGAATTCGCTGCGCAGATGACTGTATACAGTTGCAGAATCTGGGATTGCTGGATTGGCGAGGGACAAACTTCTAAATCCACATGGCCATAGGTACCGTGCCAGATCAACTACTGCAGGCATTTATGAGCGATGATCGATTATTGAAAGCAAGGAAAACAAATAATCAATAACTTACCTTCGGAAGGATGGTTAACCGCGTGCGACTGGGATAGGAACCGCAAGCACCGATACGCGAAGAAAAGAAGCCAATATCCCCCGTCAATATAGAAAATGCCACTACTAGATTTTGCCCCTAAGAACTCGAGGAAGGAGCTGTGATAGAGGTTTAGTGCTGAATCCTCCGTTTTCTGCGCCGAGGGCAGTGAGGACTCGGCATCCAGAGGGTCTATATTGGGAAGCGACCGTGACGACGGCATGCAGACTACAGCACGCAATCCACGGAGGGCTCGGGTCATGGCCCCAGCCTCTCCTGCAACAATCGTGTCGTACGCTGTCGTAGAGCGCCATTCCTGGTACGGGAGCTTATGGAGCATCACGAGGAGACACCCAAGAGCCTGCGTCATGTCACCTCGGTTTGGACAGGTTTCTAGTATCTGTCGATATAAATTGTAGAGTTGCTCCATGGGATTGGAGCTAACACCCGTGTAGGAACCTTCAATGAGCGCTGTTAGACGGTTCACCGGGTTCCCGTAGGGATCCTCGATGAAACGGATGACGGTGCTGACATATGCGAACTGGCCGGATGCACGGTGGACGATACAGTGGATGTACTCCTCGGGAGGCCAAGGTCCCCGTATGGCCCGTCGATGTTTGGGAGACTTTCGGATTCGCTCGATGTTGTCACGAAAGTACCGCTCGATGTCGTTGTCGTGGTTCATCTCTGCGTACAGGTCATATCGCTCGGTGTTGGCGGCAAGAGTTTCAAGTTCTTCGAAGCCCTCTTCGATCCACGACTCGGGCCGGGAGAGGATGACGACATTGAGAGGAAGGTCGGCCTCTTGCAGGGTCTGGACGAGCTCGAGGATCAACGCCTGTTCCCTCTCCCTGTCCTGTGTGGGATCCGCGCCCTCGCATTCGTCCAGTCCGTCGATAAAGACCGTTTTGTCGTGATCCGGGGGAGGGATCTTTCTGAATGGTTCAATGACAAGTTTCTGGAGCTGGATAGGGAGTGATTTGGTGAGGATATTAGGATTCTTGACGATCGCTGCCTCGATGTGGGGTTTGAGCGAGGGAATATATTCCGCAAGTTGGAGGGCGAGCGAGGCGACAAAACGCTCAGCCCGATCCCTCTGGCTGACCAGCCTAGAGAAGAAGAAGGCAGCGCCCAGGTACCCAGTGGCCTCACATTCCTCTGCGATGGTCTGGGCGATGGTCGTCTTCCCCATACCAACCGGTGCATGGAGCCAGAACGAGCGCTTCTTCCTCTCCTCCCTTGTCTGCTTAACCCAGTCCATGATGATCTTCAGGGTGCGTTCACGTGTGGCTTTGTGGCATCGCGGTGGTGGGTATCTTTCTGCCGAGTCGTGGGCAGCACCAGCGGCAGCATACTCCCTGAGGTAGACGAGCGCTTAAAACGATCGATAAGCGATCTCCTTCCTCTAGGCGTTGAAAAATGCTCCACGTACGTTCCATTCCATTGCTGGAGTAGTCGGTGAAATTACCGCCATTGATAGTGAAGTTCTTTGCCTTGTCGAAGAGCGGCATGATGCTGGCGTGGATCTGAGAACCCGGGTGTACGAGGTCCAAGGCAGAAAGGAACCGTGGGTACCGTGATCAGCTCATATAAGGGAGTAAACAGGTGCTGTGAACATGTCCCGTGGAAGTGGCGATGTGATTGCACTGTCAAGGCAGTGTCAGCCAGCATGCCCTCCAGTAACCCTCTCGACCCCCGGCCTCGTGTAGATTGTCAAACCTGCAATGCGCGTGTTACTGGCCTTGTGACGCGGTATCTTCAATGCAGATACATTGAATAGCAATGACCGGGGGGTATATAAACGAGCGGGTATCGAGTATTACACAGCAACTTCAAATCTAAGTTAAATAACAGGTTAAACAAGCTTCACCGCAAACCATGAACAGAGCGCTAATAGCCAAAGAGCAGTACGAACCATCCGATCACTAGAGAGGCGCCTTCCTAATAGCATTCTCCTTGTCACCACCCGACCCCTCGAAAAACGACGCGCGCTTCGAAACGACGTTCCCGACAGCGAGCGACTTCCTCTTGAAATTATCCTTCAACCTGTGCTTGAGCGTCGCAAGCGCCATCACATCCTCATCTTCCTCCACTCGATCCAGAGTCAGCGCGCCAAGCGTCGATTGCCGTTTATCTCGAAGGGTGTAATGGGTGTTCGGTAGTACCTTGGACTTGCGATCGATGTTCCTGTTCGATGAATCTCCAAGCGCATCCCTAGCCTTCGGAGCCTTCGTCGCGGTGACCTCGTGGATGGGCTCCTCAACCTTCTCATCCCCCACATCATTTTCGCGTTCCGCCTCCCTATCCCACCGCCGCGACGACCCGCCTGGAACATAACCCGCGGGCATCGTAGGCACCACCAACCCAAACTTCATATCATCGGTAACCCACGGAAACTCGACTTGGAATCCCCCAGCGAAGCCTAGATCGCCGTTGGGGCCCGCTTCGTGAACCCGAGTCAGTGGAGAGCTTGTGCCTGTCGTACCGCGCTGGGGAGCTTCGAGGCCCTGTCCATGGTCGCCAATGGTACTCCCGTAATCGGAAGGAGGGGAAAGTTCTTGTGGGTGCGGGTATGCGCCTACGACTTCGTCTCCCGCGTCTGAAAGCGCTGTAGGTGACCATTCGAACACAGGGGAAACCCTTTCTAGCTCCAAGCAGGGGGGAAAGCCGGTGTTGTTTTGAGAATGTTTAAGCGAGGGTGTGGAAGGAGTGGATTTAGAGGTCGTCATCAAGTGTTGGTTGAAGAGGTCGACGGAGGTTTTGTGCGTGGCGTCCGAGTGTCCGATAGAGGATGGAGCGGTCGAGGTCGATGGAGCTTGGGGTGCGGACGAGTCCCCTGACGTCGGAGCCAACCATGGATCTACGAGGTTGAGGGTGGTAATCGGGGCCATCCTCAACGTGGAGGAGATTCTGGCAGCGTTGAACTGGTTGTCCTAATATGAATTTTTGTAGACTAATCAGTCACGGATCACAAAGGTATCATGACAAAAAGGAACGTACAGCGGTCTCGGTCATTTCAGAAGCACCGTCCTCGGCGTCGCGAACGCGCCTATTCTGCAACTTCCTCACGCCCCGGTAGACGAGATACGACAGCAAGAGGGTCCCGAGGATGATGAATATAGTCGCGATAACAAGAACCACGACGTTCTTGGGGTTCGATCCTCCAGCGGCGTCAGTAATTGCCGAAGAATTCGAGTTCCCGAAAGCGTCGCGAGGGTTGGCAATAGGTATCCCCGAATCAAGTAAATCAGAACTCGGGGCGTCCAGGACTTGTGGTGAAAAGCCTTCAGAGGAGCCTGGAACAGAAGAGGTACCGGAAGAATGAGAGGAAGAGGGATGTCGAGCTACAAGATCATGAACGGAAGAAGCATCCCAAGCGACATCGAAGGACTGAGGGATAGGTACCATCGTGTTCAGCCGCCAGAAAAGATGAGAGGGTACAGGGTCAGCACTTGAAGGAGGAGAAAAAGGCTGCCAGCCGCATCATCTTTTCGATAGATTTAAATAAAATGTAATCGGCGGATCCCTTGAAAGTAGACTGGTCGATGGGGACGTGGCGAGTTGCAGCCTTTCCGTTGGGCTAGTCGCGCTCCAGTCATGATCATAGTGATATCAGGGTGCATTCTGATCGATTTGGTTGCCTAGAAATGCTGTCTTCGTTCATCTGGCCGGGTCTCTGGTTGGAAGGGAGGAAAGAAAAAGGTTCAGTGGTGGTGGAATAAAAAAGAAAAAGACTGTTGTCCGACTCGGCGCGTCCAAAATGAGCGCGACACGGGCCGCGCCAGGCTCTTTCTCCCATACTACCACCACCAGACCTCTCCAAGTTCCTCCTCCCTCACTGCTCAAATCCAATCCACAATGTCGAACTGGGAAGAAGAATACGCCCGAGATGCATCGTCTTTCCTCAACCCAGCCAGTGGCACATCAGGGGCCTCAGGTTCAAGCCGACCGCGATACGCCGATTCGAATGCACTAGGACTTGGGCTAGCCGACCGCGACGATGAGGACGTGCCGATGGGTGGTGTCGATGGGGATGCTGGGGAAGCCATGGACCCAACATCCATGGCTATACGCGAAATCATAGAAGAGGGGAGCGCAGAGGCCAATACGCCTTTGCAACAGTTGATTCGCCATTGGATGAACGAAAGGCATGCGCCTGACATCTTACCTGCGCAGGAAGAGCTATTGTCTGGACTATTGGATCATCTGAGATTACAGGTGCGTCCTTTCTACTATCAGTAGCGAAACGGGAATTGATTTCAATGTTGATTTTGGACTGTAGTCGAGGAACGTCCAGATTTTGAGAGACGACCCACGTACCTCTGAATCTGAGCACTTTCGGATTATGCTAGTACAGACTGAAATCGAACGAGTGAAGTTTATCATTCGATCGTATATTCGTACGAGATTGTACAAGGTGTGTCATTGTCCCTTTAGCTCTTTGACTAAGGAATTCATATCAGACTGTAGATTGAACGATATGCGCGATTTATCACGTCAGATGCGGATGTCCAGACGAGGATTACAGCGTCGGAGAGAGAACACGCGAGCCGGTGCGGGTTTTGCTTTCCTGCGCTGTAGAACGCGTCTCTGACGACGATGCAGGCATGCGAAGCTGACTGAACAACATCTCTACCTATCGGTTCTTCAAAGTCTTCCCGAAGCCCAGTCGCATCTGGACGATACACCGGTGTTTTATCCTTCAATGGGTAGGCGTCGCATCTTTCCCCTCAGCTGTTGACACTGAATCTCTATTATCCCAGTCACCCAACCAGACAAGACGCGTCCTGTCTTTGTCCACGCGCTGCAGGAGTGCCCACCCATCCGACTACCAGAGTACGTCCTCTATTGTGCTTCGACCCGACTTGTGCCTTAGTCCTTTGCAGCGGCAACTCGATGACGATGAAAAAGGGTCATATCGTCTTGACGCAGTACCAAGTTGTGGAACACCTGGTGGCGAGAGGGGAAGCCGAGCTCGTCTAGGCCTATCACAGAAAGAACACGCCGTTGACACAACACCAAAAAACCATTAAGCAGGGGCAATAATATACATACAACCATATGTCGGTATTAACTGATCGTTCCAGGGGTGTTCATTCATCTTGGAGGCATGTAGGGTTCATCGCTCTCCGACGACCTTCCCTGGTTCCCCGACCGGTGACCATCGTCATCGTCGTCATACTCATTCATCTCCGCATCCTGATCCTCTTCGTGCCCCTCGGTATGCTCAGCATCAGTCCGTTCGGCAGCCACAGCGCGCTCCGCCGCCTCTTCCTCCTCATCAGGATCGACTTTCTTTCGTCGTCGTTTCTTTGTTGGAGCAGTGCCGCCTTCGCCCGCGGAAGCAGCAGCAGTGGCGCGTTTGCCTTTGCCGCGACGTTTCTTTGCTTCGTTGTTTTCGGCTTCGAGGTCGATGGTGCCGCCGGCGGAGGGATCGGGAACAGCTTCGACGATTTCTTTCAGGAAATCGAGCATTTCGGTTGTTTCGACTGCATGTTTCCTGTATTTCGGTAGAGATGATGTTTAGGGTAGCTCTTGTGAATGAGACGTTGTATAGGACGCACAAATGATATGCTTCGACTTTCTTTGACCCGCGTTCTGCTGTTACTTTGTGCGACTCTTCGATGATGAGGTTGAGGAACAGTTCAAGTGCTTTGGCTGTCGAACCGCGCCGTTAGCAATGTAAAAGTAAGGAAAAGCAATAGAAAACCCACATATTACGATTGGAGTAGCTTGAGCGACTTTGCCAACCTCTTCATCCTTTTGCATAATCTTCTTTATCCGCGCCTGCAATAAGGATACACATGATCGAAGAAAGCCCTTAATCTTCAATGTTTGGATACATACGACTGGGAATTTGGTCGCCTTGTTCTTGTTTTTCATCGTGGAGGACGCCTTGGGGCCGTGCGTGTCTGTGAGCGAGATATATATGCGGGAAAAGAACAAGGAATGCAGCGACCGCTGTGTCCGTCTGCGTTCAAGAACCATGGATCATGTGATCCAGGTATGTTTAGCAGCGAGCGGTGGCGGACGTCGCTGAGACCCCTTTGCTCGACGTCGGCGACGACATGCAGAGTACATGGTGGGTGTCGACGATGGTGGACTGATTATTTGCAAATTTGAAAAATGTAGCTTGAGGTCAACGGGATTTGGGTTCGATCATTCGTCGAATGCGAGCCGGAGGCTGGGCGCTCCTTTCCCTTTGACAAGCGAAATGAATGGCCATTTACGCAACGATACAACGTTTTCTATTCCCCAGACTCGTGGTGGTAGTTTCTCGAGTCAGAATACATGATCATTAGGGGTAGACCTTGGCTCCTTGGCGGGGCATTTCCTGGTTCAGTCTCCCTGGTTTTGGCTTCATTTTGGTGGCCCCAGGTGTCAGGAAAGGACTGGCATTCATTTAAACGGCTTCACGGGCAGCCCAGCGGTCGATTTCGCTTCCAAATTTTGGGGGAAAGGGTCCCTGAGCAGCCTCACAAACGCAAACATGCGCACGCGCCACACGGAAAATGAAGCTGACTTTGAATTTTTAAGAATCCCCTTTGCCCGTGGCACCTTCTGATTTTTGTCTTCGTGTCCAATCCATCTCCTTGAACGACAACCCAGCCCTTTCTATTTCCTATCCCCTAATATCTAATGTGAGTCCTCATCGTCACAGACGGCGACGGACGCGACATTTCGCCCGTGCTCATCGACCGCTCTGCTGTCGCCAACAGAACACGCGGTTATGTCGCGTTCCGCTTTGTCGTACCACTTTCGCCCCACACCGCTGACCTCGCGTTCCCAGCATGCGTGAAATCGTCCACCTCCAAACCGGCCAGGTCTGTCCAGTTTACACCGTCTCCTTATCGTCCCAGTATTGACAAGCGTGTCTCATCGTGCATTGATGTCGAGTAGTGCGGTAACCAAATCGGTGAGTCGCTGATGGTCCTTTCAGTGGCATATCGCGGGCTCATCTCATCGATTCTTGTCTTATAGGTGCCAAATTCTGGGAGGTTGTCTCCGATGAGCATGGTATTGAGCGGGATGGGCTCTACAAGGGCAACAACGACCTCCAGCTTGAACGTATCTCCGTCTACTACAACGAGATCGGTGCCAGCAAATACGTTCCTCGAGCAGTCCTGGTTGACCTCGAGCCTGGTACCATGGATTCCGTTCGATCGGGACCCCTTGGTAGCCTCTTCCGCCCTGACAACTTTGTGTTCGGCCAAAGTGGTGCTGGCAACAACTGGGCCAAAGGACGTGAGTACCTCTACATTCCCTCTCGCATCGCCCTTCTCGGGGACCGTGGGCGGTCAGAATACCCTTTGAACGCGTCGAACACGCTCATTGAATTCCGACCCCTTTCGTACACGATGCCACTTCATCAAGCACATCGCCCCAAATCTCGACATGTACGCTGACTCGAGGGTTTCTTACAGATTACACCGAGGGAGCTGAGCTCGTTGATTCCGTTTTGGACGTCGTGCGCAAGGAGGCTGAGGGCTGCGACTGCCTGCAGGGTATGTATCCCTGTCGCAAGCATGCGTTGTGCTGGCCAAAATTAATGATCATCACGTGATAGGCTTCCAGATCACCCACTCACTTGGTGGTGGTACCGGTGCTGGTATGGGTACCCTCCTTATCTCCAAGATTCGTGAGGAATACCCCGACCGAATGATGTGCACATACTCTGTCGTTCCTTCCCCCAAGGTCTCCGATACCGTCGTTGAGGTGTGTGGCTTCCATTTCTTCCCCAAAGTTTCAATGATTTTGACTCGAGTCTAGCCTTACAACGCCACCCTCTCCGTCCATCAATTGGTTGAGAACTCTGACGAGACTTTCTGCATTGATAACGAGGCTCTCTACGACATCTGCTTCCGAACATTGAAGCTCTCCACACCCACTTATGGCGATCTCAACCACCTCGTCTCCATCGTCATGTCCGGTATCACCACTTGCTTGCGATTCCCTGGTCAACTCAACTCCGACTTGAGGAAGCTCGCTGTCAACATGGGTATGTTACATGTATTGAGATCGCCGTAACCTGGCTGACGCGAATTCGTAGTTCCTTTCCCTCGTCTCCACTTCTTCATGACCGGCTTCGCTCCTCTCACCGCCCGTGGAAGCGCACAATACCGCGCCGTCACCGTCCCCGAACTCACCCAGCAGATGTTCGACGCCAAGAACATGATGGCTGCCTCCGATCCTCGACATGGTCGCTACCTCACCGTAAGTTCTCTTCACATCGTTTCCCCCCAAGGTTCCCACTCAAAAGCCATGATCCCAGGTCGCCGCCGTCTTCCGTGGCAAGGTCTCCATGAAGGAAGTTGAGGAGCAGATGCAGAACGTCCAGAACAAGAACTCTGCCTACTTCGTCGAGTGGATCCCCAACAACGTTCTCACCGCTCAGTGTGACATTCCTCCCCGTGGCCTCAAGATGGCTGTTACGTTCCTTGGTAACTCCACCGCCATCCAGGAGCTCTTCAAACGTGTCAGCGACCAGTTCACTGCTATGTTCAAGCGCAAGGCCTTCTTGCACTGGTACACCCAGGAGGGTATGGACGAGATGGAGTTCACCGAAGCCGAGTCCAACATGCAGGATCTTGTTGCTGAGTACCAGCAATACCAGGACGCAACGTAAGTCTTCTTCGTTGATCTTGATTTGGGATCGCCGCTGACCTACTTGTGTAGTGTTGAGGAGGAGGGTGAATACGAGGATGAGGTCCTCGAGGACGAGCAGTAAATGATTCGTTAGTTCTTTCCTGAACTGATGATTCGCGCGATTCGTATTTCTCTTTGTTGGTTGTTCTGATGATGATGAAAATGACGCATCTCTTTATTTGCTGCACTCGTACACCCATCCTTTGGAATGATTAATACCCCTCCTTTTTCATCGCGGACGGTAGTCGTTCTCTTTGGGGCCGTGTTTCTTCCCATTCGCATGCGACCTCGTGGTCATTGACTGTCTGTCCTCTTCCTCTCCACCTACCTCCACCACCTACGTTGACTGCATATCACTTTTTCAAACATTCATGATAATACGCTACCTTCTGGCATGACCTTTTGATGATCGCTTTTTACTATCCTTTCAATTACGATGTTGTCACTTCTATTTGTCATTTTGCGGAATTAGTATTTTCTTTCCATCTTCGATGGAGAGATGAATATTGTGGACCTTGAAGTGTGAACTTTTAGATGTGGGCTCATACGCGTTAGCTGAAGGCAAGGGTGTCCTGGAGAGCTCCGCCCTGGAAGACGGTCAATTGGCCATGAACGAAGCTTACTGTGAATACCAATCCAATAACTGGTATGTAATGGGTACAGGAATTAGAGGTGTTAAGAGTACAGTTATGTAAATACATGGGATGTGTTGTTGGACAAGATTGTGGTTCGACGTTGGCGTTGACATGAGGCTGCGTGGTGGCGTAGCCCCAGAGCTGTTCTAACTGCAGTACTCGGACTTTGGGGTTGCTGTTGCGGTGGTTGGAGTGCGTCCGTGGAGGGCTGTTCGGTGTGCTGGTATTGTGGAATCTCGCCTAGTCCAAGAATGGGCGGGGGATGGGGATAGTTGGATGTGTCGAGTTGGGTATGCTCTTGGGCTCCTATTGAGAGCAAAGGTAGGCTCCGCCTCCGACCTGTCACGTCGCCGTCAATTCCTTGTCTGAGGATCCTGAATAGAAGCTGTGAACCCACCTGTGTCAAGAACGCGTCCACTTGGTCTCCGTCTTCCATCCCGAGCTGGCGAGGCGGTAGGGTGAGTTGAGAGTTGAAAGGGTGTAGACAGAAGGTGAAGCATACCCCAGCTGGAGTGTCGTCTTTGTTGACTCGTTGACCGTCGACGACGAACTTGAACGTGCCTATTCGGTGGATCAAGAGTTGGAGGTAGAGTTTTCGTAGATTTCGATTCGAGTGTGGTAGAGGTGTCGTTCGTAGGTTCAAAGGCGTGCAGAAAGGATATCGAGTCAGCATTTGGCGTTTACACCGGGACTCAAAACGCGAAGAGGCAAACCTGGCTCTTTGCCGAACTTTTTCTGTTGACAGGACGGAGGGGTTTAGGTCCTGATTGGTGGAAAGCCAAGAGCAGAGCAACGTACCTCGACGACTTCAAAGATCTTTGCGAATCTCATGTTGGACTTGACTTTGACTGTGATTGCTGGGGGTTGGGGTAGAGTGTCAGTACACGCTTGTAAGAACATTTTTAGAAAGAAGAAGGGAAAGGCTGTCGAGACGTCGTGTTGGTCCCTCGTGGTCCGACCTGTCGTCGCTGGAGGCCATCGAAAGCTTCAGGCGACACACACAGCCTAAAGAACGGCCTTGTGGGGTAGATAAAGGCCAAAAACGCGTACTTGACCCCTCGTAAGAGATGTTGAGGTTAAGCTTTGGCTTGACGTCTTCCTCAGGTTCCTGGCTCATCGTTGGATTTCCTATTCTTCTTCTCCTGCTTTCACCGAGGTTTTAGATCCTGGTTTGGATTTCAGTTTTTCGCGTCAGAATTCCTTTCTGTGTGGGTAGTGATAGGATTGGACTTACGAGCGAGGCTCTGAGTGAGGCAGACGCGTGTGTGGTTGTGGAAAGAGGGTAAATGAGTCGCGCGAAAACGACGGTGAGCCAAGGGCGTGGGAACCTCGTATTGATAAGGTGGGTGGCGGTGCTACCCCTGTCGTGCCCTGTCGGGCACCCTCTTGGAACACTCGACCACCAAGTTCAACGTCGAGGTCACTCGACAAGGTGACCGCGACCAGCAGGTACGGCTCAACATTATTCTGAACAAATACCTTTATATCCACTTACAGGTTTCAATCCGTGACTGTGTCTGTGCAGGTCTGTGAAATATGACAGCCGCCCCGAGGATGCGTCCTTGATGCTGCCAGATTCTTGTATGCGTACCCATTGTCGGGCTGATCCTTGCGAGGAGCATACAGGAGGCGCTTGCACTACTCGATTTCGATGAGGCAGTGCGGGGAGCATGACACCCTGGTCCTCCCCGATACACCATGTTCCCGGGCCTTGTTCCTCCCCTTGATCAAGCCAATTACTTAGTCTCAATGGCTTTGCTCGCTTCATTGCAGAAAGTACGATTATCCTCGGGAATTTGGCGGTGCTGTAACTCCGGGTGAGAGATTTCCGCCTTTCCGCAGAGATAGTATGGCTCACTTTGAATCTCATCAGGGCTTCACCTCGAGATGGAGATGACACCAATGTCGTGAGCCAATATCTGTTACATGCTTCGGGCTGATACCTCTGTTGAAACGTTACTGGTCCTCTACCCTTCAGTCACCAAGGTCGAAGTGTCCCCGCAATCTGGCTGTGATGGAATCAATCAAGGACCATCCATCACCCCTTCGGCCAACGGGGATCGTGGATTTGTTTTGACTCGACTTTGAAACTGAATAAATACCCGCCCAAGAAACCTTCCACGTTTTTTCCCTTCTTACCTTTCCCCCTCGTGCGCCAGCAGTAATTGAAGTGTTGGTCCCTGACTGTTAAGCAGCGTACGCGTTCCACTTGGGATCATCCTGGGTTTCGTCTGAACGTGATGGTCTCAGCGTTAGCAGACATGGACACGACTCAGACAGATGTGGCTACCTCGAAAATGGGGTGGGAGGACATTTTCGGAGACGAAGAGCTTTGCGACACCGATGTCGTCCGGAAAGCAAGACGCGCGCCGACGAATACCCCTTTCGACATCCCGCTCGAAATTGGGCAGCATATCTTCACCCTCGTTTGCGCATATATACCCGACCGCGCGCGTCATCTAAAGCCAGTGTCGCCATTGAAACTCGGTCGCATCTGCAGATCTTGGAGAAACGCAGCCTGGACCTGTCCTCGCCTTTGGAAGACCATACACCTCGAACTCAGAAAAGGTCACATCGATACGCAGCGACAAATATTGGAAGGATGGCTCGAGCGCTCGAAAGAACTGCCATTGGAAGTTTACCTGAGAATTCCGGAGTTGAATTGTACCTCGGAACTCGAAGCCGTGTACGACTTACTCGCAACTCATGGGCGGCACCTCGGAACCATCGATCTCGTAATGTACAAGCAGACGGAGTGGGCGGTTATTGAAGAAAAGCTGAAGGGAAAACTCGACACTCTCGCATCTCTTTGCATCAGCGTAGAGGAGCACACAATGCGGGACGAATGGCCCCATATGGGTGGCTTCTTGGATTATCCTTCCCTGCGAAGAGCCCATCTGCACGGTGTCAAGGCGCTTTACGAAATCTTCCTCCCTTGGCGTCAATTAACACACCTAGTCCTAGATCGCATCCCAATCGATGGATGCTTCGCCATTGTCATGCAGACGTCTCATTCACTTCAGCACCTAACCATCTGCAGCGTTGACGATGGGTCGACCGGACCGGTCCACTGGGTTTCCAGACGCTCGAAGGTAACCTGCCCAAACTTAGAGACTCTGGAGATCGGCGACACCACCGGAAAGGCATTGATTCTTTGCCTCCATTTCCATTTCCCCAACCTCCGGCGTGTTTCGCTTTCCATAAACGAGCACAGTCGTGGACCGGGGTCGGACACGGATCTCAGTCCAGGCGACATCATACCGACCGTTTGGGAAGAACGGATGAAATTACTCCCAATGCCCCCATTGTTCGACTCTTCCCCCAACCTTGCCTCTCAGCTCGAGGTCCAATCGTGCTTGACGCGACCGAAGGACTTTGAATTCAAGTATCAGGTGGAGGTGGAGAGAGAACCCGGGAGCGGCGGTTACACTGACAGTGCATACATCCTATTCAAGGCGAGGTACTGGCTTGAGGAGGATACAAGATGGCGCCAGAAGATCGCTGAGCAACTCTACCGGTGGGCCAGACCTTTGAGGGAGGTAAGGGAGGCACAAAGAGACAAGTATGCGATGCCGAGGATAGTTTTAGAGGTTCCTACTTCGTACATGTCGGCTATTGACGAACGGTTTGGATCAGGTGGTCTGCAGGAGCTTGGAATATCGATGCGCCCGTTTGTTTCCATTCCTCACGTCTCTCAACTTCGTTAGGACACTATCTTACTGGCTCAAATGATGTAGTTCGCCTTGAATTTTATTTATGCGGTCTTGAATCCGTGTATACGGCCCCTCGCCGCTGGTTGGTGACGCTTTCCTGGCCCGCTTTTGTCGACTTATTGCCAAAATTAGGTGCACCATGTCTTCAAAAGGAAATTCGGCAGTCGGCAGTCGGCCTTGGCATTGCGCCAACCAACCGCGGTGAAGCCAATGGACGTGGGATCATTGTTAGGGTCATCATGGTTATCGTTATGTAGAGAGAAGAGAGAATCGACGCATCCACGCACATGGATTTGAAAGAGTCGGGAGCGATGGTCATACATATGGGTGTCGAGAACCTGAATTTGGATTTGACTCGCCCAACTAAAGGACAGATAGGATGTCAGCAGATATCGAAAGCAGGGTATAAAGTAGCAAGATAGCATGACGAATAGCTTGACAGGATAAATAGAACAGAGATTTAATTGAGGGGTTGCCTCCGGCGGTGGATGGTACCGTTCTGTAACAAGTTCAAGTTCCGGAGTCCATCCAACCAATGCAGTGCCTCAATCATGGTCGGCCGTAGGGTAACATCCAGACTCCAGCACCGTTCTAATAGCTGCCAGAATCTGTCCTCGTCCACACCTTTGACTAGGCAAGTATCCTTGCGAGTGGGTAAAATACCTCTTATGATATCGAGCGTCACGGCATGGTCTGTTCTGCGATGGGAATAGGGAAGTTCGTCCGTCGCAATCTGGAGGAGATCGTGAGTTTCAAGTGCACGGTTGTTCATCAACACTCACCTCCAGACAGACACTTCCAAACGCGTAGACATCACTCATTGGAGTGATCTTGGGACCTGGCCCGCCATTGTCATCATCTTCCACAAGAGCCATTATTAGCTCGGGAGCCATCCACCGTGTCGAACCTGCAAAGACCGATGTACCGCGGCCAGACACGGCCCCTCCATCCTCTTCACAAACCTCTGTGAGGGTTTCCTCCATGACCTTGGACAAGCCGAAGTCGGTAATGATCGCTGCACCGCAAGCATCAATGAGGATATTGCCCTATGGGAGATGGTGGGCTTTGGTATCAGCACAGGTCAAGAAGGGATTTGGGCCGCTCGCGTAGGTCCAGCCAGTATTAGAGGAGAGGTCAACTAACTCCTTTAAGGTCCCCATGAACGATGGGAGGGGAGAAGGAATGAAGGTGGCCTATTCCCGAAGCGACTTGAATGAGCTGGTAGAAGGTCAGGCCAAATGGCGATACTAATCGACTTCGAAGTGCGCACCAGCTTCAGTCGATCTACGCCAGGGTTCTTCCTGACGTATTCGGAGATAATCCCATTGCAGTACCATGGTGAGACCATGCCAAAACTATTCGCCGATTGGACGATACCGAAGAACTGGCTGACGTTGCGGTGACACAGTTTATGCCACGTTGCAACCTCCGCTTGTATTCTCTACGAAGGGTTGGTTAGTGGGGCCCGAATTGTTGTTAGTGCCTACTCACTCGAATGAGTCGCTCCTTCACATTCTTCACCATCGCCTGTCTCAGGAACTTCACAGCAACCTGGCATGGAAGTCAATGGGTATTATATCCACCATCGGGACTGGTCCACTCACCGCTGTGTCCCTCTTCTCAATAGGATCTTTCCAAGTTCCCTCCCAAACGTCGGAGAAAGTCCCAAAAGCGACGGCCCAGTTTCCTTTCAGCTGAACTTCATCAGTCAGGTCGAACACCCGAACCTCGTCCTTCCCAGGCGGGGATTCCATCCGCACAGGACTGTCCGGGCTGGCAGGTGGCTGGCTCTCTCCGTTCGACTCTACACTTTCTCTGATGACCAAAGTCTTGACCACTCCCTCCATCATGAACTTCTGCCTGCACCGCATCCTCAACCGCGAATAATCTTGATGCTCGTTGATCCATCGGAATTCGTAGTACGAGGAGACCGAAAGGGAGATGCCACGAAGGGAAGAGAAGATGAGGTACGGCGGGTACGTCTGGAGGACCATGGTATTCCGCAGATGGACGTCGATGGCAGATTCTGGGCCAATATGGATGGACACGGAGCTCGGCTGTTCGGACGGCGCGAAAGAAGGTTCGTCATCAAAGCACGAGCTACCCAGAAGGTAGACGGAAATGGCTGGGCTAATAGGAAAGAAGAAGTCACATTTCTCCCTATATTCCAATGGCATGGATGTCAGCCACAGCAATACCAGAGTTTAATCAACCAGATCTCACCTATCCTCGTCAAACCCCTCGTCCAAAGCTCCGTAGCAGCAATCCGGAAGGATGTACTCTTGCTCATCAGTAGCGACCCCAACACAAATCTCAGCTTCAAGCAACCTCCAACAATAGATATCCATAACCTCTCGAACCAATCCCACAAACTTGTTGTCGGGCGATAGGTCCACACCTTGGAGGTGATTGCGAGAACGAGCGTCATTTCCTTCCAAAAAGTCGATAAAGCACTTCAAGAGATACCTTCGTTTAGTTCGGATGAGGTACGGCCGGAAGGCTTCAGAGTAGATGGTCGGGTCTCCCGGACCTTGGTGGTGCGGGGTGGCGTGAAGTCGCCGAATCAGAGTGGAGTAGCCAGCGCTATTCCGGAACCTGATGAAAGTAAGATACCGCCGGAGCTTTGATAGACTGTTGCTGGGGAACGAAAAGGTATTTGTGACCTGCGGGGCCCTCGAAGCTTGTGGTGGATAACGTCGGAGGTGAAACCGCAGAGCGTTCAGGTGAGGCAGGAGATCATCTTCGAGTGCGGAAACGATTCCTCCAGCCCGTTCCAACATCTCCTGCGTGTCCTCGGATAGCCTCAAGGGAGTGCCATTCTCGTTGTGAAAGAGATGGACGAAAACCGAACTGGAGGGCTGAGGTTGTTGCTCAATCTCGCCGAGTTCGTTATCGTAAACATGGTAGATGTGAAGGCGGGCACGCTGGTCTCTAAATGTTGGAAACAATTAGTTTTGCTGTTTCAACTAGTCGACTGAGCAACTTACACATCGGGAGGAAACCACAACCTCCAGAAAAGCGGGGGGAAGTAGGGAGGGATGTCCACTGAAGATGGCATCCTTGAGGCAATGAATTAACACATCGGCAGCAACCAATGAGCGCAACAAAATCATGGCAGTGATGATGAACGACGCACTGCATGTTGGATCACGAGGTCGGTTGGACAGGCGCTAAAGCCAGAGCTGGATGTCGAAGGTTTATCTCTTCTCGAAGGGAATCGTACGAGCACATTAACCATAGAACTAGGTGGGGTGAAAGGAAGAAAAAAGGCTCTCAACCAGGAGATCTATCAGATTTAAACAGCAGTTGGAGCAGGGGTGGTACCGAAACGTCGGAAAAACGAGTGGTCAGTGGTGCAGATCCAAGTGCATCCCCAGCGGAGGAAGACAGAAAGATTGGAAACAATACAACCTGTAAAGCCATTAATACTTCCCCTCTTCATTGCGTCATGACCACCTGCGGTGAATACACACACCTGTATAGACTAAGTGGCAACCTAGTATCACCGGGTACGCATCGCAACATCCAACGCCCAAAACAAAGTGCGTAGTGTTCTTTCCTACAGTGGAAGGTGGGGTAAACAGAATCGGTTGCTCTAGGCTCTGTCCTGATAGTCCCCGACGACATAGGCCTCTGACTCGTTGAAATCTACAAAAACAAAGCCATGGATGACTTCATTCTCTCATTGAGGGAGGAGATGAGGGAGAAGAGTGATATGACGTACCATCGTGATCAAAAGGGTATACCACAGCCTCTTCCACATCATGGCCCGAAAAGACCGAGCGGCGATGGTCATATACCACTGAGTGCAGCAACACCAGCAAAGACAACTGCTTTTCGATAACCGGAAGGACATTGTAAGTACCCTCTCACACGCCAAGAAAAGCCAACTCTGGTTTGGCATTGCAGCTCGACATTTCCCGTCCTCGTACAACCGCTGCAACAGAGCGGACCCAAACGTCTGGTGCACGGAGCGTTGATCCATTGGCCTTACAAAAGAAGAAACACAATCCCGAAATCAGTTTGAGTTTTGTTAGACGACACGAAAGAGAAGCATACCATTGCAGATGATGTCATGGTCCCCCCGCCCAAACCGCGTCCCATTATTGAAGGGTACAAGCTCGGCGTGACGTCTCGCGGCTCTTGCTTCGCTCTTCCACAGCTGCCACTGTATATCACAAGCGGCATCTCCCATAACAGTAATCCCCACTGCTTCTGAAACCTTAAATGTATAACAGGTCTCCCCCGTCGCGTACATGTGGCCCTCCGAAGGGAAATGCAATCCCGTCCGTGCCCAACACTAATTCAGGCCACCAGTCGGACCAGCGCTTTACAGGCGGTGCACAAAGTTGGCTCAGCACAGCAGTGGGACTTGGGTTCTGGGAGTGGGACTGACGCGAACATTCAAGTAGTAGGTCTCGTAGCACTGCCCAAAACGTACAGTCAGTAACGAACAAGGATGATGAGATGACAAGCAGAGCGCTCACCATTCCCAATCACCAGCCACCGAGGAAGAGGAAGGTCATTAGGTCGCTACCCCGAAAATCAAATAGAAAAAAAAAGTGATTATGATTCCCAAAATCCCTACGGTAAAGTTACAAATAACGACGCCTTGACGGCGCGTTCAAGAATAAAATAGCCCGCACCAACAAATACTCTATCGGTACTCCACCGGAAGACGCGACATGTCAGCCTTTCCAGACTCGAGCCACTCCTTCTTCACCAGCTTCTCCTTCTCGAAATAATACAGCCGATACACCGACTGGATGGTCGTCTCGGTCACACCCGCCACCTGGCTGATCTCCCTGAGGGTCCTGGTATGTCCCAGAAGCATGCAGCAGAAATAAATGGCGCCACCAGCGATAGACAGCGGGCTGCGACTGTCGGCAATACCATGCTCCCGTGCCGCCACGATAACATCGCGACAGATGCCCTGCACATTCGGTGGCAAGTCCAAATAGTTGCAGTACCGCACGAGGAACCCCTCCGGCCCACTCGACGGCGCCGCGCCAACCTGTGTAAACGCCCTCTCCAACACCTTATAACACTGCCCCAGCATCTTCTTCGAAACGTGCGTCAACGAGCAAATATCCTTGAAACTGCGAGGAACGTGCGCCTGGCGACACGCGATGAAGATGCACGCCGCGATGACGGCCTCGAGGGGCTTCCCGCGGAGCAGCTTCTCCTCGTCCGTGCGCTTGTACAGCTGCTTGGCGATGTCGCTGATGGTCTTTGGGAGGGAGAACTGGTCGCACCAGTTGGAGATATCGCGGAAGGCGGTGAGGAGGTTGCGTTCGGTGCGCGAGCTCTGGGCACGGGAGGCCGCGCGCTGGAGTTCACGGGAGATCCCCGAGCCTCCATCGCGGAAACTGATCACGGTGTCGAGTTGCTCCATACCGTCCATGAGAGGATCAGACGCTGCACCGACACGAGAAGGATCGTCTCCCTCGTCGTTGGCGAACGTCTAAATAACAGGGAGGCAATAACAAGAAATTCGGATGGATACATGATTGGCAAAAAAAGCAACGTGGGGTCGGTTGGACTTACCCGCCATTCACTCCGCGTGTCCACCACCCTGTCTCCGAGCACCAGTCCACAGTTGCCACAAACCAGGTCGCCGCTCGCAAACTCCTCGACGATCTGCGGGTTCGGGTCCTTGCACTCTGGGCAAATCAAGCGAACCGAGAGGTCGGGACCAAACGTTGGTTCTGTAGCTTTGGAGGCCTGGTTGGCCAATGTGAACCCCTGCGTGTTGTAGGCCATCTTGCCAGCAAAACTGGTCTATTTTTTGTGTCTTTCTGGGCGTCAGTTTGAGGTATTTCAACAGCTGAAACATATTTACCGGTGGAAAAACGAGGTTTTCACCGATTCACAAATCGCAAGGTGGTGGTTGGAGGTAAACCCAGACGCGAAACAATTTCAGTCAGCGAAACATTTGTCAAAGGGAATTTTTGCCAAGCATTTGATGTGTGGCGCTGGGGTTGCGGGTTCGAAACTGGTTGAAGACAAAATTTGTGCTCGTCAGCCTGGGGAGAACGAGGTGGTGTTTCGCTGGACTCGGACAGGAATTACAGTCTGACCAGTTCCAGGTAGCTCAAATTGTGTTGTACGCTCAGACCCTTTTCAGGGCGAGACGAATGGACGACTCGGCTATAATGCCACACCGCGGGCCAAACCTTATTTAACCGGGGTCGCCGCCAGTGGCCACTGGTTCAAACCAGTAACGGGCCTCGGCGGCTCAGAACTTCGCAATAGCTTTTTGAATGTCGACCATCGTCAACGGCCAACTGTGAGTGGGTGCCTATCCTGAACATGGAATCCCGATCACTTACTAGGCGCTCAACTCAGCGGATCGGCGTCAACTTCCGTATTGAGGCACAGATAACCCCTTTCTCCCCCTCGACGAAGGTGTGTTCCTCCTCATGTCACACTATAACGCCCGCACAGGGTGATGTTCAACCTGGGATTTCGACCTGGGACAGGTCGAAATCCAACAGGGTGTAGGTTGAACATCACTACGCGTAGGTTGACGGGCAACCTGAACAACCAACCTAAGTGGTTGGTTGTTTACCAACCTTATTTCGTCAATTTCGACCTAGACCAAAATCTGCCACCACAGGGACCGCGCTGGGTGACGTTCAACCTGGGACAGGTCGAGATTCATAAAAGCTCTAGCCTCGGATTCCAGAAATTCCACGGGTAAAAGCGTAGTATATATATTCATTTTGGGAGTATAATACATGGGAGTAGGTGTACAAACTAATACAAATGGCCCTCAATCAATCATGCATTAAAAAGACATACCTGTTCTTCACTTCTTCTCCTCCTCGTCGCCATCCTTGTCCTGGTCGACACCCGGGGGAACAATGCCTTCAGGTCTGTCGGTCGATGGACTGCGTGTAGAGGAATGTCAACACTTTGTATAGCCAGAGGACCATGAGACTCGTACCGATATTCTGGCCTGATACGTATTGACCCGACACCGGCACCTAGAACGTTGAAGCGCCTGACCAGGAAAAGAGTGTCAGTGGGAAAGCAAAAGCCAACGATGGTCCAGGAGACGCACCTTGTCTTGACCGTCGAACTCGAAGCAGTTACCTGTGATATCCGTGACCCCTAGACATTGAACGGCGTTGTACGGAAGATAACAGTGCGACTCTACGAAAGGATTCAGTCATTTGAAGAAGGATGAACACGGGCTTGCTTACCTGCGCGTAGTACGACGTCGAAAGAAAAGAAACGAGGTGATAGCAGACTCCCTGGTCGCAAGCGTGGGTGACGATGGGGCAAGTTGAAGTTCAAGGAGCGAAAAATCGCGAGCTCGGGACAAATCGACATAGTCATGTGACCGAGCCAAGCACCGACAAATTTCGATCCCCGCCCCAATTGCAATTTCTCTAAGTCGCGCCTCACTCTGGATTCAAACGAAGATACACATTTTAGTAGTGTACATGGTAGGCTACCGTTACGTTCCAAAACACCTATTTTGAGCACCATTTGGGTAACTTTGAGAATCTACGAAATCCCTTTCTACATGGATGATTTTCGACCAGGCATAGGTTGCTGGCGAAGGTTGCCGCCCAACCTGAAAACTAGGTTGAAACGATTTCAACCTAGCTCCAACCTAGGTCTGGTTGAAAAGCGGAAATCGCCCAGGCTCAGGTTGATGATCAACCTGAGCGGAGTTCACAGTGTCAAATTGTTTCGCCATAAGCAGGTGGAGATGGTAAGTGCTGGCCCCGGGCCTCCAGAATGGCATTCAAGTTCGGCGTAAAGGCTCTTTCCCATCCTCTCCATATGTGTAATACCGCTTCACGAAGGTCACTCAGGGTCACTCAGCAGAAATAGAACGACGCCTTGGTTTGATGGAAATGGAGATTCTGGCTGGACACTCAAAATGGCCCCATATTCCATCGTTACGAAAGCAGATTCCGTCCAGTTGTCGACCGACACCAGTCTCCATCTTCTACACAGAGATATTCTCGACCATCTCGACCCGTCACCCCATCCTGTATTCCCGAGGCGCATCCAGACACCGCAGCAACGGACGCTCACCCACTGGTTGGAGGTCATGTGACCTATTCGCGCGGGCCAAAAGGAGAAATAAATGATTGATGGAGGCAGCGAAAGTCGCCTCACGCCATTTTTTGATTTTCTCAAAGTGGGGTGTTTTTGACAAGACCAAACATATAAAAGTCCACGTCAAAGAATAAAGAGTTTCTCCAGTGAACCACCACCACCAACCCACTTCGATCTTCCGTTTTCTGTCTCTCGTCGTTTCATTGGTTTCCTTTGGGTTTTGGGACCATAGACGCGAGTCAGACCTGTTTGGTTTCTTCATTACCTTTTTCTTCATAACGACAACCGACGTGCCAGCACGATGGTGTTCAACACGACTCTGACGCCTAGTCTCTACGACGCGATGTACCCAGCGACAGATTTCTCGTCGCTGAGCTGGCTTGAACAGCAATGGGTCTCCTGGTATGTCACCATCGGCAACCCAGTCCTTGCTACTGGCTTGATGAGCTTCCTCCTCCACGAGGTCCGTATTTCAAAAATTCCGGTTCTATGGCGCGTCGGTTAATCTTGGGCTCAACAGGTTGTATACTTTGGACGATCCATTCCCTGGATCATCATCGACGCTATGCCCTACTTCAGAAAATGGAAACTCCAGCCCAACAAGATCCCAACACCGAAGGAACAGTGGGAGTGCACCAAGCAGGTGTTGTTCTCTCATTTCACCATTGAATTGCCCTTGGTCAGTCGCGCACCAAACTCTATCTCCTTGACGTCGTCCTAACTTTACCCCAGATCTGGTTGTTCCACCCCACCGCTGAGGCTCTCGGAATGCAAACCCACCAAGTCCCCTTCCCCTCCTTGAAGACCATGGCACCTCAAGTTTTCCTCTTCTTCGTCTTCGAGGACTTCTTCCACTTCGTTGGTACGTTTTCCCCACCGTTCTTGCTGCCAGCTCAGCCCTGACTCAACGTTAATCATTACAGCTCACCAAGCCCTCCACTACGGCCCTCTCTACAAGCACATCCACAAGATCCACCACAAGTACTCTGCGCCATTCGGTTTGGCCGCTGAGTATGCCCACCCCGCTGAAGTCTTCATCCTCGGTGCTGGAACCATCTTGGGTCCCTTGATCTACTGTTTCTTCACCCAAAACCTTCACATTATCACCGTCTACCTCTGGATCGTCCTCCGTCTCTTCCAGGCCATCGATGCTCACAGTGGCTACGGTACGTATCTCTCTTTCGTCCCCCTCACGTACATCCTACTGACAACCTTGCCCAGACTTCCCTTGGTCATTGCACAACATCCTCCCCTTCTGGTCCGGCGCTGAGCACCACGACTTCCACCACATGGCCTTCGTCAACAACTACTCCACCTCCTTCCGCTGGTGGGACAGGATCTTCGGCACTGACGACAAGTACCGCGAGTACCGCGCCAAAGTCAAGGCTGCCAAGAAGGCCATGAAGAACGCCTCCGCTGACGACGTGAAGAAGCTCGAGCAGAAACTCATGGACGAAGTCAAGGCTGAGGGCCTTCGTGCTGAAGCTGAAGTCGAAAACTACAAGCTCAAGATGAATTAAGATGGATAGACCTTGCTTGTTATGCCCCACACGTATTGTTATTACATAGATATAATTCTTAATGAATGGAATACCCCGTTTGTGAAGCAACATTCACCGAGGGTCGAACTTGATGGAGACCGGAGGCTGGCGCGATTCAATGGAAAAATAGGGGATATCTGTACCATTCTGGGTGCCATCAGCGGCTCGCTAATTATTGCGAAATCCCCGCCAATGGCCCTTGTCTGTTGACCACGACCACGGTCGCGATGGACGAGTTCCAGCACGCATTCCACAACAGGATCCAGCGTCTATCTTCGCTAAACGAGACGTACGTCAACAAGCATCTTCCAGTGGACGGCCAACAACCATGTCGCTGCTTGTCCAGCCGCGGACCACCGTCGGTTGAAGAAACCGCTAAAGGCGAATCTGAAGTTGAAAGGGGACCGCCAAAACTGCGTTCAGCGATTCCTATCGAGGTCCTGGAGCTCATATTCAGCTACCTTTCCAAAACCGAGCTCATCCCAGTCCTCCAATCCAACAAATCCCTCCACAGCGCAGCCATTCGGGTGCTGTATCGCGAACTATCAGCGGAAAGCCCAGCATCCAGCATAAAGCTCATCCACAGGGTCCTTGACAAACCCCTAGTCCACCGCTACATCCGCTCAGTCGACCTCAACGTGTCCAGCGTCGACACCCTAACCGGAAACTACTACCGCCTCCTCCGACGATTCCTCCAACGCCTACCAGGACTGACAACCCTCATCCTCGACCTCCCAAAATCCAATTCACCCGTATGGATATTCGCAGGATGCACCTTCCTCCTGCGTACCTTCTCAACGAGCATGCAGTGCTCCGCCGACCTCGCCCGCTTCCTCGACTCGCAGCCCAACATCCAAAACCTGACACTCCGCGGCTTCCAAACGGATTCGTTCCAGACAGTCGCACAGTTCGGAATCGACATCGCGTCCAACCCGAGTGCTCTATTCGCGCCTCGGCGCAATTTTAGAGACTTTGTTTTGCAGCCTGGGTCGTTACCCCGGCTTGCGAATTTCAATGCGATCCATGCGGGCCCGCCGGTGGTAGCGACTGTGGCGAGGGGGAGGCCTGTGTCGGTTGCGTCGGTCCCACTGTTTTCGCCTGGGGCGTTGGAGAGCTTGGATGCGTTGAGTGGGGGGAGTGTACCGCTGAGGCGGTTGACGGTGATCAGCTTCGACCCTGCCGCTCCGAGCTTCATCTTTGAAGAGGTCGCGAAACGATTCCCGTCCCTCGAGGCTCTGCACATCGTCATTCTCCTTGCGGAATTCAATTCAGTGAGTTTTATCGTTTCTGGTGTGTTCTAGGCAGGAGTTAACGTTTAGTAGGACCTTTTGCTCGCCGCATGCCCTCACCTCGAGCGACTCAAACACCTCAAGTACATCACCTGCGTCGCAACCTCGTCCGACGAGGCTCCCCTTTCCGAAGAGCAAGAAATCGCGGAAACGTGGCACAAACATTGTCCCTCACTCCAAACGATCATTCTACCTAGAGGCAAAGTGTGGTTCCAAGCACCAGCTGCGTCCCCCAGGAAGGGCAAGGGGTGGGCATGCTTCGACGATGAAGATGACAGCTGATGGTGACAGCGGGAAAGGATGAAAGATGAACAGGCTAATAGTTGAAAGGAATTGGGGGACAAGGCGCGGATAAAGTAGGGGAGTTTGGCGGTTCTGCCAACCTCGCGCCTAGTCTGAGTCCCGTCCAAAGAGGGTGTTGCATGCACAAGTATCGATACCCTCAGGACCGATGTTTAAACAGCACAGTAAGATTATTCGTATGTACCAATATTCCATTTCTTGTACGACATACCGATTCTTCAAAGTCTGGTGGACAAACTCTCGACGTTGAAAGGCCCTATCCAACTCCACGTATGAAGTCCCTCATATCCCCCACAATCAGGCAGGCTCATATGTTAATTTTTAAATCTACACTAATTACATCGAACGTGGTACACGCCAATCCCCCACTTGCAGGGGACGTTAGATAATGGATAGCTGACGAGATTACGAAGGTCGAAACAGGGGGGAAAAGATGAAGCAAGGCAATAATAGGGGGCGGACACCGGGTGTACGAGAGGAATATCTTAAAACGGGAGGGTCGGAAGGAAAACTAAATAGCGGAAGCTCAGGTGCGGGTCGTGGTGCGGGTCGTAAAGCGTCAGTAGAACAATCAGTCAGCAGTTGTCGTTTTTTGGGTCTTGTGTTTTGAGTGTTTTTTTATGGATTGAGGGGTTGGAGTTGGGTAGTACTGGGGGCGAGAGGCACAGGCGCAGCCGACACCTCGCCCTTCTCGTCTTCATCAGACCCCTTGTCTTCAGAAGCACTGTCGTGGTGCACGTCCGACGGGCCTGACGCACCGCCCTTTCCCCTGTTTTTGACCAAGCTTGCAGTTTTGCGCCTGCAAGAAAAACCTTTGAGCAACAAACATCACGGTACGGAGGTGAAGCTACCCACATCCAATAAGGAACGATGCTTCCAGGAGGGATGACCCATTCCTCGGAAACCTCGTAGTTGGCAGTGACGATCTTGCCCTTGGAAAGTTTCCTGATGACAAGCGGGATGCCGTTGAGGATGATGAAGGAGAAAATTCCTGCAATAACACCGTATGCGATGCTATTCACCGACGCGTCAGTTTCGCGATTCATGTCCTAACGTTCGGTTGGAAGCACTCACTTGAAAGTGAAGGGAATAATGATAAGAGTGAGGAAAGCAGGGACGGCATCGCCGATGTAGTCCCAGTTGATTTCGAGGACACTAGAAGATGCTGGTCAGCATGGACTAGGGTAGAGATAGAAGGAAAGTACGCACTTGCGAATCATCATAGATCCTACGATGACCAAAGCGCCTCCCGTAGCCCAAGGAGGGATGGAAGCGAAGATCGGGGCGAAGAAGATAGACACGAAGAACATGAAACCAGTCGCGAGTGCAGTGATGCCCGTTTTACCACCCTCTGAAAAGGGCCGTGAGACGAGGGGGGTTGACACGAACGATGCAGTGGAAGCATACCAGAAATGCCAGTAGCACTCTCAACGTAGGCGGTCACAGGGCTGGTACCCATGAGAGCTCCCATCGAGATGGCAAAGGCGTCGACACAGTAAGCAATGGTGGAGTTCTCAAAGTCGAGGGTTTCCGGATCGCGAAGTCCTGCGAATTTGGCCATGGAGTATAGAGTTCTGTTGCCTGATGAGCATCTGTTGGGGAGGAGACATGAAGAGCACGGCATACCCGGTGGTATCTGTACAACATAATCAGCACTTGAACGTGGACCAATTTAGGAGGCAACATACCGAGGATATCAACGTAGAGGAAGGTGATAAGGGCATACCAAACATGGCCCGAGCCATAGTTGTACTAAACGCGTTGTGTGAGCTCGAGACAGTGTCTCAAGGCCAAAAGAGTGGAGTGAGAGCTCACATCAATCTTGTTGCCTATCCGGTCAAGCGGCTGGAACACAGCGACTTGCTTGAAGTAATCGAACATAGCGTCTCCAGCCGGGGTGTGCGGGAAGTAAGTCACCGCTGTCGGTCGAGGCCACGAAACAATGGCGACAATGAAGATACCGATGAGGATGGCACCTCGGACACGGTACATCAACATCAGCAAGGTGAGAATACTACAAAAAGAGGGTTAGAAGCACTTTCCACCTAGAACCATTACCAAACACTACGCACCCGCCAACGAAGATACCCAGCCACATCGTCGGACTACGCAACTGCCCACCAGTGCAGTAGTTGGCCATGTCTTCGCTGAGGTAGTCTATGGGCAAAAATAGACAAGATTAGCTGGGGCCGGAAGAAGCCGTCGATCAAGAAGACGTATACGTACTGTCGGGTGTACATCCACCCAAAGCGACGAGATTGACAGTGTCGCCACCGACCACGCCTAGTCCATGACTCGCTGTCAAGGTCAAAGGAAGAGAAGCCCAGTCGGATTAGGAATTCGGTTTGCTGTAATGGGTAAAGGAGGGGCTGCTCACACAGGCCGATGAAACTAGGGCAATGGCTTAGTTGGGATGGGGGAGGAATGGAGGTGGTGCACGTACGCAATGAAGAGACCGATACCTGCACCAACGGCGAGGACTAGAGACTGTGGCATGATGCGGACCAGCCATTGTCGGAGACCGAGAAGAGAGAGGAACAGGAAAAGCCATCTGACGGGATCGACGTTAGTACGACGCAGACAAAGTGGGGCCACAACACCAGAGCGCTGTCGTCCCACAACAAGAGACGCACCCTTCCAGGAAAACGGCAGACAAGGCCTCTTGATAACTGATAATACCTCCACCGTGGAATCCTACAACGGAATAGGCGAACTGAACAGGAAGGGGTAAATCTCCCGACAGGAAATTGCGATAAGGATAAAGAACACACATATGCATTGAGACCCAACCCTGGTGCCAAACCGACAGGGAGGTTAGCCAAGAGGCCCATGAGGAAGGTAGCGAGAGCAGAGACGGCGGCGGTCGCAGTGATAAGGTTTTGTCGGATTTCGTTCTTGCACATGAGGTAGGCTTGGTCGTTCAGACAAAGGTCGTTCGTTGGGCATTCGCAGGTTCCTCCGGAATCTGAGATAATGGCGGCGTTGACTGAGATCTAGTAGGGACGGCAATGTGAATTTTTGAGAGGCAATAGCGAGACGGTCGCAGACTTACGATGTACGCCATGGCGGCCTACGGACATCAGCTAGGGTCCAACTCGCAGTGTGACTGGGGACATACCCATGTTGTAAGGCCAGCACGGATTTCAGTCTACAGAACACGAAGGAGATTAAGCAAATCTATTTCGAAAGCGCCCGTTGGCAATATTCTCGATGACGCACCGTGAAGCGAGATCCCACACGCTCCTTGTGCACACCAGAACCCTCCAACTTGAACCATCGTCCAACGAAGCTCCTCGCGACCTATCAACAGTTTGAGCGTAATTTTTCCCCGCAGGTGGGGCGGCGTACGGAGTTGTTCAGTCTCTCGAACATGGTGACGGCGGACCAGCGAGGTGTGCAGGTGAACCGCGCGTGGATGGATTGATTGAGAAGGGGAGAAGGTTGAAGGCGTTAGCCCAGTGAAGGGAGATAGAGGACAAGGTAAATATCGAGAGCTTATCTCGCTTGCCCCAATGGCATATTTTCCCAGTCGCTCTTCCGTCCACCAAAACGTTGAGGCCGGAGGCTGAAAGTTTTTTGTGGTGCAGGCACCCGATCACTTGCCTCAGGTCCCGATGTTTTCTTGGCGCCGAGATAGCGTTTCTCCACATGCCTGTCCAGTGATTGGAGTTCGTTATCAGTTTCGTACTCGTAGATAACCTTAGATAACGAAAAGGCTTGAAAGTCAGTCACTACTGTTGCCAATGCCACGATACAGTCGCGATTAGGATAATGTTCGTTTCAACCGAGGAGCTCAAGGTGCTGCATGTGAAAGGAGCGGAACGGATTGTCAGCGTGCCCGCCGACATCATCAAATGTCACTGGAAGCACTGGTCGTCATGGGGCGGTCTCAGGTAAATTCCAGACAGGTCTATGGGCTACTCTGCGTATAACACGGCAAATTTATGCAAGTATGAAAGGCTATGAATCTGTGTCGTGCAGGGTGAGTTCGACATTTGGGTTGAAGAGTCAGGACACAAACGGAACTCGGGACTCAAAATAATGATGGACATTGATCCGGTTCGGCATCCTGTCCCTGCGCCGACGACTGCCACGGGCGGAATCCTGACTTTGCTTTCAACTCTCCACCAACCACCCTCGTTACAATCTCGTATTGTCTTCAACAGCGAAGCGATAGAACCTCGGATCGGCTATAAATTATGACTTGGGTCCTGTCAATGCCACTCCTAGTCTGAGTCGCTTCCGACTATGACAACTCGCTGGTCACTCTGACTCGATACAACTTCAACCGGGGTCTTCACACATCTCGTCAACCTTCCTTTGGAATCAGATTCAGGGCCGCAGGAGACTATGCAACTGTTCTTAAATGAAGGGTAACTTCATGGAACAATTTCATCGATCTCAATAACCCAAACGACCCCAGCAACCCATGCACGTCAACGAGCTTCCCTCTGAAGTGCTCGCCGCCGCCTTCGAACTCGGTGTCCTTACCACAGGCATCCGTTTCCTTCCACCAGTCTGCTTGGTTTGCAGAACTTGGTACCTGCTCATCAATGAAACCCCGCGTCTATGGGGTATAATCGACGTTTCAAGGACGGCAAAACCGGACCTGTTACTCGCCCAAGTGGACAAAGCCAAAGCCGCGCCATTGACCGTGTTCGTTTCGGAAACATATACTGTTTTGGGGAAGCGACGCAACTTCGATGTTATCGACAGGCTGTCAAACCTATCCTGCAATTGGATCAAGGCGGATGTCCCGCGGTGGGTGTTCAGCCAAAGGGAGTGGCCCACGGACTATCCCAACCTCGAGGAGCTGGTCATTTTTTCGGGGAGACTTGCCTTGCCCACGCAATCTGATTCCTCATCTCAATCGACCCCACCTTCCTCTAACAAGCTACGGTCCCTTGTCATCGACGGCGTCACCAACAGCGGGCAATTCCTGTCCCCATCCATCCAGGCGTTCACCTTGAAAGGTCGAGGCTCATCCCCACCAGTCAGCGATACTCTCGCTCAACTGTCCCAGATCCCAAACGTCCGGCGGCTGAAGATCGACGGCCTTTGCCATCGCCCACAACTTCTCAATCAATCACTCACCGTCACCTTGGCGCACTTGAGGGAGATGGAGCTCACAGGCCTCCGTTACCTGAGTATACTCTTATTATATCTGGCCGCTCCAAACCTTCACGTCCTGACTATCGACAACACTTCGATTCGTAACCACCGCCCGTGGTGGTGGATGAATCAACCTGGTTTGGATAACGGTCCCGATCAAGAGTGGACATTGCTGACACCCTTTTTCACGCAATGGTGCGAACCGAGATTCACTCCATCCAATCTCCATACCCTCAAGTTGGTGAATTGCCTCATTCCCTCCGACCTTCCTTTCCTTGTGCGTTTCCTCGCCCGCACCCCTAACCTTGTTCGGTTAATCCTCGTCGACGAGGTAATCGCTGGGATCCCGTCAGCCCTTTCTGGTCTAGAAGAAAGCGACGAAGGCGGTAGGGCAGGGATACTGGACGCCTTGAAGTCACCAACCGCTGCAATGAGCGCTGGTGGCGGCTGGCTCTGCCCTTCCCTCATGGTATTGCATATCGAATCAAAGGAGTTGGAAACGAAGGACTTGATCGACGTCGCGGCAATACGCGGGGTTCGCTCCCCTGTCGACTGCGGGCTGAGCCAGTCTGCTCCCAAGAAGCTGCGAACGATCACGGGGTTTATCTGTGCGGGTGCAGAGGGAGAATTGGCACGCCTGGAAAGCCTGGTCGACACTGCATGCTGCACATGCCTTGGATGTGACATGAACACGTTGGCTCGTGAGTGACCTCCTCCTCCGACTCGGAAGCGTTGGACTGACTGGACTTCGACAGTGGCTTGAGCCTTGAGCACAGATCGGGGATTTTTTCCATGGCTCAACGAATTGAATCTTTTCTTTACTCTGGCGTAGAAATCCTTCAGTATCCTTAACGGCTCAAGCGGAATCCCCTCCCTGCTTTATCACTACTTTATCATGTCAACTCGTCAACCGAATAGAAGCAATCTCTCCGCACTGAAGGCGCGGCCCGCGATGGGTAAAACCTTCCCTTCCTTGCGACAGAAAAACAAGAAGCGCTCTCTGACATCCGGAAAGACAGATACCGACAGGCCAGGAACAGAATTTGTTGAGAACCCTCGTTCTATCGTCTTCGAAACGCACAAAGTCCTCAGCGGGGTTTGTCCTATTCGTAGTTGATATTGAAATTGGTTCCTGCAATTGCCTTCTCGTGGGCAGACTTAGCAGATCCTTATCTTTCGATGATTTACATTGTTCCGACAGAAGGTTCAGCACATGCCACAGGGTTGTTTAGGCTTTGTGTTCCGCCCTGGGTCTGGATGCTAGGCCCACTAAGTCCGAGTCCAATCGAAGGGATCATGTCAAGCCACTTCCGAGTCACTAGCCCTCGGAAGGACCGTTCGCAGTTAGCTGACGTTTCGAGCGTCGGAATGGACTGAGAGCCTAGATTTTCATCGACTAAGGAAGACACTAGCGCCAGGTAATCGCATGTACGGTACATAGTATTATTCAAGCCAAAAATAGATACTGTCCAACGGAAGCATCACGAACATGGTATACAGTGCGGGCCCCTTCAGAACTCGAAGAAGGCTTGGAAGGGCAAAGTTCAATCCAAAATCCAAGCCACGAGAGAGCCCGAGGGGTTCGCGCAGGCGGGTGAACCAGCTTCATCAGCCCGCGAACTGAGCGCGAAGGACTTCTTCAGCGACTTCCAGGAAGTTCTTCCTTTCGACGGGAGTGCAGGATGTGCCTGACTCGCTGACGGTATACCCGTCCATGCATTTGTTGACCTTGCATTGGCCTTGGACGCAAGCAACATCGTCTACACCTTGGATAGCGGTACAATCCTGACCGTCTCGGTTATTGAGATCATTGTTGAGAGAAACCATGCAACCACCGCCTGGGTAGAGTGTCGGTAAGAAGGGCGACAAAGGATACAACGGGCAACCTACAGCTCTCCAAATCGCGCTGGGTGTCGACACATTCCCAAGAACCCGCATGTCTTCCAAGGATACCGCACGCAGTGAAGCCAGTAGGGCACTTGGCGTTCTCTGCGGTAAGCTCACGCTTGTGATATCCCTTGCTGGGGCAGGCCTTGTGAAGGCCACATTTACCGTTGCATTCGGTGAAAGGCCACTTGCAAACGCAGGACTTGGGGTTAAGGAGAGGGTGACCAATGTATCTGGGCGATTACGGTCAGAAATGCAAACTACTCGGATTCGTGAAGGACACATACCCATCTTTACAGATGAAGCCACAAGGGTTCAACCATGTACAGAGAGGAGTCGAATGAGGAGGGAACTTGCAATGCTTCGGGCAAGTTATCCAAGTTCGTTTCTCCGGGTTGATGGGCTCGGCGAGCGTGACGCTGAACGCAGAGAAAAGACTGAAAGCAAAGAGAGTGGCTAGGACGGCCTTCATGGCGTGCTGGCAAGGAGGGACTCGGATAGAGTGCGCTAGGTGCTAGCTGGGGGTCATGGAAATCAGGTACCACCTTATATATGGCTATCGAGATTCCAGGTTCGAACAGAACGCCCTTCTAAGCCCATCAATTTAGAATCTCGAGAAGTGGTTTATTAACCCGGTTCGAGTTCTTGCGTTATGGAGGACGAAGGCTATCCACTTCTGAATCGTCTCCCCAGATGAAAACCCCTTCATAAATGTCAGATTTCAAACATGTCGGTCGAAGGGGCGCGGTGGCTTTGACAGATTCAAAGTGGGTGTCAGACCAGGTAATCCCGGTGGCCGGCAGATACGGTAGCTTCATATCCACGGGTACAAGGTGCTGATAAGGTAGGAAAGGCGCAAAGAGGAGATACGTACCCGCGACTTAATCGAACCGTAGGATAGCCGTTCCTGCGGCTATCGCTGTGGCGGCCAAGAATATGGCAATTATGCAAACTGACCCACGGCCCGCTTCCCCTCTGCCGTGGAGTTCGAATTAAAGGGTTGAAAGGAGAGCGAGTCTGAGGGCCAGACTAGATCAGGATTCCTGCGCTTCGAAGCGTTCCCGTCCAAGGGCCCGGAGATTACCCCAAGGCAAGTCGCGTAGGCGGTTAAGGCACCGAATTCTCAGCTCTCTGGCTTTTCGGGGGGTCGAAGGTAGAGACAGTAAAAATAGACTGTTGTGGACAAGCTTCGAATTACAGACCGACTGCTGAACCTTGCGCCAATAGCTCTGGACCTGTTCCATCAGGAGACAACGCTATCGTCTGCGGCTTCTTGTTCTCACATAACGTTGAGGACACCATTGGGCATTTGTTGATGTGGGGATTCAACGTAGATTTCGAATCGACATGGGAAGATACTGTACAGCGATGACTACGTGCCGAGTCAGCGCCTGGTCGGCGCACTATGAGCTTTTAACAGCCTGCCTTGTGGAGAATCTATCAAGTGCCACGAGCCGGAGCCTTCAACTGCGTTCTCGAGAGTGTGATTGAGCACCTTCTTGCCATACCCCGAACAATAATTTCAACAGCGTGTCAAGATTTCAAAGACGACTCCATGCGGTGTTTACAGGCCATGTCAGCCACCAGATGTCCTGCGGTAACCGTTATACACGCCTCAACGGCACCCTTGGGCATTACGCGGGGGAGAATGTCGAAGTGACTAGTCACTCGTCAGGTTGCTCCAACCCCCAAATACTTAAGTATATTGGAGCAGCTAAGGCGGTCTAGGACCCGTGGTTCACATAGTCAACTGGCCCCACCTCATGACCACCTCACCTCATAACTCGATACGAGTGCGAATGGCGTTTCCTCAATTCTGAAATCGTTTGACCAGGACTTTGCAGACGTTTTGTGGGACTATTAAGTGTGAGCCTGAGTGCTGCTATAGTGTTTGCTGGGTGAAGCCACTTGTCAGATCACCAGGGTGCATAATGAAGATATCCGTATAACGCGTTGTCGCACCTCCGGAAGCATCCACAAGTAAGACAATCAGCAACTGAGGCAATACAGTTGGCAATAGCTGGTGTATTTTGAGGTCATGGGGAGGACCCCATCAGTTACTTCGAAATGGCGAAATTAAGCGCCCGTGACACTCACATCCGACGATACATTGTAAGCAATCAGAAATAGCCGCAACGATACACATGATACAGGACCCAATACATTCGACTATGCCTGTACTTTCCAGTCAGCTCATCAAATGGAAGGTGAACCAAAGGGGGAGGCTAGACAGTACCAGAGAAACAAGAGAAGATACAGCTGAAGCGTGGATGAAATCAGAATTTGTGAAGGCTAGAAAAATCAGCGCAACCTCACCCCATTGTGGCTTGGAGCAGGTTCAGAAGGAGGGGGGATAGCTGGCTGGAAGACATGATATCCTGTCTATATACAAGCAGGTCATTAGGTGGAGCGACTACTATACCGCTATGGTCCATGACGTATATCCCCTGCGGTAAAGCCATTGAAAGGACTGGTCTTGTTGTCTCGTCGAGCATATCTGTAAGCCAGAAGGAGCTCAAGTGGCATCCGCACTCTGATCCGTCATGGTTAGGAACGAGGAAGGGCATTTGTTCTAACCTGACACGAGAAGTTCCAAACGTAACGTCGATCCAAAAGGGCTGCGGGAGGTCAATGAAATTTAGAAAAAAAATTGCGGAATCGGGAACATAGAGCGTCTCTGATCATGACCAAGGGTCGGAAAATCATAATAATGGTTTTCATTCCTACGGGTGGACAGGAACTTACCAGCAGGATTGTGCGGATGATGTGGCAAGCGCGCGTTGAAAAGGATTGATGACGTCAGTCCGTGGGAACTACTTTCCAACTCCGCCAAGCGCGTCGCGATCATTGCTGCCCGACTCGAAACAACGACGAACAATGGTCGTCGCTGCTTAGACCACAACCACCAACCGCGGGAAAGAGAAACAACTCACAAATAGTGACCGTGCCACAACACATCTTCTTTCTTTCAAACCACCACCACCCAGAGTCCAGAACCCTGAACATCTCTCCCTCTCTTCCTGATCAAGACGGTTGAACCGCTTCTTTATCAACTTCAGCCATATATCCATCTTCAACACGCACGCCAGCCACTCACCAGCAATTCGAACCATCGAAGCCTGATCCGCTATACGATGCCAAAGACTCGAGCAACCACGAAGGCCTCTGCGAAGGCCCAACCAGACCGAGTGGCATCCTCCAGCGCTAGTCCAACCGCCGCCCCCGCGGCCGACGTCGCTCTCGAGCGCTTCCCAACACCCTACGATGAGTACAGCGACGAGGTCAACCATGATGAAGGAAGCTCCGAGCAAGTTATCCAATCACCCCAATCCCCACCGTCCAAGCGATACCAATACCCTCCTGTCGGACGCGAGCTCAGTCGCAAGAAACTCCCCAACGGCGAGATCGTCATCGAGCGCGACATTGTGTCGCCGTTCTACCTTCAAGAGATGAACGATGAACTCCACGCGGAGCAAGGGCGCCTTGTCCACGAGCTACATGGGCTTCAGGAAGAGCTGAAGGACGCCTTGCACGCCATGAAGATCGTCCAAGTGCGCTTGAAGCAAGAGTCAAAGGCGACGGAGGAAGCAGTGGGGAAAATGAAGACGTTCGCCGACCCAGCGAAGATGGAGTTGTTGAAGCAGCTGTTTCTGGAGGATGTAATTGATGAAAGCGATTCAGAGGACGAGGATAGGTACGTCTTGAATACTTTTGTGACTGGCTTGCCGACGGGTTCTGACACAGCCAACAGAGCACAGGAGGACGACGCAGACGAGGAAGAGCAAAGCGAGAAGACAAAGGAACATGATCGACAGAACGTCGAATCCACCTCGGCACTCGACGAAAAGGCATCCTCCTCACAAAAACGCCGACGCGAAGAAGAGGACGACGATTCGGACGAGGAACGAGAGGTCGAACGGTCTGTCGAATACTCCCCAGATTCATCTTCCTCGGGAGCGTCTACTCCAACCCCCAAGCGTCGCCGAGTCGACGGAACCCCCTTCAAAGACATCGAGTACAGCCCCGGCCGCAGCGGCAGCGAGACAGACTCGGATACCAGCGACGAACCTTACCTCACCGAAGGCGGCTCGCACCACACCGAATTCAGCGACTTGTCGTCGCCTGGCACCGACGGTTTCCGAGCGAAGGAGGACGGCGATGACTCGGGAGACGACGGTCCCGACAATATCATCTACCGCAAAGACAAAGCTACCGGCGAGTATCGTTGGGGCTTTTTCCTGAAGATCACACCCATCGAATGGGTGCCGACTACCCGCGCGGGTACCCAGCGAAGGCCACCCTCGCCCAAATTGACCGACGCAGACCTTGACGCCATCGAAGATGCAGGAATGTTCACTGAAGAAGACGCCCGACAGAGGGAGGCCGCACAATGGGATCCCGACGGTTTCCGCATCCCCGGTCTGCCTATCCGCCGTTCGCCTGGAGAACTGATCATCCCAAAGGCTACGATCGGTCCCGAAGGCACTGTCTACGAAGTCCAGCACAGCGACCTCGCCATCCTCTTGTCCCCCGTTGAAGCCGCGAAGCCATCTACCACCCATACGGCCTGGGGATCGCCCTTGTCTTGGTTCAAGAAGAAAGCGAGCAAGAAAGGAAAGGAACCGGTCTCCCCATCTCCTCTGTCGAAGTCGCACGTCGCGGGTGAGGATGAGGATGAGGGAGATGAAGATGAAGAAGGAAAAGGCAAGGGGCCGATGCCTCATCTGTCACAGAAGCAATACGAACGCCTGTTGTCGAAGGCGTACAACCGCGAGAAGGAGAGGATGGCGAGCGTGGCTGGGTCGTCCAGCGGGGGCCAGGCTGCCCCCACCGCCACCGCCGCCAGACCTCTCGTGCGAGATGAACGGGAGATCCAGCAAGACCCAATGACCCAGATGCTCTCCATCCTCAACCCTGGCGAGAATGACATGATCACCCTCGTCCCTGGAACCCCGAGCGGCGCTGCCGCCACTACCTCTGGCTCTCAGCCTGCCGCTGCATCCACCTCCGCCGCCGGCTCTGTCAGGCCTCTTCGCCGAGACGAGGAGATGCTCTACCACGACAAGGCCACTGGACAACTCTTCGTCGTTGAATGGGATCCTTTCCGTGAGTAAAGGTGGGGCGGGGCATGGACTTGGAGCGACTTTTCTGGATTTCCTTTTTGTTTTTCTGTTCGATATCTCTTTGGTTAGGACTCCCGTGCTATGGAATTACATTTTCTTACTCGCCTGTCTGATTTGGATTCCGTTTCATCTGTTTCTTTTCCTTGGATATGTTTCTTTGAATCTATGTAAAAATGTTCACTTGTGTGTAGTTTCGCGTGGATCGGGTGGCTTGTGTCGTACCCTAGAACGCCTTGTAATACGATGGGTTTCCTATTTATCCCTGAGGACGACGTCGATCGTGACAGTGACTGGCCTCTAGATCTGTGGCTGCTCTTTTCGTGGTGGCTGTCGTCGTGCTTGGAGGGCGACGCGGTTCCGCGCATGGTGGTCTGTGAAAGAAAAGTCGTGAGAACTGAGGATTTGGTCTGGCTTTCCACCCTCTGATGACCCCTTCGATCACGTCAAACTCGGAGGGCGAATGCCCCTTTGTGGTTTGGAGACAAGTTTGAAGCCTACTGTGCACTTAGAAGGGTGGCGACTCGTCAAATCGTGCCTTCCTATATTTCAGGCAAGAAATGGTCCACCGATACAAGCGGTGTCAGTAATGAGTACATTAGTATGTACATAGGTTGCCCCAGGCTTGCCAGAGATCCTTATTACAGTGCACCCAACGTCTAAGGGAATCATTCTGTATGGAATCAGCATCTAGCGAGACTACGGTATGTCAGACCCGCGGTGTCCCATAGTGCATCTCCGGGTCCGCAACATCCTCTGCCATATCATACGTCGACAGCCTTCGCTTCCTCGTTCTCGTACGTTTTGCAGAATCGACGCCGCCAACCTCGAGCTCACTATCCTCAGACTCAGAATCGCCAAGTTCACAACGGTCCTCAACGTCGATATACTCTGCTCCGCGGTCAAGAGTCATAGACGTGCGAACTGAAGATGGTTCGACGACGGTGCTGCTTTCTGAAGGTGAAGAGGATGGTGGTTGATGCTGGTGCTGGTGGTGCCGGTGGGTGTGGGTGTGTTCGCGTTTGGGTTCGTGGTCGAGGTGCTTGTCGGGGATCTGCAGAAGCAGTTAGGGTGTGTTTGCAAGAGGAAGGGAGATGGATGGGACTAACGGGTAACCGGACAATGTACGCTAGGAGCGTCATACATGAAGCAAAGAAGAAAACAGATTTTAACGAGATCTTGTAGGATTCCTTTGCCGCTTCTTTGATGTGTGCGGGTATGTCGGGGGAAGCTATGAGTCGAGAATTTTGGCGAATCTTCATGATGAACTGAACACAGCGTCAGAATGGTTTCTACAGACCTTCTATTGGGTAAAGGAAGCTCACCTCGGTATCTGGCCCCGTCAAGCGCTTCCTCAGTTCCGAATCGAGGATGGACTGGAAGACGGCGGATGAAACGGCGACGCCTCCGACTTGACCTAGGGTCCCGAGTTCAGTCTCAAAAGTAGTGGGGGTCATGATGTACGGAGAGCGTACCAATTCCACGGAAAAGCTGTCCAAATCCCGTTCCTACTGCCATGTAACTCTCTGTGTGTCTGTGAGCTTCATCCAAGCTGGATATTGAATTGGATACCGACCAGGAAGATGAACGAGCAGTGCAACTGTGGAACATGGTCAGCAGTCGGGACGAAACCCCGAGCACAGATAGACTCACTCAACATGGTTTGAAGGACAACGGCATTTCCAAATCCTAGCGGAACCTTTACCGAGTCCGACCCGTCAGTATGGTCTACCGTTAGAGGGGGTCGAAACACTCACGATGCTGAACCACGATACAAAGAAGCCCGAATCTTCTTGCAACCGATAGATGAGAGACGCGCCAATAAAAGGGAGCGCGCCAAAGATGAGGTTGATGAGCTTGTACCGGCCAGTAACGTGCATCATCCACCCCGCGAACAGCGAACCAACAGACATCGAAAGGGAATTGGGAAGTAGGTGCAGACCTGGGTGCAAAAACCAGCATCAGTGGGTATGCTCCAAACGAGTAGGACGCGCGAGGTCACGTACCAGCAATCGAAGCACTCGTCAGAATCACAGTCTGGAACCACATAGGCAGGAAGTACATGATCGAGAAGTTGCATGTTGCAACGAGGAAGTTGGATATCCCGACGAGGACAGGGATTTTTTGCTTCAGGAGGAATGGCGCAAGGACTGGTTCAGGCGCCACCCATATTTCGACTATGATGAATAAGATCGAGAAGACAGCTGTCAACGATGCAGAGATGGTCACGGAGGGGCTCGACCACTGTTTCCACGCATCAGATACTGTCAGAAGGAGGGCGTAAGTCAGGCTCACCTCAAGCCCTTCGTTATATCTGGCACTAAGGAAAAGCAAGCAGGATCCAACCTAGGCGCTGTCAGTTATTGAAGGTCTAATGGATTATTAGGACTTACGGCCATTAGAAGCGTCGCACTGCCGCCATAGTCAATGCGTTTGAGGATTTCTCTCGTGCTCTTTCCTTTCCCCTGCAGTGTCCATGAGTTGGCAAGGCAGATGCACGCGGTCAAAGAAACCTACCTCAGTCACATAGTTAAGGTTCATCGTTGTGAGGACGTAGGAAAATATGAACAGGGGCATTTGGATGATAAAGGCCCATCGCCAACCGAGCCTGGAAAAGAGTCAATCCCAAGGCCGATTGCCAGAGAAAGAGAACTGCACTACCAGTCGGTCACCAAGCCTCCTAGCGGGCCACCAAATCCCATACCAAGCTGTTCGTAAAGACCGAATCAATCAATGCAGTCTAACAAGGACAATTTGTACGCACACCGTTAAACACGCTCTGGACGCCTTGCGTCAGGCCTCGACTCTGTCGGGGTACATTAGACAGGATATTAAGGCCTGGTGTGGGAGACATACCCGCAGCGTATACATATCGCTGACAATAATACTGCCGCTCCCGGTGAGCTTCCACAAATACGGATTACAATCCGAAAACTCTACTCACGACGACGTAGTCATCAGTCCACCTCCTCCAATTCCGGAAAGCTAACGGCCATTTAGAGTTCGGTTGCCGCGTCTGGCAAAGAAGACGTACGAATCTAGCCAAAATGAGCGTCTCCATGTTGGTCGAGAGGCCGCAGAGCAGTACGCCGAGACCGGCGAATATCAGTGCGGTATGGTTTGCACCTTTTCTACCGAGGACGTTCGAGAGGCGGCCGTAAAGTGGAGTGAACGTGCAGGTGGCAAGTAGGTAACTGGGGCACATGGTTGGTTAGCCGAGGCTGGACGATTAGGACGACGCGACGTACGAGGTCCCCAGCCAACTGGCTTGGTTGGATTTGTTGAATTCAGACGAAATAGATGGAAGCACTGGTTTTTGATAAGCTCACGCTGCCCGGTGAATGAGAGGAGACGCACTAGTTGGCACCAAGGTTTCTTCAGATGCGCAAAGTCAGTCTAATCCAACATCCTGAGATGGGTTAAACCTTACGATTCAAGGCCTAAGTTCTCAGTTGAGCATCGCGTCCCACTAGAAGCTCAGACACTCACGGATAGAAATGTCGCTGTCCAAATCCCTGCCAGGATCCTATACCGCGTTCCCCTCGATATCTCCAACGGCCCCAACGGCCTCCTTTCTCCATGTCGTATGTCGCCATTCGACGCTTTGCGGATAGGAAGTAGACGATCTCGTTCCGTTACAGGCTGGGACATATGACCTTGGTGACCTCAGACCCGTACGCAACAAGCGGTCGGCGTAAGAAAAGACGAAGGGTAGGTACATAAGTCGAGAAGAATGACCATGCTTTGTGGGAGAGCGCCCAACACCGGTTATCATTCCGAACCACGTGAGATGACCCTGCCAAGCGCCAAATTTGGACTTTTCCTCCGAGTCGGCACGGTAGCCGTCGCGAGTTCGAACCTCAGCCAGGGCAATTTCCTAACCTTGAGGTCATCCGCGAAGTACGCGACGGGGGCATGAGGTTTTCCCACTTCATGTCATTAGCCGAGCACGAACATATGGCTCGACCTTAGACCCTGCAGCAATTCTCGACTTGAGGTCGAGTTAGTCCCCCATCGTGTTTCCTCGCACGCACCCAGCCGTTTTCGAATGCGAAGGATTTACAAACCCATATCGCTCAACCATCTCGCTGGAAACTGGCGGAGGTCAGGGTCTTACCTTGGTGACTGCGGAGCTACCCTAGTTGTAATCACGAGTGGGCACCGGTAGCCCTGATATGAAAAGCATGTAGGACTGAGCACAAAACCGACAATCCATATGCTCAACCATTTCAATCCGACTTGCAAGATGGACTGCTTTATAAAAGCATTATGAACGTTTCGATAAGCGAATACTACAAAAATAAGTACAACAGAATTATGCGATAATGCGTATCTAGACTCTAAGCTCGCATCTAGAATTGTCAGGGTGGTATTTGCAGGGGGGAACCAATGCCAAAAAGGTGGGGGTAAATAGAGGAATTCAGAGCAGGGGTTGAAGCTCGCGTAAAAAAGGGGTCTTAAGCACGATTGGGGGCACCTGAGACGAAGGGGAGGGTATCAGTGAATTGCGCGCTTACTCGGTGCGGGGGCGCTTCTTGGGGCCTTCACCGTTGACTTCACCATTGGCAGCACCAAAGTATTCCAACTTAGCAACAGGGTCAGTCTTGATGGTCTTGGAGCCTTCGGTCCAGTTGGCGGGGCACACTTCGCCGTACTTCTCCTGTTAGAGCAGAGGCGATAAGTCAATGACATATCGACGAGGGACAAAGGGGATGGGAACTAACAGTGAATTGGAAAGCCTTGATGAGGCGGATGGTCTCGTCGACAGAGCGGCCGACAGGAAGATCATTAACAGTGATTTGCCTAAATGGATATGAACATAGTGCAATGAGCAAACGTTTATGCTTCTTGATGGACACCGAGCAACGAACCTCAAGATACCCTTCGGATCAATGATGAACAAACCACGGAGGGCGATACCCTCGTCCTCAAGGAGGACACCATAGTCGCGAGAGATCTTCATGTTTCGGTCGGCAATGAGAGGGAGCTTGAGGTCGGGGCCGAGACCACCTTCCTTGCGAGGCTGGGTGGCCCAGGCGAAGTGGGAGAACTTGGAGTCGGTCGAGACACCTGAAAGCCGCCGTTAAGCATGGATGTCACATGCCACCCGACGAAGAGCCGTACCGAGAACAACGGTGTTCAATTCTTGGAACTGGGGAAGAGCGTCATTGAAAGCAAGGATTTCGCTGGGATACTTGTTAGGTCGCTGGCGTTTTTTCATTCGAGTGGGACATACGTGGGGCAGACGAAGGTGAAATCCCTGAAGCATTGTGGTCAGCGACGACGCGTTTACGGAGTCAAAGGATATTGAGAACTCACATAGGGTAGAAGAAGAGAACAACCCTGTAAGAAAAACGAGCAAAATCTAGTCAGTTCCCCCGCACTTGTGGTTTAATATCGTGACGTACCATTTTCCTTGGTAGTCCTGGAGAGAGACCTCGTTGAAGAGACCCTCAGTGACGGCCTCAGCCTTGAAAGTGGGAGCAGGGCGTTGAACGATAGCGGGCATTTTGAGCGAGATGTGGGTAGACGAGACGATGGTTTGGGGTCAAAGAAGAGTCTGGAAGGTTTTATACCGTGGCAGAGTCATGTTCCGTGATCTTTTTTCTCGCGTTATTTGCCTTTGTTTTCTTGGCGCCAATTTTGGGAATCCGACCACGCGCTGGTCAATTTTGCTCCCGAGCCTCATGATGACTGCACAACTTTGCATTAAACCCCAAGGGTGCTGCAACTCTCCAGGATACTGCCAAAATGGTCCACGACACTCTCGCTTGACACCACCGTTTACAAAGACTCTGAACTTGGGCGATAGAACAAAGCCCGTCTCTCTCCAACGATGCGATCCACCGTGAGTGGCGCCAATTTTCGAAGACTTGAAGGAGCGCGAAGGCTTTGTCAGATCTAGCGTGACTGGAAACGTGACTTCATACAGGGAAATTACTCAGAAACCTGGTGCACGACCACCTTACCAACGACCACACTGATTCTTTCGAACTCTTTTACCGAGTCATCTTGGAGGACACCCTGAAATCTTACGATAATCACTTTTCTCGCGGTCCCTGCTCCCCGGGCTCCAGTCCTCTGGCTCCAGTCCTCGATTTTGCGCACCTGTCTCAGGGTTTCTTTTGTACACCAATCTGACTGCTCAGGAAACACGTTCTACGACCCTTTCATAGTCGCTTCGGTATCTATTGACGGAGAGGTGCCACTAAAATATGTACCAAATCGAAAGCGATCGTGCAATGGCGAAGTTCCTCTTACCCCGACAGGAAGAACTGTTTCTGCACGATCCCGAAACAGCTTCGGAGATCTCGTACTTGTCAGCAAGGCCCTCGTCAATGCACAGATTACGTTTTGCGGCGTGCGCAGTGGCGGACATGTCACATCTGCGCTCTCCACCAAAAGTCTACCCATAACCTTGTCGATGAATCTAATGCGACTGTTCTGGAAATTAGATTGAAGACGGTACATCCAGCTTCTCGCCTGTACTAAACTCGCTTTCATATAAAGATGGTCCTTCACTGCTGCACGAAAACCAATCTCTATCGCCCATATTGCCCAGTATGCCCATAGGACCCCTCACGCGTCGTAGCTTGAAAAGTTGGGTTGAGGTCAAACCCGAGCTCCTCGTTGCTGTCGACATCGGTACCACGTATAGTGCTGTTTCTCTTTGCATCCGAACATATGGACCCAACGGCTCTTCAAACGTTGAAGTGGTATGTAGGTCCTGCGACCAACCACCCCGCTGTAATCACTGATGCGATATGCCTTTAGATCACCAGCTGGCCGAAGCAAGCGCTGAAGAATATCAAGGAACCGTCAGTCGTATGTTATGATTTGGATGGAACTCTGAACCCGGAGGGGTTCGGTTCGGGAGCCTTCGACGATGCGGTGAGTGAGGCGATCGGAATTGAGGAAAGTATCCCTGACATAAGCTCTCTCTGTAGGATGTCGTTGACCAGATCGACCAAGGAAAACTAATCAAAGTGCAATGGTATGCTGCCTTGCGAACACTGGATTAACCTTCGAGCTGACGATCATATTCGTTAGGTGGAAACTCGCCTTCCGTCCAGACCACCTTCCACCAATTGCGGGGCTCGAAGACTACCTTCCGGACTTCAACAAGGGCCTGAACATCAACGTCGAGACCGTCCTCCGAGACTACTTGATGTTGGATATGATATGCCAGGTAAGGTCGTCCACGAGGCTATTAATCTCTTCGAGGTCATCCAACACTTGCTTTTCTGAGGCGGAGTCCACTGCATCCCCGAAAGCGTCAAACAAGTCGGCTGTAATGGGAGGGAGGGTCGAGTGAGAATTGCCGTGAGTGCTTTGAACAGGGTTCAGACAAGTCTCCTCCCGTAAATCGCCCCCAGATCCGGCCACGGATATAGTGGGTGCATCCGAGGACTTTAGAGTTAGAATTAGGGGTGTCTTTGGGAGTCGAAATTGCAAAGAGACTTCTGGCACGCTCCTCGAGGCTATGTCGTTGGCAAACCGAGTTATTCCTTGTGCCAAAGGATCAGCAGTTCGACCTCTAGTTCCACTGGCTTTGCATTTTCCAGCCTTCGCTCTGAGAGGACAGGTGAGTCATGGTACTGAGAATGCTGGGTCTTACTTACCTTTCTTTCCGTACTTTGCTGGTGCTTGAAGACTTGCATTGACTCGGACCTCTGGCCCGGATCTTCGAAGCTGGCACCTTGATTTTCTTGGTAGACGCGGCTGAACTTCTAACCATTTCAGTGCGTCGAGGTGTAGGGATCTTATACACTAGGAGACTCCCCTTTTTATGCGAGATGGCCCCAAATATGTTCCCGAGTCAGCCCCCTCAATTTCTACTTGGAAACTTCGAAGTCCTGTTAGACGCATGGAAACAACTTCATGATCGGCACCCACTTCTTCCACGATCTGAGCTTGTGGCGTTTTTCTCGAGTATTCACTCAGAAACTTCCCTGGACATTCCGTTGTTTTGATTCGAGCACCAAGGAGAGCTCAGAACATGGATCCTCTGACTGGAGATAAGATAAGCGCCCAATATCTGAGTGTCGCCGTCGTGTGCCGCGGCTGGCTCCAAACTGATTTGATCTCCGCCGAGCGCGCGACGTGCGAGGACCCCCCTACTATCATTACCATAGAATTGTAACGGGTTTCAGTTATCCTTCAACAACTCAAGAAGTAGGAGGTCCTCGCTTCCGTAATTTTGCAAGTACATTGAGATGCCATTTCTCTATACTACTTTCAAATCTCTGTAAGATCGAAGAGGATCCTGCTATGCCAGACGAAAGCCGGTGAAGGGTGTCCAAAAGGCCTCAAAAACAGGGAGTTGCAACGAGTGTGACATGCCTGCGATCACTCCGCTGTCACATCATTCGCAACCCCGAAGCGAAGAGCGTGACAGAAGTTTGATTGTTTGATGGGAAAGGAGTTGCAACCTGCTGCGAATGGTCCCTCGTACCTGTCACGCTCGAGCACTTTTGCCCTCTCTCTTCAGTGACTACAGTAGGAAACTGAAAAGATAGCACACTTGGAGCAAAAATGCCCTGCATCTGTTTTCCCAGCGTTTTTTCGCTATTCCGAGCTCTTGACCTTTAGAAAAGTACGAATTACGTCAGAATTTTACGCTTGTCGCAAAAATTCTACCACTGATAACGCATTCTTCTAAATACAAATTGCCCTTTCTTTGTAGAAAGTGGATGCTAGCAGTCTCCACGTATACTCGCACAGGAATATGCAAAAATATTGGCCGATAAAGAAGAATCTGAGCCGCGATAAGACACGTTACAACTCTATGTCGGCGTTACAACCCAGTGATCCTCTACATGAAAGCACACCGGATTCGCTAACATAAGAATGTTATGTAATATATTTATGTAATCAACTCAGCTCCCTTTTTCCCGCGCGGCAACGGCAGTTGAAGATTGAACGCTTGAGCCTTATTGCTGTTGCTGCCTCGCCCGTCAGCTTGGATTGGAATTTGGTCGCAGCGCACGTCCATTGGACTTCAAAGAACATGTAAACAGGTAATTTAGAATAGTTCTCATGAATATGAAGATGAGGCTATGCTACTTAATGGCCCGGCTTCGATTTAAGCCATCAAACTGGGTGAAGCGAAGGCTGAAGCAATCCCTATCCATCCGCGCCGTCTCTTTTGAATCAGTTTCTGACTTCGGCGGGGAACCAGGGGGAAGTTAGACGCGATTCCTAGAATAAAATAAAGAGTAAGTACATTTGAATAGGTGGAATTTTCGTGTTTCCTACCTGTAGATTACAATCTGTTTTGATAGTTAGCGAAATTTCTTCCGAGTGTAAGCCTAAAGGTGCGTGTACGCGCTGAAGCAGGCGCAGGCGAGATGTAGAATGGAGGCACTTCCCAGTACGGGGTGCATCCGAGGTGTTGGTTCCATCAATGGGTGAGGCAGCGCCTATTCTTCATGTACTGTCTTTGTACAGGCCGTGGAATGAAGAAGGCATTTAGAAACATCGGCAATGGCCTGTCATGCTTCTATGGGGATTGTCCACATTGGACTTGATGTTGTCGTTCTTTTGAAAAATTCCACACAGTACACCAGACCAGACCTGACTTCACTGCACTGTGCAGGCGCGAAATAGTGATTATGAGTCGCTGTATAACTACACGACGGTCATTTTAGATAAGTGGCATAGAAATATGCCTGCTGTTATCTCATTTTTCCATGTTACATTAGCCAGGTAAGATCTCCCTCAACTATCAGAGACCACCAAAGCCCGCCGTAGGCGGGCGCCAGTGAGTACGCAGCATTTATCGATACCATTTCTCTGAGTGGAGGGCGAAGCCCGACCCTAACCACCATTCCCGTGCCTGCGGCACGGGCAAGCGAAGCTTGTGATAGTATATGCCTAGCTATCTTCGATCTTTATGCGACGAAAATCAAACCAAAAACCCCCCCATGTCCGATCTTTATGTGACGAAATCGCAGAAAAAAAGGGTGATGTCCGATCTTTCATTATGCGTATGGGTCTCCACCGTCGCTTCATTCTTCGAGGCACCTCATCTTCTCCCTGTCCTCGTTCTCCCCTTCCATCACCCGATAGGACATTGCTGTGAGCTGTGAATGGCACCACCTTTAGGCTTGTCACCTTTGTGCGGGGTCTTCAAGCTTGTTCACGGAGTTTCATGGGCGTCAAGACGTGCTTCACTCGTGTGTCAACGACTTATGGACGTGCCTCCGGTGGCCTGGATTAGTGTATCAGCTATTCTCCCTTCATTCTACAATCTTTGACCATGTTTTACGGCGACTTCACTCTCGTACATTCATTAATTATCCCATTTACATTAGGAACTTCTAATTCTACTCTTTTTTTGCTTTTATGCGGACAAGAAGGCCTCTGAGCGATGTTAGATCCAAAGTGCGGACGAAGGTGAGCCCAAAGAGCCAACCCCGATCTTCATGCGGCGGATGCCGGCCAAATTTGGAAGTGCGAAAACCGCGAAAAATGGGGGTTTGGGATCGGAGATACCTAAGCATATAGGGGGGTCCTGACGTGCGTCGCGATCGTCGAGGTCCAGCCGTTCCGTCAGCTTCGACTTCAACGACGACCAACAACGACGGCCTCCCCAATCCTATTGTTTCCACGACCGTCCAACGCCGACAGCGATGGCCAGAAAGTCTGACCGCCGCACAGCACAACCCAGCTTCCCCTGGGATCTCCTCAAAGCAGAATGTTTGAGGACAATCTGCCATCAATTACAGTGGAAGCGTTACAATACCACAAAGTCGCAAATGGTGGAATTCTTGAAGACTGTTGAGCAGCATGGAGGTGAGATTTAAATGTCTGCTGTTGGATGGGCTACGGGGGAAGGAGGGGAGGCGCCTTTTTGACAATACACGGATGGAAATTGGGAGTCTAACAGGGTTTCTCCAATGTGAAGCGCAGAATCACGAATGCAGCTGCAGAAATTGGCTGAATTATCGCTGAAGGACGTCAGCGAATTGCTCAGTCCGTCTTTCCGAGCCTATCACAGCTGAAAGGTCCATAGTCGTTCTGCGAGGCGCTCAATACCTCCCATTCTCCTTGCGGAATTTCACTAGCTGTCGATGGCTCCTCTTTACTAACTCGTTTTATACAGTCGAGCACGCTTTGAATGAATATCAAGAAAAAAAGGGCGAGGAAGATGAAGATGAAGCGAACACATCGTCTACACCCGAAATTCCTCCCTCACGGCGCCAGAAACGGAAACGTCAGCCAGAGCCCGAACCCTCACCTTCACCAGAAGGGCAGGAAGCTGGGCCTTCCCGAGAACCCTATAACACACGGCATAAAGGGTCGAAGCATGTTGCAACAATCTCAGGCGTCCGTGAACAACCGCGTCCCGTCACCTCTCCCGCGAAACTCGTTCAAACCGAATCCGCCTCGACTGTCTTCAACCCTCCGCGACGTGACGCACCTCCACCTCGAAAGCGTGGGCGTCCTCGGAAGAATCCTGTGAAAGGGGAGCACGCTTCAGTCTCTGCATCGACGTCTGTTCCTGCTCAGCCAAAACGGAAGCGTGGTCGACCAAGGAAGCAGGACGCGGAAGCGGATGTCAAGCGGGAGAAAGCGCAATCGACGCTGCCGAAGAAGGGGAACGCTGAAGTGTTTGATGGAGTCGTCTTGACTCCTTTGCGGCGCCCGTCTACCACTGACCGCGGTCATGACCATGGAGAGGATGCTGATGCGGATGGAGAGGAGATCGACGAGAATGACGAGTATATCGTGGTTCCGAGTGGTGCGGAATCGAGTTTAGCAAGCTCGAATAAAGGTCAGTTCGGAAGTGTGGCTCCCTTTAACCAATTCCTTGTCTCTAACACGATCGTCTTAGAAAACCATGATACGTTCGTCCCCCCAGACCCATGTACGTCGTTATGTTGCGTCCCAGCCATTAGGTGCACGCTCACATACTCACCTGTAGCTCTCCGACCCCCGCACGTCACCCTCCACGAAACAATCGCTGATGCCATAAACGCAGCAGCAGCAGACCAGCAGCTCGGGCCTTAATCTATTCTTTTCACTTGTATTTCGGGATTTTGTGTTTGCGGTTTGTTCACTTTACACCTTCCATTCATCTGATTCACCCCTATTTTTGTTTCATTATATTGTATTGTGCTATTTACCTGTATATTGCACACCTGTATTACGACCCGGGTCGCTGATTAAACTATTCCACAGAGGCAGAGACAAGCAGGTCCATCATCATTCCGAAGGGGTGTCGATCCTAGTTTACCCCGCTCCGCCAGCACGCGCACGTCTTCTGTCTGGGAGGCTGCGACAATATGCTTCAGCTTCAGTTTGTGCAGGCTGCCGTCGCCTGTGTAGGCTGTATATGCCAGCCCAAGTCCGTACAGTCCCACCCCCATTAAGGGGATGACGCCCGTCCACCACCAGCGCGGTTCCAGCTTCCAGACTTTTGGCCCAGGTCGCTTCGTTTGGTTCTGGCACCTTGGGAAGTTGGACGCTTGTCATTTTCGATCAATGTCAACTCAGACTGTAAAGCGGGGAGCGCCCAAGGGTTTCGAGGAATGCGGAAGGCTGCTCTTATCTTATTTCAGAGCAACTGGCAGACAAAAGCTTTGATGGTTAGAATAAACTACAAATATGCCATGCTTGAATAGCAGAAAAATAATCTACCGTCTAAACGGGCACTAAAAAAACACGCTTCGAAAGGAAAATAAGAAAGAACTTATGGATGAGTAAAAAAGAAAAAAGGAAGCACGAATGAAATCCAAAATCAACGTCCGTGCTACATAAAAGCATAACTGCTTAACGGGTCCGCATAAACTTCCTCCTCATATCCTCCGTAAGTGCCCTGAGGGACGCAGCTGTATACTTAGGTTTCTGCACCTGTCCATGGGATTGACCAGATACAGACTCCGTCCGCTCAGAAAGCGGCAAAGAAACCAAACTCGGTGAAGGAGAGGGTTCCTCTACTCCAATGGATCCCGAGTTCAGACTGGCATTGCCGTTCCCATTAAGCATGGGACTTGAGAATGGTGAATAATCGCCATTGATCGAAGGAGTGGATAATCTTGGGCGTTTGAGTTCGGGACTACAATCGCAGTGGTGAGTGTCGCAGACCAAGATGCAAAGGTATGGGATACCCACCTAGCAGTAGCAGACGTATTACTACCCATCGAATGACTCCTCTTCGGTTCTCTCCGCGCAGTCACATTCAACCTCTGACTGAGCTTAATCCGCCATGGTTGGAAGGTTTCTTCGAATTCTTGGAATGATGTTTCGAGGTCTTCAGCCAATACGTAGTAGATCGTGGCAGGGTGGCCAGCAACAGAGCTGTTGAGAGATGAGGATAGGGATGAGGGGTGGTCGCCCGAAGCTTGGAATACGAGTTCGGTCCAAAGTTGAACAAGATGCTCCATGAAGATTCGAGTTGGGAAGTCTGCATTACACAAGAATTAAGTATGGAGTTAAGCTAAAATCAGGCACCAACAAAAAACTGACCTTGCTCGATATTCCGATGTGAAGCCAAGTCATTGAAGATATGTGACACATCTTTTTTGGAGGAAATATTGGTAAGCCATTCCTCGGCCACCTCGTACGCAGAACTGCTCAGAAGTACATGCGTTAACAGCCTTAATATATCGAAGGGGTATACACGACTTACTCGCTATCATCAATCGCACCATCGTCATACTCAGGAAGGGCAAAGTCGTCAGCCTGCAAACCACACAGCACAGATATTTGCTGCCCAAGAGTGTTCAGAAGTTCGACGATGGCGTGGACGACGAGGTTATATAACTTCCAGTTGACTACATAGCAAGGAATTGTCAGAAAAGGAGCCATCTAGAAACAATAATGTCCTTACAGTGATCGCCGTTCGCACACGACCCTACCCACTCGTCGATAAACGAATTGAGGGTAGGCAGGTAGTGCTTGAGCACACCTTCAAAGCGGACATCAGCAAGTATTTCGCCGCATTCGCTGAATTGAATCATACCCTTCATGTTCAAAGGCTTCACAAGCTCTCCCTCGAGATCCATATCGAGCTTTTCCAACGCCGCCTTAAACTGACCGTCCGCATCCTTGTCATTCGAGTTCATCGGAATGGAGACATGGCTCTTAATTCGGCCCTCCTTGACAAGTTTGTCGATCTACAAAGAACAGAGTCAATTAGCCAAACTCTATGCCCAGGAAAAGAGAACGGTGACACACCATCTCGAAAAGGTCTGGCGCAGAGTACGAATCGGGGTTGCTCGTCCAACAGAATGTCAACAACGCTGGAGTGTAATATCGATCACTCGGAAACTTGTCCACAATCCCCCTCAACCTCGTACAGTCATCTAAAACCCGGTACTTCCTAAGAACGCAACCACCCATCAGAAATGAACAAACGGAAGTAGGCCCAGAGAACTAAACCCACCTCTCAATCTCATCATCGACGCCCTCGATGGGTGTACACTCAAACACCACAAGTCCCGGATGCGCTTCGCCCGACGGAGATGAGGTTTTCGTGACGGGTATCGTAAACGCAACATCCTCCAACCATTCACCCGATTCCGGGATATTGAATTTCCTCTCCACCCAAATCGCCGTTCCGTCGCTCACTTCAGGATTAACGGATACCCATATCTGCCACGTTGAAGGCATATTTTCCAGTCGGACTGTCTCCTTGACATATGCCTTGAGCAAGGAGAGGAATGTACCCGGGGCCCAGCGTTTTTGGTGATCTTCATGGTTCTGAAACGAGGGCCAGGACGTGAGGGGATCATAGTAAGGGCAACGAGAAGATACGCACCTCCTTAAACCTCTTGAAAAGTTCGTCGTCCGTCCTCCGCTCCTGATACACACTCGATATTCTCTTCCTCGCTCGCTTCCTCTGCGGACTCTGCCCACCCCTTCTCTCCAACTGCGACACCGACAACATCGAGGTATCACCACCCTCCGAAGTTACACTCTCCGACATCCTCCTCTTCCGATCTGGTGTACCGGCACCACCCCGCGCACTCCCATTTAACGACCTCTCCAACCGTATTCTCTCTTGGTACTCGTCGGCCTGTTTAATTGCCCTGAGATATGCAGCTTTTTCGGCGTTCTTGCGAGACCACACTTGGAAAGCTGACTTCACGACTTGACTGCGCCTTGCGAACGAGAGAGCTTGCCCTTCCATTGCTGCAAGGTCTTTGGATGAAGGTTCACGTCGTTCAGGTGGTCGCTTTGGTTGTGGCTGCTGTTGTTGCTGAGGCGGTTCAGGTTCCCTCTCCTTCTCCTTCTCTTTACCTTTCCCCATCTCGTTCAAACACGCCCACCCGGCCTCAATATCGGTCCCCCTGGCCAGAACTGGGGCACCCGGCATCGGGTACGAACAGAGTGGAGACGACGAAGTGGAAGACGAAGCGGTGGAGAGCGCAAAGGGCGACGACTGCTGAACGAACAATGGGCTCAAAGGACCCGTATTCGAACTGGGCCCTGATGCAAAAGGCGTGGAGAGATGTCCTTTGAGGTGCAAGGGAACCGCGCTGGGAGGGGCACCGGATGTTGGGGTGGAGGGTAGTGAGATCGGCTGAAACTTCGGCGGAGGTGGGGGATGGATGGGAGAACTAAGCGCTGGTTGGGTTGGTGGTGGGGCGGGTGTTTTTAAGTCCACGTCGATCTTCAGTGGTGGAGGCGTCGCTGTCCTAGATGAAGAACTGGAGAGGTTGGCACGGGTAACGGCAGGCGCCGTTGCTGCAATCGATGTGACACTCTCCTGTGGTTCTGCAGGGGCGGTGGTAGGGGACTTTGGTCGTGGTTGCTTATTAAATAGTCCCGGTTGGAAAGGCGTCGCCTTTGGGTTAAGGAAGGTGGATGGTGACGAAGGAGGCAAAGGCTTTGTTGTTGAAGACGCTTCATTTGTGGCCGTGGCTACTGGTGGCGCTTGTGGCAAAGGCGGTGGTTGCGGGGAAATGGGTGCAGGCGATGCCACAGACGGGAATACCACGTTCGGCAAAGGCTCACCATATGGCGGGGGTTGTGCAAAGGGTGAGGTCGAGGAAAACACTGAAGCCGGTGGTGTTGGGTCTGGAAAGACGCTCTCAATGTTAGTCCCACAGTCAAGGCGATGATTTGACTCACTGCTGGGCGCGGATGCCTTTAGTGCTGTTTCCACCACTGCCGGCTTTGACGTCGAGAACACGCTGCCGCCGAAAACCGAAGGTGTTGGTGCCGATCGAGAGGTGGTCGAAGCAGAGGTGGATTGGGTCGAGGACTGCAGACTACCGAAAACAGATGGAACGGCAGGGAATGCACTTTTCGGCGCCGGTGCACCAAAGGTTGTACCAAAAACGTTTGGCTGAGCAACTAGAGAAGCAAAGGCATTCTGTTGGGACGGAATCGGTGGAGGAGCAATGGGCTGGTTTGAAGGGGGTACAGTAAAGGAAGAGCCAAAAACAGATGGCTGTGGTTGACTTGGAGCAGGTGCAGAGGTCGGGACATTGGGGAAGAGCAGAGGCGCTGGTTCCACATCAGCTTCTTGTTCTTCGTCCTGCGTGTAGTCCTCCATTTGTGAATCAAAGTCGACATCCGATGTGACCTCCTGGATCTCTGCGGTTTGGGATTTGCCGTCGATGATGTCGGACAGGGACAAATCGCCACGAATGCTTTCAATATCGTCGATCGTCTCTGGGCCAAACAACCATTCCAGAATGCACGCGACAAGGTAGATCATCACTGTGTTCCCTTCTCCGCGCAGAACTTCTACCAATTGCCGGAAGATGTCCATAGCTTTGTCGTCAACAATGAGAGGGCTTTTCTTTGTGATAGGTTCACTCTTCTTCTGCACATGTCGTCGGAACTGTGTGACGTATTTGAAGACAGGATGTTGTTTTATGTGGTCGGGGATGTTCTCAGGACGTTCTACCTGATCGCGCATGTGAATGAGGCGGTGGTACACTCGCATTTCTAACTCCGTTGGCGACTGGTACTTTCCCCTTTGATCTTCGTAGAACTCCTTCAAACTTTGAAGAGCTGGAAGGCCAGTTAGTAGCGAAAACTACGCCAGATTATCCGGCTCACAGTTCATCAGCTGTTGTTCCTCCAGCTGCATTGAAAAGCCCTTGGCGTTTCGTTGGAAGTGAATGACCAATATATGAAACCGAACACAGCGGTCGTGGGCCTCAATGGCCTCGGGCCCTGTAAGGTGTTGCAACGAAAAGTCGTTTCGAACTGCACGGGACCGATCTCGAATGAAGTAGGCTGTTCGCTCAAGTCCCCCTCGGGGTAGAAGATCTTGAAATAGGTAGTCGAGGGTTTTCTACTCATGACATTCAGCAGGAAATAGCTTGGGATAGCGAACCCCATCATTCACCTTGAGAACGTGCGGGGGACGCACATCCGACGGGAGAGACTTGTCGCCCGCGCCGCGTTCATACATCTTGACTGCCCGTTGGTGATCTATTCGCTTGGTTCCAGGAATCTATACTAGAGTTGAGTGCCTTCCAGGGCGACGCAGAACGGAGACGACACGAACCGTTTCCCATTCAGCCAAATTGCTTTCTCTTTCGCGACGATATCGCTCAAACCTGGGACACATATCTGGACAGGTTCCAACAAGAGTAATGGCATCCTCGAGACGCTTTTGCACAAGCGGGTCGTCCATTTTGCCTTCTGCAATTGCCCGTTTCCGTTCTTGCTCACGGGCGACGACGAGCTATCCTAATTTCAGCCAGTTCTGATGCTTAAAAAGAAATGAGTGATACCTCTTGGTAGTAGTTTTCCAGCTCTTCTTTGGTGGAGAATTCGGGCTCGAAGATGATAGGTAGCCCATGGAATCCGGTCGCTGGGTCGATGGATGCGGGAGCAAGTTGTTCGTTCCGTTTTGGAGGTGACTTGGACGTTGACTTGCGGATATTGGTGTTGCGCAGAGTAGCGTTAGGGAACGTTCCTCGTCCTCGTCCTCGCGGTGAGACCCTCCCTCGTCCTCGACCACGTCCTCGACCACCATGATGTCCTCCCCGTTCCCAGCTTTCGCTTGAGCTGCCTTGAACTTCGCTCGTCGGATTCGGATTGGCGACCCATTGCTTGTTGCGTGAGAGAGGCCTACCGCGGTGGTTGGGTGACGCCCCTCGACCCCTGGAATGAGTGAATGTGTCCAGCGACGCCATCATGGCGGACAACAATAGGGTCTGCCCGACGTCTTGGGCGACGAACGCGAACCTTGGGCCGTCGTTCCAAGCAACGACAAAGAACGTGCACAGCCACTGATGGTTGGGCCCGTTGGGCGCTGCCAAGGCGCTGCGCCTTCCGAGCCGACCACGACCACGATCCTCCAACGACGAGGAGCTCGACCTCGCGGACACCGAAATTATGATATGGCAGACGAGGCTTGTAGCATTGCAGCCATCGCCTGTCTAGATATCGTCGCTGGGTGCTGGGTTGACTTTATTTCTATCAGTAATTCGTTCTTGCGTTCAACGTCGAGAATCGTCGGCCTTGATGACGAACGTCTACTTTAGGACACGCCTGCACGGAGAATCTATGTCGAAGCCAATGTTATGAAGAATCTCCAGAACCGACCTCTGCAGAAAGGCGGCCATTACTCGCGTCGACCACGGACCAACCCCGTAATCAGCCCGACATGCCGGTGCCATCCTCTGGGTGATTCTTTTGCGGTTGTATCTATATTATCTGTTGTACAATGCAATTTTTAAATGTGAGTTTCCTCTTCTATCCATCACCCTCCCTGGCTGAAAGGGGCCCTGCAGCACAATCACGATTGTACAGAATGTCATTGATAGCAAAGTCTGAGCCCTGTTGGACGGCGGCGACTGTCTGATGGAAACAGCGCAGTTCATTGTTGATCTTCAGAAATTCGCGATCGCCACGGACCACGGGTAATGCTGCTCCCGACACCATGACAGCGTGCAGGCTACCTCTTTGTCCAATCCCCATGCATAAACCCGACCCGAGCCTTTCACAGTCCAACTTACGATCACGCCGTTCAGGCGCTTCAAGCAAGTTTCTGCCTTCTTGCGTATCGTAGGAGTCAACATCAGCATGCGGCACCAATTATGGCAAGTCTAGCTCTACTCTCGAACCCATACCAGACGCCTAACCTCCAGCGTCCAGTCCCGCGAGGCCGTTCGCGGAGAACATCGATGACGCTCCATGACACCAGTCCTCGTGCCCAAAGTGGTCCCTTATTCGGGCCTTCTAGTGGAAGACATCTCCATCTTCTCAAGATTGTGCCCCATGATTACGTCGGTGCACTCAACCGTGACGAGCAGCATTGACAACCCCAAGGTATTTCTCTAGCCAAAGCCCGCCTTGCGATCGTCGTCGCAGACGTGCACGCCGAACCGGTGGTACGATTCCCCGGTAATCTCAACTTGAAGAGGTCCCCACGAGTTATAAATAAAGAAGGGTGTTTTAAGAGAACTAGCACGCCCTCTCTCTCCGCCGCTTCTCTTTACCGCCCTTTCCCATGACACCGTCAATTGAACCCTTCGAGCTGTTTCCAAGGCCTACCCGCCCGGCAAGCGAGCTCAGAAACTTACCTCTCCCCTCTCGCCTAGGCCGAACGCCTGCGTCCACAGCCGCACTGTTAGATATCCTGAAGGACAACAATGACAAATGGCATATTTTTTTCAACAACCTCAAGTACCACAAGTACGTCCTCATGGTCATCCGTGTTCCCACTTCCCACTCATCGGCCCCTTTCAGCCATACCCCAGCTACCGTCCTGGCGCTATGGTCGATGGGGGCCAATGCAGACATCCTGCGTGCCTCGTACGAGAATAGCAGTAGCTGGCAGCGGGGACTGGATCAGGTCAAGCCTCCAGATGAAGTTCTAATCACTGAGTCGAATTGGAAGGAGTATTTGGGAGATCCTCGGCAAGTCCTCACTCGAGCCTCAATACAAGCTCCCTCTAAAATATCCCAACAGCTACTACAAATCCTACATGACGTTCTTCACCTCCGAGCTACAGACGAAAGGCATACCCCGCCTGCTCGAAGAATACGTCTTCTCAAAAGCCAACAACTTCCCATCGGACGGGTCGCTCCCACCACAGATGCTCAACCGCACCTTGGACGCCATTATGCATCCCATGATAAACATCGGGCACGGTCTCGAGTTCAACGTTCCGGGGATGATCGTAGATGGGATGGCGCAAGCCGCTATACATCAGGCCTCTGCGACATGCTTGATCCCTGCAGATTGGTGGGAGGCTGAGGACCCTGTCAAGACACAAACCGCTTCTTTCTCCGCCATAGATCTCCCCAACCCCAGCGTTTTGGCTAGTACAACGACAAAGGCCAAAGGAGTTCATGCTTTCACTGTCCTTGCCAGGGTCTTGAAAGACCCCGAAATGGGCAATTTTGTGAAACCCAGAGGCGCCAAATTGTGGGACGCCATTATGGCTTCACATGGGGCCAAGTTGAAGGCGTACGCTGACCAGTGGGATGCTGAGGGTGATATTGAGAAGAAGATCGAGGAATTGATTTGGTTGTGGACACTTATCTATGGCGTATGCGGGCATGAACCAAACCGCAAGTATTACGCGGAGCTTTTCCTGTACGTCTGCCTCATTTTCTTGGCGCTTCACTACTCCTAACCCTATGAAACTAGCGCTCATTCGGTCACTTCTGCTTTGTTCCTTGCACCATGGGTCGCCCATGTGAGCGACCACTCCGCACGACTCTTCCTGAGGGGGTACTTCGCCGTGACTCTTGCGTGGTACATTGGCCGCGGTCGCCCTCCGCTCAACATCAAGCGTTTCTTCTCCGACCCTTCTACCCTCAGCCCAATCGTTCCAGGCCCACACCCCACACCGTCCCTTGGCGCACTCGGTGGTAACGCCACGCCTTCGTCAACCATCACCCCCAACCCATGGCTTGCCATCCTCCAGACCACCCTCAGCAGCCCCGACGAACACGTTCCCAAACTCCAGCGTGCACTAAAGCACTACGCCGAGCTATTCGAGCACGTCGAGAAGGGTTATTTTAGCGCAGAGGAGACGGAGCTGGAGGGCGCGGAGTGGATTGATGGGACGTTGTTTTTGAGGACGGCGGTGCTTTCGGCGAATAGGTTTGGGTGGCTTAGGGAGGGACAGTCGTTGAGGGAGCATGCGGGTGGGGATAAGGGGTATATGGCTAAGTTTGTTTTCGATGCGGCGGGGTTCTTCAAGGCGCCTGGCAGTCAGGCGAGGGTGGAGAGGAGTGCATAAACCAACACGACTAAGGCCGCTGTTTGTAATTGTTCAAGAGCTGTGTAGTTAATAGAACGGAGTCATCCTCGCATCCTCGGGCTTGCTTTTTTGGATGATGCTATTGATGAGCCCGGTACGCGACGATTCCGATTACTTTCTTATTGTCTCTAATGTGGACGGTGCTTGCCCACAGACTCTTTAAAGCACGCTTGTCTAACCTGAGACTTAGCAATAGTTGTGCCGGCTTGTGTTGAAGACAACAGGCCTGGCGCTCATTACCGCAGCCCGCTACGCCGAAAGGCAATATGACTCAAGAACTTGGCGCTTAGCGCTTTAGCTCTTGAGCCTGAGCCACCATTGGGTATACGCGCACGTTATGGGAACCATGTTAAATCACTGGCCTTGCAATTTGTACTGGTCGCCCGATCCCGTTCGCGCTTCTTATTTGCGTTGTTAGCCAGTACACTCCTTATCTTTTAGCCTGACGACGTGACTGCAGGCAGGGAGTGTGTCACATACTTGGGAGCTGTGGGCGGCACCTGCCCTCCAAATCCTGTCCTAATGGTAGGTCCGGTCCCCACAGGTCAATAAGTATATAAGTAGCCCGGTGAATAGCCATCGAAGTTCTTTAAGCACTGTACAAGTTTTATTCTTCAACCACTGACACCATGACAAACATCGAGCCAGGCGCGCATCCCATTCCAGGGCCTCAAAAACCACATGTCATTCCAGAGCGCCAACCATCAAATGCCGGGGCACAATCCCCCTACGTACCAGGAGTCGTCTTCAGCCTCATGATCCCAGAGGAGGCCCCCTCCTACCCTGGAGTCGTCTTCAACGGTCCCGTCAACATCGTCGGCAACCCGACCATCGCGAACGGGCCTGCCACCATCTACAAAGACGGAGCTGTGCACGTCTCGAATACTGGTGAGAGCTGGAGAATAAATTACCCCGTTGCTTCGTCTGACATGGTACTGCGTTCCCAAAGTCGGCAGTGTCCCGACCGTCCCGAGTGCACCTGCAACAATCTATGAACAAGGAGCTATTCACATTGAGCACAGGCGCGACGCTATCCCGGTACACGACCAAAAGAGTGAGACAGCAACCACCAACGAAGCTAGCCGCACCATAATTCAAGGCGCTGGTTCGTTATTTCTCGTGGCCTACTCATCCATATGTATTTATCTCGTTTGTTTCTTAATGCGACAGAATCAACCCCAGCCATTGCACCGGGCGAGCCAGCGTCCGAGCCTCGTCTCTGAGATGAAGGGAATTGTATGTCATGACGGGCGCTTAACAGATTATCGGAGGTCGCAGGTGGTTGCAATCAATCCTACCTTCAGGTTCGACCAAGGATCCGTGGAATGCGTAATTTACCTAGAGAATTGTTATAATAATTATGATATGTAACCACACAAAGAAACGTTTGGCTCTGTCCAAAAATGCTCTCGGCGAATTTGGCTTCGAGAGGTAGCCATTGAGTGAGCGTGCTGAGAATGGGTATGTATTTGGCCAAGTTTGTTTTCGATGGCTGCGGGGCTTTTACAGAGTTCGTACGACCCCGCCGAGGGTGGACATTCTGGAGGGGAGTGTATGCCACTACTGTAGGCAGCTATCTTAAATGTATCTAGACCTTCAGTTTCAGTTTTCTGAGCCGTCGTAATAAAGCTCACCTCACTGAGAGCTCGCGATTCATTGAGGCTAAGAGCCGTCATCAGAAAGCTTACCAATCACTTTTTCCCACTTGCACAAGCTCCCTCAAGCCGCGGCAAGCCAGAAAAGTAGAAAAGTGAAAAGTGCAAAAAGACACGTCTACTTTTTGGAAAAGTGCAGTCGAGAATAAAGCGGCATACACGGACACTGTCATTGCGCATCCCCACCAAGGTGTACCAATAAAATACCGACTGCTTTAGTTGAGACAACCTCCGTACTGATTCCAGCCATCACCGGAGCCTCGTTATGTTCTCTGTAACGGTCGTATATTGTGAGATGTCGTTGAGAGGAAATTGACGAATCAAACAATATATTCTCTTGAGAAAAATTGGACAGACTTAAATTTTCTTTGATTTTCGGTCGCCCAGAGGGTATATGAGTCAGATTGAGATGGACTACCTTGACAAAACCGCAGCTACGTGCATGCAAGGAGCGAGAGGAGGAGGCGAGGTGACGCGTTTGACGCCGGTGCCGACTTGCCGACTTGCGGACAGTGAAAAAGCCGGAAATGTGCGAAAGTAATGTGCGAAATTCCCGATGAACGTGGTGTGATGCCGGTTTCGGTTTGTCACTCTGGCAGGTTGTCAGCTCCGATTCGGCGCTTGCTGTGAAATACTAGTAGTATGCTGATCCTATGTACTGTTATTGTTGTCGTTGTTGTTGCTGTTGTTGTCGAGCATTACACAGTTAAGCCGCCAACGTAACGACGAGGCGTGCTACTTCGAAGATTTGAATATCATAAGCCCTTGTTCTCTTCTATTGGGTCACACAGGCCTTCCGCCCACACTAAGGCCAAAAGTATACGTATCCAGTAGTCAGCTGTCGTAGCCTCTCACCTTAGCACGAAACGCGCTCCTATCTTCGACATTCAGCCGGGCGCATATCCCATGCGAAGTCCTCAAGAACCGCAAACCATTCCAGAGCGTCACCAACGACTACTGTACTATAACTCCACACGCTGCTTCATTTTTTCGATCCTTCTCGCCCTTCAAGTTGAGTCTTGATGCGACAGAATTGAGCCACCCAGAACGATAAACGAGCCACCCACAGGCCTTGTCCTCGAGGTCAAGCGGAGAGTATGTCCGTGGATCACGACGAGCGCTTAATAGATTATTGAGTGTCGCGACCGATTCCCACCTTCCTTTGAAGAGTACATAAGAGTACATGCTTCAGTTATTCCGTGTTGTTTTTAGACCGAGAAGCAGCGCCATTCGAGTGCATCGAAAAGGGGTTGGCGTGGGTGCACAAGCCGCCCCTACTAGTATACTACTGCTAACCCTTGAATTAGATTTTTTTGTGTCCTGCAGTCGTGAGGCCTAATTAGTGGTGAATGTTCCCCCATTCTTTCCAATGGCTGATGGTGCGCTCCTAGACTTCTGTATACCACCCTTCTAATGCGGTGCGATGTCCCATTCCATGATCAGATCTCCCGACCTCATTGGGCGCTTGTCGTATAATCCCATTTGATGTTGAGCAGCGCACTAACTACGTCGCTAGTGTGACGGGGAGACTGAATACAACACATTCTACATACTGGGAAGCTGTGTATAACACGAGTTCTTGGTCTGTCACAATGGGTTACATAAGTTCGCCCACAACCCACGACAGAGACCGATAAATAGAAGTGACCCAGTGATATCCAAGCCCTTCACAGCACGAGGCCTCTTTCTATCCTTTCCCTTCAACCTCTGCCAGCCATGTCATCCACTAATTATGAGGGCGCAAGCTCCATGCCTCCGCCTATGCATCAACTAGCTATCCCAGAGGAGCCCCCCACCTACCCTGGAGTCGTCTTCAACGGTCCCGTCAACATCGTCGGCGCCCCGACAATCGCATCCGGGCCTCTCACCATCTACAGGGACGGAGCTGTGCACAAGGACTACCACTTCTACCGTGGCTCGACACACTATGAGACGAATAATACAATCAACGTCAACCAAGGGGGCGATATAGAATCTGTTCAAACCACAAATTCTGTGTCAAGCACTGGTTCGTTGTTTTCTCGGCGGGCGTGCTTGTAACTTAGGAGCGCTGATCTTGACTTTGGGACGACAGGATCGACGCCGGCCACCACGCCAAACGAGTCATCTACAGGGTTTACTCTTGAAGGTCAAGGCGATAGTATGGTGGTGGATGGGAAAGCTCAGAACTGATGTGGGCGGAGGTTGCCAAGAGAAGCCTCGACGGGCGCTTAACAGATTATCGGATGCGGACTCGGACTCGGGGATCGATGATCGATTCTCAGTGTTATTGGAAGAACATGTACTATAAACCCAAGACTCGATTCTATTATCTTCCATTAGGAACCAAGCAGCTCAGACAGGCCAGCTTTCGACTGACACCTGCATCTGAAGTTGAGTGTGTCAGCTCGTCGACGATGGGAGTAACTGTGAAATACTCAGAGTCAATCTTGAAAAAAAAAACCTCCACGTCCACCAAGCTCTGGTAAACCTCTATTCAAGGATTACGTGCATGGGCCATGAACTTTTCTTCAAAGCGCAATTGGGGAGGTCAAAGCCCGGTACCCCGTAAACCGAAGCTTGGGCCGTCATGGGCGACTACATAAGTTATTCTTCTCCTCTCATGGTCGAGGCAGGAATTTACTCTTCTCCTTCCTCCGTAATAAGGAATGCAGCCTATTGCACAAAGTTCCCAGAAGGCACCCGAGGTGAGTCTCCTGTTAATCGAGTCTACTAACTATAACCTGGAAAAACCTAAAACGCGACTTTCGTCCTATAGGGCCCTTCCAACTCCATTCCTTATTATGGATATATTCCGGCCGACCCGTACAGTCCTGTGAATGCCAGACCATCTCAGCGCGGGCAGCTGCAGCACACATCTTGGTATCAATACCAGCCCCGGATCGTAAGTCACTCTGTAATCTCATATGGCGGGACTCCGTGCTAACCCTATCATTTTATCAAGTCCACACCTCCTCAATCTCGTGCACCTTCTCGCTGTATATCACCACCTCCCGATGGCCACAATACTGACCCCTTCGCACAACTGAGAGAGGATCCAGCTCAAACCCCGGGCCCTGTGCGTCAACCAACCCCGGGTCCTAGTACCAGGCCTGGGCCTGGTACACATGTTTCCGTCCCGGTGTCAATGCCCGCGATTCCAGCCGTACCGGACGACCTCTTCACCCCCGTCGAACCCCCTCAGGATGGCACCTGGTGGTTCGAAGAATACATCAACGACCTCCCCTACTCGCCGACCTGCGACATTGACAAAATCGCCGAATTCGACGCATACGCCAAGTGGCTGGTAATCATCTACGGGACCTGGGAATGGGATCCAAGGGTGGGTATGTACTGGGAGCCAGAGTTTAATGCGATGTGGCCACCGATTAGTGTGGAGGAGTGGATTACGAGGATGGTCCCACGGCAGATGCCTCCAAAGACATCTAGGACGTCTCGTGGTGGACGTCGAAAGGCTGAGGAGACCTCGAGCTCCTCGCAGAAGTAGATTTTGGGTCCAATTTAAACCGCATTTCTAGAAGTTGCCAATACGACCTCCACGGCCCAATGCGTCCAGTATAGTGCGCAGTGTTACTCTTGTCCACCTTCCTTGCTTTTTCGACACCCTCTGATGGTGAAGGGCCGTCCGGTTATGACCTTTTTCTGCTCCACTCTAATTCGCGATGGCGTAGTCGCAAATAATTTACTTTACCATATTGTCCTTGTAATGAAGTACCTCATTGTTACCCTATTCTACCTAATCCTATCTTTTTCTTTGCCATTGGCACATATCGAAGGGTGTCCACTGCCTACTTAGTATTAGTATCAAGCTGAAAGTCCAGTGGTACTAGGTTATCCCGGAAGTCCGGATACTGAATAGATCTCCTCCCATTCCAATTTTGTCCAGTATAGCCACATAGAAGTGCAGACGATAGCACGGGCGATGTCAATATTAGTGGAGTGGAATTGGAAAATAAAGTGTGATGACGAGAAAAAGAGTGGGATTGGCACGCCACCATAATCCCCACTCTTTTGCCCGCGCCCCCTCTCGCTCAATAGCCCCGCCACTCAAAGGGTGGCTGTTAGAGTCGGGGTCAGTAGCTGCGCGTAGCGCAGCCGTTAGGGCATGTAAAAGCACACCGGTGTTTCTTCTTTCAAGAAATAAAAAAAAAAAAAATAGAAGAATCCGTCGGGGCTGCTGCGGACTGTGGCCCATTCAACATCGCATCCCCAAGTTCGATGATCATACAGCTGGAAGACGTCGATGAAGCCCTCTCCATGGTCTAGCCAAAACCTTCCAAAGATCCCAACTAAGTCACATCTATGACTCGCATCCACATTCTCTTTGAAAAAGATTGAGGAGGCTAACCAAGGCGACCGTCACTCTGAAGACAGGCGTTTTTTCGAAGAACGAGTTACGCGACGCCTACGGCCTTTCGCCGCTCGACAGCCCGCGTAGTGTCTGAACCGGATCCCGCTTGCGTTGACGAGGATCGGTGTAAAGTCAGATCCACAGAGCTGTTACTTTACTGGTTTGCATATGTGATGCGAAAGGCTTTGCGTTTGTTGGAGTCGCTGGAATCGTTCGTCCGGATCTACATAGGGATCAGCATACGGAGAAGTGGGGAGACAGAGAGCCCGGAGAAGCAAAGCCTGGTTGCGCGAGTGTGGTCATATTTTCCACATAATCCCCAGGGCTCTAAGGGCAGAGATACCGGTCGATTTAGCATTACGGGACAGTGTAATCGTGACCTAGATAATATGGGAAGGGTATGCTACATGGTTCAGAGTTATGTCAAGAAGCGTTATCCATAGGAGAGAGAGAAAGGTTAAATACGAGAAAGCGTGAATATCGTGAAGGGGAACCCAACAGAGAACCCACTAATCGTTACCACATCCGTGATAAAACTGGAGTCATAGTCGTACCAGTAATCGACTAACAGCCTAGCATCGCCCTCTAGCAGCTGCACCCTCCGCCCTGCTCCTGAGGATCGTCGCTCAAGCCAACCACCTGCACGCCTCCTGGTACACCTCCGTTACCATGTGCAGTCGTGTGACCTTGGCCTTTGCTCTTGGGATCCCAAAGCTCCGGCGTATCGAGGATGCGTTCTACAAGTTCCTGGAAGACTTCTTTAACGCCTACAGCCGTCTTGGCAGATGCTTCGACGAAGAGAGAGTTCATCTTCTGCGCAAACTTCTCGCCTTCAGCGGTTGGGACTTGACGAGAGTACTCCTGTCGGGGCGGATCCTGTTAGTTGTCACCATGGAGCAACGAAAGTGAACTTGCCTTGTCTACTTTGTTTCCGACAAGGATCTTAACTACGGATTCGGAAACATAGGTCTCTAGCTCGCTGTACCATCTTGGGAGAGCTTCAAATGTTTCTCGATTCGCAACGTCGTACACTGGGGGTGAACAAGCCACAACGAGTCAGTGAAAGGGCGAAATGGCAGACAGTTGAAGCCCACCTAGGATAATTCCCTGTGCGCCTCGATAATAGGAAGAAGTGATGGTCCGGAACCGTTCCTGTCCTGCCGTATCCTGTTGAGACCAAGAACAATTAGCATAGCTTCCCAATGCAAAGACGCTAGGACGCACCCAGATGCTCAACTTCACTTTCTTCCCTTTCACTTCCATCTTATGCACCTATAGTCGACAACAGCCTACGCGGTTAGCATATCAACTCTCAAACAAATGTAAAACGCCAGAAGCAAACTCGAGGTAAAAGCAAGCAGCAAACGCACTCGAAAATCCACTCCAATCGTAGCACTACTCTCGTCTTCCGGTAGCCATTGTTCATCAGAGAACCTAAGCAGCAAACTTGACTTTCCAACTGACGAGTTGCCTATTAGCAGAAGCTTCACGTTGATCGGTTGGCTTCCTGACGACGACGAAGAGGCGGTGGGTGGCATGATTATGGCTGCTGCTGGGTGTTGCGTTCCCCTTTGTTCTCGAGGCGTCCGTAGATCCGGTGTTCCAATATATGAAAGCTTGGACTATAGAGAAAATAGTCTATAGAGTCGTGAAATTTAGTACGGAGGAGATGGATCCAAATGACGCAGTTCGGCGATGGAGTCGTGTGCAAGCAGCCTGCCCGAGGTTGTCTCTGTTTGGCAGCGACGTTTGATCGCGGATCAAGGGCGGACTTGGGCTTGGCGGATATCTTGGCAGGTTGGGCTGAGGCTTGGTTCGAACCACGATGACCGTGCTTTTTGCTGGTCGTGCTTAGCCATGGGGTCCACCAAACCGCTATCTTCGACATCGGCGTCTCTGTTACTGGAAATATGGCCGATAAATATACCGCCAATTTGCGCGTCAGACTAATGGCTTGGAATCTCAGATACTTACAGTCTCTCTTGCGAACTTGACAACCTCTCAGACGGAATCCTACGCTGCCTGTCGACGACGAGCCAGCTCAGATTCCACCTGGCGGCACAGAAGTTGACGGTGCCGCATGCTGCCCGCACGCAACCATCTTCTACCCTAGCTCATCTTTTCAATGAAAAAACGACATCGAATGAGGATCACCCGTCTGGCTTCTCACTTCCCGTCTTCCTGGAAGTTCCCGAGGGGACTTACATCCTCGAGGCACGCTGGTCTTCTGCCTGGATCCCATTTTAGGGTATATAGTATACCATACGTATGGAATTCGTATGATGATACTGGCGCTCAACTTCGTGCGGAGGAGGCCGGAGGACTGTTGCGCTCGAGCTCGGACTGAGGACAGGGCTACCATTCGTTTACTTTGTCCCGATGCTCTTGCGAGAGTGACGGTTGGCGCATAGTGACGATGTATGAATCACCGTGGCATATCCCTGCGCAACGAACGACGTATCTTTCATTTACACTCCACCTCAACGTTCGACATCCTAGCCACCTCGAAACTCCGCATACCCTCACCATCAAATCTACCCGTCTTTAGATCGAAGGACCAAGCAACATACGGAGGACAAAGTACATCCATCTGGCTGTACCGCGAAGATCGGTGTGTTCGACTCTCCGTTATCTCATCTATTCCTGCACGGACGTCCCAACGGATGGCTAGTTCGAACTTCTGAGGATAAACACAGCTACACCTGCGAATACCCCTGTCCTCCTGTCTCAGTACTTATTGTCCGTGACACTTCCAACGACTACTATTCGGTACCCACACCTGTCGAAAAGGTTAGAGGTCTGGTCTTTCTGTTATGGACTATACGTGATACAAGCACGTGTCGCCCAGTACTCAGCGACTTTGTGGTCGATGAATCAACTCGTGACTACGTCAAGAGTTCTTCGCCTGTAGCTTTGTGAACTTCGAGCTAGACTTTGAGTGATAATTAAAGATATTTGTATTTGCACTGAGACTTGGTATAGCTTTATAAACAATTAAGAACGAAGTGAAGAAACTAGCTAAGAGAACTAGAGAGTTTATATACTAGAAGACGTGTGTTAGCCATGAGGCGTAGTCCTCATGGGTAACATGCGTATTCCGTGGAATGTATGTAGGTTTCAATGAGTTTTTAATAAGTATCAGTCAGCAATCAGTAATGCGCAGTAAATATGAGTAAGACTATGAGCTGAAATGAAAAACATAAGGTAGAGATGAGGCAGGTATAGTAATACAGTATAGTAAGCATATATGTTCGTAACATTACCCCCCTACTAGAGTTAAACTACTCCTGGAGTTTACCTTTGCCCTTGCATCGGCTAGCAAGGTGACCCGTCTTTCGGCAGAGGTTGCATGTCGGAATTCCAATTTGACGAAGGCGGGAGATAAAGTCGCGAACCCAAATTGGGTTCAGTTCGGAACCTAATGGTTGGTTCCATGGTTGGGTGGGGTCGTCGACGTCGATGATCTCCTTTTGGGGAGCAGATGGGGGAGTCGGTGTCGGAGGGTATTGGAGAGGAGGGAGATCGTTGGGATCGAATGAAGTATCCCGTAGAGTCGCCCGATATATGATATTGGATGATGGTCCGGGGAGTTGGCATACGAAGTTGAGTTGGTCGTTGCATAATGGGTGAGGGGAATATCGTCAGGAATGGGCATAGGAGGTGGGGGAGGTTGTTGGGGAGCGTGGTGATAGAGTTGGGGGCCTGGAGCTTCGGGTTGGGGGTTTCGAAGCTCCAGTACAAGATCGGTGATTTCGGGACGGTGTACAAGGTGTTCGTGAATCCCGAAGACGAACTGATGAAGAGTGTTGACTATGCCCATGAGTTGGGCGATGATAAGGGCGATCATGTGTCCGATAGAGACGATGCGAGCGACGGGCTCAGCACCAGGGGTTTCGAGAAGTCTATTCTCGAGTCGGACGGCGTACTGGGCATTGGTGACCATGAAGAGAGATTCCTCCTCGTTGAGAGGGGGAACGGGCATGGCAGGGGCAAGGTAGTTGTACTGAGGAGCAGACATGCTATTGGGTGGAGGTGGTTTGTCGAGTGAAGTTGGGAATTTGTTGTTTTCTTCAATCGAGTCTTCTTTCCTTCTTTTAAGTCTAAGTCCTCGTGTTTTCTTGGTTGATGTCATGGGGCATGTGTTTGAGGGGTGTTCAAGATAACGCCTCATGTTGTCTTCATGTTCTAAGATAAGGGTGCATGTCGTCCTTGAGTTTTTCATGTTTCAGGTTTATGAGATGTGCATGTTGGGCATGTGGCTTCCTCATGTGAGCTTGTGTTTTCGTTTGTACGCCTTGAGGAGTTCCTTAGCATGGGAAAGTTCCTTTTCCTTTTTCCATTCTGCTTCGGAGAGAGGGTATCCTTTCCATGATACTAAGAATTGTCGTTGGTTCCTCACGACTCGATGTTTGAGGATTTTGTCAATTTCATATTCTTCTTCTCCATCAATTAATTCGGGAGAAGGGAGTGTGTAATTGGGTCCGTGTGTTTCTGTTTCGACATATGGGGAAAGTAGAGTTGCATGGAAAACGTCGTGGATCCTCCAAGTCGGGGGAAGGTTGAGGCGGAACGTGTTTGGTCCAAGGACTTCTGTGATTTCGAAGGGACCTTCTCGTTTTGTTGTCATTTTCTTGGAGTATGGGAGCTTGATATTTTTGGCTTCCAACCACACTCGATGACCTTTGCGGAAAGGTCTTGGTGTCCCCTTGATTCGTTGGGCCATTCTTGATCTGGCGAGCTCGTGTGCTGCCACGGCTTCTCTTCTATCTTCTTCCAGGGCTCTGAGTCGTTCTTCCACTGATGGGAATTGAGTTTTGGAGAACGTCGTTGGTAAGGCCTTGGGTTGGAACCCCATGATGAGTTCGAATGGAGAGTGTTTTCGATCTGCATGCCTTCGGTTGTTGTACGTGAATTCAGCGAGGGCTAGTTTGTCTGCCCACGATTCTTGGTTTGTGATGCAGTAGATCGATAAGTATGTCTCCAATTCTTGATGTACTCGTTCAATGGCTCCTTGTGTTTGTGGATGGTAAGCCGTGGATAGTGACGAGTCTATTCCAATGAGACGGAACAGCTCTCTGAGGGCTTTGGCTGCGAATTGGGGACCTCTATCAGAACCGATTTTGTCCGGTAATCCGAAGCGTTTGAAGAGATTTTCCATAAGAAGTTTTGCGATATCGTCAGCAGTTGCTGTCTTCTTTGTTGGAATGAAGATCACCCCCTTACTGAGGCCGTGGTCCACCACGGTCAGGACCGAATCGTATCCGTTCGATTCCGGAAGATCCGTGATCATGTCAATGACGACATAACCAAATGGCCGATCATTTCCTTCTATGGGCATGAGGGAGATCTTATGGGGATTCCTCTTGATTTTGAACTGCTGACATTTCGCACATCCCTGGATATATGATTTGATGAACATCTTCATTCCGGGCCAGTAATAATGATTTTTGATGGCATGGAATGTTTCCAACTCTCCAGGGTGTCCCGCAGTTTCAGCGTCGTGATATCGTTGGACAATCTCTCTTCGGATGTTATTGTTCTTCGGAATATATTGTCGGTTCTTGTAGAAGAGTGTAGTTTTTCCATCTTCGGTAATGACCGTCCAATCGTGGAGTCCTTGTTTCATTTCGTTTGATCCGCCTTCGACTAGGGTTTTCATGGCCTCAATCGCGGTTTGATCCATTCCTGTGGACTGATCAATTCGTTTTTGGAGTTCAAGGTCAATCAAACCTATGGAGGTATCCATGTCGAGTTCATCTATAAATAACTGTTCCTTCAATAAAATAGTTGGTAGGTCGTTTTCGTCTTTTTCCGGAATATGATCGGGTCTTCGAGAAAGAGCGTCAGCTTGAATCATCTTGTCGCCGGGCATATTTTTGAGATTATAATAGTATTCGGACAGTATCAGGGACCACCGGGCTTGTCGATCGTTGAGTTTTTGTGGTTGCCTGAAATAGGTTAAATTTTTGTGGTCGGAAAGGATGTGGGTGGCGAATTCTGATCCTTGGAGATAGTGTCTCCATTCTTGCAGGGATCGTACTATTGCAAGGAGTTCGCGATCATAGATCTCATATCGAGCGTTCGGTGGGAGTGAAGGTTTTTGATAGGAAGGCTACCGGATGCCTTTTGCTATTCTCGTCTTCTTGGGTGAGGACAGCTCCATACGCGTACTTGGAGGCGTCACATTCAATCTGGAATGGTCTAGACATATCCGGCATTCTGAGGACGGGTTCTTCGATGAATCGTTGCTTCAGGGTTTTGAATGCGTTATCACATTCCTCAGTCCAAATGAACTCTTTTTCTTTGGTTAGGAGTTCGTTTAGGGGTCTGGCGATCTCGGAGTACTTCATGATGAACTTTCGGTAAAAGTTTCCGAATCCCAAGAAGGATCGTACTTGCTTCACCGTTGTGGGGGTGGGCCATTCGGCCATCCCTTTGACCTTTTCTGGGTCCATCATGATTTTGTCGTGTTCTATGATCATGCCGAGGTATTCGATTCGTGTCTGAGCGAATTGACACTTTTCGACTTTGAGGAATA